GTTCTCTAATCTTGCAAACTCTGATAAGTGTTACTAACATACTTAGAAACGTGCATTCTACAATAACATTTTCTGATAATCAAGTTTCAATTTTGAAATCCAATCAGATGCTTAGAGGATTTTTTGTTAGTTCTTGGATTGACAGTTTTCAAAAAATTTTGTTCCATGTTTGATTATCATTCCTTTTAAGAATTTCTGACCTACATTTTTGAAACATCGATTCATACAGATGTAAATATGTCATTTCTTGAAACTCTTAAATAATTAGTTATGATGAGAATAACTTCACTCAATTTAATAAACCGTATTCTGAACCTGGTGCTGATGAACAAAAAAGCCTGGATTCCGGATTCCTGATTTCGAATTCAGTGTTTTTTTTTTCATTCCGTGTACCTGATTCCGGAATCTGTTTTCCAAGAAAGTTATTTCATTCTGAATTCCATCTCCTGAAAAAAATTCATTCCGTTCATCTCTGCTGATAATTGGAAACCATTGGAAACCAGCTTTTGTTTTTCCCTCTTACAGCAGGTGATATAAAGTCTTCTGTATTTATATCGACTTTTATTAAATGTTTTCCAGCATAAACTGCCCGTTGAATAAGTTTAGATAACTATATCAGTTCGTTCTTTTAATATTAGAAAATAATCCGGTATCCAGATATACGTACTCTTAACCAAAACCGAATATTGGTTTTTTTTGTTTATTGGAGCCAATCCAATTCAGTTATTATTCTACTATTCTAGCAACTCTCCTACTAGGTTCAAAAAGATCAAAATACTTATCACTGGCTGAACAACTTTCGTGGTGTTAAAAATTGATTATTTTGCACGGAATGAAAAAAAAAACACTGAATTCGAAATCAGGAATCCGGAATCCAGGCTTTTTTGTTCATCAGCACCAGGTTCAGAATACGGTTTATTAAATTGAGTGAAGTTATTCTCATCATAACTAATTATTTAAGAGTTTCAAGAAATGACATATTTACATCTGTATGAATCGATGTTTCAAAAATGTAGGTCAGAAATTCTTAAAAGGAATGATAATCAAACATGGAACAAAATTTTTTGAAAACTGTCAATCCAAGAACTAACAAAAAATCCTCTAAGCATCTGATTGGATTTCAAAATTGAAACTTGATTATCAGAAAATGTTATTGTAGAATGCACGTTTCTAAGTATGTTAGTAACACTTATCAGAGTTTGCAAGATTAGAGAACCTCGAAATACACACCTGAGTTTCTTAACCTCTTTCATAATGATGTAATAATAGTTATTTTGATTTGCCAGGGGTTTCCCGATGGTTATAAAATCGAGGTTTTCTGAACCACCTGTTTTGAAAAACGAAGAAAAAAAAACGATAGCTGTGATCAAGTTGAAGTTATTAGTTTATTAGTTGATATTCTGTTTCAATCCAATACAGCTACTTGGAATTTTGGTAATCTGATCTTTCTTGAAATCTTGGAATTGATAATTATGGTACAACGAAACATGTTTAACATTTTTCAGACCGCGTTAGATGATAGTACTGTGGATGGCATAACGACAACTGCTCGATTCTGAATTTGAGAAGTAATAGGTCTGGAATGTTATAGCTCTAAAAAGTACCCGTGTGAATCTGTTTGATATGAATCGTGGAATGAAAAGGCGCCAAAATAATTGTCTGAATTTCGAAGACAGTGCACTGTATATAATGAAACTGGTTGTAGTGTTGAAGAATGCTAAAAGATTCATAAATATTGAAAGATGTTGGTAATAGCTGAAAATCAGAACGTTTGATTTTGGAGTTTAGAAAAGTGCATACTTTATGTAATCGTTGATGGATAGTCCACCCAGAATGCTGAAAAATCCTTGAGGAAACTCGGTAACTACAAACACAACAAGTAGGAATTGAATAAAGCGAGAAGAACGATCAATTTGAGCACTGAATTTTTTGAAAATCTTAAAATCTCCTTTTCCATCACATACTCTTTGTTTCTCTGATTGTGAGCAATACTGTTGGACTTTTTTTGAGCTTCTTTGATCTGTAATAGTATCAATATTGATAGAATCATCATGACGATGCAAGGGAGTATCTGAATGTTGTTTTCATTTACCAAATAAACAAAAACTGAAACAAGACCTTGAAAAGTGAGCCGCTAGTTATAAGAGCGAGTTTCAAAAACAAGCATTGGTTTTTTAACGCAAATTCCGAAATATCTAGTAATACGATTCCACTGCTATACTCCCTGAAACTAGGGTATTCTGGATTTTACCTTGGAAATTGACATGACTTACTCTTTGACCTCATTTAGGAATAAAATAAAAGAAGCGATAATAAACACAGGAAAACATAGAATGAGAGCTACTCGAATTGAATACCTCGGCGATTGCCAAGTATCACTAAATCAAGAAATCACCCACACAATATTCAAACAAGCCTTACCGATTTTTATTAGGTGAACTGAGACTTACGACCCTACAAAATGCTAAACCGGCTGCTAGATAGAGAGAGGCGGCATGAAAAGCAACTTGGAAATAATCAACAATAATTTGTGCATAGGCGGTTTGATAAGAGGAATATAAACTGAAATAGTAATTCTTTAAAAACATGTTTTTGACCATCACCTCACTCTGAATATCTTCTCAAAAACTGCTGGCATAATCCTGAAGATGCACATCCTAGATCACAAACTGCTATCAGCATCATGGTTACATTTATTCCAGAACTTCTCATTTCTTTATTTGATAACACAGTCACAATTAAAATATTTGCGAAAAAGGCAAACAAAACTACTGAAGTGAGCAGATAATAATGATATGGGCGGTATACACTGGAATTTTAAACATGATTGGAATTAGAGAAGAAATCGTACCTGACTACAGCTCCTATCGAACTTGTAATAAACCCATTAATAGATTCCTCGGTTCCAGGTTCAGGAAATTGGTTCAAAAACTGAGTGCAGTGGTATTGGGACGCCATGAAAGTAAAATTTTCTTGACCTAGGTTTCTTGATTAAAACTAAGGGGAGGGGTAGGGAGAAGCGGAGGTGTTATATACGGGAGCAATACCCAGAACTTTTGCACGTTCGGAATTTCTGAAGAATGATAAACAAACTTACTGACCTCAATCGAACAAGGAAATCTTCCGGGTGGTGTGATTAGGTATTCTAATACCGATGTCGTAACATTAGAAATATCAGCTGTTAGTTTTTATTTATTTTCAAGCGTATTAATTGACACCGCGTTTATTTCCAAATTTGGTATCAGAAAAAAACCTTTTAGTTCCGTATAGTTTATGAATCTTTTGAAATTATGAATCTGTTACTGCGTATAAGATGACCTTCATTTTAATAATTATTTATCAAGCCTAAAATATCAATTTGATGACTGAACAAATTTTAACAGTTCATAATCAATCAAACTGTTCTCGACGAATGAGCAATCGATTGCACTACCACAGTTGTTCGTTTCTGAAAATTGAATTTTCTAGGATATGGACGATCGAAGACTCTTACCAGATATATTTTCTCCGTAACATATCTAGGCAAGAACATTTGAGTGAACAACTTTCTGAATTTTCCAGATAACGCACTGTAAATTATAAAACTGGTAGTAGTGTTCAAAAACGCCAAAATGTTCATAAAAATTGATAGATTTTGAAAATAGCTGAAAAAAACTGGAATAGGATTTCAGGATCTTCAATGACTCACTTTATGTAGTCTATAATTGCAAAACCGCCGAGGATGCTGAAAGCTCCTTGCGGTGACTCAGTTATAAGAAAAACAACTAGTACGAATTGGATGAATCGTGAAGATCGATCTATCTTTTTTCTGTAAAGTTTAGTTTATCTAATCATTTCTTTTCAGACTTTATAACCTTTTGTTCTCTCTATTATGAGCTGCAACATTGGAACTTTGCTTTCCTTCGTCTATTTGTTGTAAAAGAAATACGGAGAAGAATAACATTGTTATGCAGGGCAGGATCTGAATTTTGAATTTCGAAATTATGTACATCCAGTTGTTTGATGAGGATTACCTTGAAAAGAAATCCACTGGCAACTAAAGAACACTTCATGAACAAACAAGCACTTGCCAGGGATAAATCGGAAACATCCAGATAAATTCCATCTTCTTCCGTTCTGAAAATGATGATTAATGATAGTAACAGTACTCTCCTGAACTTACTCTTTTGCGGCGTTTATGAAAATCACAAAAGTAGCAACTACGAAAACTGGAGAGCACAAAGCACAAGCAACACGCAACGCATAATTTGGGCTTTGCCATAGATCTCTGCAACCATTGTAAAGTTCTTTTGAACTTTAAAAAATCACCCGCCGATTTTTATTGGCAAAATTCAAAGACATCACTCTACAAAAAGCCATTCCAACTGCAAGATATAAGGATGAAGCATGAAATGCAACTGCTAAATAATCTACAGCAATCTGACTGTTTGCAGTGAGATAAGATGAGTAATTGCTGAATTTTTTATTTTAGGGGTCCATAGCCTATGGAGAATAGGGGTTAGAAAATTAAACTTACTCTGAATAATTCCTCAGATATAATTGTGCTAGTCCTGATACGGAGCATCCAAAATCACAAACTGCTATCAACAGCTTGGTGACATTGACACCAAAACGTCTCATATCCTTATGAGATAGAACGATAACAATTAGAATATTGGCAAAAAATGAAAAAATGACAATGGAAGTTAGGAGATAGTAATGATAGGGGCGATAAGCTCTGAAACAAATAATCGGGTGTTACAGAACGATTTGGAACTTACTTGACAGCCGAAGTAATGAGCCAGGGAACAGTACTATTCCCAGCTTCATCAGTTCCTGGTTCCGGATACGGTTCCCAAAATTGCGTGCAGTTTAATTCACTGGCCATTTTCTACCCCTCTGGTCGTTTGAATCTGGCAAAATGGAGTTATTAGATTAGGTAAACACATATTGAGTAATAAAAGTAACAAATATAAAAATTCAATTTCCTACCTGGGAGCAATGAGGTTAGCAAATTTCGGAAGTATTCCAACAGGGAAACCTATAACTTTCTAGGTTCTGGGATCAAAAAAAAAGAGTTGTTGATGTGGGAGCAGGGATCAAATAACTAAAACATAAAAGATGATTATGGGTTATTGTGCGTGCATAACCCAAAAGTTAATTCCAGGAAATTCGAGTGAAAAACTGATTTTCAAGAATCATTACAGATTGGAAAACAATTTCAGCCCACTTTTATGACATTTTTCTTTATTTTTAGTCCACCTGCGTTTGTTATTTGGATCGAGGAAATCAACACGTTCTCACACCTTCAACATCATAGCATAGGAACATGGGAAAGAAGGATTTTTGTTGCAAACTTTTCATGTTATCAGTTTTATAAGAGGAAGTTGGCCATCTGAATAATCCAAATTGAAATTCTGAGAAGTGTATTGTTCAAGAATGGAAAGTTTATTTGAAAAGCACAAAGCAAAATCGATATTTAAAACAAAAAAAAATGTTTTGCAGCTTCCATGAACTCACCAATCAGTAGATGTATGAATCTGAGAATTTTTGTGAGGCATTTTGCATTTTTTTTTTCGAGATAGAAAAATTTAATGAAATGTTAAAAAAGAAGTCTGAAGTTGTGAAGAATGCCAAAAATATAGGCATGAATGAATCCATAGTATCTGTAACATAGAAGTTTAGAAAAGCCATCTTGCGAAAGCATTCTAAAATATACCTAAAAATTGAATGCTGGATGGCATGGCTTTGAAGAAATTGCAATTGAAGGACCACAAAGTTTCTTGACACTCCATAATGTCTGGTACGGAGGATTCATTAGGTTTTTCCAACTGGTGGTGCTTTCAATTGGCACTAGACTTTCCGACATTTTCTGACACACGTGTTCCTTCCAAGACATAGAATTTCTTGGAATTTTCTTGAAATTTTAAATGAACAGAAAATGCACAAAGAACATTTAGTTTTCCTTTTGGATAATTCAGCTGAAAGTCAATGAAACAAGAATAATCCGAAAACACAATAGTTTTGGTTTTTCTCATCCAAAATTAACTTTACCGTATTCACTGTAATGCGATCATCGAGACACAATACCACCCAAGGCCGCTTGTTCGCCGGTGTTTTCATTTTCCGTTTTCTTCCGCTTCCGTGTTGAAAAACCACAGTGGTAGTAATTGTGTGAACAAGGAATATAAAGAGAGTGTAGACAGAAATCCAATTTAGAAAACTGTTCATCTGAACTAATTGTTTTTCAGAAAGAAAAATGGGAAAACTTTACTGTGTGGTTCCATTTTCTGTCTTCTCCAGTTGCCAGTAGGTATGCTACCGAGAAAGAACTAAAAAACGGTAACGGGAATCTCCGCAGGATGACCTCGGAAGTAATAAGAGAATCGGTATAAAAGGAAGCCTGAGATTAAAGGAAGGTATACTTCATCCAATACGATGAGTACCAACACCTTTGTTTCTGTGGCTTCGGCCATTTCCGGTCTTGCCGTCCTCGGATGCCTTTTCACCGTTGGAATGATCTTCAACGACATCAACTCATTCTATGATGAGAAGATTGAGGAGCTCAACGAGTTCAAGGGACTCGAGCAGCACGCCTGGAAGTCCATGATCCCATCTACTCGCCCAGTCAATGCTGAATCCTTCCTTCTCGGTCGTAACAAGAGACAAGCCCAATGCAACTGTGGAGCTCAGTCTCGTGGATGCCCAGCTGGACCACCAGGACCACCAGGACAACCGGGAGCTCGTGGAGACGATGGACTTCCAGGACTCGCTGGGCAGCCAGGATCTGGAGCTAGAATCAACCCACAAACCGGACGCGATGGATTCTGCATCACCTGCCCAGCCGGACCACCAGGACCAGCAGGATCCCCAGGAGCTCCAGGAGCGCCGGGACCATCTGGTGCCCCAGGACAAGACGCTTTCGGAGGAGGTCAAGGGCCAGCTGGTCCAACAGGACCTGCCGGAGATGCCGGAGCACCAGGAAACGCCGGAGCCCCAGGAGCTCCAGGAAACGCTGGACGTGGTGGACAACGCAGCCGTGGACTTCCAGGACCATCCGGAGCACCAGGACCACAAGGACCAGCCGGACCACCAGGGCAACCAGGACGATCAGGAGGAGCCGGAACTCCAGGACCAGCTGGATCCCCAGGAGCCCCAGGAAACACAGGACAAGCCGGAGTTCCAGGAACTCCAGGAGCACCAGGAAATGCTGGATCACCAGGAGGAGATGCCGGTAAGCTCGAGCTGTGTATTACAGTCAATATATGTATATTTTTTCAGCCTACTGTCCATGCCCAGCCCGTTCTGTTGCCACGGCTGCTCGCAAGCGTGTCTTCAAGGTTGCTCGTTCCCGTGCTGTCTCTGCTAAGCGCCGTGTGGTCAAACGCGTTCGTGTCCAAAAGGCCTAAATCTCCTGATTCTCATAATAACCTCAGTAATAAATCAGCCAGCATTCAAAGTACAATTATTGATTCTCACACGCAGTCACTAAAATTTAATTGAGAAGATAACATCTACCCATTTCTGCAATTTGTCCTTTCCGCAATCATAAGACCCAATATCTTTCTCTCTCATTTTCTGTCCTATTTTTTCTTGACAAGCAGTTGTTTGGTCATCAAACGGTTTCAAGGTCTGTCTCACCGATCGAACACGGAAATTGGAAGTGTACACTGATTGGAAATTTCGAAAAAAATGAAAGAAAAAGTAGTACACTTCTCATGTACGCTCCATTTTTCTTGCAGTCTTTTGATTTCATCTTCAGAACTGTCAAGTTCTTGATACAAAAACAACGAATCGGGAAAAAAGAGAGTAGAAAACGGTTCAAGGCGTTTTGAATTTCTATAAAAGGCGAGACAGGAAGCGGTAAAAGACACACATCATCGAGTCAAACGATGAGTGCAAGTACTCTTGTGACTGTGGCTTCGGCCGCTTCTGGTATTGCCATTGTTGTTTGTGTATTCACAGTTGGAATGATCTTCAATGACATCAACTCATTCTATGATGAGAAGATTGAGGAGCTCAACGAGTTCAAAGGACTCGAACAGCACGCCTGGAAATCAATGATCCCTGCTACTCGACCAGCCAATGCTGAATACTTCCTTCTTGGACGTAACAAGAGACAAGCCCAATGCAACTGTGGTGCTCAATCTCGTGGATGCCCAGCTGGACCACCAGGACCACCAGGACAACCAGGAGCTCGTGGAGATAATGGACTCCCAGGACTTGCTGGACAACCAGGATCTGGAGCCAGAATCAACCCATCCACTGGAAGACCAGGATTCTGCATCACTTGCCCAGCCGGAGCTCCAGGACCAGCTGGACCACCAGGAGCCCCAGGACCAAAGGGAGTCAACGGTCAACCAGGAGCCCCAGCTCAATCCGGAGGACGTGGACCACCAGGACCACGTGGACCATCTGGAGATGCCGGATCCCCAGGACAAGCTGGACATCCAGGATCCCCAGGACAACCAGGACGTGGAGGACAACGCAGCCGTGGAACTCCAGGACCAGCTGGAAGACCAGGACCACAAGGACCAGCCGGAGCACCAGGACAACCAGGACAATCAGGAGGAGCCGGAACTCCAGGACCACAAGGACCACCAGGACCATCTGGACAACCCGGACATCCAGGAAACGATGGAACTCCAGGAGCTCCAGGAAACCCAGGAAGCCCAGGAGGAGATGCCGGTAAGACAAAGACTTAAAGCCTCAACTTATTTGAAGCTCATAATTTCAGCCTACTGCCCATGCCCGTCTCGTTCAGCTGCCGTTGCTGTTCGTTCCAGAGTCGCAGCCAGATCCAGAGTCGCCGCCCGTTCCCGTGTCGTTGCTCGTTCTCGCGTCGTGGCTCGCAATCGTGCCGCTGTCAAGAGACGAGTTGCTGCCGTCAGAAGACATCGTGTCCAGAAGGCAGCTGTTTAATATTGTTCTTTTTGAGAATAATAAAAATTTCATATTTCAGTTGAAGAGAATTCTAGAAAAAAAGTTTATAAAATTTCGATGAAGAAAAATAAAATTAGGTGTTGTGCCAGTACAACCCTCAATCCGCTGTATGCAGTTTGTAGTACTCGAATCGGTTTTCGGGTGTTGGTGTAGGGCTGAAATAATATATTGGTTTTTTTCGGATGCAAAAAGCCACTCACTCTTCGGTTTCCACCATGGAAATCGAAATCATTATCATTGTACTCATCGCGAAGAAGCAGATGAGAGCATTAACTGGAATTCTCAATCGTACAGAGTTGGTTTATTTTTGACCTACTACTAGGAACTTCCAGAAAAGTGATAGGTGCCACGTAGTCATTCCACATTCCTAAACGGTATTTCTGGTGAAGCAGCAGTAACCCTTCCAAATCGTTTCCACTTCTCTACAACATAATTTTTTATGTTTATAAAAAATCATAAAATTACATTCGCCACGGCTACATTCCTTTCTCTGATTCGGCTGTTTTGTTTAAATCTTCCTGAAAATTATAATTAGATGGAAATTTTGAAAACAACATTCAACCTTGAATTGACAAAAGAAATACTCTCCTTCAATCGATTTGCAAAGTCTAGTAATATGATGAAGCTCTCTAAAATGTGCTTTCATTCTTTTCTGAGACCATATTCTTACTTTTTTAACATATCAATCCACGAGCCGTTGTTCTCATTGATTAGCTGACCGGTATTCTCACACTGAAAAAAATCGAAAAAAAAACATAATTAACGGCTGATTTTCTAAAACTAACAAACTCTTTAACGGGCGATGTGTAAAAACTCGTGTTGTTTTCTAGTATAATCTCAATTTTATGTTTCCAATCATTGATCTGGCTTATAGAGCGTGTATTGTTTCTCACTGAAAGGTTAATCTTTCCACTTGAATACTGTGGAATACACATAGTCAACATTTTAAACTCACAAATTGCCTGTGGATTCAGAGCTAGAAGTTCTTCAATGACTGTGTGATCAGTGGACTTCAAAAAGTCTCTGAATTATTTATATTTGCTTAGGTCACATTCATATTACGGTATACCGGAAATTGAAATGTTGGTGACCATTTGAATCCGTCACATTCAATTTTCCGAGTACCTCAAAATCAGAATCTCGGAGTACAACGAGATAAAAGCTGTGAGCAGCACTACTAAAGATAACAATGAGCCAGGACCAGAAAAGTGCGTAAAATGCAAAAATGAAAATGTATCAGTTAATTTTTCTCAATCCTTTTGCAAGAGGAACAATCATTCCGTTGTCTTAAAATAGAATGTTTCCTGATTAAATCAAGGTTTGAAACTTACTTTCAAGATAGCTACGGTCTCTGAACATGGTTAGGAAAGAGAGAAGAGAGAGAGGATCACGATGAAAATATTCAAAAAATGGAGAGCATAGAAACTAGCAACAACATAATAGGGACTCTGGAAGACTGCCAAACTGAAGAAATCCGCTGGTGTTTAAAACTAACTGGAGATGAAAAAGTGCTTCGATTTTCCCATAAAAATTTTTCAAGAGCATCATCCGCTCTCTAGCCGCCTCCTGGATATCATGAAAATTAGTCGTTTGATGGTGGAACACTTCAGTTTTTGCGTTTTCGAATGGGCTGGTCAAGTTATCCCAATTGATCAAGAGTTCAGAAGAATTCCATGCCTGAATGAAGAAGTACTTTTTTATATTCTTCTGAAAATAGGTAATCACTTTCAAGTTTTCAATCACTGTCCAATTGTTTATTTGTTGCTCGCTATTTTCATTTCGACAAATCGGGGCAGTTTCATTACGGCAATCTCTTTGAACAAGTTCCGACACATTCAACATGATGCTCAGCGTTTTTTCGGAAGTTGGAACGTTCTTAACAAAAATTTAAAACATAGAAAAGGAGATAATCGATTCACCTGATAATAGTGTCCTTGAATTTTCAAATGAAATGCTTTAATCTCATCCCATTCTGTACTGGCCTCTTCCATAGAACATGATGATCGTAAACTTGTAGAATTCACCACCCCTTCATATTCTGAAAATCAAAAATTGAACTTGATTAGTAAAAAAAGTTAGATCGACCTTCCAGAAATTTCTCAAATCTCTCTTGTCTCCCGTTGCATCTATTTTTATAGTACTCAACCCATTGAGCTATGTAAAACGAATTGTAGATCATGAAAATCAGGAATACTGCATAGATGATCATAAGTAAGCTTTTCATATAAAACCCTCGATACATCTGAAATTGTAACAATTAGGAAAGCTTCCTTATTTCAAAAAAGTTACAGCGATAAATTTATCGAATTCCTCTCTATAATATTTGAATGCCAAAAATCCATAGCTCAACCAGTAGAAATTGACCAATGAAAGGAAGCCGTAAAATAAATTGGATTTCTAAAAAGCTTAGTTTCTTTTCACAGTTGACTTCACTCAAAGAAAAGATTACTCTGAAAATTCCAAGGTAGAAAAAATCCCCAGTAGTAGCATTGCTATCCTCCGCCAATATCTTTTCTACAGATTTCTAAAACGTATTCGTTAATTTTTGGATTTCCAGATTCTGATTTCTCACTTGCAGCACAACGTCTTCCAATGATGTGAGTTGCTCTACCATATAAAAATATCGACTTTTCCTCCAACTCAGAATTCAAATTTGGAAGTTTAATATCCTTTCTGTAGCAAGCCATATCCGGGGACTTCTCAGTACATTCCATAGTTATACACAGGAAGATAATTAGAGTCTAAAACAAAAATTCAACTATCAAATTTCTTTCACTAATAATCAGAATCATAGGTTCAACACACTCACAACCCATTTCCACATAGTTTAAGTCTCTCAACAGTACGTTCTATCTGTTCCTTCTCTCTATCGTGTCGTCTCGAAAACCATGTTGGACGCCTCGGCAGCCATCCTATCAGTTGAAGTTCACGTCGTTTTCTTTTTTCAGGAGGCGTTGTCCTTTTCTTGCATCGTTACTTTCGTTGCTTCCTTGTTAAACTGGTTTTGAAATTATTGAACACAAGACAGGCAAAGATAATTAGACGACTCTCTTCACTTCACATACTATTTCAATGGTTACCTAGAGACCGGAGATACCGTATAAAAGGATCGTTCGGTTACCGGTCAATTCACTCTCATCTCTCAAAAAGATGAGCGCCAGTACTCTTGTGACTGTGGCTTCGGCCGCCTCTGGTATTGCCATTGTTGTTTGTGTCTTTACCGTTGGAATGATCTTCAATGACATCAACTCATTCTACGATGAGAAGATTGGAGAGCTTCAAGAGTTCAAAGGATACGAGCAAGTCGCTTGGCAAGCAATGATCCCAACCACTCGTCCATCATCTGGATCTTCTTTTCTTCTCGGACGTAACAAGAGACAAGCTGAGTGCAACTGTGGAGCCCAATCTCGTGGATGCCCAGCTGGACCACCAGGACCACCAGGACAACCAGGAGCTCGTGGAGATAATGGACTCCCAGGACTTGCTGGACAACCAGGATCTGGAGCCAGAATCAACCCATCCACTGGAAGACCAGGATTCTGCATCACTTGCCCAGCCGGAGCTCCAGGACCAGCTGGACCACCAGGAGCCCCAGGACCAAAGGGAATTAACGGCCAACCAGGAGTCCCAGCTCAATCCGGAGGTCGTGGACCACCAGGACCACGTGGACCAGCTGGTGATGCCGGATCCCCAGGACAAGCTGGACACCCAGGATCCCCAGGACAACCAGGACGTGGAGGACAACGCAGCCGTGGAACTCCAGGACAAGCTGGAAGACCAGGACCACAAGGGCCAGCCGGAGCACCAGGACAACCAGGACAGTCAGGAGGAGCCGGAACTCCAGGACCACAAGGACCACCAGGACCATCTGGACAACCCGGACATCCAGGAAACGATGGAACTCCAGGAGCTCCAGGAAACCCAGGAAGCCCAGGAGGAGATGCCGGTAAGACAAAGACTTAAAGCCTCAACTTATTTTAATCTCATAATTTCAGCCTACTGTCCATGCCCAGCCCGTTCTGCTGTCATGGCTTCCCGTGTCGCCGTCAACCGTCACGTTGCTGTCAATCGCCACGTCGCTCGCAACCGTGTCGTTGCCCGCAACCGCATCGCCGCTCGTCGTCGTGTTGCCGTTCAACGCAGAGCTCGTGTCCATGCTCAAGCCGCCTAATCAACAGTCATTATTCAATAAACTACGCATTCAAAATCCTTTTATTTCATTTCACAATTGGGATTCTAGAAATGATAAGAGCTAGATGAGCAAAGACAGCATTCCGATTCTCTTTGATAACTTCATCCAACAATCCTTCTTCACTGGATAGAACATCCTGAAATGAACAGTTCGAACTGAAAAATTCATCAAATACAAACCTTAAAGAACACCTTTAGCTCTTCAATCTTCTTATTCTGAGCCTTGTGAGCATCAATAGTTGATTTCCTTGTTTGTTGTTCTCTGAGCAATCGGTCTTCGAGAAGTGACGTCACCTTCTGAGACTTCTCCACATTTTGCAAGGCATCATCCAGCTGAAATAAAGGTGTTGTTGAATATCACCAAACTTCCTCTCACCTTGGCATTCAAATCATTTTCAATCTGCACATATTTTTCCATAGTGCTTTTCCTTTTGTTCTCAGATTCTTCCAGTCGTTTCTTACTATCTTTCAGCGCTTTTTCAGTCTGTAATAACCCTTTTGAAAAAGTTCATACAGGGTGGGCAAAAGTTTGGCAAAAAAAAAGAAGACGTCATAACTTCTCGGAAAATAGCCCAATCAGTTTCAAATTTTAACAGGACTTCATCAAAGAGATTTGTAACAAAATTAAGCCCTAGTTGTTTGTTTTTGGCTGCTCTGTTTCTAATGGCGGGGCTCAACTTCTTTGGGTTGCTGGCACGGGGGGTGGTCTGCCGGCAAATGGTCCCATTCCGTGGAAGGAATATTTTTCAGAGTCTCCAAAGTTGTGTTAAAACAAACTTGAACACATGCTTGAAAATTTCCTTGCACGAAAAGACCCGTCGTATTGTTGTCTGACTAGAGACAGGCCATCCTTTCTCGGGAATCAAATTGGAGAAATTGGCTTGGCACTCCTGCTGGGCATGTTTCGTCGTCTCAGCAGGCGCTACATCTTTCCCGAAGTCTGAATTTGCTATTCAAAGTTAGAATATGATACAGGCTGTACGATTTTTACTAGAATTAGTTTTCTTGGTACACTTGCAGACCAGGATCCACCAAAAACAGTTGTTTTTCCCCATTTCGAGTGATTCCTCCAAAACTCATGATTTGCTGAGGATTGGCTGCCTAGAGAATTAACATATCGTTACTGGTAGATAGCCAAGGTCATTGTGTCTATAAATGACAATTTTTAGAATTCAGTTTTGCTTCTAAGCTGAACTGTGTCTCATCAATAAAAACGGTGGTCAAGCGCGTGCCAGAAGGTCAGGAAAACAGACAGTAGTGCCGTTTTCGTAAAAATTGAGATAAGGACATGAAACTTTGCACATCTACCAATGAAGAGACGAGGAATATTATAAACATAAAAGCAAGACCTGAAAAATGTGCCGTCGCGCACCAGCTTATGTGAAACGTTTGTTGCCAAACTTTTGCCCCACCCTGTAGTGTAGAAATTCGGTCACTTACAGTTTGCCCGCTCTTCTCCAACAAGCTTCTCAATTTCAGATTCTCTTCCTCCCTCTCCTTTGTCTTCTCCATTTCTCCCTCCAATTCTAACTGTTTCTCTTCTAATAACTGTTCCATTCGCAGAACGTCTTGTTTCTTTCTTGTCAGTTCCAATTCCAAGTGTTCCATCACTTGATTATTCATCAGTGTGTGTCCTTTGCTCTCCAAACTTGCCTCTGCTCGAATTTCAGCAACCGCTTGTTCGAATTCTGCACTCAGGTCAGCTCGGGCTCTGAGAATAGAAATACTACTCAAAATGTAAAAAAGTTATTCAAACTGTTCAATCGCTGCAATTTTAACACTTCGTTCTTCAGCCTCCTTCCTTCGAATTGTTTCTTCTTGTTGGTCCACAACTGCTTGCAATGAATTTAATTTTGCACCCATTTCAATTATTTCCAATTCAATTCTATGTTGATTTCCTAATTGGGTATCTACAATTGAACTATTGTAAAGTTAATCTTCTGAAAAAAGACCAACCCATTATACTCATTTCACTCTTCAACTTTTCGATTTCCTCTTTCAATTTTTTTTCTTCCAACTCGTAATTTTCTCTATGATTCTTAAATTTTCTATCCGATTCCTTCATCTGTTCATCTAACATTTCCTCCAATCTAGCTGTCTGAAAGTGATCGCTCTTTGCCCTTTTTCTCTTCTACTCTCCTACCTCTTCGTCTTTCTCTTCCACCAACTTTTTCAGATAACTGATCACATCGTTCGACTCGAATGTTAAATTTGTCAACTGATTCTCGGTCGCCTCATTCGTTACTATTAGTTCGGCAATTTTCTCCTGCTCGTACTCTATTTTTCGATGAACAAATGTTTTTAAAAACTTACCTGTAACAGTTCCAGCTGCTCATCAAGAGATTTCTCTTCAGAATCTTGACGCGGTTTCGGAATCATAGAATGAATTTTTCGTAGTAATAAAAATTACATGTCCGAAGGTTTCTAAATTCAAGTCAACCACCCGTAAACTTCTAATTTCCGGTGCCCGATTCCCATATTTCTTTGAAATTGTTTGATCTGATATTTGAATTGCAAGTCTGTCAAGAAATGTTTTGTGTCAAATCATGATTACTTATCTAGGGTTGTCCCCACAAATTTGGCCTCCCAAAATTCATCATTTTTCGTACGAAAAAAAAACAAATATCCAATTTGAATTCCCTCTAAAAAGCAAGTTTGCCGATTTACGCTAAACACCGCGCGAGCCGTTATTTCGGAGCGTCGTAACAGGGTCAATTTTTGAAATGTGTTCGTTTTGCCAACTTTTGTACATGTTCATCTCAAAGAAATTGATGAACTATCCTCGATAATTTGATTGAATGATTAAGCTCTCGAACTGTAAATTTTCAAAATGCTTGGTTCCATAATTTTCTCTCATTTCTTTAATTGTTTACTATAAACAAGAAACTCTTGAAATGGATAATCAAGAGACGGCTCTCTAGATAACTTATTAAAATTGTCTTTTATGTTTTTCCTATTTCTCCCGACATATTTCGTTTTCTCGCAACCCGTAAACCTGACTGATAAGACGACTCTAGTATCACTCCATTCTACCCTTTCATCTTCTTTTCTTGTGGCGTGATTCTCTCTTTTTTTCGTTCTTTACTTTTGTTGCATTTGTTTTTTTTTGCAGGGTAACGATGAGTGTTCAGTTATATCTGGTCACATACAATGTCCTACAAATTTTGGGGTTAGTTCGAAGCTTCAGAAAAAAATTGCGGTTTCTTGTTTCAGATGGTCAGTTGTTCTCGTAAAGACAGTCCTCGGGCTTCTCAATGGACTTTCCTGGCCAGAGCTCTACGAGTCAGTAGAGTTTGAACTGAAAATCTTTCAAACCGCTGCTATTCTTGAGGTATTTTATATTTTGTGAACGGTAATAATGTAATATTTTTCAGGTGATCCATGCCGTTATCGGACTCGTTCGCTCTCCAGTCGGCACCACCGCCATGCAAGTGACTTCTCGTGTCGTTCTCGTTTGGCCAATCCTTCACTTGTGCTCTACAGTAAGACAAATCAATTGAAATTGAAGTTTGAAATCTTTGAAATTTTCAGGCTCGCTACAGCATCGGAGTTCCACTTCTTCTTGTGGCCTGGTCCGTTACTGAAGTCATTCGGTATTCGTTCTATGCTCTCAGCGTATTGAAACAACCAATTCCATATTTCCTTCTCTGGCTGAGGTAAGGAATCAAAAACGACTTTTAAAAAGTGAATTGTTTCAGATACACCCTCTTCTACGTTCTCTACCCAATGGGAGTATCCGGAGAGCTTCTGACACTATTTGCGTCTTTGAAAGAGGTCGATGAGAAGAAGATTCTGACTCTCGAGATGCCAAATCGTCTTAACATGGGAATTTCGTTCTGGTGGGTTCTCATCATCGCTGCTCTCACCTACATTCCCGGATTCCCACAACTGTATTTCTACATGATCGGACAAAGAAAGAAGGTTCTCGGAGGAGGAAGCAAGAAGAAGCAGTAAACCTTGATTCTACGTGTATTTCTGTATGCAGGAAGAAGTATTTATTATAATGTATTTTTCTAGATTAATCGAAGAAAAAAAGTGAATCTTTAACCATAAAAAATGTTTTCCCCGTTTACTGGATTACAATAAAAAACAGGACCCGGAATAAATTAAGATGGGGGTGTCATCTGAGCAAGGGCTTCCAATTTGGCTTGATAGTTTTGGTATAAATAATAGCACCAATAAATGAGATTGAGAAGACAAAACGATATCGGAAACGCTTTTCTGCAGAATTTATCGACGTTCTGCGCCGTCCATTTCGTATTCTCATCATCGTCGTCGGCGAGTAAACCTGAAAGAAAAAAAATGAGTATGTCAAAGTCCTTGACTCAAAGACAAAGGCAAAGAATAAATTACCGAATTGAGCGAGCGCATGAAGGGATTCGAACATATTGTTCGCCTGGCGGGATATTGAGATTTTATGAGACGATGAAGTGCCATTCTGAAATGAGACGAAGATTGATGATAAGATTTTGAAAAAAAGAAGTGTACCGAAAAAGGTTCATCGTAGTTACTCCTCAAATCACTTTCAGCTGCGTTTGCATTCGTCAACGTTGTAGCTCCGTAGTTGTTCTTCTTCTTATCCTTCTTTCTTTGCAACGCAGCAACCCGTTCTTTCTTCTTTTCGGCTTGTCGTTCTTTTCTTCTCAGATTGTTCTCACTGTCCAGATAACAGACAAACGCCACCTCGATCATAGTCAAGAAAATAAATCTGGAAATTGAAAATTATTCTATTGGCGTTGAAAGGGGACTCTGACCGACATTTTTTGTAATTTTTGCGTATAAATGTTCCCAAAATTATGTGTCTTCATAACTTAGCATCGAACTAGTTCAGAACAAACTAGATATTCAGGAAAAACGCCGCCCAAGAGGGTCGCGGGAATCCTAATCCAAGGCTAATGTGTGGGCTGTTTTTCATTCAATTTTTCGCGGTTGTATGTCATTTTTTTTCTGTATTTTCATTTGAAAAGTTGAGTTATTCAATTGAAAGCTTGATGAAGAGAACAAAAAAGACTCGTTGACCTCACAAATGGCTGAAGAATTGCATGAAAACAACTTGGACGAGAACTGATTGTGAGAGCGCTTTAACAAAAGGCGTTTTCAGAGATTTCGAATCTTTTCTGAATTTTTCGAAGTAATACTATGGAAGTACATGACTTTGGGAGCATTGTATGTAAAAATATATACATTATTGGCCGGAGTCCCCCTTACAAGGGTTTAAAAAAACGTACGCTGTAGTCAAAACCATGTAGACATCAATTGATTTGACATAACCAACCCGTGGCAGATTCTTGGCGACATTTCCGTACTGAAATCATAAAAAGATCATTGATCAGTGATGAGAGAATATTTCCAGACTTGGAATGTTAGAGCCATCAGTGAGCTGACTCCCAGAGTTATTCTGGCCGGAAGAGCTTTTAAATCTATCCAGAAACTGACAAAGGAGAGAAATACAGATGAATAGGTTGGAATGTACATCTGAAGGATATAGAATCCATAAGCACGAGAGAATGTCAGAGAAACGGTTAGCTGATCCCATTGACCTGCTGCATATTCAAAACTATTTTTGGTCCATTGAAGCCCGTAAAGGGTAAAATCGGATAATTTTGATTTTGCTATCGAGAATACAGGCTGCCATTCTCGCCAGTTCAATTTCACTTTTGCAGCATTGTAGGCGTAACTTTCGATGATTAATTCACAATTCTGAAAATTCACATTTGAGTTCATCTCTTTAAAAAAGAACTACCATAATATCCATTGGAAACAATACAAGATCCACCATACACGGCGACTGCACTTGTAGACGATAATTGACCCATACGGTACCATTTGGGTAAATCATAAGGAAGATGTTCGGTGTTGGTGATGAATGAATTTCGGTTTTCTTCGAATTCACAAAACATACATTTGGTGTCCATAGTTTTTCTACCATCTGCAATTTTTTTGAAAACTCAATTCAGTTTTATTTCTGATTCTGCATTACTGAATATCCAAGTGTCAAATTCTGAAGACAATTCGTGATATGATCGAATCGAAGACGTGGATCGTGCCATATCTGACTGAATAGAAGATCCAAAGTGAAACTGGCAGACATCTCGGATACTTGAGCAATGTTCTGAATCCCGAATTCCACGGATACCACTGTTGCCGATGTCTTCGAAGGCACCGTGTTTTTGTTGTAATTGTCATCGAATAATCTTCTCAACACCAACTGCGAAATTGTGTCATTTGCCGGTTCGCTGCAACAAGTTCACTTTTGCTCTATCCATTTTTACGAGTATTTTTATAGGTTTCCCCTAATAGACACAATTTAATATGATAAGAGCCATCACGAGTGCCTAGCCATTCTAATTTTCTCAATTTTCTCGGCCTATGATTTTCTTCTCTGTCGTCTGCTATTTTCTAACCATATTTGGAGCGGTCAACTCGGATTGTGCCCCTGGAGATATTAAAAATCCCCGAGATAATTGTGTTCATGTAGAGAATCTTCCCTCGTGAGTTTTAATAAATTCTCAATAAAAGGTGTAATAAATTTCAGAACATGGCAAGAGGCTGAAAACTTTTGCACTGCTCATAATGGCCATTTGGCATCTGTTCATAATGCTTTTGACATGACATCTTTGAGGAGTTAAACTTTATCTTTTAATAAAAATTCTATGTTTCTAATATTCAGAAGTTGGACAACAATGTACAAACTTCTGGATTGGAGGTCAATGTCAGAAAGGAAGCAACTGCAAATGGAGTGATGGAACTACTTTCGATTATACCAATTTTAGAAATGGAAATTCTGGAACTGAAAATTGTATTCTGGCTGACACTAAATCCGGAACCTGGTCCACCCAACCATGTGATACCAAAAGTTGCATCGCCTGCGAAATCAAAAGAGCAATGCAAAACTGTCAAGATTGGATGAAAGCTGGTTTCACAGAGTACGAAGTATTTTCTAAAAATCTCTTTTCTGATTTCTGAAATTTCAGTTCCGGGAAATACACAATTCTTGTGAATGGAGTGGAAACGGAAGTGTGGTGCGACATGCAAACTTATGGAGGAGGATGGGTTCTTTTCCAAAAGTGGGTGGTTTTACTAAATTGAATGAAACTTTCGTCATAAAAGAAAAAAAAGAGAAGACATATAATTTGTCTGCTGTTATATTTCTTTGTCCTTTAAAGGGTTCTATGTATTTCAGCCGTCTAGATGACACGGAGAGCTACTGGGACCGAAAATGGGATGAGTACAAAAACGGATTCGGAGATATCGATGAAAATTCAAACTTTTGGTTGGGAAATGAGGCTCTTTATCAGTTGACGAATAACCAAAAAGCTACACTGAGAGTTGAAATGTATGGTGATAGAACGCCAAATTCTAAAAATGCAACTGACTTTTGGTTCGGACATTATTTCGAGTTCAAGGTTTGATATCACTGCAGTAAATCTCTCAAATTTCCGTTTTCAGGTTGGCCCTGAATCCCAAAACTATCCCTTACTGAACCTTGAAATGGATTGGGCCCATCCAATTGGAAATGCCTCAACTGCCTGGTATGATTTGACTTGCTCAATTGGTTCTCCTTTCTCAACAGTGGACAACATTCATGACCCTGTGAAGGAGTGTGTGACAAAATTCCAGATGGGGTGAGTTCGTTCAAATGAAAATGTTCTTTTTTTTTCTTAAAACCCTATGTATTTTTCTAAGTATTCTGCATTTCCTTTCTAATTTCCGTTCTTTTTTCCCAGTGGCTGGTGGCTAAAAAATTGTGCACTTTCGACCCTCAACGGTGCATATACTCCCAAAGATTGGAATAATGGATATGGTGAGAGAAAAGGGTAAAATGAAATTTATGCCCTTGGATATTTCCAGGAATGTTCTGGATTTGGGATGGCTCTGAGACTATTCTACACCCTCGCAAGACAAGAATGTTGGTCAGAACAACGGTGGAATAGAAATGATTATCTTTCAAGAAAAAATGTAATAAACACATTTAAAACAAAACTTACTCGCATTGCAACCAATCGTAATTTTCTATCGGAGCCGACGGCGTCTCAGGAAGTGTCGAGATGGCGTTTCCGAGACCCCAGATTAATGTAAAAAGGTTTAGTCTTTCTGCTATTCCAGTTACGTTTGTCATTGTCTCATCTGAAGAAAAAAAAAAGGAAAATCAATTGGCATTTTAAGAATAAAAAAATGAACTAGAAAAAAGAACAAAAAGGAAGAGAAAGTGTGTTTTTGACTTGAAGAGTTTTGTGTGCAAAAAATCTATCTTCTTTCAAAAAACTGGAAGATTCAATTATTCCAATTAGATTCAATTATTCCAATCATCTGGAATATATAGAACAAAAAATGGGTCTAGTCATCTGAGAAATCCATTGCAGTGTGTACATAAAAAAGTGCAAGAAAAAGGTTCCAAAGAGAGAGAGAGAGATGCATCTTGCGGGAATCTCCAAAAAATGTGATGAAAACTTTTTGATACATATTTGGGCCATAACCGCTTGTAAACAAAAGCAGTTTTGATGATTGAGAGGCTAGTTGTGTAGCTTTGAGATGAGATGAAGAGTGTGTTGTATGCTTTTTTAAAAAATTGAGGCTTTCCGGATGATGAGGAAGGGGGGGGGGGGGGTAGTAGAAGAAAAGGGAGGTTCCAATGATGACGATGATGACGAAAAAATGGACCGGAAAATTTTTTTTTTGGAAAATAAGAATAGAAAAGAATATGTAATGAGAAATAATGGTTGATTTGGTTGATTGGTTGATTTTAATAAAAAAGAATGTGAAATAAAGTTTAAAGAATCTTTGGAGAATCTGTCACAATCAGATGCGACCACAGTTTCGAATAATTCTTTTTACTCTCTTTCTGTTTATTTTTCTCTAAAATACTAGGAAATTGAAAAAGAGAGAGAGGTTCGTGTTTTTCAAAAGTCTCTTTATTCTCTCTGGCTCCGAAAGAGGTCTAGTCACATAAATCAGAACAAAGGGAACAGAAGATGAGGACGTGTTAGGGGATCTTTCATGAATTTTCAATCTCACCGAAAAGAACAAAACCATGTTAGTGTTGTTTTTCATTTGAGTGAAAGTGAATTAGGGGTGGAGCTTACTATCACCATAAAAAGAACTAAAACATCTGTCCAGCAGCGGTTTTTCCAAAAAGATGGGCTCCTTCAAACGGGCCATCATCGGAGTCGTGTGGTGCGCTTTTGAAGCGCCGCCCCGCACACAAATTCACCGCGGCAAATTCTTAATAATATGCAGATTTTCTTTTTCCATTCGGACCCGGCTGCCAGTGAAGATGATGCAGAAATTTGATTGTTTGAAAACGAGGTAAGATAGTGTACAGTATGACAGAGGGTCCAGACACATGTACTCATCTCCCTGGATTGACGTTTTCTTGGAAATCAAAACGAAAAGGATTTAGATGAAGGATTTTTTTTGTTGGTGCAGAATTTCAATTACATTCACCCGTTAAGAAAATTTTATTTTTCCAAATTTCATGATTTTACAAGTGTTGGCCGAGCCTCCCACAAGTCTTGGCCAAAGTATGCGCCTGCATGAGCCGCTGTGATAGCTTCCACAAGTCTTGGCCCATAGTCGGAAGGCTACAAGTCGTGGCCAATTCTGATTTTTGATTTTTTACCTTCGGACTCATCATTTAATATTCAATTTATTTTCTGGTTTTACCTATTTTTCTACTATTTTCATCAACTTTTAAATTTTTATGAAGGTATTTCAATGTTTTTGGTATAAGAAATTTTGAAGTTTCGAATGGTGTAACTTTCAACATGACAAAACATTCAACTTCAACTCAAAAAGGCAAAACCGAAAAACGATAAATCTGCGAGTCGTGAGCACATCGTGAGCAGATCGTGAATTATTATGAAGAGATATTTAGCTTTGAAGAGTTCAATATTACAGAATTCGAACACTTGAATATACAGAATTTCGATTCACGAAAAAAGAGGAGACGGAAAATGAAAAAAGTCAAAATTCCACCAAAAAATTCTGCTTCAAAACTGTTGTTTCAGTCGACAAAGGATCTCTTTTTGAAGGTATCCATCATTTTTCAAGGAGTTTGAAAACGCTATGAAAACGATTCAAAGTTTCGTCAAAATAACGTTTTTTAGGATTTGAAGACAACTCGAACTATGTAAAGTAGAATTTATTTGCACTGCACATTATGTAGATGCTTGTTATCCGAAAGTCCGTAATGTCGAAACCAGAACTGTGAAAATTTTTCGAAAAGGAAGTGATGGTATTAGTTCAAAGACTGAGAATTTTTAAAATTATCGTTTGTATTTCAGATGCAAGAAATTGGATCGTAATGTTCTCGTCTAAAGGATACTTCAAAATACAATGCAAAAATTGAGAAAATGAGATGACTCGACTAGATGCGATTACACTGTCATTATCGATGAATTTCAACGGATTTCAAAGAAAAGGAAACGAAAAGGTGGAAATTTTTTGTGATTTTAATTATTTTTTTTCATTATTCGTTTTGTGTAGTGTTCTAATAAAATGTTGTAGTATATTCTAATTTTGAATACAATCACAACAGAACAGGTTTGAATGAAAACACACAACGCCACACACAAGTCTAGGACAAGCCTTCCACAAGTCTTGCACAAGCCCCCCACAAGTCTTAGCTAATACATAGAATAATGTGCTCGAAGACTTGTGCAAGACTTGTGGGAGGTCTGGCCAAGTATTGGAGCCGACATCCGAGGTTATAATTTCCAGGTATCCATAACCAATCTTCAAAGCTAAAAAGTCTGTTCTCTATTTTTCTCTCAAGACAAAAATTTGAATGAAAAAGAACGAAGGATTCCAAGAATTTCGAGAACGATCTTTCTAAATGACACCATCACATCGTGAATATTCATGTAATTTTATGGCTTTTATGATGATGTTTTCTTTTTTCTTCTTTTCTTTGAAATTTCAATGTCCAGGACCAACCAAATTAATGCTTTGAAAATCCAATCATTTGTCGAGGAACCAAAGAAAAACGCCGCTTTCGAGAGCACTTCTTATTAATTGTTCAAAAGAATCATGAAAGTTCTATAGTGGACCCGGAACTATAAAAAATGGTTGTCTTTATAAAGTGCCTTTTTGTAAGTTTGCATTTTGTTTCTTCATTTATTCATAGGATAAAACTACAATAAGTCCAGATTTTTTTGGGTTTGGAAAAAAAGCATGAGAAGGTAGAAAAGCTTGATGGTTCAAATTTAAGAAGTTGTTTAAAGTTGAAAAGGTTGTTCATAGTTGAAAAAGGCATCTATCAAAAATGTGACCAAAAAATTTCTGTTATTATCATAAACAGTTTATCAGTTGACAACTTTTTCATATCTTTAACAGGAACCGAGATAAATTGGCTCAAATGAAAAGTCAGGGGACCCTTCTATTACAGGTTGTAAGGTATATTCTGAACTATGAAAAGTTGAGAAAGATATTGTGAGATAAATAAATACGAATAGTTAAGACGGCTTCTAATGCTTTGAGAGAATGGTAGCGTGGTTGGGAGTAGATAACAACACCGAGAATAAAATAGAAAATAGTATTGAGTTGACCCGTGGAGAGTGAATTATTTGCAAGCATGATTGGTATTCACCATATTTTCAGATCATTCCAGTGTCCTTCAAGTTCTCCTGCACTACTGTATCAATGACTGTGTTGATGATAATTTGAACTTGATCCGAGATTGCACAAGTCTCGTGGCAGTACCTGAAAAAATGATTTTTAATTATAGAATCTCTTTACAAAACTTACAATCTCTTTTTGAAGTCAGGATGCATTCCATCCCTGAACTTTCTGCGGAAGTACTTTGCTCCGTCTTCAGCTGTGTTGGCACCTAGAAAATTCGATGTGTCGAAAGTCAAGTCTCTTTTAATAGATTACCTTCAAAACCCGGATGGAACTTTTTGATGCTCACTGATTTAACTTTCTCTCGGAAGAGATCAATCTTATTGAGGAACAAAATGCATGCCGCCTTGGTGAAGTACTTTCCATTGAACACAATATGATATAGGTTCAATGCTTCATCCATCCGATTCTAAACTCATTTCAAAGATTTCAAGGTTCTTTAATTCTTACTTACGACACTCTCATCCTCGACAAGTTTTTGGTCATATTCGCTGATTGCTGCCACAAAGAGAACCGCATGGACATCATCGAAATAGTGATACCACTGGAGAAAATAAAAATTGCTTTCAGTGTCTACTTCTACTCTCTCACCTTTCTTCTTTCCTGTCGCTGTCCACCACAATCTATCACAGATAACTTAATGTTTTTCAAAATGACGTCAGCCGTCACAACTCCAGTAGTTGGTACACGAATTCGGACGATATCTTGATTAGTTGGTTGAAAATCTGGCATTTTGATGCGATCTATGTTCTCGAAGAAGCTGAAAAGTATTAATTAAGTGTCTCGACTTTCCGGCCTTCCTCAGAAAACCAACATATACTGGTCAGGAATGAGGCAGTTGGGATTTTTCAGAAAAAAAAATACTTGATGATTGAAAAAGAAAAATCTTACTATCCAGCACTCTCGGTTAGGTGATAAGTGTTTCGTTTCTCGTAAGCTTCCTGAATTGGAGCACATAACCAGAATACTTTGACAGTTTCTGCGAGCTCATCTCCCATATGTCCTCCGCTCATTACACAAAATTTCAACTCCTCAATCATCACTTTGTACTTCTGAAAATCATAGTTCAGTTTTCCTGCAAATGCTTCTTCTTCTTTACCTTCTTGTCCGTTTCATTCATGTCTAAATAATTTTTGATGACATATTCAAGAAGCATATCAGAAAAGGTCCACAGATTTCTCAAGATGAGCAATTTCTTTTCCTCGAGTTCATGTTTGGTGTATCCTCCACACATTGCTCTGAAGGTATATTATGACGTTAGATGATCTTAAAAGAAAGGGGACAGGAGAATTTCGGGGTTTTTTTGGAGTCAGGGTGTGCATTCTGAGGTAACGGGCTGCCGTTCTAACTTCGCCCACGTGACTCAATCGGTAGCTCCGCCGCACCTTCAATACATATGTATTCGTCCCACAAGTCCAACTTCTCGAGAGGCTTATATGAACAAAATTTTGAGATAATCTTATTTAATGTCTCCAGTGGTCCAGTTTCCCAGTTTACGGACGTCCCGCCCGAGGTGGGAAGCGTAGTCTTCTTAACTACCTAAATTATAACTTTGTTTTTGGATGGAGATTTTTTTGCTATATGCGAAACTAGGTGTCATGATGACTAGAAGAATGATACATGTCGGATACGTTAAAATCGTGAAATTGCGAACTCTTAAAAACCCAACTCATTGAATGATTCGATATAACTGCTCACCTACAAACTGTAACTGACCTGATCTGCTTTAGTACTGTACTCTTCCCACTCTCCCCCGGTCCAATCAACAAAACGGACTGCTCCAGCAAAGCCGACTTTTTCTTCTCCAGCGACTTTTCGATTTGTCTGAAAATGCGACATGGTTGACTTGTAAAATCATGTGGTATAGTCATGATAAAGACTCGTCACAGTCCCTGATTCTTACCTATGTATTCTCGCTTGTTCTTTGAGCGCTTCATCCTGCATCACGGATCCACATGCTCCCATTGTATGCCACGGCTACACGAATCTCTGAAAAATTCTAATTCTAGATCTGGGAAAACGGAAAACATCTCATTTTAGAAAATAGAGAGTTTAAGAGCAATAGTCAACAAACAGAACTGACAATATTTCATTTTTCCCATAGGAGTGATATAGAACTCGTTAATTTAGATGGATCGTTAATTTAGAGCTAAAAGATCTTTTAGAATTAGAGCGGCATTTATAAAACAGGAGGAATAGCTCCGTTGCCGAGGAACCCGACAATCCACTCTTCCAAAATGGGCGGAGCCAAAAACGGAACTTTCTGGACTCCATTTAGAGTTACTTCCACAAAAAAACGAGCTCAATCAATCCAGCCCGAGACTTGAGATTTTTGGTGAACAAGATATCAAAACATAAAACTTAATCAGACAAAAACTAGAAAAACCTTTCAAAGTTTTGTTGATGAAAAATGAGTGTATAAGCAACTCGAAGGTGAATGAAATGAATGTTGGGAATAGAGATAGAGTAGAGGAAAGAAACGAAGAGGTAAAGAGCACAACTAATGATTATATATAAGAAAAAGAAGTAAAGTTTGGAAGATGACAACTTTTGGTGTGAGGTATCCTTTCCGGGTTTCCAAGGAGATGGTTTGTATGTGAAAAAAAAAGAATAGAAGGAAAGCGTTGTTCGAGGAAAGTAGGTTAGTTGAGCGTGAGAATTACAAGTTTTTGGAAAAAATAGCTAATGAGATTGTTGGGGGTGTGTGTATTTAGATAGAGCGATCACAGAATGAAGAAAGCATGAAGTCCTCGAGGGTATTTGGTTTCCATGGATACTTTCCTAGTTGAAACGGTTAGCAAAATGTGTTCCTGATCTACGAACAAAACGGTAGAAAATCAGGAACAAGGTAATACGAAGAAGAAGTCATAGAGAATAAAATAAACAAACCGAAAAGGAAATGTGCAGGAAATTAGTTTACCGCAGACATAACTTGAACTCAGAATATCATTTCAAATATTCAGAACAGCCCCTATTTTCAGATTGAAACCTCACGTAGTGTAAATGCTGATCTGAGCTTTCGTTTGATCTTTTGAAAAAATAGTCCAAAATAGACCTCAGAAAGTCAGAAGAAATCATAATGGATTCGCGAATACAAAACAGCAGACTTTGTAGCTATGGTGCTCTGCATACGTACCAGCCACAAGAGTATTCCTATTCTTGGTAATACGCCCCAGAACCGCTGAAGGGCATGTTACAGAAACAAATCGTATGGAAAGTGCAGTCAAAATGAAGATAAGATTAGTTGCACGACGAGCCAGTCGTGCGGAAATTCAAAAATCGAGGTGTTCAGTCTATTTTGGGATAATTTTGAAATGAATTGGTTTGATTACCGGATAACTCATCAAGACTTAAATAAAATGAAAGGAACATTTAAAAAAGGTTGCAAAGGCAAAGCGGGGCTGATAACTGCAAGACGTTTCCTTGCCGATGCGGGCGGGCCGTTGACGGCTTGCCGAAGGACCTTTAGCTCACTGTGGCATAGTTTTCGAACGAAAATTGTGATTTTGATAGAAAGTTTGATATATGAATGGTTTAGTATTCGAAATGAAATAAAGTTCTGGGACACTTTTAACAAACAACTATTTCGTGTCTTGTTCTGTAGAAAGTGAGGAGAATCGGTGGCGGAGTCACCGTCAAATTGGTCCCACTTAGGCTAGTCATAAGAAAAAAAAGTACGATACACTCGGACTGTCTCGATTCTGTGTCAGTTCTCTCTCGTGACAAAACCATGATTGGCTCAAATTTCAGTTTTCGAACAAAAAAATGAAACATGACTGAAATGAACATGGGCTCTCGTGACGACGTGCTATCAGAGCAATAGACCGAGACATAAAGTGAGTAAGAGGAGAACATATATGGGAGGAGAGTAGTAGTGCAGAAAGTTCAAAACTGAGATTTTATGAGAGAATGAAATTATCGGGTAAATGCGTTTATGAAAATGCTGGAAAAAACTTTGGAATGGGAGAAGTTCTATGTTTTTGATTGGCCGGTGAAAAAGGAGAAAAAACAATTAGGAAATCTGGCATATTGTTTTTAGAATCTTAATTATGTGTTCTACGAACGTAAAGCAATCAAGAATAGAAATACCAGGAAGGAGAAATTTATTGAAAAACGAAACAGGGTTTATGAGAAGAGTTCGGATCAAAATAGTATAAACAGTTTGAAAACTTGGAACAAATATAGAATTAGTGTCATTGAAACAGGTAAGAAAGGACTTAAAATCAATATTTCAGAAACATGTGTCTCTAGACTCCAACCCCTAGTCAGACCAAACAAAATTGGAATCTATTTTTTTTCTGATTCTTGATACGCGGAAAAATGTCAAGCACGCTACAATGAAATTCGTGCTCTGACGCCGGCACGAAAAATAGGTAGGATCTGAAAAAAACACACGACCTGTCAGACTAAAAAAACCAAATGAACATGTTTTTCCATGAGTGTTCATGAGAGAGTAATGGGAAGACAAAATCATAAGTTATCCGTGTTAATTTGGTGTGTGGGAATATCTTCTACTGATTCACAGTAAGTGAAAAGGCATACTTGCAACGGGCCGGGTCTGGTCGGGTCGGGCCGAATAAAGAATTTCTCTCTGCCAATGGAAGGGAAAAAGGTACTACCGTAAAACCTGTAATATCCCCACACTGTCAAGTTTGAGCAGAACTATCTCGGCTCTTATACGAGACATTAAAAATGTGTCAACTGATAAAATATTGGTATTATTATGATAAACACTTTATCAGTTGACAACTTTTTGATATCTGGAACTGAGAAAAAATGGCTCAAAGTTGAAACTAAGGGGGCCCGTCTAATAGAGGTTTTACGGTATTCATTCAGAACGGCAGAAAAACTAACAATAACCAACAAAAAAACAAAGTAGAACGTAGACAAAAATAGAAAGTTTTTAAATTTTTCTTGAAAATATCAGCTTCTGTACAAACAGGGCCGGCCGGGCCGGCTCGACATCGGCCCGGCCCGTAATTTGTCAAGTGTGATGTAAAAAGATCAGTTATAGGACTTTTTCACATTTTTTTGATTCAAAATCTTTTTGACTTGGAGGAAAGATAATGAGTCATTATATATGTACATGTCAAAAAAAACATCTGCGGTGTTGTGAGTTCATCTATTGTTTCTTCAAAAAAGATCAAACTACTATTTTGTCGTCTTTGGTCATCGTTATATTGATATTTGAGTTTCCAAAAACTTTCAATTTTTCAAAAAGAGATACATAAAATAATAGGATTCCCTGAAATATGTTATAAATAATTCGTTTCTGTTCATTCGAAATTCTTTTCAGACCCGAAAGCCACCATTGGAAATTTTCGGATCCATCCGTCACGACTAAATCTGGAATCGTCCCCTCGGTCAGAGTTTCGATTCTCCGAGTCTCTTTCTTTTCAACATCCGCTTCTTCCTGTCAATCCCGAATTCTTTCTTCTTCCGAAGCCTTCTTCTTTTCTAAATGGTCCCCCGGAAACGTCGGTTTCCTTTTTTCGGGTGTCCTTTTTCAATCGGGAACCCTTTCTGGAAGAGAAGAATTACTGACGTCTTCTCTTTCCTTCCAAAGTTTCATTTTTGGAAATTAGCTGAATTCTAAGAAGACGTCACTTCGTTTTTATTTCTTGCAGAAATAAGTTAGCTTGTTGTGCATCATGTAAAACATCTAATGACCAAAAATAAAACCGGTCAACTTTTCGAAGATCAAGGCTCACTGATGTTAACATTTCAATTGAATTGAAATGAAAAAAAAAACTAGAAATGTCAGGACAACAACTGTCAGAAAAAGATGATAGTGAGGAAAGTTTTTGGCGAAAAAAAAACTAGTTTCATGAATACGTCGAGCGTTGTTTAGGAAAAAACTGAATCATATTTTTTTTTGGTTTCTCTGAGTTCGTATGAAGTTAATTAGGTATATTTGAAAAAAAAATAGAAAATGAATTTGAAAAAGGTATTTTGTGATTATTTGATTTCTTGGTCTTGGTCGTAAAAACCGTGGTTCTGAAAATCGCAATGCAAACTTGCTTTCACAAATTAGCCTACATAATAAGTTGCAAATGTTTCCGTCCCGTCAAAGTGGGTCCTTCAAATGGGCAAGAAAAACCCTGAAGTGATGGTCCATCCGGAACGAGCCTGGTGATTCAGACAACCCACGATTGAGGGGCGTTGACAGCTTGAAGTCTACTTTTTGGATTTCAAATGTTCCAAGTTCCGGTTTTCCGAACTCTAACGAAAAATTGAAAGTTTTTCAAAAAATATGTTTGATTTACATTGCTGGAATTTGATAACATTTTCACTCTACGAAAATTCAAAACAAAAATGGTTTATTCTCTGACTGTCCAGTGTTCTCTATCTCTTTTTCATTCTCCTAGTCTCATATTGTTCCAAAGGTATATTGATACTATTATTATTGTTGCCATCCTTACTGCCACCAGTTTGACATGATCGTGTTTCCCGTCCGTCATTCGACACATTTCCTTCTGAATTCTTTTTCTGCATCTCGTTGGTCCGAGTCACTCCGTCACGCTGACAAGTACACCGAAAGTAGTATCGATGTATTCTTTCATCTCCTCTTATTCGGTTGAAACATGACCATCAAAAGGCTCGATTCATCACTCTTCATCTGTTTAAATTTGGTAAAACTTGTCCAAATTCTCTGAAATTCGCGATTCTTTGTATTCTTATCTCATTGAATTCGATAAATAGACCGAAGAAAGCTCTGCAGGTCAAAAGTTGCAATTCACAATAGATTCAACCCAAATTGACCTCTTGAATGGGTAGAAAAAATTTTCCTTCCCGGTTAAATTGACCTCTTCACTGCAACCATTGCCAGAAGACGGCTCATTTGTGTTCAATGAAATGAGTTACCGTAAAACCTATATTAGAAGAGGCCCCTGTAATAGAAGGGTTCCCTTCAAAATGGGTTGTTTGAAATTTCAATTTCCGTACATTTTCAAGTTAAAATATTCCAGAAACTTCACAATTTCATAGATTTTTATTGAAATATTTTTTGCTCAAAAATTTGTTCAATTTTGGTGAAGTTGATCAATTTTTACGAATTTTTAACGAAAAATTCGTAAAAGTAGCCGGAAACATAAAAAAAGCTCCTCTAATTGAAGGGCCCCTGTAATAGAAAAGTCCCACGGAAAATAACTAACACCAAAAAATCTATAATTTTTGTTTTTCGATCAATTCCCTCTATCCCAGTAATTCTCAGTTTATGACCCATTATATCCCAATCGCTTTACCATTTTCATCATGTTTTTTACCCGACTGCGTTTCTTTCTTACTTGAAATCGAGATTCTGTTTCTTCTTCTTTTTTTATCCTCAACGATACCAAGTTTCCGTTCTTTGGTGGTGCCACCACAAAACTTCTGAAAGACCCTAAATTGCGTGTTTTGAGAGGAGAAGACGAGCATTTCTCTCTGTGTGTGCACCGAGTGAAAAAAAACGCTGAGAAGAGAAGAATCCGCGATTTTGACAGCTACTCCCCCTAAAAGCCAATGGTATCATCTCGAACTCTGTCTTTTTGAGATTCGGATTCCGGGCGGCTCGAAAAACCCCAAAACTTTCAGAAGTGGCTCCCACTGTTGCTCACGTCACAAACTTTTTATTTGGTAACCTCTAATTATCTGGCGTCAGCGATTTATAAATAGCTTTAATCATCTACCAAGACAGATCCTAATAGTATACTATCCTCAAGTTCCTATTTTATAATTTCGAATCTATAGTTCTGAAAAAGACTTTTTGGCGAAACGAAAAAAATTAAAAGTGAAAGCTGAAGAAAAAACACATTTTTCGAGTAATAAACGAATTTTATGAGTGAGAATGAGTGAAGACTTTAAAATACGTTGCATGTGTTTTGAAGCCACACTTTTCAACCGCAACCACCATCCATATCACAATCACTAATACATTTTTTTTATTGTTTTGTCGTTTTCCGTGTTTCTCGTTTTCATTTTATTTGTTCTTCTTCGACTGATATCTTCCTCATATCGACCACCTGCTCGATATCATTCGAATTCTCTTCGATTCTTTTGTTATTTTCAATTTGTTTCGTCACCACCACTGACTTGTTATCCTGGGGGTGCTGCTGAAAACACAGAAAATAAGAAAGAAAAATGATCGAGGGGGGGTGGGGGGGGTTGGCAATTATTTCCAGAGTTTAGAAAATCTGTTCCTCTCGATTCTTGATCGTTTATGAGAAGTGTGAGATCAGAATATTAGTTTTGCTCTTGCTTGAATACTGGTTCTGCACTTTTTTTAATACTATAATTCAGTTTGTGCCGTCGCCGTGGTTTTGTACTACACGGAAAAGGAATTCTTTGAAATATATGTTGAGAAATGACGATGAATGTGAGAATGATTGAGACTACTCATAGAATGAATTCTCCATTAAACGAGATGTCTGATATCTGGTTCGTCTATCTTTTTTTTTTTCAATTTCCTTCAAGATGGTTTGAACCCAAAAGTTTTGTATTATTCTGATCAGACTGATCTCATGAAAACCATTGATATCAAATTGTAGCTTTATCTTCCGGATTCAATTTTGACTTTTCAGCATCCTTCCGAATTTTCGTCCTTCAATTCGTAACAGGTGTTTTTCTGAGAGAATCCAATTTTTTCAGACATATGTGTAGGTCAACCGCTTTCAAACTTCGATATTTGACATCATGCGTTTTCAAAAATCTCTTCAAAAATCAATTTTCGAAGTAGTGCATGTTTTTTTCTAAATTTCCGTCGTGTCATTTTCAGATCCGTTTTTGGAAATGTTCCCCCTCTCGTTTCCCATTTCTCTCTTTTCCAGTTAAACTACCCGAAAAATTGCCGCACTATTTCATTTTTGTTTTTTTGGGTGTTCAAAAATATACATATGGTGGTTCCACTTGGCACAGTTGATGCCTGAAATCCCCTTCTGAATGCTTTTTCATTTTTTTTGTGCTATCGAATTCTTCGAAAAGAGTCAGAAAAAAATTGAAGAGAAAAACCGAGCGAACGGATGAGAAGATATATTTTATTTTCAAAATAAATTTTTTGACTATTCAGAATATAACATTTAGGAAAATAGAAAAAACAGAATAGGCGGAACTGAATTGTGGAGAGAATAATTCATAATTCTTAATTCTTACTTGGTTAAGATAGTGGAAATCAACCGCTCAACATAATCATCGTTCCTCGTTGCTTTAAAAAATCTCGATTTTAGCAGTCAGTACTAAGCAGAAGTTCAAGTGGAAGTTCGGAAGGTGGTTCCAGGAATGAGAATTCGGAAAATGAGAACTGCTACATATGAGAACTAGAAAATAAGAACTCAGCCGGTAAGGCTCCAATTTCCGGCTCAGGACCCAACTTTTCTTGAAAAATATTTTTGAAATGATTTCGTTCTTCACAATATTTCAAGATTATCAAAAAATCCCTGTTTTGACATGTATTTTACGAGTTCTTATTCGTACGAGTTCTCATTTGTAGCAGTTCTCCTTTTCCGAGTTCTCATTCCTGGTACAACCGTTCGGAACATTATCCAATAATATTTAGACGTATAGAAAATTTAGACAAATTAGAAATTTAGATAAATAGGCAATATTTTTATGAGCCGGAATAAATTTATAGAACAAATTTAGTTAACTAACTTCGCTAAATTTAAGAAATTAGGTCATTATGATAACATGGATAATTTGACCTCAACTACCGTAAACAATAATAAAAGGCCACATTTGAGTCTTCATATCTCGGTTCATGTAACATATATCAAAAAGTGGTTAAAAGACAAAATATTTATTAAAATATCAAAAACGCTTTGTTAGTTAATTGCTTTTTGATATCTTCCACAGGAACCGAGATAAATTTGCTCGAAGTGGTATGGCAAAGTGGAAGATAGTTTCGCCTTCTATTCTAGTGCTTACGACAATTTTTTTAAAGAGATACATCTTCCTTTACGACATCTTTTGTCCAGATCTCTTGTCCTTTACGACATCTTTTGTTCAAAAGTTCTTGCAAAAATTATTTGATCCAAATGCCATATAATCGTGGGAAACCCAAAAATGTTAAAGGTGGGGGGACAGGAGATTTTTCGTAGTTTTTTTGTAGCTAGAGTATGCATTCTACCGTCACGGTGTACAACGCTTAATGTCACTCTGCGTACAGCTGTCGTCCTCGCCTTTATGTATGCAATCGGGCGTCCACTTCCTCTTTGTCCGCGTGGCTCAGCCGGTAGCGGCACCGCACCCTCAATCATCGCCCTCACAAGTTCAATCCTTGAGGGGCATCTTTGAACGGAATTTCGAGAACATTATTTTTTTCATGTCTCCCCACCTTTAAAAAGGAGCACTGAAACTTCAGCTCTTCTTTTTTCTTCTCCCACACTTTCCATTTTAACTTTTCAGTTTTGTTTTGCTCTCTCACTCTGTTTTTTTTCACCGCCCCAAAAAATCTAATCCTAGAGACCCATAAATGATGACCAAGAGCTGCGTTTTCTGTAATAACTATAATTCACTTCTTCTTCCAAAAAGCGTTTTCTTTTCGTACATGTTTACTACTCTAGTCCTTTTTCTTAATTCTTCTTCTGATTTCTTCTCCGTATTTTTCTTTGTCATTCACTTATGAAAAGTCATCTGAAAAAAAAAACGGAATCAACTTTCACACGTGGCTTATCCCGTCACCTCACGACGCACTTTTTTCCGTTCTTCACTTCGTTTTCAATCCCATTTCCTCACTTTCAATTCATCCATTTGCCCTCCGGAAATACGCGATAAAATGTCGAAAAGGCGGAAGCTCCGCAGAGTTTCGAATGAAAGTGACGAATCGAAAAACTGTTCATTTTCTGATTTTCAGAACCAAATATTATCTGTTGAGATTTAAATTTTTTGAACAACGACTTACAGTATGAAATCCGATTATTGAACAATTAGGTTCATATATTGTGCTGAAAATTTCTAAAAATATACCGTAAAACCTGTAATAGAAGGGCCTCCTCAAACTTTTAGCCTTGAGTCAATTTATCTCGATTCCTATAATATACACATAATAAAGTTGTTAACTAATAAATTGTTTATCATAACATAACAAACATTTTATCAATTGACACGTTTATGATATCTCTATAAGAGCCGAGATAATTGAGCTCAAACTCGACAGTGTTAGGGCCCTTTTTTTAGCTTAGTCAGTATTTTTTTGAGTCCTACTCCATGAAATCCATCTTGGACGAAATGTTCTTGTCCTTTTTTCTATTGTGTCCATCCTCCGCCTTCTTCTTTTTTTTGTCTGTCTCATTACGAGTCTCATATGGTTGAAATGCTTTTCCTCCTCTCCCAAAAATGCATCATATCGCTTGCCATTCATGTTTATTTTTCAGTAATTGCACCCTTCCTTTCTTGTTTTTCGAGTAGCTCGCACGAAATTTCAAAGTTTTCTTTCTATTTCGAATTTTTCTCCTTACATCAAATTAATTATTCTAGTTCTTGCTAATTTCGCCCGTCACATCATCTGGAAGAGATGAATGGTTTGTTGTTCCCAGAAGGTGTCAGATTTCGAATTTAGAAGTTGTCATGGTGTCCTTTTGTGTCTCCAGTGACCAACTTTTTTTTTCGTCATATATGCTTTGACCTCTTCAATTCATTAACAAATTTTTGCGGACTTATTTTGCTTATTGTTGTTCCTCTCGTTCCGGACCACTGGGATGGTGGTGTTTCTAGTTTAGAAGATGTGCTTTCAGATGCTTTATTATTTATACTTTTCTTCCAAAATAGGCCTTCTGTCGTCAAAATAAATCAAAATCTGACTCTCGGTAACCTCATCTTGAATAGTTTTTTCAAAAAGTGCATCCGTCTTCTTATTGACCCACATCGTTTATGCCAAATCGGTCTCGCTCTCTCTTTTTACCAAAAACCACACACCCATTTGTTTTCCCAGAAGAGATTCCAGAAGCTTGATCATACGGGGGAGAGTTATTCTGTGATTCACACACACACACACATTCTATCTCTGACCTAGAAAAGTCGGGCCGTCTTTCCCATGAACGATGAAACATTCATCAGAAGGTCTATTTCGTCAATTATCCCTGCTCTTTGTTTACTTTTCTCGACTCTCTTTGTGTCTATAACTCTCGATTCTTCAATAATTGCGTACTTTTATATCTGCTCTCACTTCCTTCCAACTTCATTATAATTATAGTCAGCAACATTTTCACATCCACGTGAAGTGATTCACACAGTTGCTGTGTGAGCTTAAGCGACGTCTCCTTCTTTTTTTCTTTTTTTCATCTCATGCGGACTCGACAATTAGCATCATTGACCCACCTTCGCATCTGGAGAAAACGAGTATTCTTGTGTTGTTACTTTTCGTCATTCATTCCCCCAATATTCAATTTTTTTTGCTTCTGCAAAAGTCTTGTGAATCTTTTCTTGGAACGGAAATGCTTCGGGGGAGTTGAAATTGTCACATATTTCCTGATATCTCTCTTTTTTTGGATTCATCCGGCACTTTAAAGTCATTCCGAGAGACACGTCATCCCAATCAGATCTCATTCTCAAGTCCTGAAATAGAAATGTTTCGATTTGGAATCTCTCTGTTTTGAGAAACAAGCTTGAATTTCCCACTAGAAATAAGGAAGCTGTGTAATTTTTGATCATTCCGAATGATGCGTGCTCTATTAAAATTTGAGGTGCTCCACTAATAGTTCTATAGAACTTTCTTGTCTTTCTTAAAAATTAATTGGTCTGAACTAAATCAAGAGCGAGATCATTTCATTCCTAGAATGCAGAGACCTACAAGTGTTTGGTGAAGTTTTGAACTCGTAGATAGGATTAAAGTAAATTGCTCGAAATTCCGTGGGATAGGAATTGATTTCTTTGGAAAAATTTCAGTAAAACCACTGAAACAAATCTAATTGTGGGAACTGGAGCTTTAATTTTTCATTATAAAATGCCCCAGATCTTAGCAGAAATATTTTTTTCCAGTCTAGATCTTTTGATTTCCGAAGATCTCACCTACTCATTCTGAAAGGCCCCTAATTTGTGGCACTTGTCCTCGTCAGTCAAGTTGTTTACCGAAACATTTTTTTGAGATGCCAGACGAGCGATGACTTTATTTTGAAATTAGCTGGAACATTCATAAATTCCCACATGACTATGACTAGAAATTATGCCAGTTTTTTTGCCCTGAACCTCTCCTTCTCTCTCAAGTTTTTCCCAAAGAACAGGTCTTTCCACTCTATTTTTTGGTATTTTGTTGTTTATGCAACTCCGTAAATTTGGCGATCACAATTGGTCGCTATTACAGTAATATTTTGAAAAAGTGCATCAGAGATAGAAGATCACGTGCCAAAGCGGCGCCGGGGCACCCGTATTCATTCGTAGTCTTGATGAATGCGTGGACTTCATCTACGAGCAGAAATTCGCACGTAGTACATCCTACATATGCTTTTACTTTTACTCTACTTCCCTTTGTTTCTGAATGATCAATTTTGAGGATTTTGTTTGACAATACGTTCGGGAAAACAATATAATCTGTGTTTCTATCACTCATGTGATTTGGTTTTCCCGGTTATCTTCTTTTTAAACAAAAGTGGTCGGTATATTACTCTGATTTCAATAGGTGCTGTGACAAAAAATTCGGATTTCTTTGTTTGAAAAAGTATTTCAAAATTGGTGAAAATCTTCGGAAAGCCTAAAAAGATGGCCAGAAAATAGTTAATTCTTTCCATTACGCTTTTACGGATTTCGGTACCGGACCTACCCTTTCGGCCAACAGTTCACTTTTTATGTCAATATCATAGGTTTGTTTTCTTCCCGAATGCCCGTAATTTGATAGATATTCACGGAGAAGTGCACGAACGGAAAAATAAGATGATTCAATTTGATTCAATTCGATTCTTCGATTCAGAATCTTGTTTTTCCGTGGATGGTTTGAAGAATAAGTTAGGTAGATTTGTAAAGAGTTTGGTTTTTAACGGGCCGGACCGGACTTATTTCAAAATTTTCAAGGCCCGGGGTCTCTTTATTTTTTTCTATCTTTTCAAAAATTTTTTAAAGGAGGCGAGACAGCAAAAATTTCGGGGGACAGTTCGGGGGACGAAATCGCGCCGCGCTTATGTAGACCATCGGTCGTTAGCCGCCTTCGCGCCCCCGTAGCTCAGCCGGTAGCGGCGCTGTACCCCTGAGCTGCCTGTCATGAGTTCAGCCCCTCATGGGGGTATTCTATGCAAATTATCAGGAAAACTTTTTTTTTGGTGTCTGGCCTCCTTTAAAACTAATGTTCTGTCGAATAATAAGCTTACCAAGAACGAAGTGTCATTAAAGGAGATTTTACGGGGGATTTTTGGGGCCAGAGTATGCATTCTACCGTGACGGTGTACAACGCTTAATGTCACTCTGCGTACAGCTGTCGTCCTCGCCTTTATGTATGCAATCGGGCGACCGCTTTCTCTTTGCCCGTGTAGCTCAGTCGGTAGCGGCGCCGCACCCTCAATCCTCGTCCCACACGTTCAACTCCTCGAGAGGCATATTTAAACGAAATTTTCGAGAACATTATTTTTTTTCATGTCCTCCCACCTTTAAGAAAAAGTTTTTTTATTCGGAAGAAGTTTCTGAAAAATTTCATACTCGAGCCGGGCCTTACTTTTCATGTAGGGTTTTTGGATTTTGTTTTGACATGGAACTGATTTTTGACAACAGTGTTTTTAAAAAAACGAGGATAACGAACATTGAGCCGGATAGAAGAAAGTAAAAGAAATATCTGAATATTCGTTATCAAGATTTCAAACGAACCCAATTATATAGTCGTGTCTATATATCGCTCTGATTTGTTTGTATTCATATAACTGCAGTAGCTCTCTCTCTCTATTCGATACATTCCTTCTACCCACATCATCGCCCATCCACCAAATTCCATGATTCATCTCATTTTTTCTGCCTTTCCATGATGTCTTTCCCACCTCTTCTTCCTTCAAAAGCCCCCGACGACCAAAAGTTTTCTCGTGATAAAAAACTAGAGAATAACATGGGAAACTGGGTCTTATGTAGACAAAACTTGGTCTTTCTCTTCTCCCAACTTCTCTGGATTCGGTCATAATCGGTTTGAAACTATTTTTTCATGTTCCCGGAAAAAAAAACAGTTCAGTTTCAGCAAAAATCACGAAGACAATAGTGACCAGAAAATCAGACTGAAATTGTATATAATGACTTGTTTATCACATATTGCCCGACAAGTACAATTTCTTCTTCTTTACATTACGATTGTATTCCATCATCCTCATTTTCTTCTTCTGTTCTTCTGTCCAGTTTCTTTGCTCTTTGAATTAGCCACAATTTTCCAGTCGTTTCCTTCCCCAAGTCTTCATCATTTTTTCGTTAGTCTGGCACCATTTTCCACTACTTCTTTTCAGTTCAATTCTAAAAATTTCATATATTTTCAGAACATGGAAAGCCAGCAGTTGATGGCATGTGCCATCCTCGTTATTGTGCTGGTAGGAATTTTTGGAAATACACTTTCGTTTATTTTGTTCAGTAGACCGCACATGCGATCTTCATCTGTAAGTCTTTTGAAAAATATTTTGGAATGCCTAAGAAGAGCAATCCAACAAAACAAAATGAAAATTTTTCAGGTAAATGTACTTCTATGTGCCCTATCATTCTTCGACTTTTCTCTTCTTACCCTGTCGATTCCAATATTCGTGATTCCAAACCTTGACTTATGGGCGGATGATCGGTCCTTATCAACATATATGGCATATATTCTGAAAATGATTTATCCAATCAACCTGATGATGCAGACATGTTCCGTCTACATAATGGTCATGATAACTTTGGAACGTTGGGTAGCCGTGTGTCGCCCGTTGCAAGTCAGAGTGTGGTGCACTCCTCGAAAGTCAAGAAATGCCATTCTTGTCATTATAGTCTCTGCGTTTCTCTACAATTTCGTTCGATTTTTCGAATATCGATTTGTGGCAACCGAAACTGGAGCCATTTACGAAAAATGGTTACGAGATCCGGGAACTCATAGGTAGGGAAATTATGGAAAGCTATGATCTATGAAATAACTGAATTTCAGATGGTACTACGTGGGATACTACACAATTATGTACATTGTCACACACTTTTTGGTTCCATTCTCTGTGATGGCGTTTGCCAATGGACATGTTATTGTGGCGATGTGCAAGCTCAGCCAAACCAGGCAGATGCTCACAAGACAGGTTTGTATCTAGTTACCGGTCTTTTTAGTTTTATAAAATGAGACTCATTTTGTTCTACCAGAAAACAATATGAGATTTTTCGTGAAGATTAAGAACTATGAAGATGCCCAAAAACTAGAATTCCATATTTCCTCTGATGTGTAGAAGCCCACCCAAACGGTCAACTTTGATCTCAATTATCTTGATTCCTATGATAGATAATACAATGTGTCAACTGATATGCTGTTTATCATAATATCACCAATAATTGATACGTGATAAAATTTTATATCTCGCATAGAATCGAGATAATCGAGTCCAAAGTTGACGGTTTAGGAGTGCTTCTATCTAGTTTTTATATTCTAGTTTTTCGGTATTCTAGTTTTTGGGCATCTTCATATTTTGTAACATTGAAGAAAAAACTCATGTTATTTTTTACTAAATTATATACAGTAAGCCTTTTCCAGTAATTTTCAAATACTCCTTTTCCAGCAACAACGAGAACAATCGACAACAGTGATGCTTCTCATCGTCACATTTGTTTTTGCCATTTGCAACACTCTGCCGTTCCTCCTAAACGTCTCCGAAAGCATTTTCCCAACATTGTTCCAAGACGAGGTTCGTTTTGAATAAGTCATTGTGATTGCGTGTTGGTGTCCGAGAGCCTTCTTCTTCTTCTTCTCTGTCCATTCGGTTTACTCGTTTATGCCTACAAAAAACCCGCGACGTCGCGATTCTCGTGACTCTTTATATGTCAACAAAACAATCTGGAATTTTGTTGCAGAGCACGAGGGGATTGGCATATTGGCTCAACGATCTTTCGAACCTACTCGTTGTACTCAACTCGGGGACTACCTTCATAATCTACTTTACGTTCTCCGAGAAGTACAGACAGACATTGATTTTCATTTTGAAGTAAGGAGAAATCAGAAGTTTTTGAGAAATTTCTCAGTTTTTTGTAGGAACGGATGTTGTGCCACCGTCAGTGACTACAATAACTACACAGCAATGTCTAGAACAGCATCAATGAGGATTTCAAGTGAAACGGGTGGTCAAATTCAAAGACAAGGCTCTCGAATGAGCAATAGCAGGTTTGTATTCTAAAGAATTTTCAGGATTAAATGAATTTTATTCTAGTTATAGAAAGCCAATTCTGAACGCGCATCTGTCCGAGGTAAAATCGAAAGCAAGATAATACAAGAATAGAAAAAAAACTAACTTGACTGCACGAGCTTATCAAAATCTTCGGTTCCGTCCAAAAACTGCAACTTGCATAAAAAATATTTTTACTAATTTTCAGAGGAATGCGCTAACTTCTCCTCTATGTCAAAGCATGATTTTTAAAAGTATTGAATAAATAAAAACCATATTTTCAGCCGCTCATCGGACGTTCTGCTCAAACCAATTTACATGCAGAAAAGAAGCGAGCGCTTCTCGTCGGAATACAACGAACGAACATGCAAGTGAGTTGTTTCATTGCTGAGGAAGTTGAGACTCCTACTTTTTTTGCAGACACCTTGCTCCTTTCGAAGACTACAAATTACCAAGATTGCCGAACGAGAAGAGGAAGAAGAAACTGCATAAGTGAGTAAACGACTTGGATTTCCGTATTTATTCGAACTTTCCGTAAAACCTGCAATAAAAAGGCATCCTAACTTTCCATTGTGAACCGATTTTTCTCGGTTCCTGTCAAATATATAAAAACGTTGATAACTATTAAATTGTTCACAAACATTTTTTCAATTGACACACTTTTGATATCTTGCACAGGAGCCAAGAAAAATTAGCTCAATCTTGACAGCTTATTGACCCTTCCATTACAGATAGTGTTTATAACAACTGAAATTACATTTAAAAATATTTATTTCCAGAATGTCAGCAGTGGAGCATCGTGGAATGCCTGAAATCACAATAACATTCAGCGAGGACACTCCAGATGGAGAACCAGAGTCACCGTGCCAACCATGCTAGTAGATGTTATAGCATTCGTAGTCCCTTATTGTTTCCTAATTTCCAAATAATTGCCAGTTTCCTATGTGCCGATCTTCTTTCTCTCTCTCCCTCTCTCTCGAATTCGCTTTCCACACAAGAATTATTCCTAATTAGAACAACTAAAACGGGTGTTTCTTTTCTCTTTTTCCCCAGTTTTTTCTCCCATCCAAACATAAATGTGTATATATATTTTGTTGTGGCGGTGAGAATAAAGTTTCTTTTCGAGAGCCAATGTCATGAAAGTGCGAGTCCCCCGACAAATGACTCCAGGGAGCAATGAATTTTCAAGTGTCACACAGAACAAACGGGCGGCGGGACATTCTATGTTTGGTGCGGAGTTGGTGGGTCCTTCTTTTTGTCTATCGTTGTTTTAATGCCGTCACAGTTTCCTAGGTAGGTTGAATGGAATTTAGTTCGATTTTCATTAAAAATTTTGGATTAAGAAATATCCCAGTTCCTGAAGTTTCGAGATGGATTCAGTGATTTGAATATTGAAAATATATTTTAATGACTTGAAAACTGAAAATTATGCCTTGAATTCATTCAGAAAAATCAAAATACCGTAAAATATGTATTAGTGGGCCGGTGCTTCCACTTTTCGGCCATTTTTTTTTCTAAATTTTTCACCAAAAAAATCAGTGATTTCTATTTCAAAGTTTATTAAAGGTGGGGGGACAGGAGATTTTTCGTAGTTTTTTTGTAGCTAGAGTATGCATTCTACCGTGACGGTGTACAACGCTTAATGTCACTCTGCGTACAGCTGTCGTCCTCGTCTTTATGTATGCAATCGGGCGTGCGCTTTCTCTTTGCCCGCGTGGCTCTGTCGGTAGCGGCGCCGCACCCTCAATCATCGCCTTCACAAGTTCAACTCCTCGAGAGGCATCTTTGAACGGAATTTCGAGAACATTATTTTTTTTCATGTCCCCCCACCTTTAAGGTACCAGTCGATTTTCGCCAACTATCTGCGGCTACAATCTTTTGGCTTGCCTTAAAACGTTCGATAATTTTCAGTTTTTCCACTTATTGTTTTGCTATTTTCAGGCCACCCGGACCCAGGTCACCAAGCCAGGGTCACCCGGATCCAGGTCACCCAGACCCAGGTCACCCAGCCAGGGTCATCCGGATCCAGGTCACCCAGACCCAGGTCACCCGGATCCAGGGTCACTCAGACCAAGGTCACCCGGCCAGGGTCACTTGGATCCAGGTCACCCGGATCCAGGTCACCCGGACCCAGGTCACCCAGCCAGGGTCACCCGGATCCAGGTCACCCAGACCCAGGTCACCCGGATCCAGGTCACCCGGACCCGGTTCACCCGGATCCAGGTCACCCGGACCCGGATCACCCGGATCCAGGTCACTCGGACCCAGGTCACCCGGATCCAGGTCACCCAAACCCGGTTCACCCGGATCCAGGTCACCCGGACCCAGGTCACCCGGATCCAGGTCACCCGGACCCGGTTCACCCGGATCCAGGTCACCCGGACCCGGATCACCCGGATCCAGGTCACTCGGACCCAGGTCACCCGGCCAGGGTCACTTGGATCCAGGTCACCCGGATCCAGGTCACCCGGACCCAGGTCACCCAGCCAGGGTCATCCGGATCCAGGTCACCCAGATCCAGGTCACCCAGATCCAGGTCACCCAGGCCCAGGTCACCCGGATCCAGGTTACCCGGACCCGGGTCACCCGAATCCAGGTCACCCGAATCCAGGTCACCCGGATCCAGGCCACCCGGATACAGGTCACAAGGATCCAGATCACCCGAACCCAGGTCACCCGGATACAGGACCCACGACCTAGGACCCAGGATCCCCAGGTCACCTTCTCTGAAACTCAGAGAAGGTGGGAACTGATTCTTCCTTTCATTTCCCTATTCTTTTATATTACTTTCCCAGAGGTCAATGGTTTCTAAACCAATTCACGTAGTCTTTTTTTGCCTTTTTTCATTTTTTTTTCATCACGTTTAATTAAACTGGAATTATTACTTTCGGCATCTGTGAAATTCCTTAAAAAGATCGTTCCTTTGAACCTAATTATCTTGTTTCCTGATTGAGATATTAAAACATTGTCAACTGATGAATTGTTTCTGATATCAAGGCAAACATTTTTGCTTTCAAAACTTCTAAATATTTTTTACAGGAACCGAGATATATTCGTTAAAAGTTGCGAAATCATGGTTGTCAATTGCTGTCGGTTTACGCCCACCCGGGTTTAACCTTCTGGGCTTTAGTTTACATACGCCAGCCATCTATATATACACCAGCCAATTTTAATATTGGTAGTTATTGCCCAGATTTGTCTTCAATCAAAGCTCGAATTCGTTTTTTCTAATTCATTACCTGCCCCAGACCATATTCCAGGTTTTTATACATATTTTTCATCCATCTATTCGTAATTATGAACCACGAGCCCCTTGACCTCCCACATAGATTTTCTGGCTCATTGAAACCCATCAAACCGGCGGACATTACTGGCTATTGACATACTCGCCGCACTTATGTCTTTGCCGGATTAGTCTCTCTATTTCTGCCAATCCCCCGCATCTGTTTCTCTTCAGACCAGTTCAGTTTTGTATACATACTTCATCCAAATGGTCACTTTTTTCTGTTGGAACTCCACTCTCGACTTTTCAAAAACGTCAACAATCCGGCAACATAGAGAGTGATTCATATGGTACTTGTTTAGTTAGCAAAGTGACTCGCAAACATTTTAAAAAGTTTATGAAATCCATCTCTCTTCACTTTGAACTGCACGTATGCTGTACTATTTTACTTCCTGCGTCTTCCTGGCCTGTCATTAGTTTTGAGAGACACTGATCAACAGGACGCGTGCCAAAGGGATCTCTCAATTTCTCACCTGGCTCATCTCGCTTCATTTATCTCTTTACAATTTGTCGTGTCGGGTTCTATTCTTCGCATTGTGTAGTAAAATGAACCCCCTCTCGAAAACTTTTTTGTCTTGTTTTTGCCGAATTCCTTTGTTTCAGAACCTTTTCATCTAATAGCTGGGAATATTTTAGTATTTTTCACTTTGGGTTCCAAGTTTTTATGCCTCATTTTTAGCCGGTTCTCATTTTTAGACATTTTCCCTAATAGAAGCCCACCCTATACGTGTATTTGAGCTCAATTATCTCGGTTCCTTTGAAAGATATCAAACAATTTTCAACTAATGAATTATCTTCCTTATATATAAAACGCTAGAGGCGTCTGTCCGTCCTAATGTCCGTCTGTCAACTTTTGAAAAACTTGAAAAATAAATATAAATTTACGTGACCCATTTAGAAAAAGGGAAGAACCAGTAAAAAACTAGATTGAATCGCGCCGAAGGCTCACCAGCTTGCTTGATTATCATAATATTACCTATATTTAATCAGTATTGTCAATTCAAAAAGATCGCACCGGTGAACTCACAAACAAACAAGTAAACAAGGGGGCGGAGCGATCCGCCCCTTTTCGCAAAGACGCCGCGCAGTTTTTCGACGGTATTTTAGCGATGCCGTTTTTCGGTAATTTTTCATCGAATTTCTTCCGAATTGAAGGAAATTCGTCGACTTTGTGAAGGAATATATAACTTTGTTATAATAAAAACTGAGAAACATAATTGGGAAACACTATTCTTTGGTTCAGGGTGAAAATGAAAAGAGCAAGACCATGTGACATATCGAATCCTGCAATGATGAAAATAAGAGGTAGAAAAGCTTCGAGGCCACATAAAGCATAAATTATCATTGCAAAGTTTTCTGAAAACCTGAAAAACTCGATCGGGGAAGTGTTTGGAGTAATTTGTCGACTAACAGCAGATTATTCATCACTTCTTCATAGTTGTGATACCAGAAGGCGATTTTCTTTATTAGTTGATAGATGAATTAGAAAAAATTCGACGAATTTCCTTCAATTCGGAAGAAATTCGATGAAAAATTACCGAAAACCGGCAACGCTAAAATACCGTCGAAAACTGCGCGGCGTCTTTGCGAAAAGGGGCGGATCGCTCCGCCCCCTTGTTCACTTGTTTGTTTGTGAGTTCACCGGTGCGATCTTTTTGAATTGACAATAGACAAATTTTTCATATCTCTCCTAGGAACCGACATAATTAAGTTGGAAGTGTATGTATAGAAAAGAGTTTTATTATGGAAAATACGGTAGTTTGCATATGTTCTAAATATTGAACCGAAAACCTTTGATCTACAAAAACCTTTAGTAACTTTGGAGTACACTCTGGATCTCTTAACTATTTATTGAATCTTTTCACATTCCAACTTGTCCAGTTTCTATGATAAGTGTTTGAGCGAGCTTCAGAGAAAAGAGAGTGCATATGCAACTTTCGCATCTCACTCAGTGTATTTGTATATTTGCTTAATTCTCCATCCACAATTCCCAAATTCATCTATCTTCATTTTTCGACTGAAAAAGTAAGCGAAGAAAAAATTTGAAGCTTTGGTCATTTTCACTCTCATCATTGTCTTCTTCTTCTCTTCCTTCATCCATATATCCCAAACCACTACGAAATAAACGATGAGAAAAGACCCATTTTCTCAATTGCCTCGGGTCTGTTGTCTCTGTGTTCCGGCCGTTATTTCTCTGGTCCAAAAGTCTCGATTACTGGTGAAACCTTATACTTTTTCGAGCGCAGTCAGCCGAAATGTAGAGGAAGACACACAAAACGAAGAAGAAGAAGAGGAATGGGAGGATACTCTTATTTCTGTCTTAATTATAGTACATGTGGTCTTTTTTGACATTGTTTGGTTTTCACTGCCCACGTCTTCTGGAGGATACTTTCAGATTCAATGAAGGTCTTCTAAATTTTTTTTCTAGTACAATCAACATACAGAATCTACCCATCTATTTCTCTTTTATTTTTATCTTTTTTCCAATTTCGGTATGCGGTCGGAAACGTCAAGGTCGACTGTGACGCCTCCCATCACTTCAATTTCCAACCGAACAACAAAAAATCGATCATCATCATCATGCCAGCCTGTCGGTCTGTCGTCGCGGTTTGGTTTCAAAATCGTTACATAATAGCAGGTTGGCAGATTGTTGACAATGGTTTTCTGTTGTAGAGAAAAGGGAGAGAGAGAGCTGAATGTATTGTGTGGTGAAACCAATATAATTCTATATTGGGTATAGGCAGTCATCAGTAGAATGGGACGGGCATGAAAAAATATCTAGAGAGAAACAGAGAAATTTTGAGAGAGAGAGACGAAGCTGCCGATGTCTGTTTGATTGCGCAAGCTCACGCTAGCCTCTCTCTTTCTCTCGATTCTACAAATGTTTCAGTTTTCGTTTTGTGTTGACTGTTGATTCAATCCGACAGCAACTAAAGCCGCAGAAACTATCCGAATACATTGCAAAATGACTTTGGGTTTATTGATCTAATTGTCTTCGGTAAACATTAATTTGGTGGTTCATCAGTGGGCGGAAATTAGAAAACAAACTGATTTTGATCCCTTTTGAAAATTAAGGAATTACAAAATCCTGAATCATCACAACACCTCTACAATTTTCGGTTCCAGAGAACCCTTGGCTTTTGATGCCTTGAATAATTTCCCGTAGTATTGGATGTCGTTTGATTTCTGGTTTCGATGTCTTTTTTTTTGTTTTAGATTCCTTTTTCTGTTCATACTATTTTTGGATTCCTCATTTTTGGTTTTATTCAAAACAACGCATATTTCTGAAGTTATGTACCTCCAGATTTCAGTTTAATCTTTTTTGGAATCTGAAGAGTAAGAATTTGAAACTTCTGCGGCAATTTTTCATCGAAAGAGAGACTAGAAGACGTCACATTCTGAACTCATTGAGTGACACAACACTGGACGTCTCTGGGGACACATCCTCTTCCGTTTTTCCTTCCTTCCAATTCCAAATCCCAAAAATTCTTCTTCCATTTTCTTCTACTCTACTTTCTTTCATTATTTTCCGATTCCAATTTATACCGAATGTCAGGTTGTCGATCTGCCTCTCGTGTTCCCCCATCTATTTCTTCGTCGTCCTCCTCTCCTCATCATCAAATGTGTTTGTACAATACATACATACAATACAGTATGTGTTTGCTCGTCGTCTCTCGCTCCTCTACATTTATATTCTGTGTACGTGTGTACTTGTTTCATTTTTGTCTTCTACTAACTGATTAAAAGCTCGAAAAGTACTCAATTGGAGGTCCTTCCATCCATCCCTCTTTCCCAAAAAAATGTAGAATGTGGAGAAAAAAGAAAAAGAAGAAGAGTAGAGGCGGTTGTGGTGGCTGGCATTGTCGAATCGAATTAGGCACGAAAGGCGCAGCGATGAGACGCACGAGCCATCAAAAAATGGGGGGACAAAAAAGGACTGGTCCTGCTGGTTGTGTATTTTCACGCCTTTCAGAACCATCCTCCTTTTTTTTTTGAAAAAAAACCTGTTGTACTCTTTGCAACTTTCACAATATTTTTCTATTTCTAGTGGTAGCCCTGAACTGTTTGATTGAACTGTATGTGACCTATGATAATTAAGTATATTAGCAGAGACAGTGGAATAGATTAATCTAGTAGAAAGTCAGGGTCATTCGGAAAAGAGGAACGACGCCATTTGTTTTGTTTTGGATTGAACTGGGAACCCTAAACCCCCAAAACAAACGTCCAGATCCTAGGAGAAAGTTTCTAGGTGGAACTTCAAAAAGCTAAGAAAACCTTCTAGATCCTAATTCTCATAGAACTCTTACGGATGACCTTTTTGAAGCTGGAACTACCTTTTTGTACTAACAGATACCCACTTAACTTATTTTGGACTTCTATGTACAGTATAACATGAAATCTAGATCTTGGGTTCCAGCAACTACCAAGGATTTCTGATGCACTAGTGATTCCATTTTTTTTCTCTGATCCTAGAACTCAGTTTTTTGATCGATCTCTTCCCAATCTGTTCGTTTGTTTATTTTTTGGCTAACAGCGGTCTCTGATAAATTAGATCATTGGAAATCAAGATCCCGGGGTTTTGGGAGCAAGAACAATGGCACGATCTCGGCAAGTACGATACATCACACTCGAGATGCTATCAAATTATAACCCTGGCTTTGAAACCATTGCTCCATTTCGAACATCATCCAATTAATAATTCTTATTCTTTGAACCCGCAATCATAAACCACCAGACCAGTAGCATCTGTAAAGTGCGCGACCTTCTCTTCCTCTCCCTTTTCTTCTTCTTCTCGAAATAGTGAAGCGTTCGAAGAGGGCATCCTCCTGCGTCTGTGGTACACAAGGCACTATTTTCATCACCCCCGGGGTCCTCTCTCCCCTCAATCGATCGGATGTGTGCCACCCCTACCCTGCATCTTTTGCGCGCACCAACGGTCCTCTCTAGCGCTTTCTGTGTCTCTGAGAATGCCGCGGTGTCTAGTTTCCACATCATTCCATCTCCGTCTCCGTCACCGCATCCGTCTCCGTCGTTTAGCCAATCCTCTCTCCTCTTACTCCTCCGCCTCGTTTTCGTTTTCTTCTTCTCGTTTTCAATTTCAGCACAGCGTTTTCTGCAACCGTCTTTTCTCTCGCTGTCTCTTTTTATCGTATTGTTTTCTTGTTGTTCTTTTGCGCGAGAACGAATAGAGAACATAAAATAGACGCACATCCCGTTCGTCAGAAAAGAAAAAGTTGCGGTTTACCCGAAATGACGCGTTTTCTGTTTTCTATTTTGCCATTCTCAAATGGGATAGCTGTAAACATGCCAAATTTCGAACCCAACAACAATGCTCTTTCTCCGAGTTTCTGTATCTTTTAGGTTCTATCCATTCTTATCCTATATCCAGCCGAGTTCACTTTTCTGAACTCTTTTTTGATTTTGGCAAAAATAAACATTTTGAGTGGCAGCTAGGCTTTTCTTCTGAAATTTATTTATGGTTTATTAAAGACCTATAAAATTCTCAGACACATTTCGTCATAGTCTTCGAAAGTGTCTTCATATGTTTCTCATATATCTTTTTCCATTTTGTGGATTTATGTATACACATATTGATACATACTGGGGAGCTTCTAATCCCCTCTAATGTAATCTCTTTTTCTTCTAAACCAGCTTCTTTTCTCTTTTTATCGGCTGCTCCCACTCGACACTCATTTGGGCCACAAGAGGGACCCATGTGTATGTTCGGGGCTCTATGTGTGTGTATGTGTTTGAGTGCTGCCCCTCTTTCTGCAGTTGTTGAGGGGGTCCCAGCCGGAGCGGTTGGCCACTACCCTTCTCTTCTTTTTCTGCTTCTTCCCACCACCTCCAACCACTGGGTGCCCTCGTCCCTTCAAAACCAGCAGCCACTGCTCCCATTTTATTCGATTCCTTCCCTTATTTCTGTTTGTGTCTTCGCCCATTACTTTATGTGTTTTCATTGTTTCCTAAACTTTGTCCCTTTTCCATGTTTGGCAGTTGTAGCGCCCAATGGGTCCTCCTACTAATTGGCGATGCTCGAGTTCTGGGTTCTTGGTTCTCAACAATTCTACTTCAGTTCTTTTTGTTTTTTTTTTTCTTGTAGCCGTCTTTTGTCTTTCTCCATGTTACTTCTTTTTCCCTCTTCTTCCTATCCGCTATTTCCATCAACTCGCCAATTCATAAGCCTATTGGCTTAAAATGAATGCGAGGTTTTGCCTCCGTTTCTTTCCCGTTTTTTTACTTCTTCGCTCATTCAATATGAGAAAGCAACCTTCTACATTTTTCAAAATTCTCAGTTTTTCAGCAAAATTTCGGCGGGACTTGCAACGGCGCGAAACGACGTCGGCAATATGGCCCAGGTGAGAATTTTAAATTCATGAAACATCGAAAAAATCTGATCCAGCTAGACAAATAGGATAATTTTGGAAACTCTGGAGCTTAGAATGACATCAAGTTTAAGGATTTGAAAAAAAAACGTGTTCCACAAAACGAAAAAAGTAATCCGAGATTGACAAAACATCAAGAATCTGAATTCCAGGTCGACGTCAATTCCGGCGCCTATAACCAAGAAGAGGACTATGATGACAACTCGTCCGCCCGTCTTTTCGAACGTTCCCGTATTCAAGCACTAGCAAGTGAGTTTTTATATCTTTCTTTTTTCAAATCCATTAGCTTCGTCCGAAACCTATAAAACTTCTTTTTACGACTTTGGCTATAGTACGTTAGCCTTTTTTTGAGACTCTGGTCTCTCGACTAGCTCAAAAAACCCCTCGAGTTTCGCTTTTTCATACTTCCTCTAAACCTCTATTTGAATTTTTTCTTATCAATGTGTTCTTCTAGAAACTGATAACTCAAAAAGTGTCGGCATGCCGTCAACATATTATCTAGAAATCAATAGAAACTCTGATAGAAAAACCTGCAAACAAACAGTTCTTTTCACTAGTATTCACTATTTGGCATGTCGTCTCTTGATGATGACCATCCGACGGTTGAAGTAGATCTTCCCGACGAATATGAAAGTGCTTCTGACTGTGAAGCAAAGGATGACTGCACCTATCTTGGCAATATTCTGAAAGTGGAAAAATCATTAAGAAAGACTAGAGAATCAGTGAGTCCCGGCGTCTATCCCGGGTCCACTGGAGCTCTTTCTTCACTTTCAAATCGTCACACTGACGAGAATAAAGCTCCAGTTAGTGCAGAAGTCTTTGATTCTGTTTGTGGTCGAAAAACTGTGAATTCTATCGATTTGAGGTATAGAGGATTGCGAGGTTTGTACTTTAGGCTCTCCAGAAATGACATCATTCAAAATTTATTGCTCATCATCACTCTCTAAAAATATCTCTAAAAATTGAAGCTAACCTCTCCGAATTTTTCAGATGAACGTGAACTTGTGCAGAAAAAGACGTTCACAAAATGGGTCAACTCACACTTGGTTCGAGTCAGCTGCAAAGTACAAGTAAGTATCAGAAATGCCTGGGCCAGGTCCTAATATACAATTAATAATTTCAGGACCTCTATATGGATATGCGAGACGGAAAAATGCTCCTCCGACTCCTTGCAGTTCTCTCTGGTGAACGCCTGGTAAGTCGGATTTGATTTGATTTGATTCTTTCGAAATCGAGACGTCTTCTCTTCTTTTTGGAAGGCATTGTGCAAAAAAAGAAGAATTTATCTTCCTTGCCATCTTCTCTCTTTTCTGTTGCACCCAAAAATGAAGAAGGGCCAACAAAAAAAGGAAGAAGAATAGGAATTTCTCCAAAGAAACTCTTCTGGTAGAAGAGATAGACTAACCCAGTAGGAGACTAATTGAATGAAAACAAGAAGAATTGAAACAAAATCAAAACGTTTTTGAAATTTTCAGCCGAAGCCGACACCGGGAAAAATGCGTATCCACTGTCTCGAGAACGTCGAAAAGGGTCTGCAGTTCTTGCGCAACCAACATGTGCATCTCGAAAACTTGGGTTCACACGATATCGTTGACGGAAACTCACGTCTCACGCTGGGTCTCATCTGGACGATCATCCTCAGATTCCAGATCCAAGACATCACTTTTGAAGACGCTGACAATCATGAGACACGTTCAGCGAAGGAAGCGTTATTGTTGTGGTGCCAGATGAAAACGGCTGGATATCCAAATGTCAATGTCAAAAACTTCTCGACCAGTTGGAGAGATGGTCTTGCATTCAATGCACTTATCCATAAACATAGATCTGATCTCGTCGATTACGATAATCTCCAGAAATCCAATGCTCTTTATAACTTGCAATCTGCATTCGACACTGCAGAAAATCAATTGGGATTGGCCAAGTTCCTCGATGCCGAAGATGTGAACGTTGATCAACCTGATGAGAAATCAATCATCACTTACGTAGTTACCTATTACCATTATTTCAATAAACTCAAACAGGATAACATCCAAGGAAAACGTATCGGAAAAGTGATCAATGAGCTCATGGAAAATGACAAAATGATCAACCGATATGAGACTCTTTCATCCGATTTGCTCGATTGGATACATGCCAAGATCCAACTTCTCAACGATCGTCACTTCGAGAATAATTTGGAAGGAGTCCAGAAGCAGCTCACTGAGTTCAACGACTACCGTACTCAAGAGAAACCACCAAAGTTTGATGAGAAGGGAGAATTAGAAGTACTTCTGTTCACTCTTCAATCAGCAATGCGTGCCAACAATCAAAGACCTTTTGTGCCGAGAGAAGGAAAATTGATTGCAGACATCAATAGAGTGAGTTAGAAGTTTCTACTAAAATCAATTGATTTTCAACATTTTTCAGGCATGGCAATCCCTTGAAAAAGCAGAACACGAGCGCGAGCTTGCACTGAAAGAAGAACTCATCCGCCAAGAGAAACTCGAACAACTCGCTGCTCGATTCAACAGAAAGGCTGAGATGCGTGAGACTTGGCTCACTGAGAACCAACGTCTCGTCAGTCAAGACAACTTTGGGAACGACTTGTCCTCCGTCGAAGCTGCCACCAAGAAGCACGAAGCCATCGAAACAGACATCTTCGCCTACGAGGAACGTGTTCAAGCAGTGGTTGCCGTTGCCGGAGAACTCGAAGCTGAAAACTACCACGACCAAGCAAAGATCAACGAGAGAAAAGAAAATGTTCTCAAGCTCTGGAACTATCTCTTCCAGCTTCTTTTGGCTCGCAGAGTTCGTTTGGAGCTCTCTATGGCTATTCAAAAGATCTTCCACGATATGCTTCTTACCCTCGATCTTATGGATGACATCAGAAGCAGACTTCTAAGCGAAGACCTTGGTGCCCATCTCATGGACGTTGAAGATTTGCTTCAGAAACATGCTCTTCTCGAGTCTGATATTAACATCATTGGTGAACGCGTCAACAACTCCATCGCTCAATCGCAACGATTCCGTAACGAAGATGGACCAGATGGAAGTGGCTACAAACCAGTTGAGCCAGGAACCATTGACGAGAGATGCGACACTCTACAACAGAAGTACAAGGAGCTTCTCGAGTTGGCTGCTGAACGCAAACGACGTCTTGAAGATAACAAAAGGCTCTGTCAATTCTGGTGGGATGTTGCCGAGTTGGAACACGGAATCAAGGAACAAGAACAAGTTCTTTCTTCCACCGACACTGGACGCGACATCGTCACTGTCTCTCATTTGTTGGCCAAGCATAAGAACGCTGAGAACAATCTCAGAGATTTGGAGAAGTATCTCGACCGTCTCGATGTTTCCGGAAGGGAATTGCAAGATGAGAACATTCCAGGAAGTGACAACATTCCTCCAAGACTTGCTGAGATTCGCGACTACATCAACAAGCTCAAGGAACTCTCTGCTGCTCGAAAAGAGAGACTTGCTGGTGGAGTCGAATACTACCAATTCTTCACCGATGCCGATGATGTTGACCGTTACTTGTACGACACTCTCCGCGTTATGTCATCTGAAGACGTCGGAAAAGACGAAGGAACTGTTCAACTTCTTCTCAAGAAACACGATGATGTCACCGACGAGTTGCAAAACTTCGACCAACACATCAAGGTTCTTCACGCCAAGGCCGAGTCTCTTCCACAAGAAGCCAGAGAACATCCAGACATCAGACAACGTTTGGATACCACTCTCAGACAGAAGGCCGAACTCGAGAATCTTGCACAACTCCGCAAGCAAAGACTCATCGATGCTCTTTCTCTGTACAAGTTGTACTCAGATGCCGATTCTGTCGAATCCTGGATCGATGAGAAGGGGAAACTTTTGGCTACATTGGTCCCAGGACGCGATATCGAAGAGGTTGAGATCATGAAGCACAGATTCGATACTCTTGAGCAAGACATGAAGAACCAAGAAGCCAAGGTTGCTAATGTCAACGATTTGGCTCGCCAGTTGTTGAATGTGGAACATCCAAACTCCGACGATATTCTTCACCGCCAAAACAAACTCAATGCTCGCTGGGCTCAACTCCGCGACATGGTCGATCAAAAGAGAAACGAACTCGAGAGAGCGCACCGTTTGGAGACCTTCCGTATCGACTGCCAAGAAACTGTCACCTGGATCGAGGACAAGACCCGTGTTCTCGAGGATTCGGATGCGTTGACCAACGATCTTTCTGGAGTTATGAAGCTTCAAAGAAGACTCTCCATGATGGAACGCGACTTGGGAGCCATCCAAGCCAAGCTCGATTCGCTCCACAAAGAAGCTGATGACATTGAGAGAGAAAGACCACAAGAAGCTCAAGCCATCAGAGAAGATATCAAGAGAATTCACCAAGTATGGGATATCCTCAACAAGAAGGTTCGCGAGCACGAGGCCAAACTCGATGAGGCTGGAGATCTTCAACGATTCCTCCGTGATTTGGATCACTTCCAAGCTTGGCTCACCGCTACCCAGAGACAAGTTGCTTCTGAAGAAGAGCCACAATCCTTGGCCGAAGCTGAACAACTTCTCAACCAACACGCTGCTATCCGTGAGGAGATCGATGGATACGCTGAGGATTACAAGAAAATGCGTGCTATGGGAGATCGTGTTACCCAAGATCAAACCGATCCACAGTACATGTTCCTTCGTCAACGTCTCGCTGGACTTCAAGAAGGATGGGAAGAATTGCAGCGTATGTGGGACAACAGACAACACCTTCTCTCACAAGGACTCAATCTTCAAATGTTCCTTCGCGATGCCAAGCAAGCCGAAGTTATGCTCTCCCAACAAGAGAACTATCTTGCCAAGGACGACGTTCCACAATCTTTGGAGCAAGCCGAGAACCAACTCAAGAGACACCAGGACTTCATCACCACCATGGATGCCAACGACGAAAAGATCCGTGCAGTTGGAATGTTCGGAGATCAACTCTGCCAAGACGGTCACTACGCCGCTGACAAGATCCACAAGAAGGCCAGAAACATTGATGAGCGTCGTGGGGCTAACCGTGAGAAGGCTCAGGAAGTACTCAAGAAGTTGAAGGATGCTCTGTCTCTCCAACAATTCTTGTCTGATTGTGACGAGTTGAGAGAATGGATCGAGGAGAAGATGATCCGTGCTCAAGACGAGACCTACAGAGATGCCAAGACCATCACTTCCAAGTTCGTCAGACATCAAGCATTCCAATCCGAGCTTGCTGCCAACAAAGAACGTCTGGATCAACTCAAACATGCCGCCATCAATCTTGGAGACGACAAGCCAGAATATCATGGAACCATTGATCCACAAATTGAAGAGCTTGCAACTCAATGGGATGAGTTGGAGAAGACCACCGAGGAGAAGGGACAAAAGTTGTTCGATGCTAACCGTCAACAATTGTACGTTCAAAGCATTGCTGATATGAAGGAATGGGCTACTCAACTTGAGAATGAGATGACTCGTGAAGATCAACCAGCTGATCTTACCACTGTTAACGTGGCTATGCAGAAGCAGCATTTGATCGAGACAGAAATGATCAAGAAGGCTCAACACATCGACCAGTTGATGGAAATGGAACCACAACTCGAGGAGCTCCATCCAGAAGAGCTCGAAAATATCAGAGCTCATCGTTTGGCTGTTCAAGAACAACTTCAACGCCTTCAAGCTCCATTGGACGATCGCCGCAAAGCTTTGGAGAGAAAGAAGGCTGCATTCCAATTCGGACGCGATGTCGATGATGAGAAGCTGTGGATCTCGGAAAGACTTGTGCTCGCCAGAGCTCAAAATCTTGGAGAAAGTCTTCCAGATTGTCATCGTCTCCAGAAGAACCTCCAACTTCTCTCCAACGAAATCGATAATCACGAGCCATGGATCAACCAAATCTGCAATAATGGCCAAGAACTGATCGATGAGGGACATGCCAATGGACCAGCATTCGAGAAGAAGATCCAAGAATTGCGAGCTGCTTGGCAAGAGTTGAAGGACGCTGTCAAGGATAGAAAGGGTGATCTTGGAGAGAGTGAGAAGGCTCATCAATTCTTGTACGATTGCGGAGAGGCTGAGGCCTGGATGTCCGAGCAAGAATTGTACATGATGCAAGATGAACGAGGCAAAGACGAGTTCTCCACCAAGAACCAGATCAAGAAACACGAACGTCTTCAAAGCGACATCGACAAATTTGCTGATACCATCCGTGCTCTTGCTACCAAAGCTCATAAGTTCGTCGAAGAGAAGTCACCACTCAGCGAACAAATCACCGTTCGTCAAGCTCAAATCGAGAAACTTTATGCTGGACTTCAAGATCTGTCCAAGGAACGCAGAAAGAGACTTGAGGAGACCCTGGAACTCTACGCTTTGCACCGTGAGATCGACGACCTTCTTCAATGGATCGCCGATAAGGAAGTTGTTGCTGGAAGTCAAGAGAATGGACAAGACTACGAACACGTCCAGATGCTTCAAGAAAGATTCCAGCAGTTTGCTCGTGATACTGAGAACATTGGATCTGAACGTGTTGCTAATGCTAATGACGGATGCGATTCTCTCATTGCTCACGGACATACAGACGCTCCAACCATTGCTTTGTGGAAGGATTCGTTGAATGAGGCTTGGGAGAATCTACTTGAGTTGATGGACACCCGTGCCCAGATTCTTGAAGCTTCTAGACTCCTCCACAAGTTCTACCACGATTGCCGTGATTGCCTATCCAGAATCATGGAGAAGACCCATGCCATGCCCGAAGACCTTGGACGTGACTCGAGCAGTGTTGGAGCCTTGTCGAGGAAACATCAAAACTACCTCAAGGACATTGCTGCTATTGGAGAACAAGTTGCTCAGATCGAGAGAGATGCTGCTGAACTTCGAGATGGATATGCTGGTGATAAGGCTTTGGATATTGGATCTCGTGAAAGTGAAGTCGTCAAGGCCTGGAGACATCTCCGCGGACTCTGTGACGCCCGTACATCTCGTCTCGTGGATACTTCCGATCTGTTCAAGTTCATGAATATGGTCCGTGATTTGTTGTTGTGGATGGATGAGGTGAAGAGAGAAATGAACTCACAAGAGCGACCGAAGGATGTCTCTGGAGTCGAGCTGCTCATGAACAATCATCAATCTCTCAAGGCTGAAATCGATGCTCGTGAGGAAAATTTCAACGCTTGCATCTCGTTGGGAAGAGATTTGCTCAACAGAAAACATTACGCTTCGAGCGAAATCGAAAAGAAATTGATCAAATTGACAACCGAAAGAGCCGAAATGATGCGCAGATGGGAAGATCGTTGGGAATATCTGCAGCTCAGTAAGTTATCTTTAACTAATTCTGTATTACTAATTCGTTTTGTTTAGTCTTGGAAGTGTACCAATTCGCCCGCGACGCTGCTGTCGCCGAATCTTGGCTCTTCGCCCAAGAGCCCTATCTCATTTCGAGGGAATACGGTAGAAACCTCGAAGAAACCATCAAACTCATCAAGAAACATGAGGCGTTCGAGAAATCTGCACTCGCACAAGAAGAACGATTCTTGGCACTCGAGAAGTTGACAACGGTAAGTGAGAAGAGAGTCATCAAGAGACGGACGGAGTGAGACGAGAGAAAGAGAGGGGGGGGGAAAGCGGCAGGCATTTAAACGCACTTTGAGTAGAGACGAGAGATGCACGCGTGGCGCAGTCGGGTAAACCGCTGCGTGCCGTTTGCCTGGTTCGGGTTCGACCCACCCGCTGGCCTCGATGATGATTCACCTAGCTCACTCAGACATGATAACTGGTGATAACTTCTTTCCCCGTCTTAGAGACCCTTTTCTGTTTTTTAATCGTATTTTCGAAATTTGTTAATTTCAGTTCGAGTTGAAAGAGAATCAACACCGCGAGGAAGAAACTCAAAAACGACGAGGACCGGCTCACATCGGCAGTCCTTCAAGGTCTACTCCAGCCGCAGAAACATCTTTCGGCGCCCAGGATGATGGTAAGTTTTTTTTTAACGTTACATATGCATATTTGGTTGTGTGCATTAACCAACTTCCTTAGTGTGTTGTGTTTGTTCTGACCCGTTGTGTGCTTGTTTCAGACGCCGACATAACCCACAGCAGTTTGGAGAGTCACCGAAAGACTTCACATGGTCAGAGTTGTTATTTTTTTTCTTGTTTCATTTATCCTAATCCAATCCATAGTGTTACCTCAATGTTTTTCGACACCAACATACTCATCTTTAATTTTGTAGTCTTTTTGTATCGTGCCGTATTCTTTCAGAGAAACGATTGGCACACTCCGAATCCAGCAGCTGGCGGAAATCATTGGCGCGCGCGCCAAAGTTCGACAACAAGGATCCAAAGGGTATAGTTGTTGTGCTTCTTCGTAGTTCTTATTGATGTAGTGAAATAAATTTGAATTGAATTTTGACCTATATATCTGTCGCTTTTGAAAGATGTTAAAAGGAGTCTGTTGCTCAGTTCTAAATTAGAACTCCTAATTAAATAATTTTTAGGAGCCAAACAAGGAGAAGCATTCGAAGGAACGCTTATCAGAAAGCACACTTACGAGAGTCTCGACCGGAAAGCGGCCAACCGCTCATGGGAGAAATTATACGCAGTGTTGCGACAGAATGAATTGGCATTCTACAAAGATCCAAAGCATAGGTGAGTGTCTTTGCAAGTACTCAAATTTTTTAAATAATTCCACTTTTCAGGGACGAATCCGTACATGGAGAACCCCCAATGGCACTACCAGGATGCTCTGTCAACGTGGCATCTGACTACCAGAAGAAGAAGAATGTTCTGTCGTTGAGGTTACCAGTTGGAGCCGAATATCTTTTGCAATGTGGCAGTGAAGAAGACATGCAGAGATGGCTCACCGAATTACAAGTCGCCACTGGACAAGCTCAATTGGAAGAAGCTAGTCGATCACAAACACTTCCAGGTAAAAAAATTGTTTAAAGATTGAAATTAAGTTCAAATAATTTCAGAACAAGGCAGTGCCACCAAGAAGAAGGGAGGATTCTTCTCCCGAAGCAAGAAGTAAACAGTAATCAGTGGGACGATATCAATGCATCGAGGTCGAGCTGGCTTGATTCGATAGATTCAATGTAGCATAATTTGGTTGTCCATCGGCATGATATCCAAGTGAAAACTTAATGAAAATCTTGGCGAATCTCTCCATCCCGATCCACGAAACAGTCTTTCTTTCAAAACCAACAACTTCAGCCTTCATTTATCCGTTTATGAACCATTTTTGTTATATCCGTCCCTCCTTTTTTCTGTTTTCTTTTTGTCTCTTTTCTTTTTCAAATTTTTTTCTTGCTCTCCATCCCAGTCAGCCAATGAGCTCCACATTTCATACGGTTTCGTTCTTCCCATTCTTCGTTTTGTTTTGTTTCTCCTGCTCTCCCACCCCATTAGGCATTAATATTATATTCGTTTTCAATTCTTTTCATTTTTCCCCTATTTCTCTTAAAATTGCTTAGTCTCTTAAATGCAGATTACAAGTCGTAGAACCAAAGATAGACCTTGTGATGTTTGGCATCGTATTCTATTCATTTAATTCGAAATAGTTTGGGAATCGGCATCCTGATTATTTCATTTTGAATTCGAATTCCACAAGAACGATATTTTTTGGAAATACGGGCGGCCATTCGAAACTCGGTTTTATCTTTTCTCTTCTCCCAAAGACTCTTATTCTTGTAGTTTATCGTGCCTATGTTTTGTTTTTATTTTCCCTTCTACTTCTTTCCAGCTTCACACTGCTTTTCATTTCAAAAAATCTCCCCCGTATTTTTCTTCCAATTTTCATCACCATACACCAATTTTATTGGTTCTCATTTGGCACCAAAGACCCTCGCTTTCATTTTCCTAGACTTCAAAGAATTTTCCACTTTTTCTTTCACACGAATAAAAAAGATTACTGTAGTAGATTCTTACCCAGAAAAGGCGGAAATATCTAGAGCTTTGTATCAGTGTTTTTTTGTCCTATGTCTCAATCCGTGTGACCCCTTCAAACCCCTTTCTGTCTCACAACTGCCTTTTTTGTTCTAACGATCTGCTAATCCATTACTTGCTTTCTTTGCTCTATCCAATTGTTCTCTAATTCCCTAAAAACTCTTTCTAACCAGCATCACAAAGTCCCGCCCCTTTATGTGTCACCAACTCTCCCTACAGTAATCCCACACAGAGGAAGCAGTGAGACCCAGAATTTTTATGAGAAAATTCGCTTGTCCTTCCTTCGATTGCCCCCATCCCATCTAATTTTATTTTTGTGCGAGAAAACTTGGATTTATTTTTCGGATCTTTACCATGGCAGCTTTCAGTTGTTTTTTGTATTTCTTTAACGTTTTGGTTCACTTGAAACTAATGAATCATTTGGAAACTAAAACAAGGAATGTAAACTCATCTAACATCTCTTTCCAAATCTAACAATACCCTTGGGAATCTTTGCACAACGATTATGGCTTCAGAAGGCATGTTGAACAAAAAAAGAGAATAGAAAAGAAGACGTCGTTTTTTGGCATATTGGCTTCTACAAACTGGTCAAAGCCAGACCTCGTCAAAAACTATTGTGCTCCAAAAGTCGGAGGCTTGTTTGAAATACCCTCTGAAGCCGTACATACAGAATGATGGCTTTGTGTGAAAACAACCAATGATTCACTCGGAGTGGAAAAATAGAACGACGTTTTTGTTTTGAAATCCATGCTGCAAGGGGATTTCATAATATTCAACAGTGCATGGTTTCATATCGAAATGATTTATCCTGGAATTCAGAATTGTATCGCAAAACTATTTTCTTCAAAGATCAAAGAGTTTGACAGACGAAGATTTGATTTCTTATTGTCAGAGAAATTTTTCGATTTACCTGGGGTTTTGCCGCTTTCAGCCCCGGCACGTCAGAAATGTAAAAAAAAAACACTGTCAGTCACTATGATGCATTTTTCGGAGATTTGGATTTTTTCGTGACAAAATTAGGAAAATACCTAACATTGGAAACATTTTGGTGCAATGAATTTTGTGCAATTTTGGTCTGAGCCACTTTTAAAGTACATTCTGGAATTTCCGGAAAACACCCAGACGAAAGTAATAAATGCTCAGAAACATGAAAAATGGATAAAAAGGTTTTTTTTGTTTTCGCAAAAATAATTATCAGTGTGTTTTGCTGTGTTTTCCTTGTATGCCTTTCTGATTCCTATTCTCCCATATCTAGTACGTTCTTTAAAACCTGTAGTGGAAGGGCGCTAACTTTCACCTTTCAGCCAGCTCATTTCGGTGCCTGTCACAGATATGAAAAAAGTGATCGACTAAATATCACAAACGTTTTATCAGTTAACGAAATTTCGTTATTTCACATAGGAGCCGAGATAATTGAGCTCAAACTGGACAGAGTGGGACCCTTCTATTACAGGTTCAATGGTGTATATTTTTTGTTTCCGTGTTCTCACAAAAAAATTCTTCCCTCTTTTTTCCTGCTCTCCGATCGGTTCAAGAACGAAAAACAACGATGAAGAAGAGCGAAGGCGACGGATGTTTGCACCCGAAACGGAAAAGAGTACTTCTTTCTTTTCAGAGCCGTCTTCTTCTTCTTTTTCCCGTCTTCTTCTTCTTCTTTTCCTCCTTCCTCTTCATTTTTTGACACACTCAACTCGAGTGTGAAGTTCTCGCCTTTTCGCATAAATGTCATTTTAGTGTATAGATGTGTGCCCTTATCAACCACTTTCACCTGTTTCATTAGTTTCCACGGCAACGCATTCGGAATTTCAGTGACTCCGCCCATTTTTTATTTATTTGAAATGAAATTTCATATCACTTCTCTTCTGATAATTTAGGAAAGTGAGACGAGGAAGTAAAGGGAAAAAGTTGTGGGAAATTTTTTCGTCTCTTTTTGGAAAGCGAAATTGAGTCGTCCAGATGAATTTACCTTCTCCCATTTATGCATTCGATAATGGTTCAAAGTGGTTGGTGACTCACTATAACTGAGTCAAAATCTAGATTCTAGAAAACATTTTTCTGCAAAATTGGCGAGGTCCTTTAGGTGACTCATATCTTTCTTTTCGATCTAGAAAATTCTGAAATTTTCAATTTTCCCCGAAACCATTTTTTCTCAATATTAAATCTACATCTTTGATCTTACATATGGAATACTATTCCAGCCTTTTTTCTTACCCCAAAACTTGAAACATGAAACCTGAAACCCGAATGAACCCTACTACTTGACCCTCCTCTCCAACTCTTTGAAGGCCGCCCAATGCTCTTCTCAGTCATCGCTATTTCTCCCTTTCTTCTCTCTCAAATTGAGCCTTTCCTTTTCGTTCTTCTCATCCCAAAGACGCGAGAATTTTCCCTTCGTCGCCTCTCTATCGATCCCTCGTTTTGTCTCTATGTCTCCTCTCGTTCTTCTCGAGAACTTTTACACCCCAATTTTTATAAATCTACAAATCGCACTTTCGGTGAGCTATTTCTACTTTTAATTTATGGAGAGTTCAACATTACTCAAATTGATGTACATTGAAAATCAAGTTCTGATTGTATTGCCATTGTCTTTCCTTCTTTCCATAGACTAACCCAAAAACATCTTTCTGCCTAATTGCCTCATATCTGCGTCTCTTCATCTCATACACTCTCTTTTCAATTGGTCGCTGGTTCCTGGTCCATCGCCACACTCATATACATTGCCAAACCGCGAATGTTCGTGTTTTTTTTTCGAAATAGGTGCATTTCAATCATTTCAAAAAGAGTTCTCATTGTCAGATTTATAAAACGTTCATATTGATCTTCCAAAACCCCATCGCTTCCTGATCTCTGATCTCTTCATCTCTCTACGATTTCTCATCGTTCCGATCGTTCCTATCACCACCTCTCTCATATCATGCCTCAAAATTGTGCACTTCTCTCGTTCTGCGTTGGGTGCAACCCTCAACTTTGAACTGTTTGACTAGTCCGTCCGACTGTCCACCTTTCCTTTTTCTTCTCCAATGTATGCCCTTCTCGACGGCCTTTCAAACTGTCCAATGACTCATTTTCAATAGGTTCAGAAAGTTTCTATTTTGCAAAACCAAAGGCATTTGGTATTGCTTTGAACTTGGAAGGATTTTTAAAAGTTTCAATATAAGTATAGAGTATCGTAAAACATGTAACAGAAGGGCCCCCTGATGTTAACTTTCAGCCAGTTTATCTCGATTCTTGTGAAAGATATGGAAAAGTCATCAACAGTTAAATTGTTTATGATAATAACACAAACATTTTATCAGTTGGAACAGTTAGGCTATCGCAAAGGAGCCAAAAAAAATTAGATCAAACTTGACAGTGTGGGTGCACTTCTATTGCAGGTTTTGCTGTTCTTTCAGACTACAAATTAAAAACAAATTTCTGATTAGGAAGGAATATTGTCTGAAATCTTGGGGTTCTATAATTTCGAAGATTTTTTAAACAGACTTTCGAATTACAATACCACAAATTTCAAAGCCCCATTTTAAGGTGAGAGAACAAAACCATATTTATAAGAAGTTCTGATTTTATAATCTCCTGTATCCTTCAAGAATATTCTCCAGTTGATCATGAGTCTAAAAAATAACCGAAAATCTGAAAGTATAATCTCATTTCCCAAGATTTGTTGGAAATTGAATTCCAACGGTAGATTATGGACAGGTGCAAAGAATTGTTTGAATTAACTTTTTCCGTAGCGATATCACATTTCACCTTCACTGGCAATAATCCACAGGGTTCAAACGGCTGTGGTAAGCTGTTGCGCTCTATTAAGAAAGTGACATTAAAATTCAAAATTCTCGCAATTTTTAGTTGTTTTCCCATCTTCAAGTTAATTTTTCACGGACCCAAAACTTCGCCACACCACCTTATCATTAAACCCGCGCCACCTTATCATTCACGCCTCCTTATCATTGAAAAGTTCATGTTACTTTCAAAAAGCCTGGACCCTTGCCAAACCGTCCAGTAACAACCTCTCCACGTATTTATCCCCGTTTCCCCGTGAACTCTAACCTAGACCGCCAGTCATCTGAATATGAAGCACTCAACAGGACCGTTTTTTTTTCAGTTGTTTCAGGCTCGTGGCAATGTTGCTACGAGACGAGCAGGTTCCGTTGCTGCTCAAACGTAAGCATGTCGTGAGAGGATATCGACCTCTTAATCAACCAAAATCATTTTACTTGAAATCTGCATTCTCGTCTCATAATGAAGTGGTTGGTTGCTTTGTTTTTGAAAACTTCAAATCGAAAAATTGAAGTTTCAGTTCAATGTGTGGACCCACTTCATCCCAGCCATCATTCTATTCTTCGCATATCTCATTCCCGAGCTTCTCTCTCCATTGCCACGTGTCCCTGTATTGATACTCCAAGTTGGGATTGTCCTACTTTTGATCGCATCCTCTATGGCTCATCTCATGGTACGATACAAAATCAAATCCTTCGAAGTATAGTAAAGTTTTCTTTTTCAGCATTCTCGTTCTGAATTGGATCATGTTTTTTGGTTTCTCATCGACTTTTCAGGAATCGCTCTTTTTGGAATCACAATTGGTCTCCAACGATATAGTTCCAGTGATCACATGAGTTTGATTATGAAAATAGTAAGTTTTTTTTAAAGATTTCCTGTCACATCGATCTGATTTTCAGATATACGTTCCTCTTCTTTTGATCGTTGTTCTCGGGGGTCAATACTTCTCGACATGCTACTTGTTCGTGTTCAAACCACATTACAAACGACGCATGGAATTGAGAATGGGATCTTGCTTCCTTCTAGCTTGCTGGCTTTACATCCCACTTCATTATAGATATCAAGTGAATCATTTATTTTTTTTTCTGTTTCTCAGTTTCGTTTTTTAGGATCCGGAGAGTGCTGGTGACCCGGCATTGCCACTTCATTCAAGAGCTTTCCAATGGTTGGTCTTCTCTGGAATCTTCATGGGAGCTCATATTCCAGAACGATTTGCTCCAGGGTTCTTTGATATTGTTGGATATGGACATCAGGTTCGAAAAAATTTCGTGCTTCATGTTAGTTGAAAAATTAATTTCAGCTGTTTCATTTGTGCATTGACATGGTCGCCTGGAATCTTCTGGATGCTGCTAACCTCGACTGCTCCAGTGACGAAGGTCATGTCCACCTTCCGAGAAACATCGTAGCCGTTTCTGCATTGATTGCGTCAATTGGAATTATTGGATTCAATGTACACCGGATGATGCAGAAAGCAAAGACGAAAAGATACGATGAATAATTAAACTTCTAATTAAAAATTAAATCAAGTCATATTATATTTCTTTTGTTTCCCCACCCTGTTTCATTTTACTCGTAGGATTTTCTGAACTGTGTTACACAGATCTCATCTACGCTTTTGATTGAAAAGACTTTCAAGTCGGGTATTATCTATAGTTGTAGTCTCATTCAAATAATCACAAACATTGAATAAATTTTATTTGTCAACAACATTTTCATTATTCAAAAGAATTAGATGTGATTGGAATCCTTGATGTTTGCCCACATCTCCTCGCTCATCACATACATTGGAACTGGCTTGGCAAATCCGTTGAAGGTGGTAGCAGCTGCCAGGGTGTATGCTCCCATGTCTGGATAATACATCCATTCTCCGATTTCCATCTTGACCATCAACTTCTTGTCTTCAACGAGGTCAAGACTATCGCAAGTTGGTCCCCAGATAGTAGACATGTACTTCTCGTTGCGATCAACGTCGAAGAGTGGGCCTCCGATCGGATGAGCGTGGTCGAAGAGGATGCAGTTGAATGATCCGTAGACACCTTCATTTATGTAGTACATGTATCCATGCTCGGCACTGTCCTTTGGATCCTTGGTGATCTTGGAAGCTGGAACTTCAGTAGCATGGATAATGTTGGCAACTAGCGAGAAGGGTTCAGCTGCGAAGAATCTTCCCGGTTCGGCGATCAGACGCTTGTCAGTCTCTGGGAAAAACTCATCGAGAGCGTCACGGATGGTTTCAGCAATCTGGAAATAAATAGGAATGAAGAAATGGTGAAGAATCTTGAAATGTTACCTTCTCAAATGGATTGTGTGCATGTTCAGCTCCTGGGAATCCACCTCCCATGTCGATGATGTCCATCTTGAATCCATATCCCTCTCCGATCTCACACAAGTTCTTGGCGTGCGACAGTGCAGTACGGTAGGCAGTCGCATCATTGCATCCCGATCCGACGTGGAAGGAAATACCGACAACGTTGACTCCTTCTTCGTGAGCAAGTTTGAGAAGCTGTGGAGCAGCAAGAACTGGGTCAGCTCCGAATTTCAGATTGAGTGGGCAAGTGGCCGTTGGATCGGAAACAGCGATGCGGAGGATCATTCTGAAATGAAGGTACTTATATATTTCTTCTGTATTTTGGAATTATTGAACTTACTCAGCATTTGGATGTAGCTTTCCGATTTTGATGAGTTCTTCGGCGTTGTCGAAAGTCATCATACGAACATCTCGCTCCAAAGCGTGGACGATGAAGCTGCGAGTTTTGCATGGATTGGCATAGATCAGACGATCCGCGGAGACTCCGGTTTCCATTACGATGTCGATTTCTTCTCTGCTTGCGCAGTCGAATCCGCATCCTAAAGAAGCAAGAACACGAATGAGAACGACATCAGTGTTGCATTTGACTGCGTAGAATGGTTCAATCATTGGAAGCTCTCTTTTCCAAAGGTTGAATCTTTCGATGATCTTATCGAGATCAACCAGCATGAAAGAAGAGTCGTTTTCTTGCATGTCCTTTTGAGCAGCAATTTCCCGGCACATTTCAAGTTGATTGACTTGCTTTGGGAGCACGCCGACCTTGTCGTCACCGATGAGCTCGAATTGAGAAATCATTGTTGAATAGAAAGTTTTTTTTGTAGGTTCAGGGGATCTCAGCTCCAAGGAGGTGCGCCTGCACGTAAAGGATCGTGGATGTAGTTGTAGACAACGGCAGATACGACGACGGTGTCGACGTGGATCTGCGAAGAAGGGCTGTAAGCCGGAAGCCGGGCTGCGGACGCCGCTAGCCTCTTTGGTTCGTCAACACGAGAGATTTTCTGGCAATGGGTCTTCCCAGGCACGAGATCAAAACGCTGCTAGTTAACCCAAAGGCTCACCACAACGTTAAGAACTGAAAAATAGGAAACATTATTAGGAGTTTTAGGACGGAAAGAAGAGTAAAAAATGAGCAGGTTCAATTATTAAACTTTGTTGTAAGGATAGAAAAGGGCGCACACGCAATATAGGTGTTGGTCAGACGAGGGGTACATAGACTACTGACTGATATGATCTCAATGCGAGCGGAATGGCTTATCATTGACCGCCCTGTCGCTATTTATACCCCTAAAGACGTGGCAGGAAATAGGCGGAGTCTCGGATGGTGGGAGGTGGGGATAGGGTGTCGGGGGATGCCATTGTCATAAATGGGTACAGATGTACTCAACATAATAATATACAGATCAGATTGGTCAATATGCAGATTAGATCGGTAATTGAAACAATGGAATAGAGGTTATTGGGTGCATTGCACCCAGAAAGAAGGCTGGCGTAGTATGTAGTGCCAAACGGACACTGTCAATAAATCCGACCGTTTAGCGACCAATCATAAACGAACAGAACAACAATAGAATGATGATGGATGTTTGAATCGAAAATAATTATATATGAGGGCAATAAAACTTTGGTCTGGACAGTCTATGATAACATCATATGTGAAATAAGTGAGAAAACATATTTTCTGTCATAATTTTCCATATTTTCGCTTTTATACTACCCACCTCTTGTTCACATGAATTCGCTCAACACTGACATCGACAGTCACGTTTCCTAGTGTATGTCTCATCATAGTTCGGCCAGCTTCACATTTTGTAATTTGAATTTCCTTCTGTCCTCCACATAACGTCATTCTCGTTGATGAGTGCATGAGGCCGAACAACGTTACAGTCGTCAATATTTACGGTCCTTCTATTCTTGTCTTCTTCCCTCATGACGAATCTTAGTCGTTTGGTCGTCTTCCTACGTAGTTGGTCTCTACCGTACCTTATTCAATTTTATCAATTTGCATATCAATAATATCGCAACACCCGGTCATTGTCCACTGCGATAGTCGGCATTCCTATTGATACAAAGCACATATTTCGTGCCTTTTGTCCCACCTTATAGGAATCGAAATAGACGAAACCGTCAAAACTCGCGTTGCAACTTTTTATCAGCTCATTTTTTTAGAGCAGAAGCATTTCAACGACAAGCAGTTTATTTAAAACTGTTCTATGGACTCCGCGTTTGGAGTCATGTTTAGCTAACCAGCACGCGTGAATTGTGTGAATTTCATGAGACACCTGCCCAAAAGCAATCATTGATGTACGAATTAGACAATTACGATCTCATCTGCCTCATTGGCTCAGTGGCAGAGCGTCTGTCTAGTAAACAGAAGGTCGCTGGTTCGATTCCAGCATGAGGCACCGAGTTTTTTTGTAATGTACAGATTTATTTTTCAAAATTTATTAGGAACCACAATGGTTCAACTTCAAACTAAAAAAGTAACAAAATAAAGTGTATCACCCAAATTGGTTCGCTAAGGCACAATTAGAAGTTATGATTTGGTTTTGTTTTTTGAGAAGATGAAAGATAACAATAAAAAACTGACTAGAAACGTCGCTCAATTCTGGATAAAATAATAAAGAACGACAACTCATAGAAAAAAGAAACATATTCGAAAATACTAGTGTATGAGAAATGGAAATATAATAACACCTAAACATTCAATGACATACCCGAACGAATTATTCTATTAAAATGTGAAATGAAAGATATTTTTATGATTGTAGTAGCTGATCTTCGTATTGTTTGACGAAACATTCTCCAACTGGGAAGAAATCCCAATCCCGGTTATCGTACTTTTCACGTACGTAGGTCTCTTGACCGGTATATTCTGTTTCGTCTTTGTTCACCAGATGTTGTAGGAAGAACCTGAAGTGGAAGACATGAACTTTGGAAAAATTAAGAATGTTTTCTCTTACAAATAATTAGCAAAGTTGTGCTCCTTGGTTGTATGTATTTCAAAACCTCGAGGCATTCGATCGAACGTTTCTTTTCCGATATCGCAGATGAAACAAGACGATTCGAGCTTCTCGGTAGCGGATTCTTGTTGATCACGAAGCTCTCCGAAAGCGTCGATGATCAAACCTGCAACAGAATGTTTCCATGGTTCCGTGGAATGTTACATCATTTTTTATCATACTTGACTTTTAGTTTCTACCATTGATAAGACCATTTTCTTTTGATACTAGACTGTCCTGAAGTTATTTTCTTTTTGGTTCGCTCAAAAAATCAAAGTATTTCTTCTTTTGAAACGGAACTATCAGTTGAGGGGTGTACCTATCAGTCTAGGGGTTCAAGTCTCTCGGGCGGAAATCATAAATCAAAACGAGTTTGATGTCCGAGAAATTTTGACAGAAAGTGGAACCGGCCATGGGTTCGGTTCTGAGAAATTATTTTTTGTGAAAAACTCACCCTGCATGATGGCAAGAAGAATAACGATGACGAAGAAGAAGAATGAAATATCGTAGAACATTCTCGGATACTCCAGGTCGTCTCCGTATGGACTCTCCAGTTCATCTCCAATACCTCCTCCGGCACGCACTCCGGCGTAGAAATGGTAGATGAAACAGGTGAGCATATTATGACATTTTCGATCCGGCTCTTCGCCATCTTCTCCCTCTTGAACGTAGAATTTACGGAAGAAGTTGAATGCAAGGACAGTGTAGAGATATACGACTACAAGTGTCATCATGATGGTGAGGATAAGTTGTTGTAAATTATGGGTCACAGATTGAAGGATAGCCTTTAACATGGGGAAAGAGAGCACGACGTCAATGAGGTGGAATGCGTAGAAGAATGGTGAAAGGAAGACTCCGCAAGCGGAACAGAGTAGATATCCGACTCGGTATAAGAATTGTCCGTTGGTGAAAATGACTCCAATCCACAACCAACAAGAATATCTGTAGTCGTAGCTTGAATCAGTGGACATCTTTTCTTCTCCTAAAATCGAAGTCAAAGTCTCCTCGTCAACTTGATCCTTGAACTTTGATCGTGTCTTTCTGCGTACGAACTTGTCCCAGTACATCATGGGGAATGATTTGGCAGAGATGACGATTCTGTCCAAATACCACATAAATGTATCAACGATTCCAAGTTCTTCTGAATCCTCTTCTGTGATCCAACATCCGTCAAACATCAATTTTCTGGCAATCTCCTTTTCACGTTTGAAAGTGATAAGTGGAATTTTCAATTGATAGAATGAGACCAAAAGGGCGAATGATGTTGATAGATGGAGTACACTGATCCAATACAGAACCTGTGCCAACATCCATCCCGTTATCTCATATTCCATATAAGGGAATTGAAGTCCTGTGATGAAGATTGATTCAACGGCATCTTCATCGTCATCGCCTTCTGAAGCTGTCTCCGCTGAAAAGTTGTTTTTAATTGTTCATCCAAAAATTAAGAACTTACCAGCTTCCGTATGACTGATGTCTACACGATGGAAAAGAAGAATAACGTTGATGAAGAAAGCCAAGTAGAGAGTAATTTTTTCGATGGTTTTGAAGTTTCTGGCGAGCATATTCTGAAAAGGGAAATATATTTTTCGGGTTCAAAAAGAAAAATGAGCAACTTACAAGAATCGATCCTTTGGTCTTTGTGGAATTCGATTCAGCGATCTTTGGTTCGTATTGCCCTTGCTGGAAGTCCGCTTCGGATTGTAGTTGAACCATTTGTGGTGCTCCGATCGATTCATAAATACTTGGTGCCTTGCTAGCGGCTGTCGGGGAAGTTGGTGATTGAGGCTCTGAATTGAGTGGCTTCTCTTCTTCCGACAGAACAGTTTCTGGTGTTTCTGGTCTTGGTGGAGGCACGAAATCTGGTAGGGAGTTGACGTTAAGATGATCTGCATTCATTCCAACTCCGAATGCATCCACACCAACATGCGAATGATGGAATTCTTGCGCGATGGGTGGACTAAATGTTGCATGACTGAAAACAAAGGAATACTTATGAATTTTAAAGATGTTCACATACTCATGATTCATCATCTTTGGTGGTTCTTTTAGACTATCATTCTTCGCTGTCTCTTCCTCTTCAGATGACGTCGTCAGGAAATAAGCGAATCGGAAGATTGTCATCAGAAGGAGATATCCACCCCATCCGATGGCCAATCCAGCTCTAATGATAAGAATGATAATGGAATACAATAACTGGGTCCAGGTCATTTGTCTAACGGAAGTGGTCACATTCTTGATGGTTGTTGTGATATTCTGTGGGCTGAGAGCAGACGCAGCAGAGATACCATAGTTGTATCCGCTCTTGAAAGTTTCAGAGATTTGGCTGAAATAATAAATTATCAGATAATCGAAATATTTATACTTACTCTGATGCAGTTGTTTGTTGCAAAAAGTAATCCCTCTGCTTGATGGCTCTTTCCATTTTCGTGTCACTGTCTCCAGATGAGATGGCGGCTGCGTGTTGCATTTCAAAGATGGTATCCTCACAGAAGTTAATGAATGCTTCCAGCTTTCCTTGATCTCCACCATCATCTTGTAGAACATTGAACAAGAATGAATTCTTCGAATCCCTAATCTGTTGTTTGCCCCATTGCTCAAGCCAGGACTCTTGGATTTCGAAATAGATCTTTTCAACTCGTTTTGACGATCCCATGATTTCAATTCTTCCAAGGAATGGATCGAAGTATTCCAGAAGTGTTTGAGCTTTTTCGATAATTTTTTCGAGTCTCGGATCATTTGTAATGTGTTCTTTCAGATTGACGAGCAAAACTGCCAAATTGAATCCGATGTCTCTGGCAGGATTGTGGAATCGTTCTGTGAATTCCATGTAGTCCACTTTTCCGTCATTGTTCACATCAGTACACATCATCAGATAAGTTATGTCTTCTACTGTGTACATTTTCTGACTTTCCATGGCTCTTTGGAATTCTTTAGGACTGATCCATCCGTCTTGATTGGTGTCGAAATCTTGGAACGCTTGAGATGTTGTCAAATCCTTTAACTTGAGGAACATGTCAGAGAACTTTAGGATCTTTTCGACGGATGGTTGAGACTCTACGAGAGCGTCCACCATTTGCTTTCCAATGGATCCGTTCAGAACGTTTCCTTCAAGCATAGAGAGCATAAGAACAATCATATCCTTTTGCAGATTAAGGAACTCTCGAAGAAGTTCAAGTTGTGTAGAGTTCTTGTACAATTTCTCCATCATGTGAGCAAACAAGAAGAAGAATCCGTTGATGGCGTCCCAGAGACGAGAGTTTGCCAATGTCATTTGGTTTCCAACACACGGACCCTGAAGGTTGAAATTATGTTTACAGTTGAGTTCGTGAAAAGTTTCTCACCTGGATAGACTCCGTGAGTGTGTTGAAAACCTGACTACACACTTGAATTGCACGGAGGAAATATTCTTTTCCGCCCTCATCGATGACTTCTTTGCTGGAATAGTGCCAATAGAAATCCATGACAGATTCTTGAAGACGAAGAAGATAATCAACGGTACAGTTGATCAAATTGACACTTGTCGTATGACCAGGTTGTGTTCGAAGGTAGTTTTGGAATTCTAAAAAAGAGAATGGATACTGAAAATTCTAAATCAGTTGTAATATACCTAGGTTGTGTCCTTCACAAGTGAGTTGCAGGAAACGGAACAATGAGCAAGTGAAATCTGCATCGTTCAAGTTCTGATTGTCTCCTGAAGCGAGTTCAGCTCCCATTCCAAGTCCTTCAGCCTGGAAAAATATTCTCGAATGATAATTTTCATTAGCAAGCCATCCATCTTATGTCTCAGCCATATATAGAAAATATATAGAAAATGGGCATTCACACGGAAACCACTGGGTATTAGTAAGGTTAATATGATAAGAAAAATCACTGCACACATTCCATTTTTTTACGTAGCAAGATTTGTAGAAAAGGACGGAAAGAGCAGCAGCTAGAAGTCATGGAAGTTCTGTTTCAAACTATAATTTTTCAAACCAAAAAAAAAAACTTCAGAAGCAAAAGTGCAGGCGAAAAGACAGGAAGGAAGGCGAAGATAGAGAGAAAAATAGAACATAGTGCGGGCTATGAACCTGTGCGCCCTGACGATCTTGTCGCGAACGATGTCGGATTTTGGAGGAGAGGTGACGTAAGAGCAGTGCGTTTGCGCCATGGGCGTCAACGTTCTGCAAAATGGTTTAGGGGTTAGAAGGGGGGAACCACAAATCTAGGCATCCATGGTAATATGTTTCTGGAGTAATTCGATTAGATTTGAAACGCAAGTCAAACACGGAGATGTATTCGTTGTTAGAATTGGTACCTTGATTTGTCTTTCGAACATTTCCAGGTTTAGGACAGAGCATTTGTTCATCAACCCAGCCATCGAGGTGAAGAAACGAACGTCTTTTTTAAGTTGGAGATATTCGATCAGCATCTGAAATTCAAATTTTATTAATAAAGTACAATTTTAGAACACATACTTTCTGAATTTCGACGTTTCCTCCGCTGAGAAGATGAATTCCAAGTTGAAGAGTTTGAGCAACCATCTCATTCGGTTCTCCACCAGAAGCTGATAAATACATCAGACACATTATAGCTGCTCCACGACTGGCCAACACTGCCTGTTCTCCACGGAGCGCTTGTGTCTGTTCTTCTTTCGCAGCTTGATCTATTTCTCCTTCTTCACCATCGTCTCCATCTTCCTCTTCAATATGAATCGACTTTGCCATAACATCAGCAAATCGGATGTATAAACTGTCTTCATGGATTGCAGAAGCTGCCGTCTCTTCACTAGTTGCAGCTCTTTGGAAACAACGAATCAGTTGTTTCAGAGGGTCTGGATTTGTTTCCTTCTCCTTTGGCTCTTCTGAACTTGCCACGATTGGAACTCCTTCTTCCATGATGATCTCAATTCTTGGACCTTCTTCCTCTTCAATTCCAGTCTGAAAACTATGAATTGTAACAGTTGATTTTGAGGGCGAAGTCTTACGCAAATATCAGCAATAAGTTGATCCTGTCCAACGTCTTCTTCCTCCAACCAAAGTCTTGAGAAAGCAGGTAAGAAAAAGTTGATTCCACGATGCCTGTAATAGGTTTTTTGTCTCTCTGGGACCCTATTAATCAAATGTTATGTTGAAGTGTTGAAGTGTTGAGTTGCCTGTTGATTAGAAGAACCATGTGGATATTCTAGTACGTTAGTAGAGGCTCTAGTTAAAGTGTTCTCGAGTACTACCCAATAATCTAGTAACAACTCCATCTCAAACTCCATCGGGGCGACTCGACTCATCTGTATAAAAAACTTACAATTCGGTCTTGTACAAATGAGAGGCAGTGATGAGAGAAATAGCCATTCGCTTTCTTTGCAATGTAAGCACTTTCTTCCAAATGTCTTCCTTCTCCATTCGAGAAGTCATCTAACGAAAACAAATTATGAGTTGAAACCCCAAGGGAAATGGGATTCAGAGATCTTAGCTTGCCGCCCTTCTCACCTGACAACACAACACTCAACTAAACATGGAACACAAATACAGTTATCATGCGATTAGAATCTTGTTGGTCTTCTCCGAATTTTCGAGTGCTTACCTTGGTATTCCGTACAGCGGAACCATGCGGAAACACGCGACAACTGCACGCTTTCTCTGCGTTGACACCACTTTTTTCCATGCTTGAGACAATTGCATTTGAGGATGCTCCGTCTAAATAAAAATAGAACATGACATAAAAAAAAGTTGAAAACGAGTAGATGAACGACAGGGATTTGAAAATTATTGCCGATAGAATAGATTTTAGAAGTGTGTGTCTGGCATTTCAACTTACGTCCGAATTGTTCATTTGTGTCAGATGCTGTTTTCGATTATACTGAACAAAGTGAGACATGGATTAGTACAAAAATAACAGAAACTTTTAAAATATTTGAACATAAAGTTTTATATAATACCTTCCATCTATGGTGAGCACGTCGTCGTCGATCCTTGGTTCGAGTGATCTGAAATGGACGGACACATGTACAAAAATGGACACGAAACATAGCACGAGGACGGCAAAGCGGCTAGTTTTGAATGAAAAGCTACAAAAAAAAGACGCACCACGTGGAGAATAGCGCTGACTTGTCCCATGTTGAAAATTTTCTCAATCACCGCTTCTTGAGACATCTCGTCTTTTCCGCGCATTTGGGACTTTCCTGAAATTCCAGGAAGGTCAAAATATTCTAAAAGGAAATTCGAGTACCAATTTTGCGGTAAAGTGAAAGTTGCCATGCATTCTTATCAGTTGGATCAGTTTTGACTGGAATCTCAAGAAGTCCTTTGATGAATTCTCGGATCTTCTCTTCGGTTTCCTTCTGAATGAATTTTTCCTTTGACTGTTGGACAATGTCCAATTCTCTGAAAATAGTGAATTTGATGGTTATCAATTTATTGGTTTCCTTATTTTACCTTCCACCGAAAACGTTCAATCCAACGGGAAGAAGTCTTTTGAGGCAAGCGATCACAATACTTGCAGCATGTTTGTCTTTCTTAATCTGAAAGGGAAAGGAATTTCCGGGAATATAAAAACAAACGACTGATCACAGAGACTAAGACAGAATAGGAGAGGAAAAGAGAAATGGGCGGATCATGCTCAGCATAGATTTTCTGCCTCCAGCGACAATTCTTGAAAAATGATATTAACGAATATTCAACTGAATGATCGAAATAATCGGACGACGAGACACAACATATTTGCTCAACAAAAGGTTTTTCGGTCGTGTCAAAACTTACGATTGGTCTTCCGTTTCTGTCGAAATACTCTTTCATCTTATCCTGTATTATTATGGTTTTGCTTCTTTTTTTTTTTGAAATTCGAATTTTCTGTGATCCCCTCGAACTAACCTGTCCCTCTCTTCTCTTTTTCTTTCTCTCTGCAATCGCTGCTTTTCCAGTCTTCATATCTCCACCGCCCATAGCAGCGGCGTCTTCTTCAAATTGAGCCACGTAGTTGAGTTCTTCTCGTTTGAAATGTTGACTCTGACTCCAGATTCTGAAGATGACCGCCACGTTTTCATAGACTCCATCTGTTTCCCAGGTGGGAGATTTGAGCCACTGGGCACGATGAAGGTCCGTGTACTTCATAAGGATGGGGAAGAATGCGTAGGTGTCACGGACGAGGCGAGCGTTGTCCTGGAATTAAAGCTAGTAGAATTCGATCTTTCGGTTGTAATTACCTCTGCAACAGTTCCTTCATCAGCATCATCTGGATGGGTTCTCATGTGCTCTTCTTCTTTGTACGCCTTCTCACTCATTCTTCTCAATCTTTCTGCGATTGGTAAAACGAATTCTCGAACTGGATCGGATGTGACATTTTGGATGATTTGTACAGCGAAGACTGAAAACAAGGATTTAGGCCTGCACTTCAACTGATGAAATTACAGTTCACTCGGCAAAGCCACGGAGCATTTTCAATTCCAACATGGTTTCGTATCATCTTGAGAAGTGCATTGAAAATTCTGTTGATATGATCACAACTGACACTAGTTGTCTGAATCACACTTGCTCTCTGATCATCCTTATCTCTCTTTCCATCTGGTCCAACATTGAACCAATGTGCCATATACGAGCACATCAATGGAAGATCCACATCGTAAACGTTGGGCACATCAGAATACATAGTGTTGTTGTTGGCAACTGTTTCAAGATCTGTCAATAGTTTCTCGAGATGTGGAATATGAGTAGAAAGATTCTGAAGCATTTCTTGAACTTGAACGGATTGATCTTGGGTCTTGGCGAGAACTGAGAACTTGTTGCTCTTATTAAATTCCGGTTCCAAAAAGGCAACCGGGAAGCAAGAGGCAAAGGCAGCAAGGCATTGACCAAGACCAGGACGATGTCTGGAATATAGTTTTGAAAACGTAACAGGGAGTTAGAAATCTTACTTCTCGCTTTCACTGCTAATAAACTTTCTGTGAGAGATGGAGCTGTTCAGTCCAGTGACCATGTACAGAGAGTCCAGAATTTTATAACAGGCTGCTTGGATGTCATCCACTGAAATCAGAATCATAGTTTTAAGTATTAGACATTTGGGTACTCACAAAGCAAATCAGTTCCAAAATGATTTCTGGCAAGGTGTGCAAACATTGTAGTAAGAACAGGAACGATCATCTGGTTTGCGAACTCAAAAGAGTTCCACGATTTCAAAGCTTGTCCTCTGATCAGTGAATATTGGCCTCCGTCCTGTAAATCAGTGACTTATATCCAGAATTTTCACGATTTCAGTGTAAACAAAAAATATACGAGCACAACGATTTTACAACGTTTTTTGCACCTACATCATATTGTTCCATTTCAGAATAGTATATAAATTTCTGTTTGGTGTTAATTAGGCCAGTGTTAGTTTAAATTTCGACTTACCTTGAGTTCGTTTACAGCAGCATACAAATCATCAGCACAGTTGTTGAAGAATGTGAGAAGAGATGTGCGAACGATATCAGAATTGACTTTGACCAATGTTCTGAGATCAAGTGCCTGTGTCAATCCTTGAAGGCATTTGACAGTGATCTTAGCGACACTTCCGAATGCTCGATTCTTGATACGGAGAAGAGCTGCGAGACGACAGAACAGACTGAAATTTATTTTATTGAAATTATCTTTGCAGTTTCTAAAAGAATCGAGGAATCTTACTTGGCAACCATTTCCTTTTCCTTGTTACTGGCTGTTCCAGTCTGCACGATCGACGATCCCTCCAGGAAATAATTTTTGTGAGCATTGAAGTAAGCATGCATCAATGGCAGAACGACTTTCTCGAAGAATTTCACATCTTGTCCCTCTTTTTTGAAAGAATTTCGTCTTGTCAATTCTTGAGATGGCTTCACTGACTTCATTTTCAAACTTGCTTGTTCCAGATAAGTGATCAGTTTCTCTAACAGATTGTAAGCGAATCTCTTCTCTACTGATGATCTTTCCCCTTCACTCTTCATTCGGTCGTTTTGAGACTGCTCGTCTTTTGGACTGAAAACATTTCTTTTAGTTAAAATTTAAAAAATCTCCCAGCTTACCAGTTAACATGATAGCCATGGTATTGCAAGAACTTCAGAATCTCGGATGCTCTGAATCTATCTTTTCGTCTTTCGAAATCAGTCAACAAATCCCATGGAACCAGTGGAATTGGCATGAATCCTCCCTTCGTGTTCAGATCATTCATCACTTTCTTAGCCCAAATCAAATGAGAGTGTTCAGCCATTTTCTCAGCTGCATTGACCATATCCTTTTCAAGGGTCATAGAACTTAAATCGATTGGCTTCGGGGCAAAGTTCGAAATTGAAGTTCCAGAAAGAGTTCGAGCAGCTGAAGCACGATCATTTGCATCTCTATCCACCATATCGAATGAATAACTCCATGCCATCAATGCTTTTAGGCACTCTGAACATCTCTCTTTGTAGAACGATTTTTCCTGAAATGAGAGAATAAGCTATCGGGGGATTTTCTACTAAATAACTTACAAAATCTTTCAGCAAAGCAAACGGCTTCAGACGTGGATGAGTGAAGTTGGCTCTTGAGTACAAACCGCCATGAACCCAACCTTTCTCCAGTTTTCTGCTTGCCCAAGAGTCATGGAAATGTTCAGCGAACAGCTCTGTCATCTTTTCCAAATCTCGATTGATCTCACATCTCGAGACGTCGACTGTACGTGGGATCCAAGCACCTTCTTCTTCTCGTTTCTGAAACACAAAATTCTTATAAACCAGGGGACATCTCTATCTTCATTGATACCTTGTTTCTGACATCTTCAAGTCCACTGGTGAGTGAGTAGTCTGGAGAAATGGCACTTCCAATTGCTGTCATACATGGAAGAGCTTTTCCGAAAAGTTCTGGATCGTATGGACGGCTACCGAGAGTATCGAAGATGGCGTCGAAAAGAAGCATAGAAAGTCTTTTTTCTTGTTCACTGGCAACTCCATAATGATTTCCTGATCCATAATACTTTCCACATCTCTCGTAGTGTAGAGTAATCAAACGGAGTGGGACAAGAACATTCATGTCGTTCATTGTCAAGATGTCATTGATTACTTTCTTCAACAACTTGATCATCATTCCTGGTGGAAGTTCTCTTGTAATGGCAACTAAGAAATCAGAAACTGCGTCTCTTTGATTCTTCGTCAACGACTTCAATCGGTTCATTCTGTATACGGTGTGAAGTGTGGCATCTAGAAGAGCAGAGTGATGTTCGGCATCAGAGAAGAAATGGGAATGGTTTGTCAGAAGTGGAAGGACAGAGTTACAGAGGTAACGGTTCAGAGCAAGAGCAGTGTCCGATTCAAGTGCTCGAGGCGAATCCATCATTGTAGCAGCTCTCAAATCTGGCAAGAAAGATTGCTCAAGGAAATGGAAGAGCATGTCCTGTTGATCTATTCCGTAGACACGATCCAAGAAGAGTAGAACTGATCCTTTGTGGTTTGGAAGAAGACCTGGCAGTGGTCCGGTGTCTGAAAATTATTTATATTTCATCTGAAACTCGACCAACAAATATTCACAAAACCACGATTCATGCAAAACATTTTCACTATTCAAAATCTCACTGTCAATCGGATTGTATCTGCTGGATCTCCTTCTTTGAACTATAGGATATTTTTTCTCGTTCAACAACTGAAGTTCAGCTTTTTGCTTCTCCGATTTCGGTGCGAACAGTTCATTTCCACTTGAGAATGAAGTGTGTACCGATGCATAATCAGATGATTTCGAGTCATCAGAATCTACTTCTTCTACACACGGTAATCTGGAAAGGGAGGGGGTTAGAAAAGGAAACAAATGTGAATTGATTAGTTCAAACCCTCTTCTTGCAAGGTTGGCGCCAGAGGTAAATGTTTGGGATCGACGCGTGTTGGATACTTCAGACGCCAGTGAGGCAACCATAGCAAACGTGTGTGCCATTACGGCTTTTTGAGTGTGAGATGCCTGAACGGCGTTAGCACGACGGACAGCTGTAACAGGACAGAAGACGTGATGGTTAGACACGTTTAGGGACAATGGACATGGAAAAAGAAAATCAAAATTTATAGCAAACCTTCAATAGATGGAGCTGCAAGATTTGGAATGGTGAATCGAAGGGCAAGAATCTGACCAAGATCATCAAGAGAGATCAGAGATCGAAGGATAGCACGGGCTCGAAGTGAGTCTCCCTTACCAGCCTAAAGTTGTCTGATGAGAAAAGTGAACCCTTCAGTAACTACTCACCTGGATGGCCATTGGATCTGGAGCACATTTGGCGAGCAAATCAACCAAACTGGAATAGAAATCGAGAGTTGCTGCTCCCAAGTCAATATAATCTTCTCCTTCAATTTCCTTGGATGGATACGTTGGATTCTCTCCAAGCAATCCTGATGTAAGCATGGAGGGATGAGAATCATTTTCGAGGAGTCTAATATCTTCAGAAAGAGCGATGGCTTCTTTGAATGCCGAGAAAAGTCCTTGGCCTTCTCCTTTCAGAGCAACACCGAGACATTCAGGTCTTCGAATCAACAATCGGATGACAAGATTTGCGTTTTCTTCCACGTTTTCTCCATTGATCCATACACAGAATCGAAGGAAATCGATGTATCTTTCTCCTTCTACTGGATCCCATCCGATATCTGGATATCCCTTGGTAATCAGTTCGGAATTTGGTTGCAATCCACATCTGGAAAGATAGACGGCCACTTTGTCGAGTTCTTCTTCTTTGAGAGCCAGTGCCAATTCATTGTTATCCATGAATGATGAATAGGCAACATCTAAGGGAACAGATCCTCTTAAAGATGGTCTCGCCAATAGCATGGTTGCATTATCGAGAAGGAAGGATAGATGTTCAAACATTGCCTTCTGATTCTGACGTGAAGTTCTACAGAAATAGCAAAGGAATCTGGAGCAAGCGACGACCATTTCCGATGCATCTTTGATTGGAGCCTTCTCCTTCACCTCATCTCCTTCATGCTCTACTGTTCCTTGTTGTGCTGTCAGAATATTCATCATAATGGACATCACGTTCTCATGAACAGAGAGAAGTCTCATCAGATCTGGATGTTGGAAGAAAATTCTGTTGTTCATCAACTTCCATAATCCCCTCTTCAGAATTGCTTCTTCTGTATGCTCGAATTGTACAGTAAGAAGTTCGCGAATTTGAATGAGGTACACGATGAAGTCAGTGACGTCAGCTGCATTTCTCTCGTGGAACACATACGCTTGAGACATGGCATCGCGGATCTCTCTGATTCCAGAATATTGACGGAGAAGGAGCTTAAACATGCTTCTAATCAGATCCTTGCTCTCTATGAAATCAGCTTGAGCCCATTCACGGAGCATCGTGACAATGATTTCTCTGAAGTTTTGAGTTCCCTTCTTCTGCATTTCCATTCCTTCTTCTTCCAATGGTGGTGGAACTTTCACAACGATTCTAGCGAATGAGTCAACCCAAGATCCTTCTTCCGACTCTATCAATGCCAACTGATCTTCAGATTCTCCCTCCTTGGCATTTCCGATTTTTCCAACCAACAATTCACAGAAATCTCGCAATTGTTGCTGAAGACTCTCCGCCATTGGACATTGATCCACATCTGCATCTTCTTCCATGAATTCTGGATCTCTTTCTTCTTTCACTTTGCACATTAACAAACGGAACATTTGTTCCTTTGGCGGACATCTGAACTCCTTTGTTTTCTTCGCAGCTTCGGCTGGTGGCATGTCTGTTTGCTTGATTTCCATGTATCTTTTGCATTGATCTGATTGTAATTCTCCCACGAATCCTTCTGTGAAAGCAACAAGTGATTCGATACGATAGCGAAGTTGAATATCGCAAAGATGATCGAGAATACTGACAAGTTGGAGTTTAACAGGCTCTGCGAGCTCCAGCTGAGTCAGTCCCTTTTGTGTTGTTCCATTCTTATAACTCTCATCGAAGGCTTGTGGATGGATCAGTCGTAAGAGACATTCCAATTCTTCATCGTTGATCAATCCGATGACAAGAAGTTGATCGAATAGCTTGAAGAGTGGCTCAAAGTGGTTGGTATTGTCTCCACCGATCAGATCTCTACAGTTCATAACTGCATGATGTGTGGCTGATTGAAGTGATTCCATAACGTGTTTCTTCAAAGCATCAAAATCTACAGATGGCGGTAGAAGTTTCATTTCTTCCTCTCTGCTGATATGTTTCTTCACTGGTTCAGCAGCCATCTGGGATAGCATCGAGACAGATTGACCAGTTATTTGTGGATATCTGAAAGGGATAACTGTGTATTACTAACTTTAGTTGGCTTGCCTAGATTCGCTATCTGGATCCAATACATTTTTGATCTGCAATTGAGGAACCAGAGGAATTACATATTCTTTTGCCATACTGTTTCTAGCAGCTGTGTGACTCATCAAATGAATACCAATCAACAAATCGTGGAATCCTTGACGCATTGGTCCGGAAAGATCTGGAAATTTTATGAGTAATAATCAAAACGGCGTCTTTTTTAGTCGACTCACAGTGTGACTTGATGGCATACATTATTTGATCTTCATCGATGTGTTGGCACAATGTATGAGCTACTTTATGGTTTCCATGGCTTGCTAATTTGCAGTACAGATTCAAAGTTTGCCGATGGAATTCCAGCATGTCAGGCATCTCAATCATTTCCAAAATGTCCAATGACTGGTCTTTCTCCGGAATGTACACCGACATAATTCGAACTGGGTCGTTGCACAAAACCGACCATCCTGAAAACAACAATAATACAGTCGTCCTCCTCCTTCGCACCTGTCTTTCCGACTCCCCCATCTGTCCCCCCTTCCTCTGCACCGACCGACCACGAGCTACCCCTTCCCCCCAACACTGCCCCTCGTTTTCTTCTTTTCTGTCTACTCTAATCCTCCTTTTGCTTTGTGAACTCTCCCTTTTTGCCCCCTCTTCTTCCCCAGTTTTTCTCTTCGTTCTCTTTTCCTCTACTAACATTATGTGTATTACGTGAACAGGGGAGTGTGCCCCATTGGCGCAGTCGGTTAGCGCATGGTACTTATAGTCTATAGGGCATGCCAAGGTCGCCAGTTCGAGCCTGGCATGGGGCAGATATTTTTAGGATATTTTTTGGTTTTTTTTTCGTACCTCGAACTTCAGATAGTTTCAATGCTGTCGTTCTTAGAGTCTCGTTTGGAACACGAGCCCAATACACAGATTCGATTTGCTCCACTGTGAGACGTGGTGGGCAGAATGGCACAAGAGATTTCTCACAAGATTTGAACATGGCAGCTGACAACGGGAAAGTGTATTTTATGCGGCCCAGTTCAAATTGAAGAATATCGGTTGCTGTTGGTGTGACGAATGCCGCTGGGAAGAGCATAGCTCCAGGCTCCAGTTTGAATTTGACACCAGTGTCAGTGGTTCCAACTTGAAAACTTAATTCTCCAATAGAAGTGTCAATGATACATCCGATCAGAGTTCCAGATACTTTTGTGTTAGCAACATCTGCAGTCTTTTCCAACAGCTCGGATACATTCACCATGTAACAGTTTTGAGATTGAACACTGGAAATTTCAGTTGTTTCTAGATAAATCAAAAATTCAATTTAGTACCTGTCCACAGTAGTTCCATGATGGTCTGCTTCAGAGAATCTACATTTTCTGACACCTTGATTTCCATCAAAGTGCACATTGTAGTAGTGATATTGAGTGGTAACCCATCCAACCCAGACTTGTGACGTATCTTGTCCTGGGAAGATTCTGACTCCATAGTAATATTCGTCGACTTTGTCTTTCAGAGCAACGAGAGCATGAGCATCTCCTTCTTGAAGAACATCCAGTTGAGCTTCCATGGGAATGATAGATCCCTTCTTTTCTCTTTCCATAGCTTTCTCGAGAGCAATTTCAGCCTGAAAATCATTTATTAATCTTTTTAATCGTTTTCAATTTTTTTTCAAATGTTTCCGGTTTTCAACTACCGTAACAAACCTTTAATAGAAGGGCTCCCCACACTGTTAAGTATGAGCTGATTTATCTCTGTTCTTGTGCAAGATCGAAAATGTGTTAACTGATAAAATATTTGTGAAATTATGACCAGCATGTTATCAATTGATAACTTTTTATACCTTTTACAGGAACCGAGTAAAATTGGCTCAAATTCGATCTTAAAATGCTCTTTTATTACAGGTTTTATGGTTTAAAAACGTTTTTGTTATTACCTTCTTCCCCTTCTTCCCCTTTTTAACTGATCCTCTTTTGATTGTCAACTGTCGTCCTGGTCCGGATAGAGGCATCTCGCTAGAGGCTGAAAATTCAAATTTCACATCTGTTTTCTAAACCCTCGAGCTATTAGATATTGCAATGGGGGATTTAGAAATGATATGCCGAGTACCATGCTGCATTTGAAAGAGAGGAGAAAGTTTTTGGGAGATAGGGAGAGAGAGAGAGATTATAAGAGAGTTTTGCCAGAAAGGAGAGGCTTTGATGCGGCGCTTGCTTCTCACCGGACACTGTGTCTTCCTCGTGGAACTGATCTTGTAGAACCCAAATGGGATCTAGATCTTCTGATTCTTCTTCTGAATTTTATCTACGGATACTATAGGAATACTAAAAGACGCTAATGTGTTTGTGATGGTGGGATGAAACCAAATAAAGTGAACCTATCTACAGTAATCCATCAATAACTCACCCAGTACATCCTTTTGACCAGTTGGGAGAGTTGAAGTATCAAGACTTCCGGCGTCAAAACTTCTTGAGTTGGATTTCATCTGTCTTAAAGCTGCTGCCTTATCCTCTTTCCTTCTATCGCTATCTCTGAAACTGTAGATTCTTTCAGTTCGACATACTATTCTATTCTATGATTCAATTACTTCTTTCGGGTGTTGCTGGAATCACGCAGTCTGCTCAGAATGCCGCCTTTCTTTGGTTTTTCAGCATGACGATCATTCAAATCTCTCATATGCTCTTCAGCAATTTGTCGTTCTTCATGTGGAAGTTCGAGAAGACTTCTTCTGAAATTCAAATCAGACTGGGTTACGATATTTTGAAACTGAATAATCAGATGTGCTCAAAATACAGAAAGCGGAGAAGCTCTACTGGAAAAAATTACAAGAATCGTTCGATTTGAATTCTGTGTCTGTGTGTCTGTGTGTTTTTTGTTCGGTTAAAAAATCGGTTTCAGAAGAGAACAGAAGAAGTTTGCAATCGGTAAGTGCGTGCGTTATTTTGACATGCAAATAGTGGTAGTACCAAATAAAAATAGAACATAAAACGACTAAAAGGTAGCATTCTCGAACGTTTTCAAACACCTCAACACGTCCTGCCATTTGTGATTATCCTCTTCGTTGACGTGCAACCACGTCAGAATCGATTCGTCGAACGAATACATACCGAAGTTCATTAGGGTTAGAACACGCCGACGTTGACTGTAACGACCTATATCTCATTTTGGGGAAAATTGGAATTAAGCGATAGAGATGGATAATTATAATATACTGGAGATCAAATTCAAGGGAAGGGGGTTCGAAACTAAAAACAATACAAGGAAGGAGTAGAACGCAAGGATACTATCACGTTCATACCAGCGTAGAAGCCTCTCGGAGGAAGCTGTTCAAGGAGGAAAAAGAGGAAGAGTTGTTCACATTAGAAGTCAATATTGTGTATTAGTTAAATTATAAAAGGAAAACCACTCGAAACTCACTTCTAGTCGAAAAAATAAAAGAGAACAACAAACGAAAATAGGAAATGACATACCTGACTGCTGGTGGTTCATCTCCTTCGATACTTGGTTGCTTTGATGTTGTTCTAGATCTATTCCGATCGTCATCTGATTCATGAGAGTCTTTCGATCCAAGCATACTTCTCAAGAATCCCTTCTTCTCTTTATTATCGTCGAATTCTTTGGGAATTCCTGGAGCACGAATCTGACTGACAACTGATTGGGAACGAGGCTTGTAGTCTTGAAGCTGACGCCGAATCGCTTCTTTGTCTCTGAAAAAGTCATTTAGAGAATACATTTTTTGAGAAAAAAACTCACTTGTTCTTCACAAAAGTGTCATTACACTTGACCGGTAATGACAATCTGATGTACTCCATCTTTGCTTTCTCGGATGGACCTCCTTCCGATATCGTTACTTTTTGCAATATCTTCAGGCATGGTGGACTATTTCCAGTTGCTGGAATTCTAGTAACTTCTAATATAGATCCTGACTTGAGAGTGGAAATATCTTCGAATCTTGGAAGTTGCTTGGCAAACCACATTGGCATAGTTCTGTACATGTTGACACAGAAGGGTTCGTATCCTTCTTGTAGACCGCAAGTTGTGAAGAATTTTAGAGAATTGGATTGTTGTCCAAAGTTAAGTCTTCCTCTCTGTCCACTTCCAAGTGTCATTGCTGGAACTAGTCCATCTCCACATACAACATTATCAAATGCCATTTCAGATCCAGATGGGTCAAGAAGAAGTTCTCCATTAAGAGAGAAACTGATGGTACGGTCATTCAGATCGAGGAAACATCCAACGACATCTCCGATCTTCCATTCCTTTCCATATGTTTCTGCTCCTTGATGCCATTTTCTGCCAAGGTAACCATCAAAAGCATAACTTCTATCATCAGCTCCCAGTTGGATTTCTGGTGTTGATCCGATATCCATCCATCCGATTTTCATGTAACCAGCAGTCAGAATTTCAAATTCAAAGTACCATTTTCCTCCATTAACTGCATACGTGGCTTCGGCACGATAAGTTCTGGTATTATCTTTTCGTGCTCTCAACTCCTTCTCGGCAATTTCATCATGTTCGTGTGCTGGTGGTTCCAAGAAAATACCGAATAGTTGGAGAGCTCTAATATTTTCAGCAGCGGATTCTCGATTGGCCTGTTTGATTCTCTCGTCAACCTGCTCATACGGGACCAGATGAGGTGATCTCTTCTGTGTGGCATCCACGTGTTCACTCAGCCCAAACGTCCATCCTCTTTTGATCTTTTCCTTCGCCCAAATGTTGTGAGTGTTTCGAGCAAGGGCTTCTGTGAGTGGCTGAAGTTCGACTGGAAGTTGGATCTCATGAGTATCCAGTGGTCCGGGTTTATAGCCATTCGATTGTTGGAAGTTTTGGGCTAATCGCACGGCTCTCAGTCTGCATGGTGGATCGTCAGTAATGAGGTGGTATCCAAGGGCTTCAATTGTTTTCATTGTTGTCAATGCCAACATTATGTTGTACTTCTTTTCAGTTTCCGGGAGCAGCTCGAATCTCGTGAGACACGGATGTTTTCTAGATGTTTCTGATCTTGTTTCTCCATATGACCATCCAAGTTCAATCTTCCTCATTGCCCATAGCTCGTGAAGATTTTCAGCATATTTCTGATGCATTTCCATTGCATGGTGTGTGAGTTGGGTGGTTGAAACGTCGATGGGAGTTGGAATGAATGGTTCCAAATTGTTGAAAATTGTCTGTGGACCACAGAAAATGTTCTTTCCCAAATCACCGAATGATAGGCAATCAGTGATACCTAATTCTCCGTTGACTGCTTCCACAACTGCCGAAAATCCAGTAGGTGGTCCATATCTCAATCTTCCTTGATTCCCTCCCAAGATAAAACGACAAGAGACTTTGGCAGAGAGGGACATAACAGGGAAGAAATATCCGTCGGTGTTGAACTTTTTGAAAGATCCACTCATGTAGGATCCGTTGACACTGAATCTGATTTCAGGAATCGTCAAGTCGATGGAGCATCCGATGACGTCACCTTTCTCCAAAAGTTTGTGTCCAACTATTCTTGATTTTCCTCCGAAAAACATTGATTTTCCATCAAAACCGTAAGAATAGAAGTCATCTCCAACTCCATTGCATCCCCATTTGTCTCCAGATCCAGGGAACGGCTTGAATCCAACACTGTTTGCCCATCCGATTCGAAGATATGGAGTCTGTTTGGTCATGGTTTCGATGTGTTCCACTTCTGCTTCGAAATACCATTTTCGGAATAGAGCGGATCCATCGACAACTCCGAGCATCACGTTGGGCATCATACTGGATACATGATCTCTCATTGATGTTTGTAATAAAAGATCTTTTCCGGGTAACAGATATTGAGTGATAAGGTTTTGTGAACTTCTGACAGCCATTCCGTTTCCTTCACAGAGAGACGATAACACATCCAGAACTTTTGGATCTCTTCCCACTTTTTCTAACAGCGAAATGACAGATCGAATGTGCCCTTCGTTGATCATATTCAATGCTTCTGGAGATTCAGTCAACACACAATACAGTACATCGAGAATTCCTTCAGCTGATTGTGGATTACTCAATCTTCCGAAGAGCCAATCAAGTCTTTGGGCTGAAGCAAACTGAGCACAATTGTAATGGTTTCCTTTGATCATTGCAGCCACCAAAAGATACAAATAGGTAGAGATCTGTTCCCATTTGATGTGAGTTTCTTCTCCAATCAGTCCAGCAAAATCAGGAAGAGCTTCCATTTGAGAAAACTTATCGATAGTGTCAAGGATCATGTTGAGAACTCCTTCTTCCTGGAAAAGGTCTTGACGACTTCGCAGTGCTCGAAGATGATTCTGTTTCTCTTCAAAGTCTTGTTCTTCATTCGGTTGAGCAAAGTATTCAATCAGATCTTCCATCAATTTCAGTACTTCGTTGAGATCTACTCTTGTCCAATCGGTTGATTGATTTCCTTCCAGTTGTAATGCATCGATTCCTTTCAAGAATTTGTTGAGAACCGATGAACACTTTCTGATGACTCTGGCGGATTTTGATTCTTCTTCTAGAGCCATGAAAAAAGTGTAGCAGTCGTCCATGTGACCATCTTTCAGTGCTACTGCTTTCTTCTCTTCAACTTTTCCTAATCCTTTTTTCGTCACTTCAGATGTTTGATAAGAAAGCCACAGTTGAGTTTTCACATGTTGAATGAAGGCGTTGGTCTCTCCATATCGTATCGTGGCGTTTCCCATTCCTTCTTCCTCTTTCTCATCGAGCATCTGCTTCTTAGGATCTTTATTTTGGCACATAACAAAGGCTGTCAGTTCGAAATCTGCTTTTTCTTTGTGGTAAAGTTGCACCGCGTTGTCCAAAACTCCTAGATACCTTCCGGATGTGATGTGTTTGATTCGGAATACTTGTTCCCATCCAACCAGTGCTCCATGCCATTTCATTCGAACTAATTCTACTCTCCAAAGTGATCTGGCTTGTGTCACCGCGGCACCTCCTTCGTAGATTACCATGCTGAAATAATTTTCAGATTTTTTGGAAGACTTAAAGAACTGACTTGTGTTGTGGATGCTCGCTCCAGTTTTCTGGGATTGTTAAGCATTCATCGTTACCGTGGAACAACCTCAGAACATCATTTCCGAAGAGAAATCCTGGAAAGAAATTCAGTTTTTATAGAATTCAAGCTTCAAAATACTCACCCATATTTCTGGTTCTCATGCTTCCTGAACTGACAGACTGGATATTCCATAGTGTTTGATGGAAAGATGCAATTACCATGTAGCCTTTGCTATATGCCATGTGCTAAAAAGTTTGAAAGTTTTTATAAGTTTGAAGAAAATTCATATATCCATCACTACTTTACAAAATCACTTTACAACATTTTCAGCTTGCCTGTTCTTTTTCTGTTATTCGTTTTTTCAGATGCTAAATGTATTTTTTAATTCCAATTCATTTAGTCAAACACTTACTAAATATCTTTCGGTGGCCACTGAAACCAAAATGACGTCATCACCGACGCGCACTTTTTCTCCTTCTGATCTTTGTTTGGAGGCTGGATGAATGGTCCACCAACACGCTTCTCCTGGAACAATTTCAGACTTTTTAAAGAGATTAATTTGGAACGAACATACCTTCATTCGTTTCTTGTACTCCTACATCAAATGCTAGTTTATCGTTTGAAGAGCAGGACGAAAGGCAGGCAAGATACATTTCACTCTGCACATGTTTCAATTGTACCGCGTGTCCGTACAAAAGAGTCTTGTGACCTCCAGCACCAGAAGCAGATTTCTATAAGTTTTCTGGTTGAACATTAATCTCACCAAAACAAAAACTCACATGATCACTGTCTGCTGACATCATTTCCTGTAATGCTCTCATTGATAGTGCGTTATCGATATAGAGCATGCACATGGCAATGTCTGGTGGGATGTCCTTGTCCGATACGTTTTCCAGTGTACACATCCGGTTACCGAAACCTTCTGTGCACAAACAAACTCTGCAATTTTATAGTTACCCTTATATTTATAGTTACTGTATATTGTTTTTTACCTTTCTGACCCGAGAACTCCATCTCTGTTGTGTGAGGCAACACAGGAGAGGCAGACGATGTCTCCCTGAAATTATTAGATTCAGTTGGGATGTACTTTCGCCATTTTTTGTTTTGACCATTATTTTTCAGACCTAATATATGTACAAACCTTCGTTACATAATTGTGATCCTCATCCGATATATCCGTGAAGTCAAAATCCATTTCCACTAATATCCGTAACTAATCATATCACTGAACATGAATATACTGAGTTGTGTATCTTGTGTTTTTGCGTTTGTGTGCGGTTTTTTGGCGGGTTCTATGGTTTTGCTGCCTAGAGCAGACTTCTAATGTGAAGAGAGGAGTCTCTTTGTCTGAAAACTGAAGAGTCACCATCAGCACAAAAAATAAAGAATAGTCGGCGAGAAGGAAAAAGACGACGAAAAAACAATAGGCGGGACCGGGACGGCAGAATGCCATATGTGCGACATAACATATTCTCTCTGGGGAGCAAAAAAAAAATAGGAAGAGATATCTGGAATATATGGAAACTAGCACTTATTTGTGATGATGTGCAACATAATAAATATGGGGATTAAGAAGTGATAAGCTAGACACCGGGTGTAAATGGAAAGAAAAGGAGAGCCTAGAGGCGAGATCAAATCGGCAAAAGCAGGAGCCTTGTTTGTTTTCTAAAGAGAGATCACTATCATCCTGAGACTCCTATGTTCAATATGCTCTCTTGCAAGTACGATTTGCACAAATTCCTGTCGGCATATACCTGTCCGATTTCAAATTTTTCGTTTATCAATCAAAAACGCTCTGCCGAATGATTCAATGATTCTTGGAATCGGAAGCAACAAATAAAACTGATTCAGTTCTGAAACAACTGGGAATAAGGGTCTAACAAAGGAACTTTTTTGAAAGGTTCTTCGGGAATTAGCTGAAAATTTGAACAAAGGTACTTTGAACATGCTGGAAACAATTTCAGCGATATCTATGTAGTAGAGCGATGTATTATCGTAGAGGATGACGTATTTCGAGTAAATCCTATAAAAGTTCGAACTACTGAAAATAGAGCTCAATGTTATTAAAAAAACTAATAGTACACGTTGATGCGGGTAATGAGATGTCTGGAAATCTGACAATGTCTAGAGGGTGGGAAACTTAAATATGGGCCCAATAGAACACTGTCAAGTTTGAGAAAATTAGCTCAAAGCTAAACGTCAGGGGCCTTCTATTACAGATTTTACGGGAAAAAACTAGGATTTGAGCTATGAAAAAAAAGAAACGAATAGTACATGTTGATACGGGAAATAAGATTTTCCTGGGAATCTGGAAATGTCTAGAGAGTGGGAAACTTGGATCGATTCTCATAATACTCAGGCCTAAAAGAAAAAAGAAGAGGACGAGGACGTTTCTCGAGATCTAGGAAATAAAAACTCGTGTATAAGGTTAACCTAAAAACTTTCGAGTACTTTTTTTCCGGAAAGAAGGCTAATTCCTCCGTGGGTGTCCCCAGAAATACGTTTATGGGTTGTATGTGCGTAGTAGAGGACAAAAAGTTGGAAGGCGGACGGGAGATGAATGCACAAAACGAGGCCAAAGGGGAAGAAGAGAGGAGACGGAAAGGAACTGAATAGGATTCGAAAGAAGAGGCCTCGCTTTTTTTCGAGTTAACCGCGTACTTTTTGCTTCTCGCCTTCTTCAGAATTTTTTCCAAAAAATTTTGATTGATCAAGAGACAAAGTGGTATATGGAGAGAGAGAGAGAGGCTGGTTGCTGGCCTCTAGGGGTCTTTTCAGCTTTGTAGGGATTTTGGAAGGGACTAATAGAGTGCAAGCGTACCTTTTAGAGATGTTAATTCTAGAAAAAGGGGGGACGAAACAAATCAAGAAGTAGGGGTGGGAGAGCGAAAACGAAATGAAACACGACGTCTACTGAGCAAGAAGTGTCAGCTCTCTATGTTTCTCCATATCGCGCACTCTTAACAAGTTTTTCTCTTTTCATACATTTAAGAAAAGATGTGTGGCAGAGAAGGGAAAAACGCAAGAAACGAGGATGTGAGAGTAGCGCCACCCCTGGACACCACTCATATATGCACAAATTTCAATTATTTTTTCCTACTTTTTTTTTCTTCCTCACTTCCTCAAGAAGATCGTCTTCTTCTTGGTCATAAAAAACCAAAAAAGTGTTTCCCCTAGAATTCGTGAGCGTCTACTTTGTACAAATGAAAAAATGTGGGTCCCTCTTCTTCGAAATTCGAGATGAGCTGTTGGGATGCAAATGCTTACATAAAATACGGATGTGTTTCTTTTTTCATTCCATTTTGTTTCGTTTTTATGAAAGTGACATGAAATTGCCGCGAAACTAAGGGACAAAAAACTGGTTGCCAGGAGCAAAGGTACTACTAGTAAAAAAAAAGAAAAAACAGCTTTGAATATCTTTTTCCTCCCGTTTTGCTCTTTTTCTCTATTGCTCTAATATTCTCAAAATACGACGACAAGCTAAAAAAATGTGTTGATTAAATGTGCTAAATCGGAGAGAGAGCATCGGGTTGTTCTTCTTTTTTTTTCTCCGGGAATATTTAATTCTCACCACTGGGGATAAAAATCATTTGGAGTAGATTTCTTATTCTGTATCTGAATGACCTCTTTCTTTTTATCTTTAGAGCCTAATTCTCACGCTCTTTGAATAAAGCATAAAATTTAAGATCTCATTCCGAAGCTAATGCATTACTCGGCGGAACCAAAAAAATGGAATTAAAAAGTGAGAAGAGCTTCTTTCCAAAACATAGAGAAGAGCACATTCTCTCTGTGTTACAATAAAACAGCATCTTTCTCTTTTGTCGCTCTTTTTACGAGATTTGCCAATTGCGCACTTACACTCTACGGAGGGTCCTTTTAGTCGTTTATGCAAAGCGACACTATTTTTTTGTTGCAACGAATTTCGAGAGAAAAAGAGAGCAATATTTCATAAAACTCGCTTCGAACTGAAGACGACTGACTTCAGAAAAGTGGATTTGTGAGATTGAAGGAAACAGATAGAGTACAAAAATCTACAGTATGCCTAAAATTGTATTCTCGAGATTCCTACTATTGTAAAACCTGTAATAGAAGGTTCACCAAACTTTCATCTTTGAGCCAATTTTTCTCTGTTCCTGTCAAAGATATAAAAGATGGTAAACTGGTAAATTTTTTATCATAATATCACAAACATTTTATCAATTGACACATTTTCATATATTTTGCATAGAGAAAAATTAGTTCAAACTTGACAGTGTGTGGGCACTTTTATACGGGTTTTTAACGACGGTGGTCTGGTTATGATTAGATCAAAATTCTACATTATTCATCAAGAATGGGTAAGATTTTCGAAACTAATGCAAGTTTTAGCGCCAAAAAAAAATATGGACTAGAATTCCGGACTAGAATTCCAAAAAACCATTATTTTAACACATATCTGTACAGATAGGGAAACTTTTTTTACTCCAGGATTTATCAGATGTGAGGATGTCAACGATTGAAAACAAGGAATCCAATTGTATTAATAAATTTTCAAAAGAATCTGCCTTTATGATCTAGTTGTGGAAAATCAGTCATCCTAGATACCACTTTAAAAGAGTGTCACCCTAACCTTCAACTTTGAGCCCATACACCTTATTTCCTCTAAAATATATCAAAAAGTGGTTAACTGGTAAAATATTTCTGATATTAAGATGAGTGTTTTGTCAGTTGACCATTTTTTAATATCTCTTTCAGAAAGCGAGGAAAATTAACACAAAATCAAAAGTTAGGGGTTCATTCTATGGGAGTGGTCACCGTAGTTTCTTTTATTGTCGAATTAAAAAAACTGGGACCTAATTTGAAAACCATCGCATCTTTTTGATCTACGAAAAAGCGCGGCAAAAACGTAATATTTCAGACATTCGCCTCGTTCGAGCTACTTTCGCAATTAAATACGGTTTTTCGATGAAAACAGATTCTGGAGATGCTAGCGATCATTTTCATACCAAGAAATCTAAATTTTGTTCAGAAAATCCCAAAAATTCACAGAAATTAATTTGTTATTTACAGTATCCGTTTTCGGAGCGATGCCTCGTAAATCGACACGAGCGTTGCCCGCGAAAATTTTCAGGTCCCAGTTTGTTTAATTCGACAATAGAGCGGCTTAAACTTTGATTTTGACTTCGACTCATGTACATAAATGCAATTTTCGAAAATTCAACCCAAAAAATGAGTTTCACTAACCGTTCGGAGAAAAGAGACATCATCCTGTTCTCCTCCTCCCTGCTCCTCCTTGTCGGCCATCGTCGTCGATCGTCAAAGTGATAATAGTCGTTTCGTTCTTCTTCACTCAGTTCGCTTTTTACTGGTTTGGCATCTGTCAAAAAAGAAACGAAATGAAGGTGGTACCACAAGGGAAAAGCCAAAAAAAAGAAGAAAAAAGAGGAGCATGACAGAACGAACGGAAAATTATGGGGATGTTTGAGATTTATTGAGGTTTCTATTTTTTTTTTCTCCGGACAAATATATTTCGACAAAACGGAAAGAAGGTGAGTTTTTGGAATAAAAGTAGAACAATTAGGCGGAGAGAAGAGACGAGAAGTCATGTTGAAAAAGATCGAATAAAACGTAAAACATGGGCAGGGAAAACAGAGAAAAGAGCATAGAGAGAATTGTGGTTTCTAATTAAACTCTCTGGTGGTTTTATTGCTCTCCAGTATTATGCTCAGAGAGAAAGCGGAGCAAAAAGAAAAAAGATGAACGCCTAATCTCAGAAATAACACTACATAGGTGAAAAATGAAAGAGTCTATATGAAAAAAAAGTAGTGGAGAAAGGAAAAAAGAAAGATTCGATTATTTTTAGGAAATATGAGTACATTTCACATGGATATTTGTTATAGTTATTTGTTGTGACAATTCTAACTATAAGATATAAGAGAAAAAAGGAAGATATGTAGCGTCTTGAGGAGGATGAATCGGATTAATCTAGCAGTTGCCAAAAACATGAGGATGTCAAACTAGAGATATGAATCAAGAATCACGGCAGTAGAAAGGTTTAACCTGGAAGATGACTAAAAGTAGGATTATCAACTGCAACAATGATAAAGACACGTCACAGGACACGTCATTATACCTAACAAAACGTCAGAGGATGAAGGGAAAAGAAGAAGATGGCTGCCAACGGATGCTCTTCCTCTTCTTCTACTCCCTCTCGGTGGCAGGAGCCCGCCAACTCTCTTCTTCTTCTCATCTTAACAGCCGCGGTTCAGTTTCATTTCTCTCTGAGATCTCTCGGATTGTTGTGCTCTTTGACCGAAATACAGTGTAAAATGGCCATTGCCGATATTCCGTCTGCGTCTTCGGCTCTCTTATTGCTGAGGTGATGGAAAAAGAGAAAGAGAGAGGAAAGATGAAGTTTCCCCTTCGGAGTGGTGGCGCGGATGAGAAGAAGAAGATTATTATGAATGCAGATGTGCACCGGAGAGTGACGTTGACTTTTTTGAAGAAAAGGAACACTGATTCCGGGCAGAGCTGTAGCAAAACAACCTTGTCGGACGGGACATTTTGATTGAGTAATATTAAAACGAAACTATACGTTTTGAATACCGTAATAGACAGGCACTCTTAACTTTCTACTATGAGCTAATTTTTCTCGATTCCTGTCAAAAATATGAAAAAGTTGTCAACTGATAAAATGTTTCTCATCATATCAGAACTATTTTGTCGGTTGACACATTTTTGATATCTTTCATAGGAGTTGAGATAATTGAGCTCAAAATTGACAGTGTGTAGGCCCTTCTAATTGCGGGTTTTACAGTACACTGATAAAAGTAGATTCGATGAGCTGATAGAAATCTTAGAGTCAAGAAGTTTGGTCTAAACAGATAAGAATACAGAAAGAGCGCAAGGACTGTACAATAATTCTAGGCTAGCAGATCTGAAACTTAAAAATTAGTTTTAGCAGTCTCATTTTTTTACAAATTATTCTAGCGTTGTTTCAAATTAATTGCTGTTTTTTGAAATCGGACCCCTTCGCAATTTTATACTTTAGAAGTTTTTTTCAAATCTCAAAAGACAGATTTTTCAAATTTTCAGACCTAACAAAGAATGAAAAAAATCAAGAGCGAATAAAAAAATCATAAAAAACACAAAAAACTTCTTCATCGTCTTCATTCACTTCTTCTTCGTCTTAAGTCTATGGGTTTGTGGCTCCCGGTGGAGAGTGTGTGAAGTGTATATCTTTCTTCTCGATCGGATGGATACTTTGCGCTTGGCTCTCTTGTCTGCGGGGATCATTTATTAGTCGCCGAAAGAAAAGCTCAAGTGAAAAAAAGCGGCTCTCTCTCTCGGTTCTGTTGCCCGGTGAGGCGCAGAAGAGAGAGAGATTGGAACGTAAAGACAAACAACTAATGTTTTGAGTTATTTATTCATGATAACATTAAACCCGATCAGTTTTTAATTGGTATACAATAAATACATGAAAAATGTCTAAAAGAGATCTAACATCTATAGTGTACAAGCGAAGAAGATCAATCGAGATCCATGGTTTCATTTCGTAACCTCTTCATCATTTCATCATCTTTAACCACGGTTGTGTTCCTGTTCTGATCTGAAAATGAATCATCACATTAAAAAAAAGTTGATCTGTCTTACAACTCACTTTCGAAAAACCTATCCATACTATTCTGAAGTTTCACTCTCCTCTGATCCAATTTTATAGTGTTTATAATCTTCTCGTAAATCTCCTTCCTGGCTCTCATTCCCCATAGAAAATCGTTGTGATTGAAATCTCGAAGTTTGCTGAAAAAAAAATTGATTTTTCAGACTTCAAGCTCCGAAAACTTACGTGGCTTTCTTCAAAGATCTAGTTGGCAACATTGGAATCAAGAATCCCTCAACGTCCTTCGGATTTGCCAACCAGTCGAAATCAGAGTAGAATAAATAAATAGAACTATTGATTCTTCGAATGTCATACTCTGGAGGTAGAGGCTGAAACACAGACAATTTTTAAACATGCTCTGATTTTAATTTGAACGTACAGCCCCATAAATTTTTGAGTTCAGATCTTTCCCAAAATCAAAACGAGACATCCTCTTAGTCTTTACCATTTGTGCAAAATGAAGCATATTTCTGGAGGAAGTTCCAGCTGGATTATGTGCAAGATAAATCCCAATTCTTGACTGAAATTTGGAGTATTAAATCTTTTAAAAAAATTTTTAATCAGACATACATTATTGAATTGGTTACTGTTTGGGCCAGAGACAGCAAAAATGAAGTTCTCACAAAGGGGATTGTTCACAGCTTGGTCGCAGAAAATATCCGTAAGGAGCTTGGTGAAGATATTATTTGTCAAGAACTCTCCATCTCCGAAAACTTGGTACACCAACTGAAACGATAAATTCTCAATCAGAACAATTATTTGGTCTCACATTGTATTGCTCATAAATTTGCCCCAAATCATGGAATAGCCCCTTCACATGAGACATTCTTGCCACAGGAGCCAGTGCGAAGAACTTCCTGACCTTCGTTGACATTTCTGGGTCTTCACTCATTTTTGCGAACATTGTGAGAGCTCCTAAATTATCAGAAATTGCAGATCCATTTTAAAAACTCACAAACCTTGTGAATGACCGACGTAATACAAATTTGACTGTCTAGTATTTTTAAGAACATAATTGATCATAGCAGGTAAATCATATCTCGCCATCTCTTCCCAGCTAAATTTCCAGAATCTCCTGTCAGATGATGTCATTCTAACATGCTGCTTCGAATAAGTGTTTCCTCTCATGTTACCCAGCCAAACATCATAACCCTGATCGGCGAAAATGTATCCTAAAAAACTAATCTTACTACGAATTTTAATTCTGCAAACTAACCGGCTGACTGTCTCGGCAGATTGAGTAGCCAAATCGAAGACGTACAAAGAAGTCCGTGTTGCAAAAAGACGACCGGTTTAGGCATTTTGGATGCGGATTTCGAGGTCTCATCTCAAGAAGTTTTTTGGTATTCGGAAATGAACTATTCGTAACGGCAATATGCTTACTTTTTCCATGCGGAATGCGATGCAAAGTGAGGATGTAGCCATCGGCTGTGACGACTTTGTGCGTTTCGACCGGATATCCCCAATGAGCGATTATCTCTGGCTGAATATGATCATTATTAGAAACGGATGCATGTTTTTTAGGTTTTTTTTTTCCAAAATTACCACATCCATAATAGCTTCCGGGTCGATTGTAATGTTCAAAGGTTTCATAGTTGTCGGTGGTGGAAGAGTCGGAAATGTGAATGGAGCAAGAGTCGGGAGAGTTGGCATAGTTGGGAATGGTGGGAACACATCTTGCATTGGTTTTATAGGAGAATCATTGATAGGAGATATGACTGGAGTTTTGGTAGGAATGGTCCATAAGGGAGTCAGTGAATTGAATCCGAATGTCTCCTTATCCGGAACTTCCATAGTGGTGGGAGCTATCGGAGGGGGAAGTAATGTCTGAACGGTTGGCATAGACGATAGCCAGTCATTCGTAGATAATGATGAGAAGGAGAATGTGGGAACAGGACTTTTGAGTGCAATTGGGAGAATCGAAGTTTTCGGAAGTCCTGGGTTCTGAGCAGTAGATAGAAGAGGAGTTGTTGTGGATGGAGTTGCAGTCATGTCAGTGTCCTCTTCAGAAGTTGAAGTCGTAATTTCATCGCATAATGAATAAAGTATGAGGAGCAAAATGAGTATTATTAGTTTCATCTGGAAAAAATGTATTTGTATATTACAAAATTCGAAATAAAGAGCGGAGAAAGGTTATCGTGAACATTCTAGCCACCCAAACCGGCCACTATGAGCTCATATATCTCGGTTCCTATGAAAGATATCAACGCTTTTTTAACTGACAAAACAATTCCTGTATTATAAGAAATATTTTGTCAGTTAATCACTTTTTGATATATTTTATAGATAACGAGATATATGGGTTCCAAGTTGACAGTTTGAGTGGCTCTAATAGAGTGTTTACGGTATTTGACACCCTATATCAATTGAATATGGCTAACTGCTATAAACATGACGTGCGGAATCACAAAATGAGAATTAGGAGATTTCGCGGAAGTGTTCGTAACACTCGTTTCATGGAAACTAAAACAACAAATCGGGAAGAGGTAAGATAGGTACACCGATTGAAGAAACGCAGCGATTTGTCTGTCCATTCAAACTGGGTCATTATAGGAATGGACGGTTATGTTGAAAAGAGGGATGAGACGCAGGTGGGAGGAGGTTGGTTAGCCGACAATTATAAACTGACGGATAAAATTGTTTAATGATGGGAGGAAGAGAAGTAGATGATGTTAATCCTAGAATCGAGACACTTTTTTTTTGGCCATCCGGTACGCTTTCCCTTGTCCTTGAGTTCATATTTTCCTGTATGATGGTGTTGCTGGACATTCCCAGTTTTTTGTTTGGTGACCACTTGGAAAAACTTTTGTTGCGTTTTTACGGAATGCATGCAAATAAAGTTTGACCATAAAGTTTGAAATAGTTTTGAAACTCTCTTTAGTTTACTCAGGAATCGAACATTTCGAAAGTTGTTTTTCGAATGATGTCAAAACTATTTTCAACTGATTTTTGATAGCAAGTATGCTTTTAAGAGTATTACTTGCTGCTGATTGCTTATGATGCACATAAACAAGTTGACATAAATTTCAAAATTTATTGAAAAATATTAGAAAACTAAAGAAATGAGCAAGACAAGGGCTGAGAACAAATAAGAGACTCCATGCGAAGACATTGTGGTTGTAACTGTAAAAAAAATTTTGATGAAATATTGAGTTCAATATCTTACTGATTGTTGAAGTAGAATCTGGACTGGACGCCACTGATGCAGTCCCTGTGACATCTTCCACAAACGGAGTGGGAGCTGTTTCTGGTTCCGTATGAGCTTCAGTAGGAGCTGCTTCAGTTACTGTAATTTCTGAAATGGTAAGAGTTTAGGAGAGTAGCATGCGGAGTTTTGTATTACCTGCAGTACTAGCTTCAGTAGTAGTAGTGGTATTTCTGACGTCCACATTTGGAGTAACCGCCGTTTCGGCCTCGGTAGGTGCATTGGTAGATGAAACAAAGTTAGTGACAGTACTACCTGAAACAATTTGAAATCATTCTGAATCTGTTTTTGCCTAATATACCAAAATCGGTAGTCGTTTCCGCAGTTGTCGGTTGAGCAGTTGTGGTTTCTTTAGTATCAACATTTTGAGTGACAGGAGTTTCTGTCTCGGTTCGTGGATTAGTAGATGGAGCATCTTCAGTAACAGTACTCGCTACAAAAAGAACGAAATTGAACTTTTTGTTTTTGGGAAGAAATGTACCTGTTTCAGATTTAACTATTACAGTGGTTGGATTGTACACCTTTGTAGTAGTGGTCTCTTTCTTGTCCACATACGGAGTAACCACCGTTTCGGCCTCGGTAGGTGCATTGGTAGATGAACCAAAGTCAATGACAGTACTACCTGAAACAATTTGAAATAATTCTGAATCTGTTTTTGCCTAATATACCAAAATCGGTAGTCGTTTCCGCAGTTGTCGGTTGAGCAGTCGTGGTTTCTTTAGTATCAACATTTTGAGTGACAGGAGTTTCTGTCTCGGTTCGTGGATTAGTAGATGGAGCATCTTCAGTAACAGTACCCGCTACAAAAAGAACGAAATTGAACTTTTTGTTTTTGGGAAGAAATGTACCTGTTTCAGATTTAACTATTACAGTGGTTGGATTGTACACCTTTGTAGTAGCGGTCTCTTTCTTGTCCACATACGGAGTAACCACCGTTTCGGCCTCGGTAGGTGCATTGGTAGATGAACCAGAGTCAGTGACAGTACCACCTGAAACAAGGAAAAATTAGTTTTAAACTATTTTTACCCTAAAAAAGAAATTTACCAGAAACTATATTCAGGGTTGTTGGCTGGGAAGCTTCTTCATTTGGAGTTACACGAGTTTCTGTCTCGGGTGTAACTGTCTTAATTTCCTCGTTTGGCGTTACAGCAGTTTCAGGATCAGATGGAATTTCGGTGAACGCTTTTTCTGTGGCGGGACTTGCTGAAAATATTTTGAATTCGTCGCTTCTTTTTTAAAATCATTAGGCTCGCGCTATTTCAGGATCTGTGATGGAAGCTAGTTCAGTTACAGTTCTTCTAGGAACTAAATTGGTTAACTACTTTTGTCCTAATTTTAGAACTTGGAGCTCGTTCTCGTAATGGTTCAAGCCGATTCAAATTCAATAACTCACCATCGGAAATCGGAGATTGGACGGTTGGAGCAGATGAGGCATAGGAGAAAATTAAAATAACAAGCACAATTCTTGTAGAAATCATCATGATGGGTACGAAAATGACTATTCACCAATCACCTGGAGCTTTTTGTATGCAATCACAGAGGAAGGAAAAATATCTTATCTTAAATTCTACCCATCCCAATGGGCAGTAACCGGACATCATAACAAGCGTTGAAAGAGAACAAACATTCCTCGGATAGCGACAACAAATGACACATGCTGCTAAAAATGTGCAGTTATTTTAACGGAAGAAATGAAAACAGGATTTCCTTTGAATTTCATAAGGGGCCATAAAACTGTTTTTGCTTCTTAGCTGGAAACTGGGAAGCAAACAAGGTCGCAGAGCATTTTTGTTATTTTTTGAATGTGCGAACATGTGAAATTCTTATTTTTTTTGCTTGCTCACGATCGGTCTTTGCTCTTCACGATCTATTTAACCGATAATCTCAGTTATTTTCTAAAAACAGGCATTTTTTTAAAATATGTACTCGCTTTTCCACAATTCAAATTTCAGATGCCCTTCTGAGGTTTCGTTGTTTGGAGTTTTGAAAAGATGATTAGGAAGACTGAAATACGGAGATGAACTGATTGACCAACATTTGTGCTTTCAGAAACCCCCGCAAATGACAATATATTTCGAAATAAACATGAATTCCAAATATGTGTTATCAAATTAATTGTTACCTTTTTATAGCTTTGATGTTGCCGATGTTTCAAAGTTTTGTGTTCTCCGGTTAAAAGTGTGAAGACCGGAGATTTTCCAGAGTTCTTTTTAAGTTAGTGATCATACAATGCGTGTCCGTTTTCATATCGACCACCCAGCTTACACCACCGTACCTCAGCTGGAAGCGGCGCGACACCTCCATCAGTGGGCCCAAGTTCAACTCCTTGAGAGGCGCATATGAACGAAAATTCGAAAAAACATAGTTTTTTTTTCATTTCTTCTGATTTTTAACTATCCACACTCATTAGGAAATGTCCGAAAAATTCCTTTAAAATTAAAAAGAATTGATACAAATGATTAAGACTTCATTAATAAGACTTCAGACAACTGATTGTGAGGGAAATAAAAATCACAAATGTTTATTGAGATGAATGATTAAAGCAAAAACTACCACCGGTAGAGAATGATCTGATGATTTTAGATGAGCATTGAGATGGCGATTGGAACAACAGAAAGGAAGGCGGAGATTCCGTGTGCGGATTTTGTGGAGGTTCCTGAAATAAATTTGTCAGTATGAAAGTTAATGAAGTGTTGTTTCTGTGAAACTTACCAATTGTGATTGTTGTGGCTTCAACAGTATTGTTTCCAGTTGGGGCATTTGAAGTGTTGGGGTCGACATTTGGAACAGTTGAGCTTGCTTGAACGGCTCCCGTCGATGGAGCTCCAGAGGAAGGAAAAGATGGAGCAGCAGTATTTGATGCTTGTGTAGCTGGTGGTTGAGTAGCTGGTGGTTGAGTTGCTGGTGATTGAGTTGCAGGAGGTGCTGTTGGTGGCGCCGATGTACTTTGAGCCGAGGACATTGCAGCAATTGTGACGAAGAGAACAGCAATGAGAGTTTTGTAGGAGGTCATCTTGAAATAGGAATGAGAGTATGAAACTGACTTTTTTCGCAACCGCCCAGTCGTTTTATATTGAGAGAAAGTGCGGAACAAGCAGGATGTTATCAAAGTTACTTTAACGAACAGGATGGGCGGGGACAGTTTCATATAGGTAACAAAAAATATGTATGAGTAACAGCAGCAGAGAACAGGTGAATAAATTTTAAGAAATATTATATTTTGGATAGAACACTTCTGGAGGTACGAATATTCTGGATGGGAGTTATGGATGATGGGGCGAATGATCCTTTGACAAAGAATTGTTTGACGGATTGACGGATCTGAAGATGAGAGTAAATGTGGGAGAGTTCTAGAATATGGGAGGTCGTCTTGTTTTTTATTCTGAAAAGGAAGCTCTAGAAGAGAACGGGAAAATGGCTTCGCTCTTTCAAAGAAGAAAGGAGTTCCGATTTTCATTGACGAAAACTTCTAGATTTAAGTAAAAAAAAAAGATAAATTCGTTGGCGAAATGAATAAGCCAAATAATACACTCGTAGATCTAACACGCCTTTTCTGGTAATCAGAATGCTTCGAGATAGATTTCAGCTTAATAGAAAACTTGTTTTTCAGCTACCTTTTTTCTTTTTCTTCTGTTCATTCAATTATGTTTTCCTGTCACTATAGTTCCTGGTTTTCAGCATCGTCTATGTTATTGTAGTCGTCATCATCGCCATAAAAAAATTGGGGAAAAGATGCTCTCGAAGGAATTTTAGGGCGAGGTTTCGGAATTTTCAAAAGATAACATTAATTGATGACTAACAAGTTTCATGTGCACTAATATTCTCTTCTCCTCATTACGACTTAAGCGAATTGTTGTCAATCGGTCGGTTCATCCTTGAAGTTTGAACATAAAAATGGTTATCACTGAAATTTTTCACACCTAGTCCTTACTCCCCTCTACTTCCCTTCTACGGAACAAAACGCTCTTCCGTTGCTTATCAGATCACTCACACGTTTACTGAAAATAATCAAAACATAGGGTGTGGAAAGAGTGAGCAAGTCATTGGCAAACGGACTCATCACTTGGCCAATCCGACTGATCAATAAGAGTTTTGATGGATCTCTATCCGCTGAGATTTTGTTTATAGTCTGGAAATTGGTATTCTTGCAGTCATATTTCACATGAAAAAAATCAGATGCAAAAACAACTTACACCTATACAGAAAACCATGCCTTGGATTAGAAAAGTCACAAAAGAAACCAAAAATAACCGGTAATCGTTTTGTTGTCGAGTTGCTTTACTGTACTTTGATATTTTATACCAACATAGGGTATTCACAAACAAACTCAAAATCATCGTAACAATCATCCAGACGAGTAAAGCAGAGTACAAGGAAGATAGATTCGCTTCAGTCCTTACTACGTAGGTATCCGATAACGGGTTGTATTCGACGTAGGCACGATTAGCCAGTACTGGATACGTAAACCCAAGAGGAAGTAAACAGAAAATACCTATGATTATATATGTCCCATAGTGCCATATCTGAAAATGCACTACTTGTCGGAAGACCCTCTTTTATATCCCTGACTCACTTTTGTGTAGATTTTCTGCATAAATATCAGAGTGTAGCGATTGAAAGACGTCAGTAAAACGTTGGTATAACTCATGAACCCCAAGTGATATTGTGTGAAAAAGAAGAAATTGTATGGAAAGGATGAGTCGGAAGACTTTGATAAAGAGTCGAACCATGAGGAAAGAGCGCATTCTCTACAGGTGCTGGCAGGAAGACGTCCAGTGACATAGAAGTTCCAGTACATCCACATATTCTGAGAATTTGTTTAAAAGTGGGATGTAAAGCACAATAATTTTTTGGAAAGTCCATTCATAAAAACCCCTAGAGGAGTTGAATTTGTGAGCCCACCGCAGGAGGAGCTCAGAAAAATCTCCAGTCCTTTTCCTTCAATAAATTCCTTATACAGTTATTTTGTTTAAGTTTTCAAATGTTTTCATGTATAAACCCCGATTGTTGATCAATTTAGCAATCAGAACGACCTAAATTTTGATTTATGGTTGTCACGTAGTTTGCAGACACCTGATAAGAATGTAAAAATTGAATTAAAGAAGTATTAGTCAGTTCGATTCAAGTACATCAATCAACAGTTATTTTTGAATTTCCTCTCTTACTATCAAATGAGGTTGTGATATTTGTTTGAACTTACAAAAATAAACTGGTAAATATACAATTTGAAGAAATAATTATCAAAATGTTTCCAATTTTTAATCAGAAAGATAACAGTGAGAGAATAGAGCATCGTAGAAATCGTTCCATACACAAATTGAGTTATAAGAAGACCGGATAGCATCTGTAAGTCTTCACTCAGTTCCACGTACATTTTGAGCGAGAGGGTACAGTTGAAAAATCAAACGAATGGAAAATCAGAAGTAAGGGAGGGTAGGAGGAAATTGAATTTATGTTGAATTCCTAATCGTCTGATCCATTGAAAGCAAATTTTGATCTGGCTGTTTTTTTTTCTCGGGGGAAGGAAGAAAAGGTATAATTCAGGCGGGTTCGTCTAGATGGATATTTATAAAACGTCATTTAGGTTTTCATCGAAACGGGCTATATCTTATGAATGGTCCTAAATGAAGTCTGGAAGTTTTCCTAGAAAATTTGGAACTCAAAAAATGAGAAGGGAGATCATAATCTAGGTGAAATGGTTGTTTCTGGAAGCACGAAAAATTTTAAATTTCATCTCCATGAGACTATTTTCCCAGAACAAAACACAATATTGAGACCTTGTGCTTGATGTGGGACAGTATTCCAAATCATGAGTAATCTTGGGAAAAGTTTTGTGATCGTTTGAAAAGTTGTATGTTATTCGGAATTTTCTCAGGGTTCATAGAGGACAAGAAAAACAAAACAAGCCAGAATGAAGTGTCAGTTTATATAGAAAACTTCGATATTCGAGATTTCCAGAATAACATGTAATTACGACGAAGGCAGCATTTAAACTAGCAGCCCACGTAAAATCCAGCTGATGACCAGACAAATTATGAGGTTAGGAAGTCTCAGATGTGATCAAACAAGTACATGAAAAACATTTTGCAGTTGCAGAATATTATTAGGACAACTAGAGACCAAATATGAAATCAAAAAAGGTTTGCATACTTGTAATCCGGGCCCTGGCGGCCTTTCGCCGACCGTTTTTTTTAAATTCAGTATTCAGACCAACTGGTTTAAATCGGATGGAACTCAAAGAGTACTAAAAAAGGATACCATATGGAAAACTGTATCTTGTCTATGAACAAAGTTAAAGTTTCCATAAAGTGGCTGATCCGGATCGGACCGGACATTGCCTGTTTTTTTCGGTTCGTTTCGTCTGTAACTTTGTTCATCGATAAGATGCAATGTTTAAAGAGTTTCATTTTGTAGTACTTATCGAGTTTCATCATATATGTAGCTGGTCCTAATATGTTGATTCTGAAAGTAACTATGGCAAGGTCCGGTTTACAAGTATGAAGATTTGAAAAAAGCGCTTTATTCAATTCCGCCTAACAATATTCAATCAGCAATCGATTCAAAAACGATAATACCAAGGATGCGAATTCGGGAAACGAGAACTGCTATAATTGAGAACTGTTACATACAAATGAGAAATCGTAAATAAAGAAAGTTGAAAGTTTCTTTCCCAAAAAGTTAGAACCTAAGATACATATTATAGCGGTTAAATGAGTTCTCATTTGTATTAGTACTCATTCCTGGTACCACCTTAAAAACAAACAGCCTAAAGTTTGGAGATATTTCTCAGACTTTTGGATAGCATTATACAATTGAATAGAGCAAGAACTTCCCAATCATGGGCAGATTGATCAAAACGTTCAGGACTTCATTCATTTACAGTACGACACAATACTGAACAATATACCAGAAATTCATATAGAAAAAAAAACTGAACAAATCACTACGAACTTCTCTTGTCTGACATCATCCAAATGAATCACACTCAATTTTGACTTTTAAAAATCTGTGACGAATCAACATAATTATTAATGAACAGAAATCTTCTTTTTTGTGCAGAAAAATTTGCTCACACCTGAAAAAAACAACTTAAAGTTGTGGTCTGTGTTCCATTTCGTTCTGATTTCTGTTTCGAGAACTTCCCTGGAAGTTAGCAAATCTTGATTCCTTTTTGTATTAAAACAAAAAAAACAAGGCGAACTTTCAAAATCTGACCACCCGGAAATCAAATTGGCCAGCGTTGTTTATGTGCATGAGACCGCGTCCCAAAAATGTTTTGCGCCCATCCACTGAATATCTTAATTTTCGCCTAATTGCGTGATTCGCGTTTAGTAGTGTAATACACGCGAATGGATGGTTTCCCCCCCACTATGTCTCTCCGTAAAACTACTGGATATGGTGTGGCTCGTCTCATTGAGTATGAACGGGTAAAATTGAGAGACGACAGAGAAAGACAATGCCAATATGCATAGACGATGAGTAGTGAGAAACAGAAGAAGAAAAAGAAGGGGGCGGATGGGCGAAGAGAAGATTCGGGATGGCACGACCCACTGCCGGATTCATGGATTCCCGCATTTCCGACGTTTCGAGAATAGAGCGGACCGCGGGGGAGGCTGGTGGTCTCGTCCATTACGGTAGAAAACGAAGTGTCTCTTTTTCGAGATGTTTTCTTGCTGATTTTTCAAGTCTTGCCTTTTCAGGGTTTACTGTGATTCATTGGAAAAAAAATCATCATACCATTATTTTTAAATTCTTGTCTGAACTAGTTGTCTAGTAATATGTACCTAACCTTGTGGACAATTCAATTTTGAAGTAAGTATACTGTATGACAATTCCTGGTCATAATTCTCAACCTGAATTGTTTTCCAACATTCTGATCTTGTTCCCTCTCAGAAAAAATTGGCAACATTCCCTAGTGTAATATCCCTCTCACATCACACATACGTTTCCAATATATGTTGTCTTCCTTTCCCTGTTTTTTTTTCTATTCGGTAAGTTTAATATTGCAGGAAAATAGGAAAAACGTCTAATGGAGAAAAAAAATTGAACTAACTGAAAGTACAATCTAAACACAAAAATGCACTTTTTCTTTCTTCTATTTCTCCCTTTTACCCTAGCCGTCAAGGATTTGGCCTGGTACTCTTCGAGCACTGGTCTCGGTTCTTCTTCTTCAGTCATCCATTCACCATTACAAGCTGCAACTGCCATTGACTTTTGTCAGGTCTGTTTGTCGTCGTCGTTTTTTCCCAGTTCCAGTTTTTCTTATACTTTTTTGCACCACTTGTCATCGCTCAATCGTATTCCCAAATGTTCTCCCTCGGGATAATATGTCTGACAAGTCAACTAGCAAAGCTGAACTTTTGTCGAACCAAAGTTGTGGCCGAAAAAAAAGAGTGAAACGTTTTAGGGAGAAGCGAAAAAAATAGAATTCGGGAGGGAAGAAGAGAAATTATGTAATTCAATCAAGCCCCAATTCCCTTTTTTTCAGTTGCCTGTCGACATTGGAAAGTGTTCTCAACAACTCGTACGCTACTATTATGACCCGGCAGTCGATGAATGCAAACGATTCACTTTTTCGTAAGCTGCATCCCTCGAGAAATGAACCACCCATAAATCACACTGTTTCCAGAGGTTGTGGAGGTAATTCGAATCGATTTATGAGAAGGGCGCACTGTCGGAACCGATGTGTGAAACAACCGAACAAGTTGGTAACAGTTCAAGAATTGAAGCATCGAAGAACTGTCACTACAACCACACCGGCAGATGAAAAGAAAGTTGAAGAAACTGAAAAGGATATAGATTCAGCGAAGGTAGGATACAAGGGCATCATAAACTGCCGTAAAATAGGTGAAGGTGTTCGGGAGTTCGCTTATAAGTGGCAATATGGCATTGTAAACACTTTTTCATATTTTCATGCAAAACCTGCAATTTAACGCTCTTAAAATCATAAAAGATGAATGCCGCTGTTATCATAACATCTACAGTACTGGTTAATTTTCGGTCATATTGACCATTTGAGAAGTTTTTAGCTCGACTGTCAAGTTTGCGAGGTAAAACAGACCTAGATTGGAAACTTTGAATTTTCAGAATTTTTTGAAAGTTCTTACTTTTTCAGCTATGTGTCATTTTATGAAAGACACCCCTTTTTGACCCGTCCTTGTACTGACAATGTGAAAAAACGGGTGTCCTCGGAAATCCGCAAATAGCTGAAAAACTAGAAGTTTTAAAAAAATTCAGTAAGTGAAAATTTTCCAATTGAGGTCAGTTTTACACTTCCCAACGTTTTCAAAATGATCAGAAACTTGATAGCCAAGCTCCACACTTTTGAAAATGCTCAAAATAACCGAATACCATCTAAAAACATATTTCTGTAAATCTATTAACCCGTACTGTATGTGCAAAGCCTGTAATATAAATGTTTCAAAAACTATTTCAAATGAATACCCCTTTTATTTTAACATGTAGACTTTTAAAAGATTTTTTTGATAATTATTTCCAGAACGACAACGGAGTGTGCCAAGGTTGCGATCCTCTCTACGGAACATGTATCGATGGAAAATGCGGATGCATGAAAGGGTTCCGGCCACTAGGAAAAGTCTGTATTGGTGAGTCACATTATAAATGCAACATTTTCATGTACTTTCGCAACATACTTCTGATATCTCATTTCGTATGAATAAGACTAAAACACGGAAGAAGACGAGTACTTTAACTTTTAAACAACTTCACAGAAAAAAAAAAGTTTTAATGTTTCTAGATCTCAATGAATGTGATAATGGAGCGGTTTGTGGTGCGAATGCGAGATGTGTTAATGAAATTGGATCTTTTCAATGTGTTTGTGATGCTGGTTTTAGTATTGACGGGGATTGTAAAATCGGACAAGAGGCGTGTATGGACGAATTTGATGTGAATTTAACTGAAGAAGATTGCAACAATGGAAAACAAGAAATCAAGTGAGGGACACATCTAAAAAAGATTTTCTGGAAAAAAATGGTTTCAGATATTACTATGACGCTGAAACCGTACAATGCAAACAGTTCTTTTATGGAGGATGTAAAACCAAGTCTAGAAATTTCTTCGCTGATTTACAGGTTTATAGGTTCTTCTGGTCTTTATAATACCTCATTTTTTAGACTTGTGACATAGTTTGTGTATCGAGTCAACGAGATTATATCCAATCAAATGGACAGTCTCTCCACCATCCAACTCATCAAATTTCGTCTGATTTAAATGGAGGAAACGATTTAAAAAGTAGTTGAATATATAATCCAAAAATTCGCCAACTCAAAATGTCAGGTAATCACTACAAAATCGACCTATTCTCGTCTCCATCGTCACCAGTTCGACCCGATCGTCCGTTATCAGTTGATGATTGGCCATTGAAACCAGTCACTTTGAAACCGGCTCTTGACTTAGACTTCTCTGTGGCCCATACAAAATCAGTGGGTCAAAAAATGGAAGAGGCAGAGAAGGCGGAGGAGTTGGTTCGAGAATTGACACCTGATCATAGTAAGGAGATTTTGTGAAGTCCAGATTCCAGATCATGGAAATAGTTTCAGATATTTGTGAATTGAAATTTGAGCCAGTGTTGCGAGAAGAATGCATTTCTGCTGATTGGTCGGAGAAGTTTTTCTGGAATTCGGATTTTAGGGTTACTGCATGTTATCCATTAGAAGTAGATTATAAACATTGTTTTTAGGATTGCGAACCATTCTGGTATGATTCCTCCTGTGATCCAAGAGATAGAGCTGGAAAGAACTTTTTCGAAAGTTTCGATGATTGTAAAAAAAAGTGCGACGGTGGTCAAGGAGATTATGTGGTTCCGATAGAAAAAGAAAAAGAAGACGAAGTAGAAGAAAGGGTAGAAGTAGAAGAAGAAGAGCCGGTTGAAGAGGAGATCGTACCTGAAGAAACAACCACCCCCACTACCACCACAACAACATTAACAAAGTCACCGGAGGATGAACACAGTTTCTTTTTCAAAGTCAAACCTCAAAATTATCTAGAAGACGTCCTGAGCACGGAAAAGGACGAAGACCAAAGCAAACAACATCACAACGGTTTTAACCCGAACGAGTTTTTAAAACAAAACGCTAAAAAAGTAGAAACAGAAGAGCTTAAAAAGATCATCCCCAAACAAGAAGAGACAACCGAGGCTACTAAAAAAGAAGAAATAGAACACAGTATTTTGGAAGAGCTTAAAAAAGAAGAACCCGTTGAAAAAGTTTTAGCAGCTCCCACAACATGCGATTTGGAATATGATGCTGATCTTCGGAATGAGTGTACGTCAGCTGACTGGAATGAGCTTTTCTATTGGAATGAGCAGTTTAAGGTATCTAGGATTATTTAAGTTCTTCGAACAAAATCTTGAGATTTATAGGAGTGTGAAGCTTTTTGGTATGATTCTTCATGTGGAGAGCCAGATTTTGAGAAGAAAAATATTTTCAAAAATTATGAGGACTGTAACAACAAGTGTGTCAAAAAGATTGGAGAGACTGCTAAAAGTAGGACAATTGATGTTAGCTCTCCTCTGAAATGTAAATGTTCAGAAATTGCAACAACTACAACAGCTACAACTACAACATCAACAACGACGACGACAACTACGACGGCTTCTCCAACAACTTCTTCTGTTCTCCTAGAAGAGACCAAACGACCAAACTACAAACAAACCGATCCATTGAATTTGATTCTGAATAGTCAGTTATTTTTTACGAATTGAACTAGAAATTTATACATATGAACTTTTGTAGAAGCTCTCAAGCCAGATGAGTCATCAGAACTTCCTGAAAAGTTCCCACCAAACCATGAGAAGACGTTTGTAAACTTTGCAATCAAATCAGAAGTTACGGCAACTACAAAGTTTGACAGACTGAAATACATGGCTGAGTTTAGGGTGGGATTCCCAAAAAGGAGCTTGCTAATTTCAATTTTTTAGAAGAAACTTCTCGCTCTCCCTGATAACTTTTCAACTCCTGGAAAGCCCAGTACACCAACCTCTGCTCCTACAACGAAGAAAAAAATTGATCCAACTACTCATGAGATAACTGAGAAACAATCCACTTCTACAGCTTCAACGCAGACGACGACTACTACAACTTTCAATGATTTCGTGGAGGCCGAAAAGAAAAAGGTTTTGGAAACTATCAAGATTCTTGATCGACCAGAAGACCTTTGCGACGAACCTCTTCATCCGAAACTTGAAGAAGACTGCAAAAACGATCAATGGGAGATTAAATGGTTCTTCAATTCCGACAGAGGAGCATGCAAATCATTTTGGTATGGAGGATGCGAAGTGGAGAGCAGAAACTTTTTCCCTGATCATGCTGTAAGTTTTACAATTCGCAAAAAAGTGATGGTCGGACTTTCAGAACTGCCGCCATACATGCGCCCACAAATACGGAACTCCTGCTAGTTTCTCCTCAAAGGTTTATATCCCACCTGGCGGTTTGAGTACTCCGATTCCTCCTCGCAAAGATCGACTGACGACAAGTTTAAAACTCACTTATCCTCATTCTGAAGATCTTTTCCCCGAACAAAAGCATAGAAAAGTCGTCGAATTAGATGGAAATTTCCAGCGCTTAGAAGAGCAACGACTTCTCCGCCTTCTTCCGACACCATCATTCAAAACAAAGGGACCCCTTCCAACTGCTGGGAACATTGTGAATGTATCAGAAGGAGATAAAGCGGAAATCGAACCGGCGTTTTATAGTCACATTGATAGGGTTGTTCACGATATGAAGTCTGGAGGACATCCAGGGTACACAAAACCAGAGGAGTTCGTGAGAAGAATTGAATCGGCTAGTAATGATTACATCAAATACGACTTTCAAAAACCAGAAGTTGTGACAATCATTGATAAATCTCCACCCACAGTACCCACTATCACATGGATGGAACAAACGAAACAGACAACACCACTGAAGTCAGAACCAACTAATAAGACACCTACTACTCGATCCATTAATGATCCATGTGACGACGAATATGATCCGAAGTGGGATGAAGATTGTTTAGGAGATTCTTGGGTTGTGAGAAGTTACTACGATGCAAAAGCCAAAGCTTGTAAGGCGTTCTGGTATGGAGGATGTCATACAAGTAGCAGAAATATTTGGTTTGATAAGGAGGTATTATTGAACGAAAGGATGAAACGCTTAATGTGATCGTTTCGGGTTGTGAGAAGCATTTGGAAATCGGTAACAATGTAATAATCAAACTAAAAATTTTGGTTTTCAGACTTGTCGGACATCTTGCGCTCATAAATTTGCAACTGATTTTCCTATGACAGGCGGTAGGTTCTCTGATAAAGTTCATTTTTTATCAAGGACTATCCAGAAGATCATTCCAAAGAAGTCATCTCGTCATCTTCTGAAATCCAAGAGTCGTCAACTTCATCTTCATCATCATCAGATTCTGCTTCATCTAACACGGTAATTTTCGTTTCGGGATCCGCGCATTTGGTGCCCGCTGCCTCAAAATTATCAAGTCCAATCATTCTGAAAATAAAGGCACACGTCTCGCCGGAACATCGTTTCAAACTGGACCTCGACCAGAAACTAGCTGACATCAAACGAGATCATGAGGGACGGGAAGATCTGGCGTATTCAAAAATGGTAGACCATCCAGTGACTGTTGCAGGTTTGAAGTTTTGAGAAGATGGACATTTGATCGAACATCAAATTTCAGCTGAATGTTTGGAAAGCTTCAATGAGACTCTATCGAAGCCATGTGGTGATGGAAAGACATGGAGCAATAGGTTTTTAAAAAGAATTTTGTAAAGTTTAGATTCATTTTCCAGGTACTACTATGATAAGGACACTCGCTCCTGTCGTATGTTCTGGAGTAATGGATGCTTTAGTTCTTCAAAAAATAACTTCGATGATCAGGAAACGTGCCAATGGAAGTGTGAAGGAAGACATCCACAACCAGCTGGAAGTAAGATTAAACTGGAAAAAAACACAAACAAGAAACACTTTCAGAATCTTGTCTGGATAAATTCGACGAGAGATATTTGGAAGATTGTAGACATGGAGAGTTCACAAACCGCTTCTATTTTGACCATGACCGCAAGAAATGCGTAGCATTCCACTGGGGGGGATGCCAATCCAAATCACAGAATTTCTTCGCAGATATGACTGTTTGTCAAGATTTATGTGAATCACCGCCGAGAGAATTGACACGTAAGAATGTTGTCTGAAATCTGAAGAGATTAAACTTTCATATTTCAGAAGCATGTATTCAGCCATTTGACAAAAACTATGAGAACTCTTGTTCCGCTGAGCAACCTCAACAATATTATTATTTCGATGCATCATCTGGAATCTGCAAAATGTTCTGGTTTGGAAATTGCAAGGGAGAGAATGAGAACATCTTCAGTACTCTAGAATCATGTCAATGGATTTGTGAAAGGAAACGGGAAGAGAGAAAACCAGGTAGAGAACATGAGGTTTAAAATCTTCAAATAAACTTTTTTCAGCTATTTGCGCTGACAAGTTCGACCATAAGTACACAGAATCCTGTGGAAACTCTCAATGGAAAGAGAAATGGTACTTTGATGTAGGTTTTATTCGAATCATGCACAAATACTGATATAAAGTAATTTTCAGCAATCATCTGGAGACTGCACATCATTCTGGTGGGATGGCTGCACGTCATCTTCTCAGAATATCTTCCCAGATGAGAAGTCATGTACATCGAACTGCAAGCATCCAGGATTTGAAATTTCATCCAAATTGGCATCTCAAGACTCCAAATTTAGATGCTTAGAGCCAGTGGAAATCGGAAATTGTCAAGAAACGTTAGTTTCTTTCTTCCTACATACTTTTATCTTAAAAATTTTTCCAGTTATCCTGCATTCTACTATGACAGGACTTCTCGAACCTGTCGACCTTTCGCCTATTCTGGTTGTGGAGGAAATTCCAACCGATTCATGACGGTATCTCAATGTGAAAACTTGTGTTTCGCATTCAATTCAATGAATGAAGCAGAAGTAGATTGCCACTTACCCATGCACATTGGATATGGAAAGAACGAAGATAGTTGTTTGCCACAAGCTGGATTCAGATTTTATTACGATCGGAGTTATGGTAAAATATCACTGAATCTGGTATGATTCGAAGCTTTGTTTTCCAGGAAAATGTTCTCAAATGTGGTATCTGGGATGTGGAGGTAATGCGAATAACTTCTACTCGTACGAAATTTGTCAGCGAACTTGTTCTCGATCCAATCAGCCCAGAGAATTGGAACGGAAAACTCGAGCAAGCAGCGAGGGTAGGCCAAAGTTTGGAATTCGAAAGATCCGTGCTAGAGTGCAACAACTTTAATTGATTCGTTTTCTTCTCATTTCTTTTTGAATCTCTATTGCCATCTGATCTTAGAAAATTTCCCGGTTGTGTGTGTGTTTTTTGTCCGCTTTTGTCTTACTTTTTCTGATTTTCGTATGTCTGTCATTTCAGTTTGATCCACGTATTGAGCTTCTACTAACGAAAGTATTTTATGTCCAACCCCTTTTATAATAAATGGTTTCTCTGATGGACTGATTGAAGTGATATGACAATACAAGAAAACAGAAAATCAGACAAGGGAAAAAACATAGAAAATAGTCAATCCAATATTACAGTGTGCTTCGAAGCACCGGGAGACAAGGGAATCTGCGGAAAGAATTCGAGTTCCTATCCGCTGCAGAGATGGACATACGGAGCTCAGAAGTGTACTTCATTCACTTATTCTGGATGCGGAGGGAATAGAAATCGATTTGCGACTCAAAACTCTTGTGAACAGACTTGCAAGGGACTATTGAATAGTAATGATCCACGTGAGTGTTTCCATCAAAGAAGTACAGAAGAATGTTGAACTTCAGGTATCTGTTCCTTCCCACCCGATTGGGGATCTTGTAATCAATTGCGTTATGTCTGGTTCTACAACTTAACCCGTGGTACTTGCGATCAATTTTTGTATGGAGGATGTGGAGGAAACCCAAATAGATTTGAAACTTTTGAAATTTGCCAGAAGGCGTGTGAAGTGACTGGAACAGATCCGTGTATGGAATCACTGGACAGAGGAAGTTGGTGTGAAGCAATGTCGAATCGATACTACTTCAATAAGAGAGCTCGACAATGCAAAGGATTTCATTATACGGGGTGTGGAAAAAGCGGAAATAATTTTTTAACAAAAGAAGAATGTCAAACAAAGTGAGTAATCGGAATATTGCAGTTTTTTTATTCAAGATTTCCTGATTTAAGATGTGAAAAACGATTCCCTCGTGCAGCTCCACCTTCAAAAAAAAAGGCAAAAGTAAAACTTCCAGTTGGATGTGCGCATCAGCTGTTTTCAAAGTTCCATAAATTGTTTCAGACTCCGGATCAAAGCCAAAAGACAAAACTCCAATGCTCAGACACATTAATTTGAATGGATTAAATCAAACCTATTTCAAATCCGAACCCCAGTGGATGGACTACACTTCTTGTTACGGATACAGGTTCATCACATCGGGACGGTTTTCAAATCTAGTTTTTTCTAATTCAGATACAATGTCTCTGGGAGAGATACAGTGCTAAACGTTCATTATTGCTCAATTCAAGGATCTTCTGATTGCATCAGCGAAAGTTACCGAACTACGGAGGGAGAAGAGTTTTGTAACATTATCAGACCATTTTTACGAGGGCAAAACTTGTATTCTTTCTACTTTGGATTAGACTCGGTGAACCCAATGTATCGCCCTAAAGATGGTTTATCCGGACGAATTCAGCGAAAAAATGAGACGATTGCTGCAATTCTCGTGTTGCGAGCTAATCAATGTCATGAGATTTGTTAGGATAATATGAGTGTTCTTTTCTAATAAAACAAATTCATTTGATTCTCTAGAAACCCGCATTCTGAAAAAAAAAACCAAAAATCTAAAAATCAATGAGGATGTGTGGGGACATGGGCTTTTGCGTTAGTAGCGAAGGACCTGATGATGATTGGAAGTATGATGAGTCCATGGAAGAATCCAGTGCCAACTACGAGAACACTGGTACGAGCAAACATTCGAACCGCGGAAGATGGAACCATCAGCATAACAACAATAGCTAAAAGTGTCGAAGTTCCAGCTTGAACCACTGGCCAACCGATTGCTCCCATTGCGTCTCGGATCCTTTCATCCGGATCAGAATGTTCGGAACGATAGATTCGATAGCCGACGTGGGTGGCAAAGTCGATACATTGACCAATCGACATCTATAGAAATCTCATAACTTCACAAGATTACATTGAAAATCTCACCAAAATATTGACTACAGTCGTTGGATCCAAATCTGCTCCCCACAGAGACAAAAATCCTGCAGTACCGATATCCATGGAAATCAGAGTGCATACAACCCAGAAAACAATTGAAGATTCAGCGATGAATAGGATGCAAACTAAAAATGGATTTTTCTTGAGATATTGGATTATCGGAAAACTTTCGTACCAGTGATCAAAGTGAGAATAGCCGTCCCCAAAGATGATAAGATTGTGGATTGTAGCTCCAACATTTGGTCACTATAAAAATTGTTTTGATCGAAGACAAGTGCTTCAAATTCTGGATATTTCGATGTAATGTTTCTCCAGGTTAACAGCAGTGAAGTTCTGACATTCCAGTCTGATATTTTGAATGCAGTTGTGAATACAAACTTTTCGACTTTTGTTCCTCCCTGAAACAATTGTGTTTTGTATATTATCTCAACTCAGAAAAGTATGTTACCGTTGAATTTTTGTCTGGAGTATCCCAAACCAAATCTGTCTCCCAGTGATTATTAAAAGAAACTTTCAGGAACGATTGAAGTGTTTGATAAAATCTGAAAATACACAATTATCAAAGTATTTAACTATTGGAAATTTACTTTGCATCCTCTTGGAAGAAAAATTGGCGATAATTGTTGAATTCAGTTAACCAAAAATTCGTGGAATTGGGACCCATAGAGTATGGAGTTGATTCTAACTCACCTACCATTTGCAACATTCGCTCCACCTAAATATTTTTTGATTTTTTAAATTAAATTAAATTTTTTGAAAAACTACAGACCTGTTCTGGATTCTTACTGAAATCTGGCGCTTTGTTCACATAAATTCTACCAATAAGTCCTTCCGCCCAGATTTTTTTCTCGGCCAGATGAAGATATGGAATCAGAGGAGAGTCATCCACAACAAGACGAGATGGAGTTAAATTCGGAATCAATTGAGCACATCCATAGAACGAAACGGCAATGTAAACGACATAGGAGATGAGCTGAAATATTTTTGGTGTCATGAAAGATTTTGGAAATTCGGAAAACTCACCATTACAATTCTAACGGATGGACGGCAGATAAATGGAGCGAAAATGTTCTCGAAGAAGTATCTTGTTGGAGATATCGCTTTTTCACTCTTTCCTTTCTCAATTTCAGCTCTGTCACATCGTTTCCAAACAAAAACACAATGGTATCCAGCTGCTTCTCGCTTGGCACCCATCGCCATGACAGCAGCAAAGAAAGTTAATTGGTAGAACCAATCAAACATAATTGCAACACAAATGAATTTACAGAAAATTGCAATTGCTGGAGTTGTAGAATAAGTTCCGATTCCGAAAGACAAAACTGATGTGATGGAAGTTACAGTGATTGCACTTCCAGCTTCTGCCAGAGCCAAAGCCATGCGTTTCTCAGGAGAATACGTCTTCTTGGTGTCTTGCCAGGCACCCAACATAACATAAACATCGTCGACTCCAATAGCGAGTGCAATGAATGGCATTACAGTGACCTGATTGATAAATGGGACACCCAATGCAAAAAGGAGGCCTCCAGCAGAGACAATCGCCATTGAGGATACAAGAATACCGATCATGGCTTCGATTGGTTTTGATGTTACCCAGTTATCAGTCATACTGGAAATTCTGATTTTTTAAAAATTCAAATGAAGGAAAAATTACCAAGATGCAACAGTGAAACAGAGGAGGAGGAGTACGGTCAGCGAAATGAATGGCATAGTGTAAGTGGCATTTTTCTGCATTTCGTCCTGAATCAAACTGAAGTTAAGAGTCAAACTTCAGATATAATTGGAAGCACCTTCAAAATCGATAAACTAAACATTGATGTATCAAATGTATCTTGATTTTCCAGAACAGCTGTCAACGACTGCTCAAAGATTTTTGACATTTCTTCGGAGGTATGCTGAAAATACCAATTTTATGATTATCAGAAATCGAAATTTGCCTCATTATAAGCTGGAATTTGATACACAAAATGAACCATATCGATATACTGAATGCCCAGTGGTCCTCCAGTTTTTACTCCGTAGAAATGAGTAGGTAGGAAAAATTTGTTATCAAAAAACTTCATAGTCGGGTACTCGATTTGAATTCGTGGATCTTTCCTGAGCTGAAAAACATTTGTCTCACAATCAGTTTTTTTTTCAAAAAATCTAGAATACCTTTTCACTCCAAAATGTGTCCAGGAAGATTGTTGCGATGGTGTTACTCAATTCACAGTGTTTCATCCTTGAGCATACTTCTTTTCCGAAATTGATCTGAAAATTTGAAATTCTGAAAGGACCACAAATTAAAAAAAAAACACTTACAACTTTGCCGTCCACTTGAATATCCATTTTTTCGAGAACATATTTGTTCAATTGAATCAGCTTCTGAGCCAGATCCTTTTTGAGAAGGTTCTTGTCTTCAGATTTTGTTTGAATTGTGATGGATACGAAAGAGCTGAAAAATTCCCGATGAATGTTTTTTCTTAATCATTCTTTCACTCACTTATTCTTGGAATCTCCACTGAAATCTTTATGAACTTGGTACTCGACGCGTGAAAGTGAATGTTCGGGAGAGTACAAGAATCGCAAATCATCCTAAATTCGAATTACGGGAACACTTGAAGGTGTCTACAACAATAAAACTCACTTCTATCCGCATATTTAGGATTCCAAATGAGAAGATGATGGTGAGAATAAGAGGTCCCAAGGTGAAAAGTCGTGGTCTCCGACATATGATCAGCCCGTATCGATAAAAACAATTGGCTAGAAAATCTTGGAATATTCCAAGGGGATTCCGAAGAATTCCCATTTTGAGAGACCTAAAATTTTCCGTATGTGAGCGTAACGAAATGAAGAAAGGATCTAGATGAGGAAAAAGAAAAATCTGAAAAAAAATAGTGTGGATGGGTCTAGTTCAAAACTAGCGCAAAACTTTTTGTGGACTGTGAAAAGCAAATAGTGAGGATACGATAGGAGACGCGGGAAAAGATTGGAAGGGGGTCTCTTCTGACCTTGTTTCTACGAAAAGAAATGGAGGCGTCAGACACACGAATCTCCCGGATGACACCAAGAGACAGGCGCGAAGTTGAGAGACATCCGACGATGGTAATTGGCGTTCGGAAGAACGAAAACGAAAGATGCGCGCATCCTGACACGATGGGAACTGACTGATCGAGGGGCAATGCAGATGTTGGAGGAAGAGACGATGGCGGTGTAGCGGGAAACAGAGAAAGGGTCGTAACGGAGAAGATTGTAGCGAAGGCAATCAGCTTTTGCCAAAAAAAAGTGAGTCATTGATAGCTTGTAGGATAAACGGAGAAAGATAAAAACGCGCGGAAATGACATGCATGTAGATTGTGTTCTTGTCGCTTTATTCCAACTGTTTGGGGTAAGAAGATGATGAAAAAATGCCAATACGAAGACATAATTCTAGTGTATATTTAAAATTAAAAGTTGCCCAGAGTTTCTTCGAAACATCAAAAGAGTTTGGCCAAACTTGACTCTCACTTTATCAAATTAAGCCCGCATTTTTTTTGATCCTTGCTCCAAGAAACGAGGAAATATGTCAGACTGGACTTCTTTTTTCCGATTATATAATTTAGGTACCTAAGTTGTCATATTGACTGGCGTCTTGAGACAAAACAGCTTGCCAGTAATAATTATTTAGGCATCTGATATTTAGTCTAGTTTTTCATCTTTTTTTTTTTTCTTTTTTTTTTCGATCCCGTTCAATGGAAAAAGAAATCTTCCTTGGAATTTTCACTCTTATTGTGAGTTTTTCTTAATTTGGATACAATATAAAAGGTTTTTTTTCAGAGTGGGCTATTCGGTTGCTTCACCAACTGGTCGGTTGTTTTCTTTTCGAGTAGCGTTCCAACTCTTCGGAGCTCTTTTGGAATACTCTCGGCACATGGTGCATTTGCAACGGCAATTTATTGTACTATTGCAGTTGTATGGATAACTCCCATGATGCTTCTGTATGTTGTTTTTGACATTATAAATATTGAATTTACGAGTTTCAGAGAAGTCGACTGGTTATATAAAAAATCCCACCACGCAGGTTTTGTTTTATATCTTTGCTATGATCTTGCAACTGAAACTCATCTTCTCATATGTTTGAATCGTTTCTGTGCAGTATGGTTTCCTCATAAATATCCAATTATATTCAATAACTCTTATACTTATACTATGCTTGTGTTTTTGTGGATTGTATGTCTTCTCATTTGTGTGACAGTTTTTCCTCTTTGTGAGTTTCTCAAAAAAAAATCATAAAAACAAACACTCCATTTTTTCAGCCGGCTGTCAAATGTATTACGAGAGGTCTATATTTACTCTGATATACACTCTCACTCCAGAATGTCAGTATCTGACTTTTATCGCGGATTTTCAGTTGCACATGGTCGTAGTTGTCATTATGATTGTATTTAATTTAATCACATTCTACCAATTTAGACGTCAAAACAGAGCGGTAAGTATGAAAACACGTAGAGCCTGTCTTGAGCTAAGACTCTTGCCCAGTAGAAATATAAATCGAAAATCTTATTAAATTTGCAAAATGCATGTTTCGAGTAAACATTGATTTATAAGGTGACTCAAGGGAGGAAAAAAAGAACCTATGGAGGTTTGAGAGTGTATTTGCACTTGGCTTGTTACTTCTGGTCTAAAATCGAAGGGTTTCGGCTTTTGGACAGATATTCGTCAGATTCTGGTCGGAACTTGCCAAAAAACGGCTACCTAGCGGACCAAGGTTAGATTTTGATCATAGTTGAAAATTCTGAGTTTGTCGGCTTTAGTAGCGACCTGATCAGAAAACTGACTAACATCGGAAATAGCCGGCGACACCTGAGTCATCTCTATTTTGGGAAATCTCAAATTTGCGATTGACATGCCTTGAAAAGTAGAATTCGAAGTCATTTACACAGTCATTTGGTGGAAGTTCTATTGAAAAAACCTTTGCGAAATTACAGGTTTCCATTACCTTGAATCATGCGTCATCTCAACGGAAAGCAAAGTCCGAAAAGAACTTTCTGATGCAAACTTTTATACAAGAAAGTGCATATGCAACTGCTCTATTGTCGTACTTTTTGCTAGTAACAATTATCGAAAATGAGTTGCTCCGATTCATAATCATACTTCTTCCTTGGTATTTTGTGCATGCATTTGAAGGGATGGTTACGATTCTTTGTAATCCTGAATTGAAGAAAATATGTTTCAAGAAGTGGTTTTTTTGGTTAGCTGAATTTTCAGATGGTCTAAAAAAATCAATCTTTTTCAGCTGTAACACATCCGATGATGTACCGACAAGAACTGTGGAAGCATGGAGGTCAACTACATCCCGTGTTTCGAAATTTTAAATTGGTTGTTTTTTATTTCAGATGTAATAATGGAAAAGAACCAACAAAAGTTAGCATCAATGGAAAAACAAATTTACTGGTTCTCATCTGATTTTCTGGTTTTTTTTCTGTGTATTTTTTCTACTTTGTAGTTGTTGTTAGTCCCAAATGTTTCTGTAACATAAAAAAAATAAATATTCAATGTGTTTCCAAATAGACTCTTGGTGAAAATTCAATAGAGCTATAAAGGCGTGGTGGCTTAGAATCGAACGTTTCATATAAAACATGGCAGAACGTTTTCTCAGGAGTCGAATCATGAGGAATCATCTATCCGAAATCTAAAGTTTTATATGGAGACTCATTCTGAAATCCAACTAGTCGGAGTGGCTTGGAGTCCCTTTCCAACAAGTGGCTGGTGCGGCTGCGGCGCGATTTTATATACTTTCATTGGTTCGTCGCTCCGCCCCTCACTTTTTTCTCAAGAGGTCACCTCAACCTATATTTTGGTTTCAAAATTTTAAAAAATTATGCGGACTGAAAAACAAGGAAAAAAGGAGATCAAACTGCATTCACTTCATATAAGAATCACATTGGATGTTGAAGGCCATGCTGAAATATTTACATTGTTTTAAAGAGGTTTTTTTGGATCTCTACGTGCCTTTTCTTGGCTTTAAAACTGATCTCATTTCTTGATTGGACGCCAAGATGACAGATCTGAAACAGAAAAAAATTGATAAATGGTTATGCTGTCAATTTTCCCCACTGTCTTGGGACACTGACAACTTGAAAACGATATAACCCAGAGTTCCCCGATTTTCCCCATAAAATCCCTCTGGATTATCCGTTTCACTCGGGTCATATTCATTCCCCTTATTATCACACTCCGTTCACTAATCACAATCCATTGTTTCGTTCATTAACATAAATATAATTTGAATAAGCGCCGACATGAGCGGCGCATCCCGCGCACGCACACACACGAATTGTTCGTATCAGAGAGACGGGTATTGTCGCACCCCCTACGGGGTTGCAACCTGGATATATTTGTTGCACATTAGCTCTTGTGTGATAGAGCTTACAGACTCACTCTTGCCAAGCTCTACAGTCACTCAATGCACCAAGGAAGCGCCCCTAGAGTCAACGAGTTGCAACTCGTGATTTTTTCGTGCAATGTTTGAAAGTTTGATCCTCAGCAACATAATTCAGCAGCGATTTTTTTCTAAAATCTCAAGTTTACTGGGGCGCGATTTCTGACCCATTGGCTTGAACCCAAGTGGGGAAGGAATTCGTCGGAAATGGTTAGTTTTGAATTAGTTAAAATAGTAATGAATGGCTATTCGAGGGAAATGGGAACAACAACAACAATTCTTCTTCGGAAATTCAGCGTTTCTTCTAAAATTCGTCGACCAAGATGCAAAGGAGATTTCAAACAGAAAATAAAAACAGAGCTGAGATGTTTTGAACCAGGATCCTGTCCACAAGAAACTGAATAGCTATCAATAGGGCGAAATATGCTAGTTACTCTATTTTTAAAACTTATCATAGTAAGAACGTTAGATTAATGTCATTACTATATAAGACTTTTGTGCGACCGTATTTGGAATATGGAACGGTGGTAGCCAGCCCTTCTAAAAAACTGCTCATTGACAATATAGAGAAAGTGCAAAGCTCCTTCACTAGAAAATTGAGGAATAGAATAGTGGGTGGAAACTTAACGAGAATTGATAAGGATTACAAAACATCTCAAGACAGATTGACCGAATTCAGCCTAGAATCACTACAATCTAGACGGGAAAAGCTTGATCTGAAATTCTTCAACAAACTCATTCTAGGTAAAATTAATATAAATCATTTATCATATTTCAAAATTAGATCGACAAAAACGCGCAGCCGCCGCACCTACCAATGGAAAACTCCAAAGTCTAAACTTAAACAAAACTTCTTCACACATAGGGTTCTTAGTAAAATGATGAGCTCTACAAAACGGATCTAAAAGCCTGCTGCTGTCAGAAGTTCAGAAAAAGATTTGTTATTATCCACTATTATTCATGTCTAGGTTAAGAAATATCAATTTTATGTCACCATGTCCCTTTTTGTCTATTTATTCTCTTTTTCATTCTTTTTTCTTTTTATTCTTCCACGTATTTTTTACGTAATAAATACAAATACAAATACAAATACAATATAGTTTCAAAGTGGGGGTTATCTTCTCTTCGCCTCCGAAGATTATTAAGGAGTGCTCGTGGATTATGTCCTTCATTTCAAACGCCTAATTTTCTTTAGGAAAATGCTACCAATCGTCTCATGTCGTCTGATTCATTTTGACATGATTATCAATGCCAGCTAGCTTTCATAACGTGTGGGGGTAGTGTTAACATGGCAAGAATCGCAGGAATGCAATTGTCACCAACAAATTTGGACCAGAAGTTCCAGTTCAAGAAGACAGAGCACATCCCAAACCTCATCAAGTCCATTGTTTATTTTTGTTATAGTTTTTGGTGTTGAATAATTTTATCCGATTTGCTCAAACCTGCCGTTTTTTTTGGGGTCAAGATCTATTTTTACCAAAATTTCAACTGTAACTTCTTTCTATTTTTCTTCTAAACGATCAGTCACCAATCATGACACGTCAACTTCTTCGTAAATCAATTTTCGCTGAAACTGAATTTCAGTGGAAAAGCTTATAATTGAATGAAAATATTCAAATGCAGTTGTCTCACAGGTGTGAGTTCCCATTCCATTCGAATTTTCATCCATTGTTATTGTTTTGGCGAATTCAAAACCAAAAAATTCGATTAATTCTTTGCCTTGTTTTCATTCATTCTTCACCCCCCCCCCCCTTCCTGGTTTTTTACGCCTATACCTAGAGATTGCAATCTAGAGACTTCTTTATTAATTATCTCGACTCAAAATGCAACGAAAAATGATAGTGGCTCTTATCACTTTTCTAGTAAGTAAAACAAATCGTGCTCATTAACAATATGGAAATTCATTTTCAGGTTACTGTATTCGGTACTGTATCCAATGCTCTTGTTTTCATTGCTGCTCGTAGAATGAATTCGATGAACAGTTCATTTGGAATTATAACCAAAAACCAAGCGATTTGTAACTTCTTGATGTCCTTAATTTTTTTAGTTTACATTTTTCCATTACAAATAAGGCTTGTACTGGTATTTAGAATGAAAAAAATATATTGGTTTCAGTGCTACGAATCTGTTGGTTTATTACTCCCATTTCATTGGAATGTTTGCAATGACTGTATACGAAATCTCAAATCTCTCTCATTTTCTGATAGCAGTGAATCGATTCTGTGCAGTGTTTCTTCCTTATTATTACGAAAAATTATTTACTGTGTTTAGTACAAAAATATTGAGAAACGTTATTTGGGTGGCATCTGCTATTTGGTGTATGGTTTTATATGAATTGGTCGGATGTAAATTCTCCTACGATGTTGCGTCTTGGTCCCTTGCATTTCTGGCAACTGATATGTGTACACAACTGACTTGGTATTCTGATTTCACTTTCAATACATCATTTGTAGTTCTGACTCTTATTACCAACTTGCTGACTGCTTTCAAAGCTGGAAGAAATAGCAGAATTTTGATGAATGCAGCAGGAATCAAGATGTCAAAACGACAGAAACAACGGGAACTGAATTTTGTAAAGCAGTCATTCCTCCAAGGATTGAGTGTCTTCAGTGGACAAGTCACTTATTATCTAATTGCTCCTTTACTGTCGAATCCAGTTCTAATTTTTATTATTGGGTCATTGTGGGCATTCATGCATTCTATCGAAGGGTGAGAAGTAAGCTTTCCACCTCGGGCAGTCCTCCCGAAAACGCCCGTCACCCGACAGGATAACAGGCCGCCCTACACCCGCCCTATACGCTCGGTTTCGTGATCCAACAAAATTATGTCACGCTGATTAAACGCGGGCCACACTTTTTGAAATCTTTTTGACGCAAAACATTAAATGAAATTAAATTCGGTTGTTTCAAAATATAGGGCGTCGGGCGGGCGCCACATCCGGGCGGGTGGGGCGGGTGAAATACGTTCGAGGTGGAAAGCTTAGTGAGAAGACATTTTTATAATTTATCAACATGTTTTATGATTCAGAGGTATTATTTTAGCATCCAATCAAGAAATGAGATCAGTTTTCATGCCTAGGAAAGGCAAGTTGAAATTCGAACACCGGTTTAAAAACAATCTGAATCTTTCAGCATTGAATTCAACAACTGTTTTCATTTCGAGCGTATCATTGGGTTAAACAATTTGTTTCAATGAATTAACTTTTTTCTCAAATAAACTGTTAAACTTGTGATGATTTTTGTTTTTGTGATTTTGATGTCGGGAAATAAAAATATGATTTTGGTTCATGTTTTGAAATAAGTTATGGGGTTCTAATGTAAATGATATTTTAGTATATAAAATCAAAACCCCTCCGATGAACTTCGAAATGAGCTCCATTTAGAAGTTGTGATCATGCTTGGCCTCGGCTGTCGGCGCCAATACTTGGCCAGACCTCCCACAAGTCTAGCACAAGTCTTCGAGCACATTATTCTATGTATTAGCTAAGACTTGTGTGTGGCGTTGTGTGTTTTCATTCAAACCTGTTGTTCTGTTGTGATTGTATTCAAAATTAGAATATACTACAACATTTTATTAGAACACTACACAAAACGAATAATGAAAAAAAAATTAATTAAAATCACAAAAAATTTACACCTTTTCGTTTCCTTTTCTTTGAAATCCGTTGAAATTCATCGACAATGACAGTGTAATCGCATCTAGTCGAGTCATCTCATTTTCTCAATTTTTGCATTGTATTTTGAAGTATCCTTTAGACGAGAACATTACGATCCAATTTCTTGCATCTGAAATACAAACGATAATTTTAAAAATTCTCAGTCTTTGAACTAATACCATCACTTCCTTTTCGAAAAATTTTCACAGTTCTGGTTTCGACATTACGGACTTTCGGATAACAAGCATCTACATAATGTGCAGTGCAAATAAATTCTACTTTACATAGTTCGAGTTGTCTTCAAATCCTAAAAAACGTTACTCCTGTGAGTTCCAAACATTGTTTTTTACTGAAATCGTGTTCATTTTCCACTGCGACACTCTGCACAATTTTGAAGAAACTATGAATCGTTTTCATAGCGTTTTCAAACTCCTTGAAAAATGTGTGATACCTTCAAAAAGAGATTCTTTGTCGGCTGAAACAGCAGTTTTGATGCAGAATTTCTTGGTGGAATTTTGACTTTTTTCATTTTCCGTCTCCTCTTTTTTCGTGAATCGAAATTCTGTATATTCAAGTGTTCGAATTCTGTAATATTGAACTCTTCAAACCTAAATATCTCTTCATAATAACTCACGATATGCTCACGATGTGCTCACGACTCGCAGATTTATCCTTTTTCGGTTTTGCTTTTTTGAGTTGAAGTTGAATGTTCTGTCATGTTGAAAGTTATACCATTCGAAACTTCAAAATTTCTTATACCAAAAACATTGAAATACCTTCTTAAAAATTCAAACCTTTATGAAAATAGTAGAAAATTAGGTGAAACCAGCAAAAAAATTGAAAATCAAATGATCAGTCCGAAGGTAAAAAATCAATAATCAGAATTTGGCCAAGACTTGTAGCTTTCCGACTATGGCCCAAGACTTGTGGAAGCCACCACAACGGCTCATGGAGACGCATACTTTGGCCAAGACTTGTGGGAGGCTTGGCCAACACTTGTAAAATCATGAGCTTTGGCCAAGTATTGGCACCCGCAGCCGAGGCTTTCTGAGAAAATGTTCAGTTTTGTTTCCCGATCTATCCAAACACAGTAGTGACGCCGTGACGTAGACAAGAGGAAGTTGCAAACGATTTTTCTTGACTGGCTCTCAGAAAATTCCAATATTGTATTGAAATTTTCTCACATTTGTTATTCTAGTTTCTTTTTTCTACGATTTCGAAAACCAGAAAATTGGCTAACTCGTTTTGCAAATCTGACAAGCCAAAGCTGCACATAGTTTGGTTTTTTCTCCAGGAAGCAGGTGAAAAATAGCTATTCAGGATTTTGAAGTTTCCTTAGTCGGAGTGCTGATTTCATAGACTAGAAGAGCAGTTACAGTAAAACTTCGAAAGTTTGTTCAAAACATTTAAAGATACCACATTTTTATTTTCAAACATCATAGTCACAAACACAATATTATAACAAATTTAAAAGTTTCTTCATTCAAAAAACTTGACCCATTGATGTGCTTGAAATGAAAACAGAAGATGAAGTAGATGCTGAAAATTCTAGATTGTTGTTAAACGTTCTTTGAATCTTGACTTGCCTTTTCTAGGCTTGAGAGCTGATCTCATTTCTTGATTAGATGCCAAGATGATAGCTCTGGCACAGAAAAAAAATTGATAAATTATTATTTTAGATCCTCACCCTTCAATGGAATGCATGAATACATACATTGTCCCAAAACAAAAAATCAGAACTGGATTCGACAGTATCGGAGCAATCAGATAATAAGTGACTTGACCACTAAAGACACTCAATCCTTGGAGGAACGATTGTTTTATGAAATTCAGTTCCCTTTGTTTCTGTTGTTTTGACTTCTTAATTATTGCTGCAGTAACCAGCATTCTGCTATTTCTTCCAGCCTTGAAAGCAGTCAGCAAGTTGGTAATAAGAGTTAGAACTACCAAGGAAGTATTGAACGTAAAATCAGTATACCAAGTCAGTTGTGTACACATTTCAGTTGCCAGAAATACAAGAGACCAAGACTCCACGTCATAGGAAAATTTACATCCAATCAACTCATAAAAAACCATACACCAAATAGCAGATGTCACCCAAATTAAATTTCTCAATATTTTTGTTTTAAAAATAGTGAAAATATTATCATAATGAAAAGGGAGAAACACTGCACAGAAACGATTTGATGCTATCAGAAAATGAGATAAATTCGAGATTTCGTATATAGTCCCTACGATCAGTCCAATGAAACGAGAGTAAGTGACCATCAGTTTTATATCACTGAAAATTTTTTCTCAGCTCATTTTGAGTAGCACAAACCTTATTTGTAACGGAAAAATGTATACTAAAAAAATTAAGGACATCAAGAAGTTACAAATCGCTTGGTTTTTGGTAATAATTCCAAAAGAACTGTTCATCGAATTCATTCTACGAGCAGCAAGGAAAACGAGAGCATTGGATACAGTACCGAATACAGTAACCTGAAAATGAATTTCCATATTGTTAATGAGCACGATTTGTTTTACTTACTAGAAAAGTGATAAGAGCCACTATCATTTTTCGTTGCATTTTGAGTCGAGATAATTAATAAAGAAGTCTCTAGATTGAAATCTCCAGATGCTGGCGTAAAACTAATCAGGGAGGTAAATGAAAAAAGAAAACAAGGAAATGAGTTGATCGAAAACGGTTGGTTTCAAAAAATAATGAAGAAAATTCGAGTGAAATGGAGACAACAACTGTGAGACGATGTAAAATTCAATGTAAAACACTCAAGTTTATAAGACTGAGAAGGTAAAACATACACAGATGTTTGCACAGAAAGCTCCAGGGGTTGTCAACCAAGTTCAGAACATATTTTTTTGAAAACTTAAAGGTGGGGGGACAGGAGATTTTACGGGGGATTTTTGGGGCCAGATTATGCATTCTACCGTCACAGTGTACAACGCTTAATGTCACTCTGCGTACAGCTGTCGCCCTCGCCTTTTGGTATGCAATCGGGCAGCGACTTTCTCTTTGCACGCGTAGCTCAGTCGGTAGCGGCGCCGCACCTTCAATACTTGTCTCGACAAGTTCAACTCCTTGAGGAGCATATTTAAACGGGATTTCGACAACATTATTTTTCTCATGTCCCCCACCTTTAAATAGACATTGAAAACTTAAATAGGAAACTTTTAGAAAGGTAACTTAAACTTTTTCCAGCAATTCCTGAAACTTTTTTTCAGCAATTCCGTCGGTAATTCCTGAGATTTGTAAGTGTTTTCCCAGCCACGAATGTATCTTTACAGCAAGATTTTGTCAAATACATCCTAGATTTGATTCGCAATTCTTCTAATTCTCAGTTAAAACTAACAGCTGCTAGATCCTTTTTTGAAACCCAAAGTTCGTCATTTTCAACTAACAAGGGAACGACAACACCTCGTCAGTTTGAATTTTGATAAAAATTTCAGGATATGTCAAGGATATCCTATCTAGACATCCCTGAAAATTTAAGAACACGCTCGCCAATTTCAGCAGAGTTATATATAAAAGGAGTTTGAAGAGAGCCTGACATTTCACCGCCTGCCGAATCAATGGTAAATGTCGACGGCGTGGTGTGGGGGATGTGGTGGGCGCCAGTAGTCACAAGGCTGTGGGTTCGGACCCTCTACACAGGTAAAGGGGGACTGCCGAAAAACTGCTAAATGACAGCTGAAGAGGCGCAAACTGGCGAATGACTGCTAGTTGGCAGTCGAAGAAGAACCGACGGGCCGTCGACGGTCCAGCTTTTTCGTTTTTCGCAGTGCTCTCTCATTGAAAATCGGTATTTTTCGCTAAATTTATCTAACTACTGGCATAAAAAAGCACTGAAAACCTTCGCGCACTTCAGTTCTGCGCGTTTTCAGTTGAAAACGCAAAAAAATCGGCGAAAACTCCTTACGATGATAGTTTTGAAAGTTTCGCTATTTTTTTTCGGAACGTTACAAATACATTCTTTCTGGAGTTTTTATATGGTGAGTTGGTAAGTTTTCATACGCTCCGAAGCAAAAACTACCAAAAGCTCTGAAATTATTTATTGCGCTGTCGAAAATCAGGTTTCCAACATATCCCATACGATAAGTCGCACTTTTGAAGTATGCTTTAAAAATGCCGCGGAGCATAAAATGTAAATATTTTTGCCAGTTTTTAGCTCATGTTATGCTCATGTTAACTTCGTGTTAACTCATGTTAACTCATGTTATGAACACATCAATTTTACTTATTCTGAAAGAAGGTCATATAGTAGATGACTCGAAAAATACTGTTCAATGAGAGATATTTGTCGAAAAACGAAATGAGTTGAAATGGAGAAAGTAAAACTGGAAAGAGAACGAAAGGAGAGAAAAAGAGCTTCTGATTTTTCGAGTTGAATTTTTATGAAGTTTGAATTTTGCGAAAACACAGAAAGAAAACCGGAAGTTCATCAACCAAAACTTGTGATTTCTTATGCGTTTTCTCTCGTTCTACTCATAAAAATTCAACTTTTAAAAAATCAGAGTTACTTTTTCAAAACAATACACAATTCACAGAAACTATTAGTTGAATAAAGAATTTCTATTGTTTATTACCTGTTTAATGATGAACTGTCAAGAAAGCGCTATCATTATAGACGGTCCGTCTTCGAGGCGCAAATCGTTACAGACGGACCGTCGGCGGCGCGCGATTCGACTGCCGACTGTTCGCTTTTCGGCAGTCCGCGCCCGCCAGACGGCCCGTTTTTCGGCAGTCCCCCTCTACCTGTGTAGTGTTTTTTTCTTTTTTTTTTCTTTTTGTTTTCTTATTTTGCGACATTTCAGGATCCCTCTGACATATGTTTCAAAATTTTATCAATTCAAAAGAGTAGAGACAAAATTTAGAAAAAAAAATTTGAATTATTCAATCACTGGAATGTGGTGGTTTTGAAGCTCTGTTTTTGGACCTATACGGACCATGAATGAATAATGAAAAGCGTGCAATCAAAAAATAGATTACCTATCAGTTGTAAAATAATATTTGCAAACAATTATCACTACTTTTTCAAGGAAGTTTTCCAAATTGACAAAAGCTCGATAATATCACCACCCAAATGGTAGGAAAAAATCGCAAATTTTTTCGAAAAAAATTTTCTTAGAAGATGTCTGAAATATGATATTACACATAATTCTAAGTATAACGAAACAAATTTCATGTTCTGGAACCTCCTGGGAGCGGAGAAAATCGCCTTTGAAAATCGCTATATTTGCACTGAAACCGCGATTTTTGGTACTGAAACTGATATAACTCTGCTGAAACTGGCGAGCGTGTTCTAAAATTTTCAGGGATGTCTAGATAGGATATCCTTGACATATACTGAAAATTTCATCAAAATCCAAACTGACGAGGTGTTGTGGTTCCCTTGTAAAGTAGTCTGCAGGGAATTTCCTTTTGGTCAGTTCGTGATTATCATCAAACATACTGTAGTATTTTTGTAATTTCGAAAATATAGATCAGAACTGACTTTAATTTTCGCACACTTGTTGTTTGTTTTGAAGAAAAGGAACGTCTTCAACAAAACTCAATTTTCAAATCAAATGAGAACAAGCCTGTGGACTTGATCTCCAAAACAAATCAGTTTTTTGCTTCCTGGATTGAAGAATGGAGGATCATATTGTAGTAGCGTTGATTACCTTTTTTGTAAGTTCAAATTGAAAATGTGAATTTTTTTTAGCTTTTCAGGTTACTGTATCTGGAATCGCATCAAATACGTATGTGTTTATCGTCGCTCAAAAAATGAGCTCGATGAGCAGTTCGTTTGGAACAATTACAAAAAACCAGACGATTGCTAATTCGATGATGTGCTTCTGTTTTTTACTAATAGTTCCTCTCCAATTTGGGTAACTACTAACATTTAGTTTAATTTGTGTAACTCTTATTTCAGATTCTTCAAATCTTTGGTTCGATTTACTCATTTCATTGGATCAATTGCAATGATATCTGATGAAATATCGAACATGTCTCATTTATTGATAGCGGTCAATAGATTTTGCGCAGTTTTTCTTCAACTTCATTATGAAAAGTGTTTCAGTATTCGCAAAACTAAATATATGCTTGTGATAATATGGGTAACATCTATAGTTGGATGTATCATCCTATACGAAGTGATTGGATGTAATCTTCATTATGATAAGCCTTCGTGGAATTTGGCTTTCATACAAACGGAAAAATGTATCCAACTAACTTGGTATTCTGATTTCGGTTCAATATTTCTTTGGTAGTAATGACGCTTGTTACTAATTTGTTAACGGCATTCAAGGCGAGCAGAAATAGTCGAATGTTGATGAATGCAGCTGGACTGCAAATGTCAAAAACACAACGACAGCGCGAAATGAACTTCATTCGTCAGACATTTTTCCAAGGGTTGAGCGTTTTCACCGGTCAGATCACTTATTATGTCGTTGCTCCTATTTTGACAAATCCTGTGGTTACATTTGTTGTTGGGTCATTATGGGGATTTATGCATGCCGTTGAGGGGTATGAATTGTTTAGGAATATTTTTTTATATCGAGTCAGTTTTCAGATTAATCATCATTCTATCAAATAAAGAGATGCGGCAGGTTTTTGGGCAACCTAAAAGAAAAAGTTAGTCGTCAGTGCAGAATGACAATTGATTATTAAAATTTTCAGCTACTACTGTATCTATCTTCGTGTCAGCGAATTCTCGTTTTCAATAATCAAAACTTTACTAATAAGATTTTAGCTTGAAGAACATTGAAACTACATATAATAATAAACCTTTACAAGTCATCACTCAATCACAGACAGCACGAAAAAATTGAGAAATATCAATTCTAACTAGAACTTCTACTTTTCCAGTCATTTTTTTGCATAAAAGCTTCATTAGTTGTAAATTCAATTTTTCAATTTGTGATTTCCACATTGTGCAATTTTATGGAATCGTTCTTGCTCCAAATAAAAAATTCGCATAGTGGAGGAACATACTTTAAAGTTTTTCAGATTTTTGTCACAAATATAACCCAGATACAAGGAAATTTTTTCATGCGATCTGCTGACTTCACCTGTTGAATAAACTCTTGTTCGAAAACTAAAGTTTGTCTCGCAACCATCCGTTGCTAATGGATGATGCACCTTGAAAGTCAGACTAAACTCATGTCTGCTGATTTTTGTGTTTCATTTCGTATCATCTGTCACCACACACATTTTCCACTCTAATGATTTTATTCGTCAATCTGGTTGATGATATATATTTTCGATTATTTCCGAGATACGCAGTTCTTCTAATTTTGGGAAAATTTGCTATTTTTTGTATGTACTAAATTATTTATGTGAGAATCTCATTTTCCTAAAACGTTTTTATATGAGGGATCAGTACATCATTGTGCTTATTACATTAATGGTAATCTCTTCGTATATTCTTTTTTTGATGGTTACTTTTCAGATTACATCATTTGGGATCATAACTAATGTTCTCGTTTATTGTTCTGTTAGAAAACTGTCTTCAATGAGTAACTCGTTTGGAATTATCACCAGAAATCAAGCAGTATGCAACACTATAATTTGCTCTATATTTTTCTTCTTCATCATTCCAATGCAAATGAAGTAAGAAGTCCGAAAAATGCAAAAAAATTGAAAAAAAAGTTAATTCTTGACTTTCAGACTATCTGATGAGCTGATATCACATTCCGATTACATTGGAATATGGGCAACTTCCATATATGATATATCTAACTTATCTCATGTTTTCATTGCCATCAATCGATTTTGTGCAGTATTTCTCCCCTTACATTATGATAAACTGTTCACAGTATCTCGAACAAAAAGAATCAGAAACATTATCTGGATTTTTTCTTTTGCAAAATGTATCATAATCTACGAAGTTTTTATTTGCTACAATATGTACTATCCAGAGGCTTGGACGTTAGCTTATATTGATACTCCTGAATGTATCACATACACTTGGTATACAGATTTCGTCTTCAACACAACGCTGGTGGTATTTACAATTTCCGTCAACTTATTAACCGCTTGCAAAGCCGGAAAAACAACAAAACGAATTCTGAGGAGTACGACAGGATCTACTATTTCAAAACAGAAACAAAGAGAGATCAACTTCATTAAACAGACATTCTTTCAAGGAACTTCCATTTTTGCTGGTCAAGTATCTTACTATGTCATTGCTCCATTTGTAGAAAACTTTATTCTCATTTTTGTACTTTCTGCTTTGTGGGCATTTATGCATGCTGTTGAAGGGTGAGTACCCATTAAGAAGTCTCCAATTCTATGTATTCCATTTCAGAGGTATCATATTGGCTTCTAATCAGGAAATAAGACGCATGTTGAGTTGGAAGAAAAGTTAGTTTTGCGGCAGTATGAAGTGAAAAGTTCCATGTGATTTCAGAAAAACCAACAACGATATTCATCTCGAGTGGTACATAGAAGAACTACGAGAAATGTGGATCAAGAAAAACAACAATTTAAAAATTTGTTTTAAAAAACTTTAGCTCTCTTTGGAACAATAAATTTCGAGTGGAAAAACTGTTCATGCCTTTTTTTGACTGGATCATTATCTAAACAACCAATTCTAAACAACCAACTCACAGTAATGTTTCTTGTTTGAGCAAGTGATGTTTTTGACGAAGTTTCTCAACAGACGAGGCCTGGCCTGTGTTCATCGACGCGGAACGAAAAAACGGAAGTGGCGCTTGAATTATTTTTCTAGTTGATAGTACAAAAGACATCAGAGTACATATATGAATTCTTACAGGGTACATCGGTTTTATCTTGGAGTACATCTAAAAGGAAATGAAGAATATTTCGTTGTTTTGTTCCAACTGGAAGATGAACTTTGATGGCGTATTGTTATTTGAGTAGACTGACTTTCAAATTAGCATCATTTTAGAACTCTAGGCAAAGCAATGATCAGTTTTTCAGTTCGTCACGACTAAACACATTTTCTATTGTCTTGATCCAGACTTTGAACTGGATTAGTTTACTTTCTAGAATATCGTAAACACTCTGATAGAAGGCCACCCTATATTTGCACTTTGAGTCCATGTATCTTAGTTTCTGTAACAGATATCAAACATTGGTCAACTGACAAAATGTTGATTATGACATCTAAAGCATTTTGTCAACATACTACTTTTCGAAATCTCCTAAAGGGACCGAGAAAAAATTAAAAATTAGGAGCCCTTTCTATAATATGTTTCACGGCGTTCTTGCTATCTTGAGGAGCCTATATTTGCTAGTAAGAAACGATATACTGGAAAATGTACTTTTAGAAATTTTATATATAATATGAGAAGATAGAATCTAATTTCACACACACAAATAGGATAGATTTGCAAACTTTTCTATCTTTCGACCTTTTTCTCGATCCTAAAGAAAAATATGATATTCATGTTTCCAAAGAACCCGCTGATGAACTTTTTGTGCGCAAAAATTGAATTTTAACACAGAACACACTTCTTAAAAGCCCTTCCAAATTGTTCTCCCCAGTTTTCATAAGCACTTCAGAATGTTCAAAGTTCTTTGATAACTCCTCTTCCCTTTTCCCATTTTTTCTCTTCCCTTCAAAACTGAAAAGCTCATCAACTCAATTAAGTCGGCACGTCTTCTTTCTCTTCTTCGACTTTTTCTATCTCTCCCTTTAGTTTGTTTTTCTGAACCCTCACAAAGAACAAGGAATTCGTTTCGTTTTTTTTTTTCGAAGATTCATTCCAAATGGACACACATCAGTTAATGGGATTCACACTTCTTCCTGTGAGTGACTCGTCTCGAGAGTTTCATTAAACAATGAAATGTTTTTAGATGTCCCTGATAGGGTTTCTGTGCAATTGGTCTGTAGTTTTAGCAGTGTGTAGACGAAACTCCTTGAGTCATTCGTTCTCATTGCTCACTGCAAATCAAGCAGTTTTCAATGGGATTTTTTGTACTTTGTATCTTCTCTATGTTACCCCGATGATAATTCTGTAAGTGAGAGTTGTTGTGGTTTTTCTCATGAATAAAAATATCTTAAAATTAAACGAATCAACAATTTATTAATATAAATGACAACGACTTGATCTCTTTTCATGCATTTTCCCATGAGTCTCTCAATTGATCAAAGTATTTATTCATAGACACGTCCTCTCTCATATCACTTCCAAATGTATCTCTCAATGGCTCGATACTCGTCGACTTCGGACAACCCAGTCTTTCTTTGAATGAATTCGTCTGCACTCTCCATTTTTGACAAAAACATGACATAATTTGAGGAAGTGCGAAACTATAAAAGAAGATGCTTCCGTCGAGTACCACGGAGCACAACGCTTGTTTTTCAGGAGTTGTGTCAAAACTGGAGAACAGGACACTAACGACAAGTACGACATTCATGATCCCCATGTAATAAATGATGATATTGAGCATCTGAAGTAATAAAATTGCAAAATGATAGTTTCAAATAAGACTTACATGTAGAGATCTTATATTTTCCGAGATTTGAAATCGTTTGGCAAGGGAATACTTTCCGATTCTGCTGAAACGAAGAGAAATGTTGTTGTGACACTCGTCGTACTTTCGTTTATTCCATCTTCTCAGGAATGTATTCAACTGAAAACGTTTTATTCAGAATTTTGTTTTTATTTTTCAAGCTCGCCGTTTGGGCAATAACATTGAGCAGAATCAGAACTCCAACCACGTACACAGTGTTCCCTTCTGGAAAAAATTTTATTATAACTATCACTTATTGAAGTGCTAACTATTCTGGAGTACGATAGCTCCAACAACTCCAATCAAGCTGAGAAAAATGACTAGAATGTAAGAAATGTGAGGTCGTTGGTTAATTTCGTAGTCCTTCAAGTAAAACGTTGCAAAACATCTTTCGACGATAGATAATGGTAAGGCACACATTGCAGACACCATAGAGTATATTGAGATTGTCATAGCGCAGACAAAGACGGGACTGGATTCTAAATCGAAATCTGAAAAATGCAACTAGTCGGGAGATCGTAAAACCATAGAAAATAACCATCAGTAAACCAAATATCCAATGAAACCTCATTGCCATAATTGCAAGGTTATCAATGAAATGGATGATATACTGTGCACCGGAGATAAAATTGAAGTTGTAATGAAATTGTTTGGCCGAAAACAAGACCCAGATATAGAAGAGCATATTTATTGTGCTGGAATGTATTAAAAGTAAATATCATACTTGAAAACTGGCCATGGCTTGCCCTGCCATAGTTTCTTTCAGAACCAATATTTTTGGTAACTAAAATTAGGTACGATACAAACTATTTGGAAAACTGTATCTTTGTAAACAAATCTACAGAACAAACAGGCCGAAAAACCGCCAGAGCCCGGCCCACACAGGTAAAATGCGAACGGACCCGTTACGGACTCTCCGCGTTCGCGCGCGGTTGAAATAGGAATCGCGATCTCAAATTGAATTCAGATTCGCGTACGGATCCGTTTGTTTATCATTCGTGGTCGGACCGGATACGGAGTTCGCGAACGGACAGAATACGGAGAAACCCGCAATAATGCGCTGTGTTTTGCTGGAAACGGTTCGCGTACGGTCCGCATACGATTCCTATTTCAACCGCGCGCGAACGCCGAGAGTCCGTAACGGATTGTTCGCGAATCACCTGTGCAGTCCGGATCGTCAGCTTTTCAGCTTGTACCTTTGTTCATAGACAAGACTGCGTTTTTGAAAAGATATCATTTTGTAGTACTCGTCCAGTTCTATCACATCTGATTTAGCTAATCAAAGGATATCGATCTTGAAAGAAAACATGACAGTGCCCGCCAGGGGCATCGTCACTTACTCCAGAACGTAAAAAGCAGTCTCGCCATAAACGAATGCGTTCATTTGAGGAAACTGACTGTATCTTGTCAAATGAGTCATATTGAAATAGTGGATGAGCAGCATATCAGCTGACATATATTTCAATGAAAATATCTGTTAAGGAGAACTATCGAGAAGGCGAAAAAACCAAAAAAATGAGAAAAATTGGGAGGAGCTTATTGTGAGAATGTACCGGAAATTGCTACAAGAAATTAGTTCTTGAACAAGAACACTACGTTGTGGTGGGTTGGATTTTACGTTCAGTTTAAGTTAGGTCTGACGTTTGAAAACAAATTCAGGAAGGATTTCTTCATTAAAAAGAGAGAGAGAGAGCGATTCCGAAATTGAAATTAGTTTCATTGCGAGGAAAGAAGGAAAAAAGGAAAATAAAGAAGAAAAGTGTCGGATTGAAATGAAAAGGAGAAGAGTCAAAGAAAATGAGGATTATCTTGATTCCAGGTTATTTTGAATGATGCACGGGGGTCGAGACATCCCATGAATTGCGGAGAGTGTCAAAATATGAATCCACCGTCATATTCACATTCATCGCAGATCCATAAGTATCACACAGTGGAGCCACGTGGACAACACTAGATTTACAACCAATCTTAAATTTTGAGAATGTTGTTTTTAAAACAAATTTCAGCCTATATTCCGGTTCACTTCTTGTTTCTGATAAATGACTAATGTGATTTCTGTTTTTGTGAAACATCCATCTAAACACTAGCACAAGGAATAAGAATTATGATCTTAAAACATGAACTTTTTGGTTCAGAATAAAATTTAATGAAAAAAAGTTCCGGTTCATCAGTTGAGCTCTTAGACTTTTTTCTACGTTTTCGTTTCCGGCAGACTGCCCAAGTGTGTATCAATTTGCTTCTAGAAGCATCTAGAACAAATGATTTTCTGCGATGTTTGTGAGAAAAAATTACTCATTGTGTTGTTTTTCAGCTAGTTGTATTCCGGAAGAACGAAAAAAAATCGGTTGTAATCGTGCAAACCGTGAGATTCTTCACTACCTACCTTTCTCCACGTTTCCGATAACTGACGTCGCCATTTTTCACAACAAAGCATGATAACATGAGAGAGAAGATTACTGTAGACAAAAATGCAAACATCCAGAACAACACTGCAAACCGCTTGTCTCTCCGGAGAGATGCCTCGGATTCCAGACATCATCAAACTGATAACCAGTGCCATATTCATGAATCCCATATAGAAAACGATGACATTAAGCATCTGAAAATAACACCTTCAACGAGAAATAAAGGAAACAAAATTACCCGAAGAGTCTTAATATTTTCAGTTATCTGATATCTCTGAGTCAGTGAATACTCGGTAATTGCTCCTGATTGTGCTCCTATGGCTTGAACTTTCTGGTACTGAGAATTGTTGTAAATTCGAAGATTCCCGTTAACAATTAGTGCGAAAACATTTGCAATACTTAGTGTGATTACAATGTAGACAGTGTTGGAAGTTCTGCGAACCAAAAAACAAGAAGTGCTTGCAATGATGAAAAGGAAAATAACCAAGAAAAAGGATACATATTTCCTTTGCTTTTTTTCGTAATCCGCAACAAAGTAAGATGCAAAACAGCGTTCAATTATGAGACATGGTAAAATTCCCAACGCACATATTATTTCGAATATGGAGATGTACATTAGAACAGTAAACTTTATGTTTTCACGAATTGTGGTATCTAAATTGTTTTTGTATTTTTTGCATCGATATATCGAGAGTTTCTTACCATCCAATCCCATAAACATGTATACTCTCATGAGGATTATTGCGATGTTATCAATAATATGAATGAGATAGATGAGAGCCAGCAAAACCGTAAAGTTGAAGTGAAACTGTTTCGCTTTGAACAGGACCCACAAGAAAAATGCAAACTGGAGAGTGCTGAAAAAATAAATTTCTAATCCAATTCTGAGAATATTTGTAAACCGGGTCTTGCCATAATTCCTTTTAGAGTCAATATTTCTGGATTACCTAAATTCCTTCCTTGTGATAGAACTTAACAAGTACTACAAAATAATACTATTTGGAAAACTGTATCTTGTCTATGAACAAAGTTACAAACGGGATGAGCCAAGAAAAACAGGCAGTGCCCAGCACGGCCTGGATTTTCGCAGTACTCGTCGAGTTCATATCTAATTTAATTGAGTCAAAAATAAATTGATTATTCACATTATCTACATTGGTTGGTCCAAAAACAGTGATTCTAAAAGAAACTATCACAGGGTCCGGTTTACAAGTATAGAGAATAGCTTACTCATAGATGTAAAAGACAAACTCTGCTTTCAAATAATACTCCAGCAGGCGAAAGTTACTAGTGTTATTTCGAAAATATGTTAGATTAAAGTAATGAATGAACAGCATTTCAATTGAAAAAATCACAGAATAATTGTTCTCTGAATATTAGGTATGATCCGGAGAAGAACTATGACGGGAGTCTAGTGTTCGTCACAAGAAAAAGTGGGTCGGATTTTGTATCGGGTGTTTTTAAGAGATTTGGAGTTAAACTGAAAACTCAATAACTAACTCACAGATTCTCAGTTTTGCGGCAGAGAAATAATGAAAATCGTCTACTCAATGTTTCCCTCTCTCCTTTTCCATTGAGACTCAAGAGTTAATGGAAACACAAAAAGAAGGAAAGATTAAACGAATAATATAAGGTCAATGAGAGAGAATCTAGGTAGACAAAAACATCATAGAGTAAGTATTTTATTAGACGATTTTTATCATGATTCACAATAAATTAGTGAAAAGTGAGATCTTTGGATGGATCATTAATGTCTGTTGCAGCTTTCACAGTTTTGGAGTCATGACCATCTGTCGAAAGTTTTCATCTACAGGCACGCTGTGAACTCCACACATTTGAACCTCTTCTTGGAGCCAGGAATCAGCTTTCTGCAAAATTGAAACTTTTAGAATTGTCATCTTCTAGAACAAAGATACTTCCACTAGCAACAATGCTTCGTTTGTAGTGAAAATCCTTTCTGTTGGAATGTTTCTTTCTAGATAATATCCTTTCAATTGTTTTCTAATCACATTCCTCATATTGTAACACATCTCCGAGCACTCTTCAGAAATGTTTGAATATCCCGGATCCAGGAGCATCAGAATCAGTATAGCCATCAGCTCCATCGCATCGAATTTCAGTTCAAATAAGGGATATGCCACATGTCCATAATACGAATTCCAATAAGGTTCAAATATCTGAAGAACTTCTTTATCGTCCATTCGTTTTTTGGATGGCATGCAGTCTCTGTAGAATTTCGAAATTTGCTTTGCCGGTTTTCCATTAGCCGCGAAAAAAGTGTGAATCTCAGAGTTCTTGAACGCTTGAATTCCCGACTCAAAAAGCGTCCATTTGGGATAGAAGTTGGAAAATAGGTTATTTTTGTCAATATCACTCAAATACTCAAGTTCCTGTATTGTATTCATCAAAAGTTTCCGAAACATTGGGGCATCTTTCATGGAGATTGTGGTATACTCGTAAAAGTCCACAAGGCTTGTAGAACTCGATTCATGAATCACTTTTCTTTCTCTTCCCAATTCATTGTAATTCCCCAGAGCGTCGGCTATACGATCAATGCTTCTTAATGGAATGAGGCTAGTCTACAAAAATGAGAAGTTCTAGAAAAAAAACATGCCCGACTCACTTCCAAGAAACTCCCACTCGTTGTTCGTGGGTTTTTGTCTCTTCTGTGTTGAACTTCTGCAATAATAAAGTGTTTTCCGTAAAAACTCTAATAGAGTGCAACCGTCACTTTTGAGCTCATGTATCTCATTTTCTGTGAAAGGTGACAAAAAGTAGTCAACTGCCAAAATGTTTATCATAATATCAACACTATTTTGTCAGTTAATCAATTTTTGATATCTTTTACAGGAAATGCGATATATGGGCTCACAGTTGACAGTTTGAGTGGCACTCTAATAGAATGTTTTTGGTATTTTATCAGTAACAAGAAACTCACTTGAAGTCAACATTCCAGCATTAACACATAATTCCCATTTGCAATATTTGCATGGATTTTTCTCCCTTCCACAATTGCATTCTTTTTGAGGTTTGGTTGAGTTGACATATCTACGGAAGAACGCAGCACACGCTCTGAAAGCTAACACTTCCTAACAACAACAAAAGTTGCAATCACTTGCAAGATTGAATACCAAAATGTGATTCACTAGAGATAGGTTTCTCGCATACTTGACAGAGTTGCATTTCGGCGACCACCATCACAAACTGAAACAAAAATCGAATTGTGACGAGATTTGGAGATTGTGTGGGAGTGTGATCTACCGCTTGTTTCTCTCCCATATGTGAGTTTTGATAGAATTGCACGGAAGTATAAAAAGGGTTTATGACAAAGATCAAAAGGGAACTATAGACCAAAATGTGAATCGGCACGTACAGGAGGATGGACGGTCGTCAACGAGGTTAGTGTGAGGTATAGAATCAGAAAAATATGTAAAAAGAAGATGAAAAAGAAAAGAGGAGGAATTGAAAACATTGGAAACTGGAACGTTTCGTCAGCACTTGAGTATTTGAATTTTCAATTGAAAGTTTGATCACATGAACTATAATACTTCTTCAGAAAATCCAATCTAATTGACTTGGCGGTCAATGTGAATTAATGTGAATTTTTCATTCAACATTGTCTGGTGAATCAATCAGAGGGAGAGAGAGAGAGAGAGAGAGAGAGAGAGAGAGAGAGAGAGAGAGAGAGAGAGAATTTATAACAGGTAATCAAACAATCAGATTGGGACAGAAGAGAAAAGAGAAATAGATTGGTAGAGACAATAGACTACGAATTAAGTTACGAATTGAGCGTTGAACATTTTTGAAATTGATAGAAACATAGTTTTGTGTGTTGATGTGAACAGCAATAATTTTCGGAATTTTTATTCAAATGATTTACAAAATCACAAGTAAATTACAACTTCTTGATGTGAAAAATCTCTTTCCAATCGTCATGAAGAACCAAGTTATGTAATCCGCAAAGCACGTTTTCTTCCTGTAACTTTTCTTCTGCTTTTTCGAGAAGCCGTAGAGTATCTATTGTGTCTGCTAGCCGCATATCTGAGCAATTCTTGTCATCTTGATATCCTTTTAGTTCCCTGAGAATCACTTTTCTAATATTTCTGCACAATTTGGCCCCGTCTTCGCTGATATTGGTATAAGCTGAGAACTTGATGAATTAGGAGACTGAAATGGAAAGGAAGCTTACCATAGTCAAATAATAATAAGAGAAAAATAGCCATGTACTCCACTTTGTCGAGTTTCTTCAGGTACACTGGATGTGCAACTTCTGAATAGTGCCAATCCCAAAATGGTGCAAAGATTCGGATTGTTTCAGAATCTTTGATTCGTTTTCCAGAAGCCATCGAGCTGCCATAAAAGTGCGCACACTTTTTATAGTACTCATCGGTACCCAAAAAGCTTTGAAATTGGTTGTAGTTGGTGCAATAGTCGATGGCAGATTCCATAACAAGCCATTTTGGGAAAAAATTGTAGGTAATCGAATCTCTATCAGAACTACTAAGTTTGGAAACATCTGAGAAAATACACTCAGCAAGGCCCCATAACAATCGAATGTTAGCTTTAGCAGTAGATGTTACTTCAGCAAGATTTTGATGGTAAGGGGATTCTCCATACATTTGCTTTCTTTTTTTGTCAACATCGACCCAATTCACAACTGTCTTTGATATCTTGTCGCAAGTTTTTGGAATTATTGAAGTCTGAAACTTGATTACCTGAGCTACCGTAAAACCTTTAATAATAAAGCCCTCTACTTTCAAGTTCGGTTTTCCTAGACTCCTATGCAAGATGTTCAAAATGTTTGTGATTTCATGATAAGCAATTTATCAGTTGACAACTTTTCTGTATATTTGACAAAACCGAGATAAATAGGATCAGAGTTAAAAGTTAAGGGCTCTTCTATTACAAGTTTTTTGGTAACAAGTTCTTACCGGCAAGGATGAGATCAGTGGAATGTACCCAATATGGTAAAAACGGCTTCGATTTTTCTCTCGATTTGGTTGTACTTCTGAAAGTCAACTTGAAATTTCTGAATTTTTTCAAAACTGAAGCTCACTATTTTTTGTCATTCCGGTGGCAATGCATTTTAACATTCGACAATGCCTGCATGGATGTGATGATGGGAGTCTGTGCTGACATGTGCAGGTGACATCCAGCTTCTTTGAATGCACACATCTCCGGAAAAATGCTGCACAGGCCCTGCAAAATGAAGTTTGGGGTAAAAGTGAAGAAGCAAAAGAAATCCCTCACCTGCAGGACTCACCACCAAAATGTGGTTCGGAACTGTCAGCTCCACATACCAGGCATAGCATTCGACGGGGTAAATATAGTCTGCGAGAGAGGGATTAGAAAAGGAAAAATATGCGAAAAAAAGAGAAATTTAATGGTGAGAAACCAGTCAACAAATCTAATTAGGGGGTGGGTACACAGTAAACATTTATTAAATTTTTCTCATTCACAATTTCTTAACTTGCACAATCGATTTGAAATCATCGTGAAGATTAACATTGTTAAGCCCACAGAGTATAATCTCTTCTTGCATCTTTTCTTCTCCTTTCTCCAGAAGCATCAGCGTCGACATGACATCCAATAATCGTTTTTCTGGCAAGTTGTTGTCTGTTTGATATCCTTTCAGCTCTCGTAGAACTACCTTCCGCAGATTTCTGCATAGTTTTGCCCCTTCCTCGCTGATATTTGTATACGCTGAAAATTCTTGTTTAGTCTATAATTGAATTATTTTCGTACCATCATCAAAAAGAATCATCAGAAAGAGCGCGATGCATTCCACTTTATCTAATTTCATCTGAAACACCGACTCAGCAATTTCATTGTAGAAATGCACCCAGTATGGCTTGAAAATATTCACAATCTCTTTATCAGGTTTTCTTCTCTCCATAGATGATCCATAAAACTTGACAATCATTTTTTCTAGCTCTTCACTGTTATCCATCATTTTCCGATGATGTTCCTGATTGGTACAGTAATCGATTGATGATTCCATTACTATCCATCTTGGGAAGAAGTTGCAGATTATGGCTTCTCTGTCCTTTGCCGTCAGAAATCCTAAATCCGGAAATATCATCATTCCAAGGCTCCATAACAAGGTTGTGTCTGGTCTGGCCATATTAGACACTTCCAGAAAATTGAGATCATAAAAACATTCTCCATATAAGGACTTCCGTTTTTGTTCTAGTTCTGGCCAACTTTCTATTGTGTGAGCTATCTTAAAGCAGAATTTTGGCACAATGTGGCACTGAAAGTTTTCAAATTATTTAAATTTATAAGAACACAAAAACTACCGAGAGGAGAGATAACGTTGCTAATTCGCTTGATGGAATTACCCTCCGTGTGTTCTTTTCTCTTGATGATTGAACTTCTGAAAAGAAGAGGATGGCAAATTAATGATTCATTTTCAATTATCTCACTAGTTTTGGTCATACCAACTGCCAGACACTTATTCATTCGACACCGTCTACATGGATAAGATTTTTCGGTTCTTTGTTTGCAGGTGCATTGAATTATCAGCTTTTTCGAATTGACGTATCGTCGGAAGAAAGCAGCACATGCCCTAGAAAATTGGTTTTTCAAAGTGTTAGACTTGGGTAATCAACCTGCAGGAGATTCCTCCAAAATGTGTTTCAGCATTCTCAGCTCCACAAATTTGGCAAGTCATTCACAGACTTCAGCTGCCCAAAAGAAAAAGACAAATTACAGAAAGAACTAATTGTCCACTATTTCAGAGATCTGGTAAAGAAGTTAGAAAGAAGCTTACAAGTTAGTTCTAAGAAATTAGAAAAAAAGAAGAAAGCCGTGACGTTCTGTGTAGAATCAAATAAGAAAGTTTGCTATCATGAATTTCGATCGGTGAAATACCCGGGACACACTTTTTTCAATGATCTGTGTAGGATTAATCTAGATTGGAAGAAAAAAACCTAGACATCACAATCGTTCATCGAAAGTTGATAGAGGTGTGGAGGCTTTGGAACACAACTCAATTGTGGCAGCAAATAAATTTAATTTGTTCTCGACACAAGTTTCAAAAATCAAAATCATAAACCAGTTTATCGAAAGACGATAATTGTTGTACCCAAATGAATTATGACAAGAAATCATTCAACTTACAATCATATTACAGTTTCCTAACATGAAATATTGATTTGAAATCTTCATTTAATATTATGTTGTTGAACCCGGCAATTAATACTTCTTCCTGAATTTTTTCTTCCGCTTTCTCTAGTATTAGCAGCACATCCATCACATCTATGAACCGTTTTTCGTAGCAATGATGATCAGTTTGATATCCTTTCAGCTCCTTTTTTATCACTTTACGTAGAGCTCGACACAATTCTCCGCCTTCTTCGCTGATATTTGAATATCCTAAACATTGAGAGGCTAATTCAAAATATAGAAAAAATAACTAACCATCATCAAAAAGGAGAAGCAAGAATATAGCCATATACTCCACCTTGTCCATCTTCTTGAAATGTATCGGAACTGCTGTTTCGTAGTAATGAAAATCCCAGTACGGTTTCCATATCCTCAATATCTCCTCATCTTTCAATCGTTTCTCCATAGGCATTGAGGTTCCATAGAAATGTAAAAGCATATCTGTGTAGTCTTTGGATAAAATATATTTGGAAGATTCTTCGTAATTTGAACAAATTCCAAGTGCTGAATCCAACATCATCCATCTCGGGAAAAAATTACAAAGGATTGAATGTTTATCAGTTCCGCTTAGCAGTTTTACATCGGGAAATATTTTGGATGCAAGGTCCCACAAAAGAAGTGTATCGTCTCTGGCGACGTTGGAGAACTGGGTGAAGTTCATTTGAAAAACATCATTCCCATACAAAATTTTCCGTTTGATATCGACTTCTCCCCAGTTGGCCGCCGTATGTGACATGTTCGAGCATTCTCGTGGTATAATATTACACTGGAAAAATTATTTTGAAAAATTACGGGATTTTGAAACCTGTATTAGAAGGGCCAGCCCTTACATTTTTCCGACTAACCTCCGCAGGCCCTTCTATTACATGGACGCTCAATTAGATTAACCCTTCTACTTATCCGGCCATTTTTTCTGTAGTTTTTCATCGAAAAATTCGGTAAAATCTCGTTCAAATTTCAAAAAAAATCTATCAATTTCACCAAAAGTTTCTTACAACAACAAAAAAAAATAGAATTTCAACCATTTTTCTGAATATTTTTCACTGAAGACGTACAACAGTTTTCAATTAAAAACAACACATTTGGAGGACGCCCTTCTATTTTTACAAGCCTCTTTCGGGGTGCCCTTCTAATACAGGTCTTACGGTGATTTTGTTTTTCCTGGAATCTGGGACAGACTTACTGATAACAAAGAAATGTTGGAGACAGCTGGAATACATAATGCTTTGGTTTTATTTCGTTCCCTGGATGCTTGAACTTCTGAAAATGTTTAATCTGAACATCTTAGAAACTACAAAATCCCTATAAACTCACTACACTTGATCATACCAGTCGCTAAGCATTTCAACATCCTACAATGTCTACACGGATGAGAAGACGCTAATCTTTGCTTACATGTGCAGTTTACTTCTGACTTCCGTGAATGAACACATCTTCGGAAGAATGCTGCGCAAGCTCTGAATGTGTTCATAAGTCTAATGGAAAGACGAAATTATTATGTATACCTACAAGAATATCCTCCAAAATGGGGTTCTGATTCAGGAGCGCCACAGACCTGACACAACATCTAAAACGAGTAAAGTTTTGTAGCAAAACAGCGAGAATCTGGAGGCATATGGGAGAAAGATTATATAATCGAAGTAATGAAAAGATGTCAAAAAAATGTTGCTCGGAAAACTTTGTGCTTCTAGTTTTATTCATCACTGGTCAGCTCATTGAAAAAAAGAAAACATATATCAGGAGTCACAGAGTTCATGGTCAGCTCTCGTGCAAAGGTTCATAATCAGAAGTGTGCTTCCTTGATCACGATGCTTTGCAGATTAACTAAATATTATATCACAAAGTTAGTCTGACCTTTAAGTCTATCAGACTAATCCCCCAGTCTGATTTGAAATATAAAAAAGAAAAGGAGGATAGTTAGAAATCAGACGCAGAGATCAACTTGTTGTACCGTCCAGACAGATCAGATGAAAAGATAATATCAACTGGATCTACCTACTCGTGGACTGTTCGGGGGAAGACCGAGTGACGTGTTCTCGTGGGGAGGATGCTAGTCTCACACTCCTCTATTTTATATATATTTTCTTACAAAAGTTTCTGATTCATCGAAAAATTATTATTCAAAAATACAAGAGCAGTTCAATGCAATGATTTATATGCAAAATCGTTACTATCACTGAATGATCTTATGATGTTATTGGAGAATGAATCATTGTAATTTAAAAAAGGGCAAGATTACTAAAGAGTTCTGATATAGTATTCTGAATCATATCATAGTAAAAAAAGTCTGACACAGAGATAATTTTAAAAAAAACAGAGAAAAAGAGAAATCACGTCATATAGAGAACATAAGAAAGTTAAAATAGAAAAAGAAAGACCATTGGATTCGAGTACAAGTCTTCGATCTACTTGTTCGTATCTGTTTCTACATTTTCCTTCTGTGCCTCTTTTCAGTCCTCTGATCTCTATCAGCATACTATTTTCTCGTTTTTTCTGGTTGTCTACTCCCTCTTTTATATTTACTATCTCTCTTTAGAGTTTTATATAACACGTTGTTGCCACATCCACGGGGAAAGAGAAGAGAAAAGAACGTTTTTGCGTGTACTTTGAAACCGGAAGGCTTGAATTTGAATACTTGAATTTGAATAAAAGAGTGGGTGTTGACGAGGAGTGAGAATTTAGTGGAAATAGTATTTACGGGAGAAAGAAGCTTATATTTCGAGATAATCCTCACGAGAAAAACACCCATAGTTCTGTATGTACTTGTCAGACTGAACGCGCGTAATACCAAGCACATTTGAGATCAAAAAGGAGGGGGAATTCAGACGCCACGCATGACTAACCACAAGCCAAGAATCAGAAAACCCGGAAGCTGAAGAAAATGAATATCACGTAGGTGCACACACATTGAAGTTAATGAATAAGGAATGTGAATAGTGGACCAGTAAATTGAGATTCCACCTGTTTCGGAAATTCTATGGAGACAACAACCAGTTCGTCTAGGTCTTTGTATTATGTTGAAAGGGAGAAACAATATATATATATATATATATATATATATATATATATATATATATATATTAGTTTATTTACAAAAAACAACGGATTGATAAAAAGTTTCGTTATAGATCAATATTTTTCCCACATCACCATTTTTCTCATATCTTCGTCTACTTCAAAGTTGTAGACCCCACACAGTTCGATTTCTTCTTGACATTTGTGTTCGGCTTTCTGAAATTCCGTTTTGTACTGTTTTACGTTATGCCCAATTTTCCAAAAAGTCCGGTCAGAAATAGCGCCTCAGAATGAAACTAAGGTTTCTTTTTTTGCTTTTTGTTGGCTGAGTATCAAACGTACAACGATGAGAGAAAAAAGCGCTGATTAAAAATACAGGTCAAATCCTCGTTCACGAAACCATTAAATTTCTCCTGGGCTGAAAGTTATCTGGGGCGCGATTTCTGACCAAGCCTTCTGGAACCTTGTGTGTAAGTGCTTACTGTTACCTCAATTATGTTAATTGTATCCAACGTTTCGAAGAATCTACTGGGCGAGACGTCATTTTCAGCTAAGTATGAACTCAATTCTCGACAAATGATTTTTCGCATCGAGTGGCAAACATCTGCTAACTCCTCGCTCACATTTACATAGCCTGAAATGTATGATCTATAATGTAGTTGAAAAACTTCAAAATCAATTATTACGATTCGTTAAGTCATATTCTTTTTGTCACTCATGTCACTCAGCTAATTTTTGGCACGCTAAGACCCCCGTTCAGTTTTCCCTTGGAACACCGCACCCGCGCCCTTACAATTAGCTTGCAGGTCCCATACCCCTTCTTTAACCATCTGCGCATAAATTAGTTGAGCCCTTTATTTTTAATGTTACGGAAAACTTCCAAAATCAAACATTAGTATTCATTATGTCACTTATTACTTTTTATGTAATTTTATAGCAGTCTACAAAAAATCACCTGCATCCCATAACATTATTCCAAAGAGTGCCATATTCTCCGTTTCTCCAAACTGCAGTTTGACAAGTGGACCAATCACATTTTGAAAATGATACGTCCAATAGGGCTCGAAAATTCTAAAATTTTTACTTCTTAGAATATTTCCCCATCACATATTTTCCATACCTTATAACTTCTTCTTCGGTTAATATTGCTTCCTCTCTTACAGTGTTCACATAAAAATCGTTAATTGATTTAGCAACTGAACCAGATGGAGAATAAAAATTATGCGGATCATTGTATTTTGTAGAAAAAATTGCGACTTCTAGAATACTCCATTTTGAGTAAAAGTTGTAGAACAAAGTTTTCTGGAAGATTAGATTAATATTTTCAAATAGCTAGAATATTCCAAGTCTCACTTTGTCGCTTCTATCCAAGCGATCAAACTGCGGAAACGTCGTTTCGCAGAGTTTCCATAGCAACTTTGCATCCGTTTTCACTTCCAAAGACAATTCATAGAGGTTCACACCAAGGGCATTCTTCTCCTCGCTTATGTTGAAAATTGTTGATCTTGTTGCTTCCAGATTACGGTAGTTTTTAGCAAGAAGGTTTATAAGCTCGACGCTTCGCGGTGTGATTCCAAACTGAAAACTTACAACTTTTTATGTATTCAAACGTAACGTTTTTTACTTCAATATTTGAAATAGTGGATGCTGGGGATCCAGATGACAAAGAATATGTTGGAGATGACCCTTCTATCATTTTTCTTTTCAATGAGTTATTTATATCTCTTGGTCCTTGGACTTCTGAAACACTAAAATTGGAAAGAAATTCACAAAAATTAAGATTAACTGCATCTTTCCATTCCAACAGCAAGACATTTTTTCATCCGGCATAGTCTACAAGGGTATTGGCTTTCTGAAATAAGATATCTCCAATTTTCAGAGAAATGTTTTGATGATCCATGTTTTTGGCACCCAAATTAAAAAAAAACCAACCTTTCTTTGACAAACAATTGCACAGAATCGTGAGCTTTTTAGTGTTAACATATCTTCTGAAAAATGCAGCACACGCTCTGCAGACAGTTGCTCCGAAATGATATTGAGCTGATGACGAATCACAAACCATACAATTTTCACTCATTTTTCTCTGAGGATTCTGAAGAACCGTTCGGAAATTCGAATTTCAAAGTGACGTTGTGGGGTGGAAAAAAGTCAAAAAGTCAAAAAAGGAGAGTGACATGATGGTCGACCGGTTGATTCTTCTAATTCGTGTGAGAGAGAGAATAGAGAGGGAGAGTGTGGTTTATAACTTTGGAGAGGCACAATTTCTTTTTTCTTTTTTTGAGTTGTTAAAGACTATAATAAAATTTATGTCATAAGTAATAACTTTCCTTGGTTCACATATTTCGTGGAATTTCTCCTTCTTTTGTTCTCTTGGTCTTCCCCAGAATGTTCCGCAAATATTCATGCAAAGGACAAGAAGGAAATAGGGATTTCCTATTTCCTGATGTATTAAATTTAGTATTTAGACTTCACTAATACTTCTTTTAGAACACTCTCTTGCTGAAATTAAAACCTTCACAACAAAAATTGAAAACTAGTTTTCAACAGATAATAGAAAAAGATTTCTGATCGTTGGCAGAAAAGTACACACAAACTATCAATATTTTCTATTTCTCTTTTTCTTTCACTATCTGAGTCTCTCTTTTTTCTATTTTTCCATTTCTTCTTTCTCTTCTTTTTTTCTTCTTTCAATCCATGCCTAACTAATTCAAAATTTGACCGTTCATCGCATTAGTTTCAACTATTCGCTATTTTTCAATTTCGTTACTGATACCTTTGGCCAGTTTGACAACTAATTAGAAAATCAATTTGAGTCGTCACGAAAGTGACCTGAAAATAAGAAGTTTGTAGGGTAGAAAGGAAAACGCCAAAAAGTGAAAATCAATAGGTGTAGTTGAGACATATGTTATCGGAGAGAATGAAACAAGCACGTGCACTACTCTCTCTCTCTCTCTCTATTTGTCTTTCTTGTTCGAGTTGAGGTTTACCTACTTTTTCAATGAACTGTAAAATATGTCTGCCACCCTCTCTCTTTACATTTGCGATTGAATTTTTGGTCTGAAACACGAAACGCGTTTTCAGATGACCCGACAGACGTCGCCTCAAAATTGTCTGATATGTGGAGATTCGGCGGATTCTCTGCATTTTGGAGCACTATCATGCCGGTATGTCAATGTTACGAGTGTTGTTATTAACGTTAGCCCGAATACACAAAAATCGAAAAGGTTATGGTGTCTGGAAAACGATTTTCCTGATGGTCCGCAAGTATATTTCGAAGTGCAAGTCATTTTCAGTCCAGATATCACCAACTAACACTGAAAAAAATATTTTCAGACTTTCAGAAAATCATTCTCCAGACACGGGAAAATGATTATCCACTTACTATACGGGCTCTGGACGGTGTTCATTTTTTTAAAAGTTATATTTTCAGAGCATGCGCTGCATTCTTTCGACGAAAAGTTGCTGGAAGACGGAACATTTTCCGAAGATGTGACCGCCAATGCCAAGTGGATACAGGAATGAGAAAACTGTGTGCTAGCTGTCGTTACGATAAATGTTTGAAAATGGGAATGAGAGAATCGGCTGTGCTCTCAAGGCTTGCTCAGAAGAATCAGCACTATAAGAAATCAGTAGGGTCATCAGACGAATGTGAACCTTCAACTTCGAAATCTGGAAGTATTCTGGAGAATCTGCAAAACGCTTATCAAAAACTTTTGCAGGCAAGGAGAAAAGCCTTCAATATTACAGTAAGTATTATGTAAAGAAATTTATCAAAACTTTAAAAATTTTTTTCAGCCCGATTCTGTCCCACAGATCTGTAATTACAAAAGGATGAATGAGGTATTCTATGAAGATATAAAACTTGTCATGGAAAATCTCATTGGTGCTATGAACTGTTCTGAAGTTCCCAAAGACCAACAGGTTTGTGAATATTCGAATAGATTGTAAAATAAATTATTAACTCAGAAAGTTCTTCATGTTCATTTTATGGTACCTTTCATGCTCTGGAAGGCGGCTACAAGTCAACCAGTGAGTTTCAGAAATAATTTTACTATAAAATGTTGGAAATATTTCAGACAGTGACCTCTTTTATCTTCCAAATGGAGATTACATCGATGAAAACAAAATTGAAGAATACTATCAAAATCCAGATGACTTGAACGATAAGAGTGGAGAAGCTGCTGCAGAGTACGCTTTAAAAATTTTTTTAAATATAAATTTCAAATTTCAGAGTTTTTCGGCCCTATTGGAAACTGAACCGACAAACTCTGAAAATGCATCTCGACGATGTTCAGCTTGACTTGCCGGAACTTTTGTTTGTGTGTGCTATGGTCTTCTATGACTATGGTCAGTTTCATTATTTTATGTTTCAGTCTGAAAATTTCAATTTTTAGGTCTCCAAGATCAGACAGATGACTGCATAGAAATGTGCAAGAGAGTGAGGTCACAAGTGATTGAAGAACTAACAGATTACGAGAAGAATGTTCGAATTAATGATGATCATTCGTATCGAGTTGGTCAGATAATTATGGTACTCCAAGCCATTCAACGGACTGTGAATATGATTCACGAGACAAGAGAGATATCATTGGTCTATAATTTATATGAGAGGCATTCTAGTATTTTTGAAACAATGAAAGATTAGTTCTGTTGAAATTGTAATAAAGTATTTTCTTTTTCGAATTCATTCACTACACTTGTAGTCAAACTTACTTTAGAATAGATAACACATCATTCTTTGACTCGGTTCTTTGCTGCGGCCTGATAACTCATTTGGAATGGAATAATTGATGGGGGGATGTATGTAGTTTGTTCAACGAGTTGGAAAATCAGCAGACCATGAAGTTTCAGGAAATCATCAATGAAGCTATAATAAAGTTTCTTTATGAACTATGGATGTCATAAAACCTGTAATAGAAGAGGCCACACACTGCCAAGTTTGAGCTCAATTACCTCATTTCTTATGCAAGATATCAAAAATGTGTCAACTGGAAAATTTTTTGTGACGGTCCTTCTATTACAGGTTTACGGTATTCTAGTTTTTTCTGTGACCCTTTTGAAACAGAACTATGAGTTTTGATATTCAAGAAGTTTCGAGGTCTTCACGGAGTACGACGTAAGCTAATGATGAGTGAACTTCAGAAAATGAAAGAAGAGGATTATGGGTCTTTGCTGCAGAAGGCGTTGTTTTTCAAATAACACAAAAGAGAACTCGAGAAAGTCAGTGGACCAAACTGACGTTTTTTTTTCTGAAAAAGAGTAGGAAGTTCAGATGCTCAACGTTTGATTTACACAATCCTTCCAGAGTTGAAACCTTATTTTATGAAAAATTCGGAATCCCCGAATAATGCCATTGAACAATAATGCCGTTGAACATTCCGTTTCAACAAAGTTTTTCTTTAACCAGATTTGAAGTTTGCAGTAACTGATTAGTCAGAAAAAATGCTCGTTCTCTGTCTAGAAACCCATGGTGTGATAATTCAGTTTGGAAAATCTATTAACCGTCTATGTAGTTTTTTTCCCCTCTTATTTTTTGATCTTGAAATGCATGTTATTTAACACACACTTTCTCGGTCTTCCTGAGAAATCGAATTTCATCAGAATGTGAAACATCAAGCAGCAGATTGCACATCTTTTTATTTTCAGTTGCATAATCTATGAGGATTCGATGAACGGATAATTTGATTTTCTGATTCTTCAAACCCCTGTTCTTAGTAACCGCAAAAACCAAACCCCCTAGTTTTTGTCTATTTTGTCGAGTAGTTTTCCGTTCGTTTTCCTTATTTTTTTTCTCACATTTCAAAAGCCCATTCCTTCACGACATCAAAAACGTCAATTTGGGGCGGAAATGAAAAAAAAAGAAAACAGAATGCATCTTCCTCCTATCCGAAACATCTTTCTATTTTCTTTTCATGTGACCTTTTGATCCGTTTCTTCCTCTCTCTTTTACCAGAGACATTTCGAATTAGCTCCCTTTTTTCTTCTTCTTCTTTTGGATAGATCCCTTTTTAACAAGATCCCAAATAGAGACACAACTCTCTCTCTTGCTCATTTTCAATTCCGCGTTGTCACAGTGGAACTCGAAAAGCACTCATCTTCTTACTCTTGGCTCCTCGTTTTTGTTTCCTAACACACGTGACGACTCTCTCAACAGGTCGATTTCAGAAATCCCGTATTGTAAGTGTCTTCTGTTGGTTTCCTATTTTCTTACATCTTCTTCTTTTTCTTTTTCACCGGAAGCCCAGACTCATCCGCTTTCAATTGGACTCTCGGTGGTGCAAGAAGTTCAGTTGCCTCCTCCTCATTTCTTTACTATTGTCCTCTACCTTCTATAAAAGTGTTTTTTTCCTTTTTCTACCTACTCCCACTCACACTTTTTACTTCACTTTACGTGCCCATCAACAAATCCCAAAAGTCTCCAAAGGCTCGCAAATTGGATAGATGATTAGTAGAAATCATACATATCATGCGACTCAATTCGCCGGTTTTCTTCTTCATAAACTTCTTTATATAGCTCGTCTCTCATTCTACTTTTCGTTTTCGAAGCAAAATTTTACTTGTTTTTTATCCTCGAACTTTGCAGGATGTCGGCATGCGACGAAATGACCGAAATGACCACTTCCTTTTGGTTACGGTTATCTCTTATCGGAAATCTAGTCATCACCTTCATCTCTTTCCCTGTTCTCTTGTCTGCTCTACATTATATCAATTCTCAACAGTTGTTTCATCCAAACACTCGAATACAGATAAAAGTGCACATCTTTGCGCTTATCGTTCACTCCACTGGAAGGTAAGAATCAGTATGGATGACTAGGTATCTCAAATTACAAGTGTTAGAAAAAAAATAAGAAGAAGGGAAGGTAGGAAAAAGCATTTTAATTTCTTTTTTTGCTCGAAATTCTTTGGAAGGACATTGAATAAATTGGATTATCTTTTTGGAGGGGCCCAGTCTTGGAGTCCATTTTTAGAACAATGGCGATTGGAATGTTTCAAAAACAACTACATTAAAGAATAGGGTAGAGAGATTATCCAGAGTTTTTTTTTTCATTTTCAGAAGTCTGGAGCTTGGCTGTCAAGTTTTCGATCACTTTGAACATTTAGAGGGTGTAAAATAGACCTAGGTTTAAGGCTGTGCAACACGCGGCCTCGGTCGGCTACTAGGGTCTCTGAAGTACCCTTTTCAAAATACCGCGGCCAGCAATGGTACAGCCTCGCTATGGTACAGCCTCGCGTGGTACAGCCTCGCGTTTTGCGTTCACAGAATTTTTTGAAAATCTCTAGCTTTCAGATGTTTGGTGAAAAACAGCACACCAGAAAACGATCAGAATAGCTAAAAACGAACTGAAAATTACTTTTTTGTATATCTTATTGACCATTACTGTATATATTGAAATATCTGGAACGTTTCAGATTTGGTCTTCACTCATTCGATCTCGTCAACTATTTCTCAAACACCGGATGTGATGCTCTTCCAGACTTCTATCGATGTCTTATCGTCAGAGGTCTCTATAACTTTGGAATGGCTCTTGCTGCAATGTGTTCCACAAGTCTTGTCATCGAACGATCTGTTGCCCTATTCTACAACTCCACATATGAAATGTGCGGGAAAAAATTCGGAATACTCCTTGGTCTTCTCCAACTATTACTTGCTTTTGCTTTTCTTTTTAAACTCTACTTCGATGCTTCCTTCACTCCAGTGCCCAATGTAACACTCTATTATTGTCAGACTCTTGCTTCCGGTCATGGATCCGTCTGGACAATTAATGCTCCACTCTATGTTGTTATGGTTGGACAATGTGTATGTAGGTTGATATTCTGGTACCTTGGAGTGCTAACAAGAGTGAGTCATTGTCTTACCACCAAAGTAAACAATCTATTTTTCAGAGAAAGAGAAGCAATCAGAAACTGCAAAGTCTGAGTACTCGATACACTTTAGAGCAAGGGATCCGTTCTATCAAAGCACTGAATATGTTCATCAATGCCAATTGCTTCGTGTTCTTCTTCCTCTCATTCATTGGAACAACATTACATTTCAATTCTCAAAATATGAGAAGACCAACTTATTTTGCATTGGTCGAAGTCATTCATTTTGTTCCGACTTATGGAATTTTACTCTCCGTGTATGCATATTACTCCCTGAAAAAGGTTAGATCTTTAGAGATTGGGCCTTTTTTTTTTAATTTTATTTTCAGCTTGACACCAAGCAGAAGACGTCGCTAACTCGAAGTATGCAGGTGGATACCAGTCATTATCTCATTGAATTTAAGAAACAAATCAGTTGAACTTCCGATTTTTTCTAAGATAAAATACGTCACAAGACAGGCTAACCTCAATTTAGAAACTTCCAGCAATCAGTAGTGAAAAACAACTTTTGCTATGATTTAGATAATGACTCGGGGGAAATGTGATCTTATGAACCATTCAAATATGGTTCATTAGAATATTCAACACATATTGGATTCGTTAGGTTGTTTACCTAATTCATTCTTCGTAAAAACAAAACTAATCTTATGGTTTTTAAAAATTAGAAATGTGGAAGATAAACGTCGACTGCGGTATGTCTTGGAACGAAAACTACCGTAACCAAAAACTATTCACATTTTTTTTGGCTTTTTCCTGTGTTGCGATTAGTACGGAGAAAATACATAGAAGAAAAATCGTCAAAAAAATGGAAAAAGCCAGAATAAATTCGGAAAATTTTTTTATTATATTTTTTCCGTTCCGAGATCTGCGACCACGCCCACTCGATGCAAACTGCAGTTCAAGTCATGACTTGAAATTTTCAAGTTGAAAGTAATAGATGGTTTTCATGCTAGACTTGTTAGAAACAGTAGAGAATTAATCCACAATAAGAATGTTGGGTTACAAAGTACAAAAATTGTGTTATTTTGTTCGGACATTCTGTTTTAGAGTATCAGAAAATAAGAGTTGTGGAAGACAACGCCGGTGATCGTTGTCGCAGGTCTCGGAACGAGAACTACCCCAACCTAAACTTTCTCTATTTTTCTAGACCATCTGAAAGTTGATCTTTAAATTTACCATCATGTTAAAGTTTCAAAACGTCTCTCTTCTATTTCCGATAGTTTTGTTATTCAAAAAAAAACAATTGGCTGAACATTTCGGACAGAATGAATTGATGCAATAGTGAGACACGGCGTGGGAGGGGTTATTGTAACTGATCATTGTGGTTTCCAGATTGCGTTGTAGTTGGCTTCTGTCCTTCATATTTCAGGAAGAAACAAGAATACGTTTAAGGTTGATGTTGAGATTCATACCAACATTGCACAACCTTATGCAAGTAATTAGACGCCCTGTGATAATGTATTGTTTGAAACACAGAGGGTCTCCGACCTTTACACTTCCTAGTTCAAAAAATCTCTCATCGAAAAACTAGTCGCGAGATCAGTTCCATACTAACTGTCATATAAACCCTCACTCAACACGTATTTTTCATTCAATTCGATTTTTCTTCTCTTTCAACCATGTGCAGATTACTCATCGTCGGTGCCTGTATCGCAGTTGCCGTCTTTGCCGGTATGCCACAAGTAAGACACAAACCATGGACTCACAAAATAAATATGTCTCGTTTGCAGCTGAAGAAGCTAAGTCTGAAATGACATCTGCTGGAATTTCCGAAACGGTTGTCGACGGTATTCTGGCTATTGCTGAAAAGTACAAGGAACAGTTCAAGGTTGGAAAAGGAGACCGTGAAGCTGCAAAGGCAGCGTTCCAAGCCTTCCACACTGAAACCGAGCAATACATTGCCACTCAATCTGAAGCCGATCAAGCCGCTTACAAGGCATTCGTCGAGAAGAAGAAGTCTGAGCACCATGGACGCCGTTCCACTCCAAGCGCATAATTTTACATGTTTTGTTATTATAATATTGTATCAATGTTTGACCGAATAAAATCCTAATTACTGTGTTGGAATACTATCATTATATTAAATTCATGAAAACAAAAAACACTTCTAAGAAGCAGAAACACTAAAAAAGAAATCAGTTTCAATGAAATTTGATGAATCGATCGATTTCATGACGCACTTCGTCATGGAGGTCGACGAAAAGTCTGTTTCTTTCGTGCATCATACGACGGAGGTCGTCCAGGTATACACATTTATTCGAAGCGAGACGACGTCTGTAAAACAGATACGTTGAGAGTAAACACGAATCGCGAAACCTGTATGCTAATCCTTCTTCATTTTGGTAGATAACTGTTGCAGCGTTCGGATCGGGAGCAGCTACTTGCACGATGAAAAGATATTGTTTCGTGGCAGCTTGATTGATCTCCTTGAAGCAATCGCACTGAAATTTTACGACTTCCTTTGGATAAAATTAATTCTTAACTCACAAAGAATCCTCCAACACTGTGATTTGCGAGTTTGGGAAAATCTGTAACTTCTTCTTTGTCCATATCCACTTTCTTCAGTTTAACTTTAGTTTTATCGTCCATCGGGATTACTTCGAGAATGGAGACTTTGATTCGCGAAATCGGACTGAAAGGTTTGAATTTCTCGCACATGTGACGGAGCGAGCCAAAGAAGTGATACAGCTGAAAAATTAACATTTAATCAAATAACTGCTTACAAAATCACCATATTTTTGCTCATTGTGATGCCTTTGATAATTTTGTCGTCGTTGACTCCGAGAAACAGGCGACCGCCGTCCGTGTTGAGAAACGCGCAAATTGTTCTGGAAAAAATGTTAGTAAAAAATGATTTTCATTAATCGGTATATTACTTGCTGATCGGTTGAAGTGTTCGCCGAATCGATCCATCTTTATCCTGTTTGCTTTGAAACTTTCCTAGCTGAAAAAAAACACATTGTGAGAAAGAAAACTTTGAATTTGATGCTTACTTCGGTCAGCATGAGTTTCGTATGCATTCTGAACTCATTGTGAACGTCTTCTTCAATAGCCAATGGCAATTTAACGATCGCTTTGTTCATTTTTCGCGAATTTATTTGACAGAAAACAGTAAAAAAAAAGAGGGAGACCGTAATCAGGGAGAAAGTACGCAATTGCTTACCGTAATATTATGCTTGTCTGAGAAAAAAAAGGTTGAGACGCAGAGAAAAAGTGTCTGTGTCTCCACCTTATGTGTGCTATTTAGGCTCTCCGCTTCGATATCGCTACCGTATTCAGACTACAAAAAATACTCTCTAACTTTTTTTTTTCTCAGACAAGCATAATACACTGTATTGGGGTTATGCATGATTTGTTTCTTAAATACAAAAAAATACGAAAAAATACATGAAATACTTTTTTTTCGCATGCATGCATTAATTTTTTGTGTTTAAAGGTGGGGGGACAGGAGGTTTTACGGGGGATTTTTGGGGCCAGAGTATGCATTCTACCGTAACGGTGTACAACGCTTAATGTCACTCTGCGTACAGCGGTCGTCCTCGCCTTTATGTATTCAATCAGGCGCTCGCTCCAACTTCGCCCGCGTGGCTCAGTCGGTAGCGGCGCCGCACTTTCAATACTCGCCTCGACAAGTTCAACTCCTCGAGGGGCATATTTTAATCAGAATTTCAAGAACATTATTTTTTCATGTCCCCCCACCTTTAAAAATTCCAAAAAAATACTTTTTTTTAATGTCATGAATAACCCCATATCTTTTTAAAAGAATTAGGATGTTTTTCAGCAAACTTGCGAAGTAAATACCCGAGATAATTGAAAATATGATTTTTTTTGAAATTTTTGAGATTTTTCTTATGCCTCTGAACACCATTTTCAATTTGTTACTTTCGAATCGGTAAGAAACGATGGGTTACGGTAAGCAATTGCGTATTTTCTCAGAAGGGGGGCGGAGCTTTTTTTAAAGTGAACTCAAGTCCCGAAAAATTTTTAGAGGAGAAAAAAGAGAACGGAATCCGGAATAAAATAATTTTTTCGGAATCCGGACAAATAAACGTTTCCAGGAATCCGGAATCCGGAATACGGAATGAAAATAATTTTCCGGAATCCAGAATATGGAATCCGGAATATGGAATACGGAATCCAGAATTTTAAGTTCTTCAAAGGTGCAGAAAAGTTCTAAAAACACATATCGTGTTATATTTTTGCAGTTTAAGTCGCGAAGTTCAAAAAAGTCAGATAATTCTTGCAATTTAACAAATATGCTTAAAATCCGGATTGAAATTATTTCTCGGAATCTGGAATCCGGACAAATGAAAACTTTCTGGAATCTGGAAGAGCCCGGACAAAAATATTTTTCAGGGAATCCGGAATGAAAAAAAGCACCGAATACGGAATCCGGACATATCTGTCCTGTACAACAATTTTCGACAAAACATCTTATACATTTTCTAATTGTATCAAAGCTTTTCTGAAAAATCATCTGAAAAAAAACAGAAAATTTGAATTCAATATTCAATATGCAAGGACCGAAAGTTTAAGCGAATTGGAAGACTTTCTCTCCATGGCGCCCCATGCATATGATATTACGATCTGCTCCAATCATATGCTCTCCAGTAAATTGAAAATAATTCCCTCTGGTGCCGCTTTAACTGAAATTAAAGAAAAAATTTCGAGAACCTAAATTGCTGGAAACAGGAACGGATGTTTCAGGATGATGTTCGAATTTCAGATACACCAGATTAAACATCGTAATTCCTTTATAATACATCTGTTTCATCTTTTTGATCTTTTTTTTGGTGTTAATGTCTGTGAACTGACTGAACGACAAATCACAGAATCAAAATGAGTAACGCCTCGAGTAGTTATGTGTAGTCCACCAATTCAAACTACAAACCGGATTTTAGAATAAATCGTTTTTGTGTCTTTAGTGCCCACCCCCACTAGTTACGACGTGTCGTCACAAACTCCTCGGTATAAAAACGATGCGGTGGTTAGGTTATTCCATCAATTCAATTCGATTCAACCTTTCAAAATGTGCAAACTTTTCATCGCCGTCGCCCTTCTCGCTGTCGTCTATGCTCACCCAACAATGCCAACATGTACGGTTTTTAAACAAAATTTTAATAATCATGACAATTCCCAAACTTGCAGCTGATGAAATGAAGCAAGCTCTTGTTTCTGCTGGAGTCTCTGAGGCTGCTGCCGCAGGAGTCGTTGAGATCGCCGACAAGTACAAGAGCCAATTCGAAGGACTCAAGGGAGACCACGAGGCTGGAAAGAAGCTCTTCGAGACTGTCAAGACCGAGACTGACGCCTACATCGCCACTCAATCCGAAGCCGACCAGACCGCTTACAAGGCATTCGTTGAAAAGAAGATGGAGGAGATGAAGGCTCACAAGGCCGCCGCCGGAGCAGAGAGCGCATAATTTTATTTCGAATTTTATTATTTTGAAGTGAATATGGACTTTTGGAAATAAACTTTTTAAAATGAATTTTTTTCTGTGCAAAGAGCTTGAACACCGGATAAGAGAAGTAGTTAGAAATTGATCGGTTGTTTTGGTACTTTCTGAGTACAATAAGCAAATCAGAGTCTTGTTTCAGTAGACATCTCCATTCTGTAAACCTTAATACCTTTAAAAGAAAAGCCCCTTAACTTTTAACTTTGCCTCAAATTTTCTCGTTTCCTGTCAAAGATATGAAAAGTTGTCAACTGAAAAATTTTTTTTCGTAAAATCATTAACATTTTAACAGTGGACAAAGTTTTCATATCTTTTGAAGGAACCAGTATAATTGAGCTCAACACAGGTGGATCGCGCAGAACACTATATGGGCGCATTGTGGCCCATACTTTGAATGCGCGCATATAGCGTTCGTTATGCCCTCTATATGGGCTGGTAGTTGCTGGTGGGCGGTGGTGGGCGTCGAGTAAGCAGGGAAAGCATATGCCCAGTCCGTGCTCGCATATAGGTTCCATATTCCCTCAACATTCTAATCGAGTGCAAACCAAACTGTAAACTTCGATCCCACATATATCATTTCCTGTAAAAGATATCAGAAAATGATCAACTGACAAAATGTTTATTATAATATCAAAAACATTCTGTCAGTTAACAACTTTTTGATATCTTTCACAGGAACCCAGATAAATTAGAACACAGAACATGTAAATGCTTTTTGCAGAAATAATATTAGGTTGGCGGGAAAGTCTTTGTCACTCTGTTTGTTTAATCACTGTTCTCGTATATGGAGGCTGTGTATGATATCGACTCTAGTGAATAACAAGGTGATAAGAACCTTCCATATAAACAAGTCCCCATCTCCTTCCCTGCTCCTCATCTGTAATTGAAACGATATGTTTGTTCCCACTGCTATTCACATCAGACATGTTTTGATTTACCTCTTCCTATCTCACACCACGATGAAGGATTCGGAAACTTTCTTGAAGAATGTGTACAACACACATGCCCCTCACTACAATACTATTCGCAATTGGTTCCATCGTTTCGAAAAAGATGACTTCTCGCTCGATGAAAAGGATCGCTCTGGGAGACCCCGTGAGTTGGATTTGGACAAGCTGAAGCACGCATTGCAATCGGATCCATTTCAATCTAGCCGTGAACTAGCTGTCACATTCGGAGTTCACCATAGCACAGTCCTTGAAGGTTTGAAGTCTCTTGGAATGAGAAAACTTTTTGGTCGATTCATACCTCATCACCTGACTCAAGCCAACCTTGACCGCCGAGTCGACGATTCGATTACTCTTCTCACTCTCCACGCGGGCGATCGATGGCTGGACCGGCTAATAACCGGAGATGAGAAGTGGGTCTTCTACGATAATCACCACAGGAAATCCCAGTGGGTTGGAGAAGGAGAGAGCCCACAGGATGTCCCCAAACCCGACCTTCATCCGAAAAAAGTTATGCTCTCTGTGTGGTGGGGAGTGGACGGCCCCATCTACTGGGAACTTCTGCCCGAGGGCAAAACAATAACTGGAGACCTCTACACTACTCAACTACGAAACCTCAAGAAAGCAGTCGACCGTTCGGCCCTGAAAGACAAGAAAGTGTACTATCAACATGATAACGCTCGCCCACATGTTTCGAAACAAGTGAAGCAGGAGCTGATGGGATATGGATGGAATGTTCTCCCTCACCCCCCGTATTCTCCTGATCTTGCTCCTTCCGACTATTGGTTATTTGGCGATATGACACGTGCCTTCGAAGGAAGAAGCTTCAATTCCCGTGGAGCGGTCGAAGCGGCACTCAAACAATACTTTGCCTCACGCCCGGCTGGATTCTACCGCAATGGAATCCATAAATTGAGGGAACGTTGGAGACATGTTGTTGATAATGATGGACAATATAATTAATTATTCGGTTATTTTTTCTTTGAGAAATAAACTATTGAAAAAGTGACAAAGACTTTCCCGCCAACCTAATAGCTTGAAACTCTTCTCTTGATATTCTCAGGATAAAATTTTTGGTTCCCTAAGAATTGTATTTATGACTGTTGACTATCGAAAAATAGTGTTATCGGGGGAAAAGTAGTTAACCAAGACAGGTGATCAGAAAACATATACAGCTGCTGGATTTTAGGCTTGGAATTCCATTAAACTTGATGGGAATTTTGTCTTTGAAAAGTTCAGCATTTTCTGCAGGCTGTGTTGCGACGTTACTCCAAAAAAACCTGTCAAAATCCGGATTTTATGTTACCATAAAATGCCCTTATGCTCTGTCTTCTTATTTTACATCACAATATTCTATATTTCCACATGAATCGGATTTTTTTGCCCATTTAATTTGGTAATTCCGCTGAAATAGTACACAACGACGCTCCGATATACCGCATCCCGCGTTGTTTACCGTAAATCTACACTCAGATTTTCGATGAATTTGCAGATATTTTTGCCTATTTTTGTTCGATTTTCTTTGATTTTTTACGATTTCACAGGTTTTTTTTTACAAATTTTTCACTTGCGAACTCATTTTCATCGCTTCTAGCCGTTTTCCTTGGGTTTCTACACATAAATTCCTGAAGAAATAATTATTTTAGGCCCACCGATGGATTCCAACGCCTCGCATGTCTACCTAAAGCTAAAAACCAGAAGTTTTCTGCGGATAGCTACAGGTAAGAAACATGCATGACATTCAGTTTCTCACTGACTTCATTTTTCAGAAGCGGAGCTCAGAATTCGGTGACAACTAAACCCTTCACCGTCTCCACTGGCCACACGACAAGTGAAAGAAACAGCACCGACAGAAAAACGAAAAGGTTAGTGAATTTTGTGTTTGAAACGCTCGAAAATAATTCGATAAAAGAACGCCTGCGAAGTTGTTTTGACTGAACTTGCAAAGAGCATTCTACTCTTGTTTTGACTCCAGTTCTTCGGAGCTTTCGAAACATGATGAAAAACGTGCCAACACGAAATTCAGCTCTCTCAATAAATCATGTATACGAATTTGCAAAAGCAGCTTCGTTTTCTAAGTACTAGGCTTGACAAATTTTCGCTGTGAATAAGTAAAACTATCGAAAATTTTCAAAATATATTCAGTTTTTCAGAAAAAAAAACAACCAAGAACAACTTCTCGATTGGACTTTCGTCTAATGGATGTAAAGAGGGAGAAATGCGACGAAAATATCGAGTCCAAGGAGCCAGTAGACAAAAATGTTAATTTTTTATTTTTATGTTCTTTTTACTTCATTTTTTTTTTATTAATTTTCAATAAATTTGTACTGGTAAACACTATTTTCAGTTCACAGAGAATATTAGGACCTGGGGGAGGGGAGGAATTGCTGGGCGGCGGCGTGGATCCTATATGCTTTAGTCGGCGCGTGGATCCTATATGCTCGCATAATGCGCCCCTATATGTTTCGTATTGCGAGCATATACTGCACCGCGCGATCCCATATAACGTTCCTCGCGATCCACCTGTGAAACTTGACGGTTTGGGTAGACTTCTATTTAAAGGAAATACGGTATTACTCATTCCCATCTTGAAAAACTTCTGTAGATGAAATATACCCATAATTTAATCGACATCGAATTTTTGAGCAACCAATCGGATTATTTTTGCTGTGTGCGTTTTTAGGAAACCAACAAAATAGTTTCTGTTTTGATCTCGTAGAATCTGTGTTCTTTAAATATCGGATGAGATAGCTGACAAGATTTAAAAGAATGTCTTTAAAACATAATTTCATTCAATACAACAATTCAGGGAAGGTGTGTGCGTTTCTTTTTCACACAAATTATACAAGGCAAAATTATTTAGTGGGATGGGGTAGAGTGGTGAGCCTCCATTTCCTTCTTCTTCTGCTCGACAAAGGTTTGGTAAGCGGCTTGGTCAGCAGCTGATTGAGTCTTGATGTAGGCATCAGTTTCAGTCTTGATCTGTTCGAAGAGCTTCATTGCGGCATCCTTGTCTCCCTTGGCTGCCTCGAGCTGATCCTTGAACTTCTCGGCAACAGCAACAACTCCATCAGCAGCTCCGGCAGAGAGTCCAGCATCAGTGAGTTGTTTCTTAACTTCCTCAGCTGAAAGTTTCATTGTTAACGGAAGGTACTTACTGTACAGCTTACCAGTTGGTGGTGCTGGAGGAGCAGCATAGACAGCGACAGCGAGAAGAGCAACAGCAATGAAAATTTTGGACATGTTTAGAAGGATAGAAGGATGGAAGGCTGAAAATTGCCAATGTATTGTGACAGTTTCAGATCTCATTTTATACTGATTTTGGGGTTCGATTCTAGGCGGGTGGGACATAAACTGGTTTGTAATTTGTTTCACTCGGGAAAAAAATATTGAAAAAAAGATGTAGATTCCTGTGACAGCAATTATCCAGTGGATGCCAAAACAGACAAACGGATAGATGTTTTGATGACTGTCTGGTTAGCACACACATCGTTTATCCCATCGAATGACGTTTAGAATAGAGAAGTTGAATGAAAAAAAAAACAAAAAAATGTGGTTACGAAAATACCTATTTCCTCTAATGGAAGTCCTCCCAAACCGTCAACTGTGAGCTCAATTATCTCGATTCCTGTGAAAGATATCACAATTTTATCATCTGTTAAATTGTTAATCATAATATATATATTTTATAATATTTTATCAGTTGACCATTTTCTGATATCTATCACAGGAATCGAGATAATTCAGCTCAAAGTTAACGGTGTGTGTGGGCTTCTATTGGAGAAAATACGGTACTTAAGGTACTGTATTACAAGATCATTAGGATAATTCTTTGATTGTTTCTGATGATCTGAAAAGATCTAATCCTTTTGTTGATGTAATTTTATAAGTATTTTTATTTCGGAGTTTCGGTTTCAAGCTTCTTTTCCGATTAAACGTTTCAATACTTGATCTTCTGAATCTCAATATTTTGTTCTCAACAGCTCAGACGGGGATCGCCCTTTGCAAAGTTCATCGTCACATCCGTACGGCCATCGATCAACATCACAAACAGACATTTTCATCAAAACCACAACTCGATCTTCACCCATAAACTTTACCTGGATGATCCTCTGTTTCCCATCGAATTCGAGGGTAATCTGGTTTACTGTCATAACACTTTGGACAAGTACTTGTTGTTTTGAAAAAATGTTTGGAGTGAATAGATTTGCTCATTGGTTCATCCATCTAGTGATCAAAACTATGAATCATGGAATTTTATGAAACATGGATGGGAAACCAGGAATCATTCGGAATGCAATAAGTGTATGGGCTCTGGGATAAAACTACAAAAAAACGATGACTTGGAAATAATAAACCAGATGTTTTCGAAAGTTATCATCGCTATTGCAATACTCTGTGTAGTGGTTGCTAGTGCCAACTCTCCAGAAGTCGAGTTCTCTCCGGAAGACGTTAAAAATGCGCTTATTTTGGAAGGATTATCGAACTCTGATGCAGCCGAATTCACTGAGTTTTTGTACAAGGTAATAATTTTAAAACGAATTTTTGAAAATTATATTGACTTTAGGATCGCTCTGATGATATCACTGCAATAGAATTGAAGACAGAGTTTCGACAATTTTTAGAGAAATTGAGTTTGGAGGATAAACTCTCTATCAAGAGAATCATCAGCAGAGAACTCGAGCGGTTTTTTCACGGCAATGGATTCATTAATGGAGAGAATCCTCTAGAGAATCATTCATTTTTTCTTGTTTGATGAATTTATGTGAATAAAATTGTACTATAAGGCAATAAACTTGTATTACAAAGAAACCTCGTGAAACCTGATTTTTCGCACTTTTTGGCCTAAAACTGGTCTTGTGCCCAGGATAAATACCGTATTTCCTCTAATAGAAGCCCACCTCTATTTGAAGCCCACCTCTAATAGAAGCCCACCCCGCGAGGTCTTTCGAAAAATAGAAGCCCACCCTTTAATAGAAGCCCATGGGCGTCTATTAAAGAAAATACGGTGATTAAAAATTTCAGAATTTTTGGAACTGGTATTTTAGAACTTGAAAATTTCTCAATTTCTGATCTACAGAATTCCCGAATTTTGAATTTTGAGATTCTCGAATCTCGGAAATTCATTAATTCCGAATTTTGGAGTTTAAAATTGCAGAATGAACACTTCGAATTAAAAAAAAAACCTCGAAGTTCAGAATTCTTAACTTCCGAATTGCCAAATTTCAGATTTTTTGAACAAATTTTTTTGAAAATTAATCATTGAAGCCCACCATTTTTTGGTCTAATAGTAAGGCTGAATTTTCGAATGTTTTAATTTTGGAAGTTCTGATAAGATATACATAGCTGAAAAGTATTTTTCAGAAAAAGTTCCCAAGAAAGGACAATGGTGAAAAATGACACAAATTCCGAAAAAATCAAAGAAAAATTTTTTAAAAGCTCAAAATTTGCATCATGACGGTTACGGAACCTCTCACACCACAAACTACGAAAAAGTGGGGGTCTATAATTGAATGGGTGGGGGGGGGGGGGCTTATTTCGAATTGGAATGGACCATTTAAAAGTGGGGGTCTATATTTGAATTGGTGGGGGACTTTTTTGAACTGCTGCAAGTGTCTAGATTGTTGGAGGTGTGGGGCTCTACTATGGTTCATTTTGGGGGGGGGGGGGGGGGGTTATACTTGAATTGGGGTGGGGGCTATATTTGAATTCAGCCCTGATTCTTTCCTGAAACATCAGGAAACTTCCGATTTTTTTTTGATATTTCAAAAATTTTCAGTTTCAGGATTCCGTTTTCATTGTCAACTTTTTTTGTCGCTGATCTTGCCTTGCAGAACCAGTACAGATAATACATAACCTCAGAATTACCCCCTATCAAAAAGATCAGGTCTCCAATCGTTCAGTATAAAAAGAAATCCGGATATTCCTTTAACCACCGAACTTGATAATGTTCAAGATTTTGTCTGTCCTCATTCTCCTCGTGGCCCTTTCCTGTGCCCACCGTAATCGTGAGTCTCTGGAAGATTGATCCAACATAATCAAGTTAAGAGAAGTTTCAGCGGAGCAGATGAAAGCTGAAATGGCTGCAGCTGGAGTTTCTGCTGCTGGTGTGACTACCATATCTACATTCATGGAAAGCCATAAACCACAGAAAGGAGGGAATCGTGCTGCTGGAAAAGCGGAATTCGACGCTATGCTTGCCACGCTCACTGAAGCCGATCGTACTGCTTTCCAGAAGATGATGCAGAACAAGCCACCGAGAATTGGAAAATAATTTGTTCTCTTTATTTTCATTGAATATAAAAAGTTTTTTGCTTCGATTTTTTTTATGACAGAAGCTTGGGGCAAAATGATGCTAAAATTTTTCATATCTTATTAGCTGTAATGAATTACAATGAAAAAGAAACATAATTACAAGATGTGAGAACGAAGATTGTACCATGTACCCGTGAGTTTATTTGGTTGTAGCTCTGGCTGCTGGCTCTGCAAATTTTGGCTCTCCGACGGCAGATGCTGAGGGTGCTTCTTCAGGCTTTGGATTCTCTTCTTCCTTAACGTCTAGCTTTTCGAGAGCTTCATCGGCAGGCATTTCGGTGAAAAGCTGATTCAGAAGCATCATTGTCCGCGCCTTTTGGAAGTTTGTGCTCCTCTCTTCCAGCTTTCGCTCATCTTCTTCTTTCTTCAACTAGTTAATGATTAGCAGATGCCGTTCAACAGAAACCTTACCTTCTCTTCTTCTTTCTTCTTCATACTCGGCTTATTTTTGAATTCCCAGTAATATCCTTTGGCTGTATTGTATCGGGAGTAGTTGGTTACTTCGCCAAAAGCATTACGAAGTGGTTCAAGGGCGCCGAGTAATCGTGATTGAACAAGAGTGTGCATATCCGGGGCCTGATGAACACTTCCGTTGATAACATAGTAGTACGCAATGGGACTGACTGCAAATATATTCATTTATTGGGAGCAACGACACCCACAAAACAAACCATTTGTAGCGTTATTTCTCCTCTGCTTACAAACGATGTAGAGCGGCGGCTGGGAATACCACAAAACGTACTGAATGCCTTGCATGTTCCGAAGACACTCATCAACAGATCGGTTCGTGATGTTTTGCATTTTGATTTGTTGGTTGCAAGAGTTCATTTCGTAGAAAACGTTTCCTTGGTTGCAGAAATAGTCTAACACATTGTCTCTGTTTATGAAATTTGCTGGCCATTGAGGGTTACGAAACGACATGAACATTGTAGGTTCTTGCTTCGAAGATGACGGAGGTCCCATGCGTGGCATCATCTTGCCTTAATAATTGTTCAATAGAAAAGATCGTTATGTTTCTTCTCATATATTTCGGCTGGTTTGGTACCATATCGGTTTTGATTATTAGCTTTGAATACAGAATAATTTATCAGTAATCACGGGAAAAGGAGAATTTTATAAATAATAGTAAAGGCGAAAAACATTCTCAGATTAGCGTTTCATCTTGGCGTCGAAGTTCAGGTAATCGGATGGGAAGATGGATTCGTCGCGGTTGAGAAGCATGTCGAAGTGGAGGCGAGACGATTGGAAAACTCCGTCTGGTCCGCGATTGATTTGAGAAGCGGAGTTCAGCTCGCTGAAAATCCAGTTTTCAAAATGCATGAACTTTTCCTAAACTTACAGCAAACGTTGCTCGGCTTGAGCATTTCCAGAAAGAAGACGCTGGGCATTCAAGTAGTTCTCAATTTTTGGGTTCATTCTAGATCCTTCGGCGAGAAGTTCGTGGGCAACAACGTTGTTTGGCTGAGAGAAGTTTATGATAGAGAGAGTAAAAAGGACATGAGGAATATTACCATTTTTGGAGCTTCGGTTGGCTTCTTCTCAGCCGTCGCTGCTTGGACGAAGAGCTCTTGTTGGTCAGAGGTGCTGTCTCGCAGCAAGTCATCCTCGCGAGTCTTGGAGAGTTTCAGGAGAGCCATCTGAAATTAAATGATTGCGATCGTGCTTGAGAGAATGATGACAGATGAAGTTAGGAACGTTTAAACTGATCTGAAGAGCTTTTCAAAAAATAAGAAGATTGATTTAAAAAGTAACGGTTGAATAAAAATTGAGGAATAAGGAGGTAAGCAAAAGCCATGCTAGATTCATATGGTTGGGGTCTGTACTTTTCTAAAAATATTATTCTTTTGAAATCAATTTTAATGGAAAAAATTTTTCAACGGATATGAACAGAAAGATGTGCTTGTGAAAGGAACCGATTCAAAAAATCATCATCTCCCTAGTGTGCCAACCCATTGCTTGCGCACTTTCCGTTCTCGTCAAATCGGAAAGCGCGCCAAGATTACGCCGCAAGTCCACATGATTTCTTCGATTTTTTTTTGTTGGTAAAAACTAGTTTATAACCCGAATGTTCATAAGTTATTTGTTTCAAGCCGAAGAATACATACAAAACTAAGTCAATTCGAACCGAAACCGTTATCGGAAAGTTTTTCTAGCTTTGTTTTCCTCTTATAATCAATACCCACTATTGCCACGTTTTTTTCACCGCTTCTCAATTGCTCACACTCTTTCATGACGACCTCAAAAATGATTCTGTTTCCAGCGATATGGGAGCATTACTCGCAGCTCCGGCATGTGCTGCTTCGGTAAGTTGAACGGCTCAATTTATATTTTGAAAAGCAGAAAGTGCTTTCTTCAAAGGAGTGACCTTGATATAATTTTCATGCAACTAGAGGAAGCACTTTTGAATACAGATCACATTCTAGTAAATCCTAATTTTTCTGTGCTCGAGACATCGTTGCCAATTGCAAATCCAAGACTGTTTTTTGACAGATCTAATTCGATCTTTGTATTCAATATTTACGACCAAAGTTTTTAGTCAGCATGCTGTTTCGGAAGTGCAGCGTGTTCACTATGCTGCTCATTCTGCCCAACTACAAAGAGCTCGACGACTACTCGTATCATGTACGCTTTCATGCTATTCACTAGCACCTTCCTTTCTTGTGTGATGCTGCTACCAGGAATTCAGAATAAACTGGCCGAGGTAAATTTATTCAGACTGTTCTGGAGCCGGTGGTTTTATTTTCAGAATAAATGGTTTTGCGAAGGGTTGAATGAATATGCGGGGATAAGTTGTGCACATGCCACTGGATTCCAAGCCGTGTATCGTGTTTGTGCTGCCACTGCTTCGTTCTTCTTCCTCTTCATGTTGATGATGATCGGAGTAAAAGACTCGAGTGACAAAAGATCGTCGATTCAAAACGGATTCTGGTTTTTCAAATATATGATTCTGGGATTAATGATTGTTGGATTTTTCTTCATCCGCAGTGAAAGCCTCGCAACTCGTAAGTAGCTTTAAAATACATGTTCCATAAATCAAACATGATTCAGCTCTCATGTACATTGGACTGCTCGGCGGATTCATGTTCATTCTCATCCAGCTCATACTTATCGTAGATTTTGCCCACAGTCTTGCTGAAGCTTGGTTGACTTCATACGAAGAGAGTGAATCCAACTATTGCTACGCCGGGCTTCTTTCCACCGTTTTCGGAGGATTTGCTCTTGCCATTGCATCTGTCGTCATCATGCTTATTTTCTACACCACCGGCGAGGGATGTGGACTTCCAAGATTCTTCATCATTTTCAACACACTTCTCTGTGTGGGACTGACGGCGCTTTCTTTGGCTCCTGCCGTTCAAGAAGTCTCTCCACGATCTGGACTGGTTCAAGCCGTCATGATCACTGGATACGTAATGTATTTGACATGGGCTGCTCTGATCAACAATCCCGACAAGCAATGCAATCCATCGCTCATCAGCATCTTCACTGGAAACTCAACTGATCCAGCGCACAAGGATAAGGATGCACATTATGGAATCCCACTTCCAGCTCAATCGATTGTGTCTCTTTTCCTCTGGTTCGCATGTCTTCTGTATGCATCGATTCGCAACTCCACCAACACTTCTCTCGGGAAAATCACTGGAGTTGGAAATAATTCCGGGGAAGCTGTTCAACTAAGTATGAAGGGTGGTTCGTGCTTTATTTTCCCTTTTTATGTGTCGAAATGTTCTCTTCCCAAGTGTTTTTTTGTGCCAAAAAAGCATTGTTTTTCCAGCTAATTTAGAATTTACAGCTGATGATTCGGAGTCGCAAAGCTCTCAACGAGTTTATGATAGCGAAGAGGAAGGTGTTGCTTATTCGTACAGTTTCTTCCATTTCATGTTCGCCCTTGCATCTCTATACGTGATGATGACACTCACATCGTGGTATAAGTAAGTACTACGAAACCTTCTCTTTAGGCTGAAGAGAAGACTTCAGCTGCATTCATTACATTTCAGACCAGACAACGACTTGTCTCACCTCAATTCGAACATGGCCTCTGTATGGGTGAAAATCATTTCCTCGTGGGCCTGCGTTGGATTGTATTGTTGGACCTTGATCGCACCAGTGGTGTTCCCAGACAGAGAATTTTAAGGCATTAAACCTGTAACTGAAACTGTATATTGTTTAATTCCCAGTGAAATTGATTCTCATCATCCAATACTTATTCTAATCAAATGTAAATACTCCTGCGAATGCCATGTGAAAATATTTGTAAATTTTTCTGCTCGAAACCAAGTCCATCGCATAGATTCATTCCATTCTTTTTTAATAAAAAATACATTTTTTTGATACTTTTAATGTTTTTTGAATAATTGTTTGTATCGAATTATTTTACTTTATAGGCTCTCGACTGTTCTATTCTTTTTTTCATTTCTACTATTTTCTCAGCAGGTCACCATGGATATTTCCAAGATGGACAGATATGCGGCTCCGGTTCACTTCTCCAGCCTTCCACTCCTCGCCACTGTTCTCTGTGGAGTTGGTCTTCTTCTTCTCGCCGCATTCACCATGCTCCAGGTTTGTCTTCCAGCAAAGATTCACAATATCAGTACCAGTTTTCAGGTTACTTCCACGAAATACAACCGAAACGTTTTCAAGGAGTTGTTCATTGCCGCTACTTCTTCCATCTTCCTCGGCTTCGGATCTGTATTCCTTCTTCTTTGGGTCGGAATCTACGTCTGATAAGCTCCAAACTATAAAACAAGAAACTTGGGAAAATGATGTGATATTTATGTAGATCAAAACTCTTCTTAACTCTAATTTATTCATTGTGGTTAAAGCTTTTCGATTGTTGATTTCTCCGGGCGCACTGAAATCCATTTTGTTTTAATCTATTGCCAAAGAAAGAAAATAAAGTATTTATTTGGGAAACCCGTAGAAATGTGTGAACAGAATGTGCGAATGGGATAGAACACAAGAAAAGAGACCCGAATATGATTATAAAATTGGGAAGAATTGAATCTAGGTTGACTCGGAAGTTTTACAGAACTGCTGACATTCCAGACGATTGTTGAATTGATTCTGATTTCCTCCGCATTTCTGTACACCGAATGGATAGCATTCTTGTGTTGCCACGTCGAAGTAGTACCGGGTCATGAGATCCATTTCTGATGAGTTAGCTGAAGTGTCACACAGTGCGGAATCTGGAAAAAAGGAAATTTAGTTTCTCGCAACATAATTTTTTCTATTCACTTCAAAAAGAAACTATATTTACTATTAGAACAATCGGAAACTCGGCATAAAAGATCAACAAAAGATCGGATTGGTTTTCAGATCTTTGAATCAATTTTTGTCGTTTTATGGCCTGTACCACCATTTTTAGACAATTGAAATTTTAACAGTAGAAAAAATTAAAGCGGTGGAAGAGAAACGCTGGTTGTCGTGATCGAAGGTCCCGCAACGACAGCTAAAGTAACCTAAATATATTTTTATGTTTCATATTTCTTTGCTCGATTTTCCGTTCTTTTTGTTGGTTTTCTGTAATTTTACCCAAAAAAGTCGAAAGTTAAAATATTTTTGGCAATAGAAAATAGACTGAAAACGAACGGAAATCGAGAAAAAATCTGAAAAAATGTTTAGGTTACGGTAGTTGTCGTTTTAGGACCTTTGGGCATGGTCAACGGCGTTTCTCATTCACAGCTGCAATTTGTTGCACACCAGCATAATAGCTCAAAGCTAGTCTTTTTTTCAATCCCAATAAAATTTACTAATTAAAAACTCACCTGGTGGTAAATAACAAATGCTGGGATATGTGACTGGTGATGCGAAAACTGGCGGATCCGGAAACCTGGATTTCGCCTCAATGGCAACCGCTAGTATCAAAACTGATACCGGAAGTAGGTGCATCTGAAATCAATGAAACTTAACACAAAATAAAATGGAGAAGAAGCAGATGAGCCGGTTGTTAAGGGAGAGAAAATTAGCGGAAATAGAGAAGGACAAACAGCAAATAATCAGAGTGAGACACGGGAAGTTCTATCAAGAGCCTCTCCCCTTGATAGTACACCGTAGATGACAGAGATTTTTCATGTTGTTCAATTGATTTACGTAGACAAAATGTGAGGGAAAAAGAGCATCAATTGGAAGAATTCGAGAATAACTGGTTCTTAACCAGAGTCAATGTTTTTGTGTGTGTAATGGCACTGCGGGAATAGGAATGTGTCAATACAGGAGCAAATGATCATACTTGAGGATCGGAGGAGAGAGGCATGTGTTGACAAACTTTCTTGGCAAGAAAATAGTTATTTCGTTATTCTCTAGGAGGACTCTAAACTTTTTTTGTGGAAGAGAACGTCAACAGAGACCTAATCCCTCCGACATAATGTGGCTAGTAAAACATGGTAAAACTTCTGGAGCGACGACCTGTCGTCGTCATTGTCCGTGTCCACCTAATTATCGTATTATTGTAGATTGAGTGAACAGCAATATATACAAAGTAGGTTAGAAGGCGGTAATTTGAAAAAGAAGTGAATTAGGTAGAGGAAAAAGAAGAAAAAAGAAGAGGAAGAAGATCGGTGAAAAGACTGTTCAATGAGGAAATAGAAGGGGAGAGAAAAGAAAATAACATTTTTTTTATCAAAAGAAAAAGGTTTTTGAACATCAAAGAGAGATGAAGCCAATGAAAAGACAAATACACCTTCTTCTTCTTCTTCTTCTTTTCTGATGCTTCATCTGATTTCTCGTGACGGAGGAGAAGCCGAAGAAAAGTTAGCAGAGGGAAAAAAGATCGGTACCCCCTCGATTGACTGCATTGTAATAATATTGCCCCATTAGTAAAGAAGAGAAAACAGAGAGATTCGTTAGTGTGAAACTAGGGTGTTAATTCCAGTTTCGAGATATGTGTTAGCCACACAGAGGTTGATCTAGATTAGAATATTCAAAAAAAAATGTACAAAAAATGTAAAGAGGTTGCTGAACAGATTCTTGGCGTGATTCAGAAATTCATGGGGTTGTAATTTTGTCAATTTCTCCCATTTATATTTTGAATCTAGAATTTCTGGACAAAAATACGGTACCGGTCAATGTGATTTTCAACCATTTTGAAAATTTTTAGAAGTCTGGAGCTCGGCTGTCAAGTGTCGGATCGCTTTGAAAATTTTGGAGGGTGCAAAACCGACATAGATTGATAACTTTGCATTCACATGTAGATTTTCAGTATTTTACGAATTTTCAAAAAAGTCTAACTTTCCAGAAGTTTCGAATTTTCAGAACATTCAGGAATTCAAGAATTTTTGAAATTAAAAAATTTAAACTTTTTGATTTTGGAAAATTTGGAATCCTGATTTTCAAAATTTCGAAATCTCAATGTTTTCCAGTTTTCCAGAAATTTCCGGTCCACAGAACTTTTTGGAATTTCTGAGTTTTTCAAATACAGTACCGGTCAATAAGGTATACAAAAACGTATTTTTCAGTGTAAAACATACCTACATAGAAAACTTTGCATTTACAGAAAATTTTGAAAATTTCTAGTTTTTCAGCTATTTGCCGATTTCTGTACTGCAAACGTGAAAAACTGATATCTTTCAGAGATTGGCAAATAGCTGAAAAACTAGAAATGATCAAACAATTCGGTGAATGCAAAATTTTCAAAGTGATCGGAAACTTGAGAGCCGAGTTGCAGACTCCTGAGAATTACCGAAAATCCACTGAAAAATACGTCTTATAGACCATTACTGTATTTAAAAATACAAATTTTCAGAACGCCAGTACAACTACATCAGTAAATAGAAATGCTGAGAATGGACAATGTATTCGACCTTGGCCAACCAAAATTTAGGCGAGAATTCGAATCATCATCACATGTTTTCATATCAATCAGATCTTGTACAAAGTATTTTTCTCTTCCTATATTCAGAAGTGAGGTGGTGTACGGTGAAATTTTCATTGTTTCGTTTTGTGTAGAAAATCATGTAGATTCACATAAAATTAAGAAAAACTTTAAAAATTTTCACTGTACACCGCCTTCAAATCTAGAGAAGTTAAAAGGAAAAAGAAAAAGTATGAAAACAGTTTCCTCATCTAAAAAAGAAGAAGGAGAAGAAGATGAAATTGAAAACGAGAGAGTGAGATGACCGGGAACGATGGTGGTGGCAACAAAGGAAACGACGTTTCGTTTCAGTGTTTTTTGGTGATCTGACCGAAAAGAATGAAGAAAACGAGATGCCCTGACTACCTTATTTTTCTTCTTTCAGCCCCTCCCCCAACTTCAGGCGTCTTCCTCTAAAATTGGGCTAATAAACGAAGAATTCAACACGACGCCTTCGATCCGCTACGTCTTAAAATCCGCATGTGTGACGATAAACGAGAGACTTTTTTCACTTTTTTGCAAATGGAACAAAGAAAAAAAGAATGGCATTTAAAACTAAAATCTTGCGCGATTCTAGTTGACTTCTAGTTGGTCGACTTTTGGCAGAAGAGACAGAAATGTTCTAGTAAAATGAAAAGAGGGAAAAAGGACGGACTAATCGAATTAGACAATCCATTATCCGGAATTGGACTTCTTTCAGGTTCCTTCATAACTTTTCAATTTCTTAAAAAGCACTCAGGGGAGATTTCAACTATGTCAAAAATATTTATGATCTTTTTAAACAATTTTAGGGCTTCATTTAGGGGAGAACATACATCTAAAATATGTTTTGAACAGAGAACACTTTTAAAGAACCAAAAAAGGAATACTGTACTTCACGATGTCAAGAAGTGTCTAGATTATTGACATACATAATAATATGTTCCCGATTTCCGGAGAGAATCTCGAGAAAGTTGCGAAAAAAGAACAAGGGCCGTCTCGAGAAAATGAGAATAATAATCTAGATATTCCAATATTAATAATCCTACAAATAATAATAGAATCCCGAAGCATTGCGCATGGAACAAGAAGTGAAAGTACAAAATGAAGGCATTCTGACCGGACGGAAAAAAGCAGACGGAGGGCGGTCAAACATATGGATGAATTGGCTCGTGGCGGGCATCAGGGGTGGCCGGATACTGTCGTTTTTGCCTTTTCGGAGAGAAAGAGATGCCTGTTCTCTCCGGTTATCTGATGAAAAAAGGACACGTCTTCTGAGGACGGGATGAATTTGGGAAGAAGAGATATATAGGGAAGAAAAAAAACATTGACTTTTACGTTTCTCTATTTTCAAAATCGAAATCTTAAACTAATCTTTGGATTAATCGAGTGTTTCGGTTTTTGGCTTACTGAAGCGGATAATTGCCAACTGGTTGGTTCAGAAAACGTAATGGAATTGACAAAAGAAAGGTTTTTGTGTTTCTTTCATAATTAGAAATCCAGAAACATGAAGCATAAGCGTTTCATATCGACATCTAACAATCACATAAGAAAATGAAAAGTTGATCGGAAGTTTCATGGGAAACAACACATACGACCCAACCGCCTATTTGCACATCTTATTTCGCGGAAAGGGTGATGGCCAACCTTCTTTTTTGCTTCGAAGCATTGTGTTTTCTTCACATCTCGTGTTCTTTGCGGATTATCATTAGCAACAAGCACCTCGAGAGCGAAAAAATAAACTTCCCATGCCGGGAATCGAACCCGGGCCGCGTGGGTGAAAACCACGAATCCTAACCACTAGACCACATGGGAGGACGAAAGTAGTGGTGTAGAAGGGGGACTAAAAAAGAAGAAGAAGAAAAAGTTAAAAGAGAGGGTGAGAAAAAAAAGAGGGGAAAGAAGTGAAAAAAAACTCGAAATCGGAGCTGATACCGTTTGGTATCCTGAATCTGAAAATTTTATGAAATATTCAAATATCAAGAACCACCGATCTAGTTCATATAGAATATCTGAAGTTTCCTGATTTTTAGCCACCCAAGCCGTCAACTATGAGCTCAATTATCTCGATTCCTGTAAAAAATATCAAAAAGTAGTCCACTGACAAAATATTTTTGATATCATAATGAAAATTTTATCCGTTGGCCACTTTTTGATATTTTTGACAGCAATCGAGATAATTGAGCTCGAATTTGTCTCTTTGTTGCAAACTCTGTTTTTATGGTTCATGACGTTTCTGTTCTATCCAAGAAAGTGAAAAGTTCAGAAAAGATTTAGCATAACTACAGTAATCTTGCTCAAAAATGGATGGTCTGACTACAGTCGCTATCGATATACAAAGAGGTGCAAAGTGGTTTCACACGGAAGGCTCTCTCATAACAAAATAAGCTCTTTTCGTCTCGCTGTTTGAGTTGACACCGACGAGCACGGTTTTGATGGGTTTGAAATGAGAGAAAATAGACTGAGAAGAATAGAGAAAAGGAGCTGGACTCTTGCGCGGGAGCGAATAAATAGAACGCGTACATTTAGGTGTGGTCTCGGTACGCGGGTGTGAACTTGTGAACGGAAGGTCTCGATAGTGAAAAGTATAATAGCGGATGAATCAACTTCGGGAGGTGTTATGACACAAAAATATTCATCCGGGACGAATAGAATGATACAAATAGTGGAGGTGTCCAGTGGTGATTGAAAACTGAAGATGTAGCCTGAAGGGATGAATGGAATCTTCTGGAAAAACAAATACAAAATGAAAATGGAAAGTGAAAAAGAAGCGGCAGTTTTCTCTCTTCTCTCGAATTGTCACTTTTCGGTTATTACTGCAATTATAACGAAGCGGTGCGGTGGCACCATAAACGGAAGGAGCCATTGTCATTTTCTGTGTTTCCATCCATTCTTTTCGACTTTTCTCCTTCTATTGTTCACCGCCGTTTCCCGGGGAGAAGCCAAAAGGAATTTATGAATAGAAGATTGAAACAACGAGCAACAACTCAGGAGCAGTTTTTTGGGAAAGTCATTTTCAAGAAAGGGATCATTGAAAAGGGAGATCTCCAAAGTTCTGTTCGTAGAAACCCAACAATGTGGAGGAACATCAATGCCAACAATTCGACCATACAAAAAGTCAAAATACAAAGTTTGGAAATAATAGATGACAATGCGTTCCATTCGGAGCTCCCTCCCAAGGTACTGTAGATGATGTATTCCTTATTCCGTTTCTGCTTCTAGCAACCAGCCGAATAAACGTGATTGGAGAAAAACTGAATTGCATTTGGAATTGGTTTAAGGGAGTCGTGGGATATAGAGTGACCACCAGTTTTTCAATTTGGGTTCTTTTTTCAACTAAATCACTTTGACAACTTTTTTATCGTTGTGTTGTGTTTCAGTTTTCGATTTATCGAAAGATGAAATATTTTTTGATTCTAGCCTCTATGGTCCAGATATTTCAAGGAAGACCCAGGTTTATGAAATGATCTATGAAACTGACGGCTTCTTTACAAACCTCGGAGATAACTCAATTTTAGTACGTATTCTTTTCTTTTCCTTTTGTTGCATATCAATTTCCCTTTGTGTTCTTCTTCCCCCAAAAGTTTTGTGCATTGAACTTCGGAATCCCACCCTTGTTCCATCTTTTATCATCCTTCTCCATCGCATTTCATTTCGTTTTCTCCCACCAAAACTAGAACAAGAAAACCTTTTTTCTGCTTCTTTGCCTTTCCCGAAAAGGCGAAGAAATGAAAGATTTTATTGGTCAAGAAGCAGAAGGAGCTGCTGCTGCTTCTCAGGGAGCCCGACACATTCTCGCACGTGTTTACCCGTCAATCCTTTTCTGGATCCATGTAAAATGTGCTCTCCTTTTTCATCTGTGAGCCTTCATCTAAGCTCCACGTCATCATTACCCTTTCCCATCTCTTTACTCTTTTTCCTTATTTCTTTTGGATGACTCGTACTCTAAAAAGTCCCTTCCTACACTATCCATTATTATGATTATGATCGTTATTATTTTTGAGAGACTCCGAAGAAAAATACGTCTGCATCTGCTTCTTCTTCTTATTGGCTTCATATACTTTTTCGCCTTCGCGGCGACTTTCGACTTTCACACGTGAGAAGACACTCCAACTAATGAAATTAGAAGGAAAGGGTGCAAGGAAGGCCCAAAAGGTGAATAGAATCTCAAACATGTTCTTATGATATTCCCTATCGAAGACCGTGCTCCTCTTCTAGAGGTTTTTCCATCTAAGGTTCGATGTACCAGGTAAGTTTTTGAGCTGGAAATGATTGTTCAAAGTGCAATTCACTCATCTGAAAGTCTTGAAAGTCTCAAAATTTAGAAAAAAAAACCAACTCATGCGAAAAACTGATCTGCAAATTGTGATAATCTGCGAAAAATCTTGTTTTGGTTCTGATTGTGAGAGAAAATCTGAAATTCCAATCGTGCCTTGGTTTTTTTGTCTCAAACCAATTTTTCTAATCTTTTTTGTTAGGGATGGTATAAGGAAGTGAATATTTAGAAAGAAACGCCAAGAAAAACAAAATCCAATATTGCCGAGCGAATGGATTAGGCGGAGGCGTAATTAATACAATTTTAGGCCAACTACAATCAACAGGGCCCGGCCCGCGGTATTAGCCGAGCCGGAGATTTTCAGGACCCGGGTTTCCCACATTTGAAACAGTTTTTGAAATTGAAAAAAAAATCAAAAATGATTTTCCGTCTTTGGCGAGCTTCTTTTTTGGCTGAAATTTTTTTCTTTTTTTTAGGTTGACCTGGAACAATTTTTTAAGAGTCACTCTGAAAATAGGAAGCGATTTCAGCTGACAGGACAAAAATTGCTGAAAACTAGGACCAAAAAGGGACGGGCTGGATCTTGAGAATTCTAAAAAAACCCGGCCGGTTGCAAGTATGATTATTTCTGCGTTTATTCAGAGTATTTTTATTCGGTAACTTTAAATCGGTTCCGAGCCGGATATTAGGAAAAGGTTGTGACCGGAAGGTGGTGGAAAATTCTATTACCACACACGAAAAGATCATAGTTTCATTGATAAATTTGTTCACAGAATCTAAGTTTTCGAGAAAACAATTCCGATAGTTTTTTCCAGACATCTGAAGGTGTACTTCTAAGAATTGTGGGAGCTAATAAGATCTTATATAAAAGAATTGATATTTAGATTAGTGTATCGTTAAAATCACTGATAGAAAACTTTTATCGTACCGTATTTTTTTCTAATACAGTGGGCGCCATAATTATAGGACTTTTCAAAACAATTGAGCCATTTTTGAGCTCACAGAGCGCAAAATTAGCTTTTTAGGCCGCGTCATAATTATAGGACCCCCCTGGAAAATGGAAAATCTCAAGTTTTTTAGAGAAAAAAACTGAAATTTTTTTGTTGGAAATTGTTAAATTAGTCTTAAAATAGCTTATTCTGGCGTTTTACACAAATTTTGATTACTCTAGTCTAGTTTCAGAAAAATTTATTTTCAGACTTTTTCGGGATTTTTAGGGTTTTTGGAAGAAATCGTGCCGCTCTCCCCGTTCTGGTCCCATGGAATTAAGAAATTACCGGAGCGTTCGCAGACAACTATCGATACTTATGGACGTAACTTTCATTTATCTAGCCCTCTCCCCTTTGAGAAAAATTTGACCAAAAAAGTTGCCAAAAAAGGAAGAAACTTTTTGTTCAACCTACCACTTGCACTTTGAGCTCAATCATCTCGGTTTCTATAAGATATTACAGAAATGTGTTAACTGATAAAATATTGACGACATCACAGTGAATAGTTTATCAGTGGAACATGTTTATAACTTCTTAATTGAGCTCAAAACGCACGTATAGGGTAGGTTTCTATTAGAAAAAAAAACGAGTTTCGTTTCTGTCGATATCTCTTTGAGAATTTTAAGAACCTCACTACTGACGAATCATTTTAGTTACCATAGATCACCAACACGTCAGTGAGTTCCCCACGCCCTAGCTGTCTGTTTTGTACTCATCACGAGACTCTGAAAAACAAACGAAGAAAAAACGAAGGTAATCAGTATCAAGCTCATCATGAGAAAAGAGGCGGGAGGCACTTTTCTTCACCCTTTCATCGCATTAAATTTAACGACATTGTCGTCGTTTTTCGTTTCAACCGAAACAAAAAAGAAGAAGCTATACTGCTTCTCCTCTCTAGATTACCGCCTCTCTGAAAAAAGCGCATTTAGGAATGTTTAGGAATGCTTTAATCTGATTTCTTTTCTTGGTTCGTCCCCTTCAAAAGTGTCGAATTTCGAGAGCTGTCACAATCTCCTCAAAACCCTCTCATTCTTATTCTTGTCTTATTTCTTCCGCTAAATTTTTTTGGCGTTGTACTCTTTGATGATGAAGACTTTTCGTCGACAGCATACCAATTCAATCGTTTTCTTTTCTGGTTTTTCTAAGAAAGCGAACATTACTTTTTTCAAGAACCAATGATGCTTGCGTCAGCCCCATCTGAAACTCAAAACACTCCATAACAATGCACCATTATGAGCAAAAGAGCACGCCTTTTCAAACGTTTTTCTTTCTTGGTCCTTCCATCTCAAATAGACAAACATTCGTCACTGAAAAGGACGCCTATTTCCATATTTTCTATGAATAATTTGAGATATAATAGCGCGGGGGAATAATTGCTATGACAATAACCATATAAGCTCGTTCTAGGTACCTCCTACACCCATTCATTTGCAAAATGGTCCGTCCGATCGTTGTGTTGCTCCTTTTGGTAGCTCTCGTCTCTGCTTCCTATTCCCGTTTTGGAAGCAACAAGGATACCAAGTAAGTATTTTTGTTACAAAACGCAGAATTCAATAATAACAAACTACAGACCAGCGGAATCACATCCAAGTATCAATGACCAAATAATGCAAGGCTCGCACATTCGTTATTATGGACGATTCAGGTTGGGGTTATCATTTTATATTTCGAAATCGATAACAATATTTTATAGGGACGGTTCGGACGATGTGCTGAACCGCTACTTCAATCGACTGTAGTTTCTGTGCTGCCGTGCTTTCTCACTGTTATCCAATTGAATCATTTTCATTCACATCATCTGACGACTCAAAGCTGAAAACCTGAAGAAACCTATTAACGCTTCTTCCTCTCTCTCTCCATTTCCACGCATCTCATTTAATTATATTTCTCTGTCCAGTTTCCGTTGATAAACCTTGTTTGACACAAACTCTTGTTTGTATATTGAAAACAGTCCGAAATTTGTGTGACTGATAACAAAGGGGAATTGATAAGTGATACACAAGCGAGCACCTCGCTATTGGTCTCTCATTTCACACCGAAAGATGGCCGTCAGGAGGCCAGCTCTATTATTACTCCTACTTGTTGCTGTAAGTTTCTAGGATGTCATTTTTGAAATTTAGAGTAACAGTGAGAATGTGAAAAAATATTTTCTGAAAGGAGGTTGGTTAGAAGGAGACTATTCTGGTTTTGCATCATGAAGGTAGACGGACTGATTGACACTCAAATGGCTCAAACTGACCATTCCAGTCAAAATGGGTGTCATTCTCATTATATTCATTTTCCTTTTGTCTCAGTCATTTTCGGTTTTACTTCCATATTGTTTCGAATAGGCGATGAGCTATACAAAAATAGCGTAACCCCTCTAATAGAAGCCCACTATATAAGTACACTTTCAGCTCAATTATCTTGGCACCTGTCAAAGATTTCAGAAAGATGTCCACTGATAAATTGTTTATCATGTTATTTTCAACATTTGATTTGTTGACAAAATTTTGATATCTCTTATAGGAACCGAAATAATTGCATTTAAAGCGAACGTTTAGAATGGATTTTTCAAACACTTGAAACACTGCAAACTCAAATTTAACAAAACTTCTAAACCGATTTTTTCGAAATTAGTGAGCACATGTCTAGGAGATTCTCGTTCAAAAGTCCGTCGACCAGCCGCTAATGGCCCGGCAGCATTGCCACCTTGGCGACTAGACGGTTCACCCCGCACCTTTTCAGCGGACATCTAGCATCTATCTAGTCTGCTTTGTCTGTAAAATGATTCAACCCAACCGAACATAAGTTCACCAGTTCATCCATTTCGGTTTTGAACTGATCTTCTGAACACTTCATAAGCTACAAACCCCACTAGATTAGGCACAATAAACTAGTGAAACCGAATCGAAAATATGACGAGCCTCATTATCAGTAACAGATAATCGGTTCTGACTGTTTCAACGAAATACAAGCCACATAAAAGTGTACTTTTTAGGTCGCATTGGCCGGCAACTTCAACCGTCATCACAGGTAACACCACTTGGTTTTTTGTTGTTTACGACTTGTGAACAGAGAACTTCTCATCGGAATGATAAGAGAGAAGATTCTGGAATGGACGAGGTCAAAGTATGTAGTATCATTTTCAGACAAAAGAGAGACAATGATCTACACGATTGGCTCACTGATGAACAGAAGGAATCGTTGAAGGATGTGACACAAGGAACAGCAGAATTCAAGAAGAAGGTTGGGGAGTTTTATGCTTTGTTGCCAGCTGAAAAGAGAGCAGAATGGGATAAATTCTACAAGAAACACTGTTTCGAGTGGACTGCAAAATCACAAAGTGAAGCAGAAGAAGAAGAATTCCAGAAGAATCTTGCAGCCAATGATGTGGATAAGATAAAGGAAAGAATTGGAGAGTTGAAGAAAGATTTGGACGAAGCAGCCAAAAAGAATGTTGAGATGTGGGAAGAGGATTGCTACAAACTAGTGAAACCATCTAGAAAGAGAAGAGAGATCGAAGCTGCATTCCAAGACTTTGTGAAATGGATGACTCCAGAACAACTCGGAGATATTAATGCATTGAAGACAGCTGGAAAAGATTTAGACGTTCAAGCCAAGGTTAAGGAGTACTTCGGGCAACTTCCAGCCGATCAGCAAACCAAACTGAAAGAAGAATTCAAAGGAAAATGCAAAACGTATTTCTCCCCATTGATGACAGCTGAGGAGTTGGACAAAATCAAGAGTTTGAAGGGAGACAAGGAAGCTGCTGGAGCTTTGGTTAAAGGAGTTGTTGATAGACAGGAAGGAGAGATCAAGGCTGTTGCTGAGAAGATGCTCTCGGTAAGTGAACCTTTACAGAATGACATAAAGAAATTCTATTTTTCTATTTCAGGTCTGTGGAGAAGTGTACAAAGATTCCACCCGCAAGCGTAGAGAGATTGAAGCTGCCTTCCAAGACTTTGTGAAGTGGATGACTCCGGAACAACTTGGAGACATTACCGCTTTGAAAACTGCTGGAAAGGAATCAGAGGTTCAAGCCAAGGTTAAGGAGTACTTTGAACAACTTCCAGCTGACCAACAGAAGACATTGAAAGAAGAGTTCAAGGGGAAATGCAAAGTTTACTTCACCCCACTGATGACTGCTGAGGAGCTTGATAAGATCAAGACCCTTAAGGGTGACAAGGAAGCTGCTGGAGCATTGGTGAAAGGAGTTGTTGATAGACAAGAAGGAGAAGTCAAAGTTATTGCTGAGAAGATGCTCTCTGTTTGTGGAGAAGTCTACAAGGATTCCTCTCGCAAACGCCGTGAAATCGAGCCAGTTTTCCAAGATTTCGTCAAATGGATGACTCCTGAACAGCTCGCAGATATCACCACATTGAAGGCAACAGGAAAAGAAAGCGAGGTGCAAGCCAAGGTCAAGGAGTTCTTCGGGCAACTTCCAACTGATCAACAGAGCACTTTAAAGGAAGAATTCAAAGGAAAGTGCAAAGTTTTTTTCACTCCACTCATGACTTCTGAAGAACTTGAAAAGATCAAGACACTGAAGGCCGATAAAGAAGCTGCTGGAACACTCATGAAGACTGTTATTGGTAGACAAGAAGGAGAGGTTAAGGCTACTGCTGAGAAAATGCTTGGAGTAGGTTGACTCAAATTGTTCGAATACTACTGCAATTGATTTCAGGTCTGCGAAGAGGTTTACAAGGAGTCAAGCCGTAAGCGCAGAGAAATCGAGGAAGCATTCAAGGATTTCGTCAAGTGGATGACTCCAGAACAACTTGGAGAGATCACTGCACTTAAGGCAGCCGGAAAGGATGGTGCTGAACTTCAAGCCAAGACCAAGGAATTCTTCGGACAACTTCCAGCTGATCAACAGAAGACACTGAAAGAAGATTTCAAAGTAAAGTGCAAAATATTCTTCACTCCATTGATGACTGCTGATGAACTAGAGAAGATCAAGACGTTGAAGGACGATAAGGAAGCAGCTGGAGCATTGGTGAAGGGAGTTGTAGACAGGCAAATGGGAGACGTTAAGGTTACCGCCGAGAAGATGCTCTCTGTATGTGGAGAGGTTTACAAGGAGTCCACTCGCAAGCGTAGAGAGATTGAAGCTGCATTCCAAGATTTCGTAAAATGGATGACTCCAGAACAACTCGGAGAGATTACAGCTTTGAAGAAATCCGGAAAAGAAAGCGAGGTCGAAGCCAAGGTCAAGGAGCTCTTCGCTCAACTGCCAGCTGATCGTCAAGCCACACTCACTGAGGAGTTCAAAGGAAGTTGCAAGACCTATTTCTCACCATTGATGACTTCCGATGAAAGTGAAAAAATCAAGGAACTCGTTGGATCTGGAGACAAGGAAGCTGCTAAGAACCTTGTGAAAGCTGTGGTTGATAGACAAGAAGGAGAAGTTAAGCAGATTGCCACAAAGATGTTCGGAGTGAGTTTCTAAATATGTTTTCAGCTTGATAACCAACAAAATGTTCCAGATTTGTGGTGAAGTCTTCAAGCAAAGTAAGTCCAAGCGTGATGTTGCTGCTAAGATCGAGAAGCATTTGAGTTGGTTGCAACCAGCTGAGAAAGAGGAGATTCTGAAAATGACGCAGGACGGAAAGAGTCAGGAAGACATCAAGAAACGTCTGATGGAAATGGTGGAAGCGAAGGAAAAGGATGCTGATGAGAAGGCAAAAACTGTGAAATTGTGTTACGCATGGATGGATGATGTTGCCACCAAGGAAGAGATCGAGAGCCTTCACAAATTGCATCACGTTGATCATGGAGCATGCAAGAGGAAGGTTCGAGAGTTCATTGCAAAACTTCCAGAGGACAAACAAAAAGTTGTGGAAGCCTCTCTTCCATTCTGTGAGAAGCTCTGGTATGGAGATCACGCCGCGCATGGAGATCACTCTGGTCACGAAGGACATGAAGATCACTCCGGACATCAACATCATCACAGAAGAAGACGTCATTTGGCAGTTATTGAGAAGTACATTGAGTGGTTGGATGAGAGCCAGAAGGCTGAGATCAGAGAATTGGATAACACTGGAGCAGAGTTCAGCGCCATCTCCGACAAGATCAAGGAGTTCTTCTCTCAGCTTCCAGAAGAGAAACAGACCGACATTAAGGAGAAATTCCAGCATCAATGCATGATTTGGGCAAAGGAAGTTTCGAAGCCATTGGAATGGGAAGAGATCAAGAAGTACCATGCTGCTGAAGATCATGAAGCATTGAAGAAGAAATTGGTGGAGTTGGAAGAACGATTGACAGAAAACCAGAAGCACACAATTGAACACGTCAGAGGTGTCTGTTACAATCTTTGGGGAATCAAAAATGTTGCCAGAAGACGTCGTGTTCCAAACTCGGACGCTTCTTCTTTCCAAGAGAAGGCTGCCAAGTATTTGGACTGGATGACAGAAGAACAATTGGAAGAGTTGAAGAGACTGAAAAGCGAGGGAAAGAAGGCAGAAGTCATGAAAGCCATTCTGAAATTCTACGATGAAACTACCGGAGATGTGAAGGAAAAGGCAGAAGGAAAGTTGAAAGAAGCTTGCAGAGAGTATTCGTTGAAGGCGTTCGGACCTGAGAAAGTGGCCCAATTCAAGAAGTTGTCTGATGAGAAGGCCGATAAGTCCGAGATGGAGAAGTTGGCTAATCAATACACAGAAGAGATTGAAGATGAAGAGAAGAAGAACTTTGCCAAGGCTGTAAGTTGAAGCACCTTCGTATCATCAGAAAAATTCTGAAATTCAGGTTGTCACCGGATGCAAACACGTTTACTCCTCCAGCCGTTCGCGTCGTGACCTCATTGCGAAGGAAGTCGCCGAGTACCTCCAAAACGGATATTAATTATTAGAATTACATTTAAACTGAAATTTTCTTGTCTATATGATGAACTATATTTTTCCTGTAATTTCTTTTCAATTGGGAACAATGCTAAAAATGATTTCATTCAAAAATAATGGGAAATGAGTCGAATTATTACACAGAAGGGAAAAATTGAAATGATGCGTACGCTCGAAGAGAAATGAGTGACCGAACGATTGAAATAACAAACAAAAATAAGAAAACCTGAGGAGGAGCGAGATAAAACGGATAGTTATATTATAATGTACACTTTGAGTTAGCCTGATACTGCTAGAAGGTGATCTGCGCCTGAAAAGAAGACGTTAAATTTTGATCTAGAAAATAGTGGTAACTGACCCTTTTCTTTCCGTATTCTTTCGGTCGCCATTGTAATGCATTTGGATTAATACGTGTCTTTTTCTTTGCTGCTTCTATTCGCTTCTCATAAACTTGCCGCTTCTCGTCACTTATCACTATCACGTACTGTCCTTTGTAATACTTGTACAAGTCAAGCTGTTGTAACGTTGAGACGACGTCTTCTCTCTTGATTGACGTGCTTTGCGAGATATCTTGGACAGTTATGTCCTCGGTGGGGCGATTCCGTTTGAACTTGAACAGTGCCTTCATAATTGCCATCGACCAGTACGATCGATAAGAGAGAAGTCCCAGATCCGACAGCGGCTTTTCTGGCGATCCTGTCTTTTGTTCGATTTTCGACAACTCGTAGCTGAATTCGATAAGCAGACTGCCATATCCCTTTTTCTGGAACGGCGGCAACACCAATATGCATGCAACATTGTATTCATCTGCCGATTCTTTCTCTTTTGAAAAGTATCCCACTATGTGATGTCCCTTTTCATCTTCTTCTGTCAGCACATAGAACAAAAAGGGATCAGTGTCGTAGTAAAGAGTTTTGTGATCGAGAAACAGCTTGGCAAGGAGGCACAAGTTCTGAGCGTAACTCTTGTTCTTCCGGCCATCGATTTCGAAAAATGAGAGTTTGTCGTAGCTGTATATTTGATTACCAGGCGGATGACACAGTGCGCATTTCTCCTGAAAATCACTTTTAGTTCAATGAAATATCCGTAATGAAACCAACCATGTGCCGTTTTAAAGTAGTTTTTGACTTGAGATATTTGAGACAGAATTCACAAATATAAATGCAGTCCAGACTCGTCAACTGTTGTGGGTAGGGTGAGAAGTACCACGGCTGGATTCGCGACCTTCCCAACTCTATGCATTCGACATTTCTGATCCTTGTCATCGCATCTTCACTGTGCCCAACCATTGACATTGATCCCCGAAGACTTGGTGTTGATCCATTTGACACTGTTGGTATCGGCGGCGCTATATCAGATGGTTCTTGCTTCACGTCATCCATCGGTACCAGTGGTATCTTCCGCTTCCGACCTCCTCGTTTAGCATCTGTTTCGTTTGAATCTCGACTGGAATTTATTCAGAACTTTTCATGAGAAAAATCTGGCAGAGAATCCAAAACTTACCTTTCTTCCTTCAAATGCGCTCCTTTCTTTCCACCTTTTTGTGGCATTCGGAGCGTTGTGATATCGAGCATGTCGGCTTGAACCCATTCGTCCAGTCTTCGGTTACAGTCCACATAGTGCACGTAGAACTTCATCGAGCCATTTGGAGCTCGGCACCTTGAAATAATTTCCGCCTGCCCTAGAAAACAACGACTGCATTATTGCGAAAGAAACGAAGGCATCGCAACTCACTCCATTCATTTTGTGAAGCCATTCTTACACTTAACCGGCATCCTTCGACAATTTTATCATAAATACTTGGATCGAATCCATTTGTCCTTGGCGATTCGTTGATTTCTTCTTCTATTTCGATTTTGGGTTCGGTCATGCTTAAAATATGCAATGTAATGAAAACGCTAAAATTATGGCAAAGAAGAAGGTTTCGCGAAGAAATCGGTCGGAAAATATTTGAAAAACTTGTTCCGTTACTTTGAGATGGATTTAATAGTGCTTTTCTTGTCTTTTAGCTTCAAAAATAGCGAAGGAATTTGTAATTCCTGCCAAAAAATGAAAAAAAATCGGCAAGGACTAGCAAACAGCGAGGGGAAACCTAGTCCCCCTAGCCACGGCCGCGCGCATAAAAGCGCGGTTTTTCAAAAGAGGTCGCAACAGAGGACGAAGGCCGATGTGAACATCTCAATTATCAGGATTCTCACAATATCCAAAATAATGAATTTAACAGCACATTTGCAGTAAAATACAAACAATTAATCAGTAAACAACAACGACCACTACCCGGAAATAATTTCTATTTTCAGAGTTATTTCTTGATTTCCGTTATTTCTTTCACTTTCAAAAATGTTAATTTTGTGACTTTTCTGGAGGAAAACACCAGAAAAACTGACAAAAAATAGCAAAAACGAGAAAATAAGTCCTGAGAGCAAACATACTTTTAGGTTACTGTAGTTGTTATTGTTGTAGGACCTTCTTCCACATCTCCGATTTTTTGTACCAGTATAATAACGTTTTCTAAAAATTCATGATGTCTTCTTCTGTTTTTTTCAGATTTTGAAGAGAGCCCAAAACTTCCTGAATGATCTATTTACAGCTTTCTTTTTTGACATTCCACACGGGACCTCCCTCACCAACAAAACACCAAAAGATAGAGTTCAAAAGATAGAGAAAAACCAAGTATTAAGACAAAAAACCAAGTGTTGGAGAGAAGAAGAAGAGAAAAAGAGTTAAAGAAAGAACGAACCGGATGATGAACACATCACATCAAAACACCTGTTCGACCGAGGAATGATAAGAAGCGAGCCTCTTCTTCTTCCATCATCTTCCCTCTTCTTTTTCTTCTTGTTATTCTTCTTTTTCCTCTTCTCACTTGTTCTTCTTTTTTCCCTCGATATTCCCATGATTTCATCCGTCATGATTATCATAACGCATTCGACCTTCTACTCGTATCTATTTCGTCTCTTCATCCTCTCAATTTCTTCATTTTCTCAAACACAAAAATAATTGATCGTTGTTTGTTTGCAGGTTCATCGTCTCCATTTATTTCTACTCATTTTCGTTTTCACAAGTTTCGAGAGACTGACCCACTAGTCGGACGACGACTTCATTCACAGTAAAACATGAAGCTGTATTATTTCTCATCAATTCTAATTCTATTATTCATTCCCAATTTTAGCTTTTTACGTTCTCCTATTTCTGAAAAAGAGCTAGTAATATTCCGTTCTAAATTAGTTTCTCGTCTTGATCAATGTACTCGATGGAGATCCGAACTTTCAAAAAATATTTCTCGGACACTGGATCATTTTTTGATGAATTCCAACTTTGATGAATTCCGGAAAGCTGCAATAGACTTAGCAGTTGACAGATATCCAACAAGTGTGGATTGTTTGGATACATGTTCTGAGGATATTGAAAAGTATAAGGAATACATAAAAATGGGAATGACCACTATCAAGAATAGCCTCACAGAGCTATTGGATGAAGAGCAAATCCATCAACTTCATATGATTCTGGACAAAACACAAAGAGTTGATCTGATTCAGAAAGGAGTGAGTTAAAAGGTCTTTTCTCCGAATGTGTTTTTTTTGGTTTTCAGCTTCACCAACATTTTCATGGAATTTCTGAAAAACGTCGTGAAGAACTTCTTTCTGAGTTTTTCGCTACCAAACCTTATAGAGCTCGACGTTCGACAATGAGTAGAACGATTGCTCGCGAGCCAACTCCACTGTCACCAGAAATGCTTTCCTGGCAAACTACACGTCATAAAAATGTGCTTCTGAAACTGAAAAAGGGGAAAAGCTCTCAATGGGATGCAATGAATGTTATCGGAGATCAATACTATCATTTGAGAAGATCGGTTAGAGTTTTATATGATCCGTGAGTGATTTTGGTAAGTTGGATGAACAATGCAATTTAATTTTCAGTCAATTCATGAAATACTGTAATGAGAGTCTTCTTGCAATTATTGGGAATACCAGTTTCACTCAACTTGAAGAAATGGTTCGAGATAGTGAACAACTTGAGCACATTTGGAATAAATATCAACAGATTATCGGGTATTTGAAAAATGAAGAAGATCAATTGACAGCTGGTAATTGGATTTCTGTTAAAATTTTTAAATTCCTATTCGAAATTTCAGAGCATTATGGGCAGTTTTGTCGTAAAATCTACCGCCTTCTACCAATTGAACAAGCTGATCTAATGTCCTGGTTAAGTCCATCTCAAAGGTTCAGGATCGCCGAAATGATCCAGGATCCAGAAGTTGATGATTCGCAAGTGTATGAAAAGGTTTGACGTCAGAGAGTGTGTTCCTCCAATCTTTTTTCACACAGCTTTACGAGTTTTTCAATAAAGCAAGTGGCGATGCGAAAGACGAAGCGGACGAGGTCATCACTCTTGGCTGTCGAAAATTTATCGCCCATCATTTGGGAGACCAATTGGCCGAGGTGAATGATTGGAAATTCGGAGGAGAATGATGCACTCAATGAGAGAATTTTTGCAGGATATAGAGGATTTGAGAGTGGCTGGAGGAGCCGGAAGTAGTCATCACACGGCAGCTCTATTGTTCTCGAAGCACTATGAAATCGCAGAGGCTGGAGAGTTGGCACATCAGAAAAGAATCGAGTTGGTTTTATGATACGATAAAAAATGTATTAGAAAGACATCTTTCAAAATTTGTTGTTTGAAATTCAAAATTTTCTCTACTGTTTTATTGAAAAAATACTCCGGACATTCCACAATTTCACAGAAGTCTGCAGGTGCTCACAAATTGCTCAATTTTGGTGATATTGATAGAATTTCATAAATTTTAAACGAGAATTCACCGAATTTTAAAAAATACAAATTTTCGAATAAAAAGTATCCTGAGAAATAGAATGCCCCTGTAATAGAAGGGCCCCTTAATGGCACCAAACAAAAAATGGATCTGCCCTTCTAATAACGGTTTTACTGTAACTTACCAGTCATCATAACATTTGAATAATTTCAGCGAATCTCTGTCAATCTGCAAACGAATCTATTTAGACTACGATGGAAGTTGCTTCTGCAATGGTCGTTCAAATACTTGTGATCCTAAAACTCATGTCTGTCAGAACTGCACTGGAGGAACAATTGGATATCAATGTGAGAAATGTCCGGAGGATCTTCAACTAGACAAATCTGGAGTTTGCTCAACTCCTTTGGATGAAGAGTGTAATTGCCACAATCATGCCACAGAATGTATGGATGGAATGTGTCAAAATTGCCAGGGAAATACAATTGGAGATCAGTGTGAACTTTGTGATGTCGGATATTTCGGAGATCCTACTAAAGAGAAAGAATGCAAAAAATGCCCATGCCCGTGAGTTGGGAACTTTTGAATTAATTCTTTGCAAACTAATTTCAGGAAGAACGGAGAGTGCTCATATAACACATTTTCCAATATAATCGAATGTAACGATTGTCCAAAGGGACATATTGGAGAGAGATGTGAGGATAGTGAGAAATCGTATCAGCCATACACAACAGAAGCTTCGACAATTACCTTAGTAGACAATCAATTGTGATTTTTGAAATTTTTCCGATCGTGATTTTTTCCCACATGACAGCTCTGTACATTTGACCGTATCTCATTAAAATATAACTCATTTTGGTTGGAAAACATAAATTAGCTAATTTTATAAAAGTTTTTTTCATCAAAAAATGGGTTCGCTCACTTTAAAAGTGCATAACTAAGAAAGTTACGAAGACTTTGAAAGCAAAATTTTCAAAAAATTTTCTACTATTTCAGATTCAATTAATTTTAAATTTTCAGTATTTTCAGTTCTTGCGATATTCCAGATTTTCAGTGACCGGTTTTTGGAGAAGTGGCCGCGCACTCTGCCTTTCTCGAAGTTAAAGGTGGCAACTATACGATTAAGAACACTGGATTTATGTGAAGTCTTATGTTCTTTCAGATGCATCTTGTTTCAAGATTCTAGCATTTTCAGTTTTCGAGATATTCCAGTTTTTGTATGACCTGGTTTTTCAAGTTAAATGCGCATAACTTCTCATTATCGGAATTCTAATCCCTGGTACCACCAAGAAAGTTTTAGTTTTAACATAATTTTTTACAAAATGTGTAGACAGTATCAATAAAACTGCTAGTCATGGCTCTGTTTCAATAAAAAATCATAAGGTTTATCGAATACAATAATTTATAATTTGTCAGAAATCAATTTCTCGTGCCTTGTTCCTTCTCAAAATTTGGACCATCCACCATTGCGTACCAATCATCTGTGCTCGTCGAAATCAGTTTGTAGAGTCCACCCAACTGTAATTCTTCTTCAAAAACATCGATTCCTCTCTGAATAGATGGAAGTAGCATCATATCCTGGGCAAATCGGAAGCAATAATTCTCTGACTTATCACAGACATGTTTGCAGATTTCATTTAATTCTCGAAACAGTTCCTGCCTGGCTTTCTGGCAGAATAGAATACATTCATCCGATTGTCCATCCAACCCAACATCAAACAAACAAATTGAGCAAAGTAGAAGAAACTCGTGAATCGAAAGCTTTGCATCTATTACTGGATCTACTAACGTGTTGCGGAAATCTGTCCAGTACGGAGAGAAAATTCTGAAACAAATTTTTCTTTACTCGTTTTTAAATTTCCACAACCGAACCTTGATACTTCATCCAAACTATAGGATGGTGGTGTTCCCAAATGACGTGTATAGTATATCCCAACTTCGTCAACAACATCCCCTGTCGGCAGGTGGTAGGTGTTTGGTTTTCCTGCAAATTTTGTGACCGATTGGAATGAGGTTTGTGCTGCTTCACAATACCGAGAAGAACGGCTAGATACGCAGGTTCAAAAACCGTCCATTTCAAATAAAAGTTCCTGAATAGCAGTTTCAGTTGGGAAGCATCTAATTGGGACAGTTCTGGAAACGTGCTATTGATCCAATCAGCGGCCAATTTGACATCTTTTCGGAATATGGTCAGAGCTTCTGCATGGTGTAAGGTTCTTTGAGTTTTTCTTCTAGGGAACGCCCTTTTTCTCAAATGGAGCATTTCAGTAAAATTCCGATGAAGAGATTTCAGACGCATGTTGTTGTATTCAAAGTTAGACGAACACTGTAGCTCAGCTGGTATGGTATTCACTTTTGAGTAACATGCTGGTACCAGAGATTTTTCCGATTCTTCAACGATTCTTCGAATAATTTTCTCATTGTCGTGTTTGTCTCTTTTACTTTGCACATCTTAATCATGCGATTATTTTCTGGATCAATCTGACCAATCACTCACTGGACACCTGCATTCCAATCTTTAGGCACTTTTCCATGCGACAAGCTTTACATTGTCTGACTTCTCGTTCACCTGCAACAAATCCAATTGTAATGATTATCATAAGATCAATTCTGATTTACTAGTGATTTCACATGTGCCCACTCTATCACATTTTGCCGGAAATCTTGAAAACACTCGACGACGGAAGAAGGCAGCACATGCTCTGGAAGTCTGATTGAATTAACGAGAAATTTGATTATTATTTTTTGTTCGAAGTGTTTTATATCAGTGAATACGGGGTTCACCGGGTTCCAAAAGGTTCGGTCAGAAATTGAGCCAACCAAAAAATAGCTTAATCTCACGTTCACTGGAGCGCGACTTCTGAGCAAGCCTTTTGGACCTATGTGGGGACCGGAAAGGCTTTGTTCAAGTGGCCATGGAAAGATCAAATCACGGTTTTGTTCAATCGGAAGAACAACTTGACCAAATAAACAATACAAAAAACATAACACTCGTAATTTTGAACTAGATATATGTACTAAACTTATTGTTGATTTCTCAAGTACATTGAAAATTAATGTCCTTCAAAACAGAACATCGAATTGTTATCCTTTCTCTCCATCAACCGGGGAAAGATCAAAAGATGATTTCTCTTCTATTCCACACTCACCTACAGACATCAGCCCCATAATGGGGTTCAGTGGAGATTGCACCGCATACCAGACAGATTTGTTCCATTTTTCAATCGATAAAAAACCGGAAAAAGGGCTGAAACCGACAGCGGCCAACTGAAAATGAGTGGTCGAGAGACAAAAGAGAGAAAGTGGTATCATGTACACTGATTGTTCGAGAGAGAATCAGAGATAGAGACAACGATAGTCTCCGACAGGTGAAATTCATTTTTCAACATTTATTTTTGTGATGTTTGTATAAAAAAAAGGATTATTGAAAAAATTAAGATTTCATTTTTACCGAGAAAAACAACATGGCAAGAAAAAGATCTGATCAAATATAAAATGATATTTGAAATAAGGTTAAGAAATCAATTTGTGAGATCATAGTTGCAAAGATTCATTGATGATTTGACACGTTTCGGGATCCAAGTTTTTGTAGATTTCAAAGAATCCACACATCTGAAGTTCCTCCTGATACTTCCCGAACGATTTTTGAACGGAAGACAGTAGCATCATGATTTGACCGAGTCTCAAGCATGGATCTTCCACTTTTTTCACGTTCTTGTAATAGAAATGAATCTCGCCGACCAGTTTTTCACGCATCGCTCGACACACTTCGACACCTTGATCGGTGAGTCCATCGAGACCTGAAACTATTTTGATATGACTAACTTCTATTATTCTTACTAACCAGTATCCCAAAGAATCAACCCGGAAATCGTGAGGAATTCATAAACATCCGGTTTCAAAAACCACACGTCATCGATGACTGTCCGTTTGTATTCATCCCAGTATGGCTTAAAAACTCTGAAACTGATCATTGTAGGATCACTTCGAAACTTCTGTTTGCTTACGCTTCTGCCGTATTTCCACTAACTGATTCCACATTCATCATTGAATAGAATCTGCCGACATCTTCTTCGTAATGATCGCCGTTGGGCAATAACAAATCTTTTTTGCCAGCTGATAATCCAAGAAATGGGGGCTCTACCAACATGTATTTTATGAAGAAATTCAGGAATAGAAGTTTCTAAAAATATGTTTTTTGGTATTTGATTTTCTGATTTCTGCTCCTCACCTTTTCCATTTTTCCCATTCTCCCCATCTCCGGATAAGCTCCATCCACAAATGTTGACACTAAACGGATATCCTTTCGGAGGATCTCAATCAGCTCCACCATGTTTCTAGACTTTGGTGGCTCTTGATTTTCGAATTCTAGCTTTCGAACGTTTTCCAGATTCTTGAAATGAACGCTTAGGCGATGAAGACGTGGGATATCAGTGGAGCAGCTTTGGACTTCATAAACGAATGGACTCTAAAAATAATTTTCAATATTTGAGGGTCAGAATAGAAAAAAAAAATACTCACTAAGCTGTAACACGAACTGGCTTCTGATGAAGAGTCACTTCTGTCTTCACTGTATTTTTCACGTGGCGGCTGTACGGCGGACGTCTTCATTCCGGCCAGCATACATCGTTCCATTCGACAGAATCGACACATTTTGCTTTCTGCTAAAACAGAACTTGTGAAATCAGCCGAAAAATTGAATTGCACTTACTGTAAAAGACACGGCACTTGCGATCATGTCTGCATTTGATAGCTGACTTTGGTGAGAGAACATAGCGACGGAAAAATGCAGAACATGCCCTGAAAAATAATATTTTCAAATGGATTACTGTAGATTTTCGGGAAACATGACTCTAGTTAGGTTCCCTCGATTCAATTCATTCCGTTTTCGTTTTCGTATTCTACGCTACAATGTTGTATCCGGTTTTGTACGTCGCCGTAGTTTCTATTCGCCGGGTTTTCATAGTTAGAGATAAGTTTTTGATCTCAATCTTCCTCTTTATTTTTCGTTTACCCTACGCTATATGAAATGTGTTCATAGACCTGCTACAAACTATGAAGACGGGGCCTGACTATGACAAGTGTCTTGTTTCACGATCCATCCAATCAAATCTACACGAAAAGTCACGTTTTGATAAGAGATTGTATAGAGAACGATGGAAAGAAAGAATTTGATATTGTTGTTACCTGCAAATTTGAGATGAGGATCCAAAATGACACTCATTGGCAGGCGACATACAGACGAAGCATGGATGTGGAGACATCTGGAAAAAAAGATGAATAGGATGAAGAAGATAAATAGGATCGAATTGCAAATAAAATAGTATTCAAGATTAAATTCGAATCAAAGGGGCTGGGAGAAGAAGGTGGAGTAAGGAGGTGTGGTTTGGGGGAAATCAGAACTATCGTTGGGAGTGAGACTACAAAATATAAAATGCTATGAATCGATAAAAAAGCGCACATAATGTTAGGGGAGACACTCTCTCTCTATTTCTCAGTCTTCTCACAGAAATCAAAGTATGGACAGTGACTGATGGGAAAGTGGAAGAACACGTGAGAGACATACACAAACACCCGACAGTCTGTTGTGTAGAAAACGAGACTTAGAAATCTAAAGGAAAAAAGAAATCATAGGAAAAAAGACAGAAGAGGAGAGGAGCAGGACACATACGAAATTTCTGTGCTTTTTGTGATTGAATTTATTTTTTAATGTGGTTTGGAGTTTCTCCCAGCAGCAGACTTATTCATATCCGGGCTTATCTTCTCCTCGTGTGCTTTGGACTTTGCACTCGAATTTATTTGTGATCTTACAATTTCTTTTTCCGTAAAATGAGAAAAAAACAAAGACCTCACGAATTTAAAATGTTGTTTTCTGTTGTTTTCGGAAAGGCTTTTAGTGCGGGGGCTGTGGGAAGAAACTAGAAAATATTTAGCGCTTGTGGTGTTGAAAAGGTACCATGGAAACAAGTTATTAGTAAGAAGGAAGTTCACATGGTTTTAGTAAAAAATATGAGAAAATGTCCACGGTTTTTAAAATTGTTCTAGACCTGTATTCGACAAGGAAATTACCATGAAATCTGTAACATTAGGGCTCCCTAACTATTAATTTTGAGCCAATTTATCTCGGTTCCTGTCAAAGATATCAAAAAATTGCCAACTAACAAATTGTTTATCGTAATGGCAGAAATATTTTGTCAGTTGACAACTTTTTGATATCTTTTACAAGACATAAACATAAGATATATGGGCTCAATGTTGACGGATTTGGGGGGTTCTATAAGAGTGTTTACGGTATCATGTGAACACTTTCAATGAAAAAGCCAAACTTGGGGTCATAAAAATAGGCATATCACTTTTGACTCAACTTTTTGAGAGTCTCTAGCAAAAACAAAGCTTAAATTTTCAGGTTACACTTTTATCTAGAGATGATACAGAAGAGATACCGTAATCCCTCTAATCGAATGTTCTCCTCAAACCGTCAACTTTGAGCACATATATCTCATTCCCTGTAAGAGATAACAAAACGTCGTCAGCTTTCATAATATAAAATAATATTTTGCCAGTTACCCACTTTTTCACACCTTTCACAGAAATCGATTTAATTGAGCTCAAAGTGGACGGTATTGGTTGGCTTCTATTAGATGAAATACCGTATGCTACACTTTGCCCGGTCCTGTACATGCTCCGCGTTTAAATTTTCCTGATGACGATACCACTAGAAAGATTCATGAAGCATCTTCTTCACATACTTGAATGATACTGACTTCGCTTTGTGCCCTCTACAGTAATTTTTTCGTATTAACTTCCGTCCACATTGAACTCTCAGCTTCCAGACAGTGCTCCTTTATTTCATAGTCATATCAAAACAAACATATCTCAATACAACATACGATCGTAGTCAAATAACCTGAGCACACAATCACTGATTAGAGTGATAGTCAGGTGGAGCAACGGAGGGTGTATGATCAGTTAGTTTCACTGACTCTCGTTGCCACGTCATTTTAAGACTTGCAGCAGCTCTTCGTATTTTGTAGTGTCCATAGGTACCAAAAACGAGAAGAGAAGAAGAATGAGTAAGTTGGAAAAAGACAAATAAAGGAAGGATGAAGGAGTAGCAAAAAAGTAGTACGGTGCGTGGGGAGAACACAGTTTCGCTCTGGCGGAAACGAAGAAAATGAGTCAGTGTGTGCGGGGAGAAAAAAGAATGGACACTTGAAAAAACACCTTTTCCCAGCATCGTTTCTCAGCCAAGACACACTGGAAACACGTGAATTACGATAGTCGTCGAAGGAGGGACTAGTACTGAACACGATTCTATGTTGTAGTTTTGATTTGATTAAATGCGAAAATGCGCTCAAGTGAAATCCGACCTTGACAGATCCATTCAAAAAATTGGTGATTTCCAGGTGATTGGATGGATGAAATAAAAAAGAAACTATCCGAAAAAGGAGCAAAATAAATGTGAAAATGAGATGGGAATGAGAGAAAGTGTGAGAGAAGGAAGAGGTGTGTCCAGCACACAAAATACACAATTTTTCGTAGTGTTCGTGATTTGGGCTGCTTCCCATTTTTTCTTCTTTCTATTTTCAATTCGGGTATAATATCAAAAAATGTGTGTGATGGGAGGTGTGGCGAGCGGTCAGAAACTAAAAGCTATTATTCATGCGCCGTTATTATTTTTTTTATGTTGTTCGAATTCGCAAAGATCAAGAACATTTTTGAAACTCAATCGTTTGCAAAGAAGAGGGGGAAAAGAGGGGACATTGAATAGATGTTAAAACACGAAAAGCCGGGAGGAGCATTAGAAATATTGCATTTTCAAAGATAAGAATATAGTTTGATCAGTGAAAGGCTTGTCAATGATTTCTAACGGAGAATAAAAGTGAAAAGCGCAAATCTCGACAAACTAGACAAAGATCAGGCGCACTTTTCTTTGTTTTGAACGTCATTCAAGCTATTATTTTGGTACAAAAATCGGATCTGTGAAAGAGAGAAGCTTGAAAACTACCGTAACCTAAATGTTCGGCATTATTTTCTTGATTACTTTTTCTTTTCGACAATTTTTGTTTAGAAAATCTCCAAAAAAGGCGGAAATTACAATTTTTCGAAAATTGAAAAATTGTCGGAAAGCTGACAAAAATCGTAAAGAAAAGCAAGAAAATTTGCTAACTACAGTAGCCCGGCCGTGGACGCGGCCATCAGATTTTCTCTTCCACAGCTCCGATGTTTGCATACCAGCAAGATATACGAATGTATTTCGGTTCGAATGACATTTCCGGAAGAACAAAATACTGAATTCAGGAGCGAAGGTTTCGAATCAGTTCAAAACATTCAAAAATGGTTTTTTTTTTCAGAGAGAACCGGATCAACTTGAAACGAAAGTTGGGATAGATAACAGGAATGGGCAATAAAGTATTTGAAAAAAAAATTCGTTTAAAATTTGGCTGGTTTTGAAGATGTTGCCTAAAAGTATCTCAGCAAAGTTAAACTTGTTGCTGATCTAAAACGGAATTCAGAATGGAATACATGGAAAAACAGGACCGTCGAATTTCAAGTTTCGAAAAGAAATGAACCAAACATCTACAATAGGAGTGAAATTATAGTTTGGTGTCCGCTTACACAGATCCAAAGATCAGATGGATTATAAGGCAGGCTGCAAACATTTCCCGAATAGAACAAGCAAATTTTTCGGCAACTATATCAAAAGACCAGACACAGTTTTTAGTGTTTTTGCATGACATTCAAGCTACACAAATAAAGTTTTGACAGAAAATGTTGAAATGATGTTATTGGGAAAAATGATTATAGCCTATAATTTATAGGTCACTGAATTTTTAAATCATCAGTTTGAAAGCAAAAAAGTACAAGGTATTCTGTTACAAGCTGGACTATGGTGAGCTTCAGTTCAAATCCAAAATTGAGGAATTTTCTAAAACAACAATAAAAGTACAATGGATGTTCAGATAGTGTTTCAGGGTGTCGGAATGGAAGCTTATAAAGAGAAATCTCTCAAATTGAAAAAAATTGCCGCTTCAGGATCAAGAACTTGGAAAGCCTAGATAATAAAATGGAGAAAGAACCGATCAATCTGCACGTCCTACTTCTGTGTGACAACCGTTCCCAAATCGTGCTTTGTGTTCTGAAATCATTCTAAAAAAAACAGTAAGCCGATCTTCAGATGAGATAAAAACGGGTTTACGATAAGCCCAATCGGCATCAAAATTCAATTGGAAAAGAGGTTCACACTGTTAAAGAGCTTTAGTTCCCAACAAACCTTTCAGAAAGGCTATCCGTCTTCATCTCCTTCACCTTCTCCTTGTTGTTGTTAACCGACTAATCCCAGAACGGCCATTCAACACGTCATCTTTCTCTTTCCGGCACATCTCTGCTCCTAATCCATCCCATCGTTGGAATTAAACGATAACTATTCCTAGCAACAGGAGAAAACTACGACAGGATTGAAAGATGAAGGGAAGTTGATTTATGAGTCTGCGTCTCTCGAATGCTCGCCACTATCTAATTTGTTCAATTAATCAGTTTTGGAAAATGACAAGTTTTTGTCATTTGACCTTTTTCCTGGTTTTCATTGTTTTTATAAACTTTGGTAACTTTGAAAATCAATTTTTTGTTAACCTTGTTTCACATTCAAAATATAAAACTTCCACATGCTGGCGCTAAATTACCCGGACTGTTAAAAACTGGTATATCTGTATACATAAGTATTTTGGAAGCACAAAATTGGTAGAAATATAAATCTACGTTTGATTCGAAGATCCTGAAATTTTCAATGCGGATTTTCAAAGTTAGGTATTGTTATGACTGTCCAAAAATGAGCGGAGTAACGTTTCTTGTGATTTTCATGAGAGCAAGAAAATTTGACAAGCAATAACTCAACTCAAAGTTGATCAAGTAATTTGAAAATAGACCAGTTTTCTGATGAATTATTGAAATTTTTGCACTTCAAATTTGAGCTCAGTACAACGATTTACAAAAATGTCATGCTAGTACCAACTTAAGTTCGGATTAGCACCACCCTGTAGTTTGTCACTGTTTTATTCACGTCACCTAGTACATCATAAATTGATCATCATCTGTCACTTGGACCTAGGGATATTCTGAGTCCCTGCCATCTGAATCTTTGTCATCCCAAAATACAACGTATCCAGATCAGAAGTCTTCGTTTAACCATCCATCCGTGCATACCCAACCTAATCTTTTTTATAGCCCCGAGGCGCTCGGTTGGCTCAAATTCAATTTTGTTGTTGTAGCTGAGCAGGATGGGCGAGAAAAGTGAGAGAAAGAAGAGCAGTGTTTCATTAGAAGTGTGAATGAACTGCTCCTTCTTCTTCTCCAACTCCGTATGAGAAGAGCAAGAGGGAGAGAAGGCGCGACCAAATCGTTTCCGATGTTGTCGCGACACGTCGACTTGAAGTCGTGATGAGCTTCTGCCACGCAGTTCCCCCATCGAACTTATTTTCAGTTTTTTTTGGATAGCGAGACGACTGCAGGAGAAAAAAAACATTACTCTGGGTCTACATTTTCGGTATCCGAATTCCCAGTGGACAAAGTCAGGTATAATAAAATGTGTCCTTCTGTGGGTGAGACTTTTTCAAACGAGTGTGTCACCCTTTTCTTTCACTTTTTTGAAGCACACAGAGGGTTTCTTTCTCAAAAGTGTCAAAATGATTCTAATCCATTTGGGGTCATTTGTCTTTCTGAACGCAACCACAGAGAGGGCACCGGAGGGAGCCGACGCCCCATCTTTCTTTTCACCACAGCTCAGTTTTAGTATTTATGAGCTCCGTGGGGACCTGAAAAGAACCCAGCAATTGAAAAATTTGAGTTTGACCATGTGCTAACCTTTTTTGGATCATCATTTCTCTTGACTTTTAAAAATTGTAAATCCTCTGAAGATTTCTGGTGTAGGATTAGGACTTAATTTGGGATTTAGTTTATATAACTATTCTAATTTGGAAGATTCCAGGAAATTCACCAGACAGAATAACTAAGACGAAACGTTTACTGTACTTTTGGTGGTCATTCGTTTTCAAAATCTGATTATCTCAGTGATTTGTAATTCCCAAATCCTAGTTTCAATCATTCATCAAATATCTCATGTCAACCTATTTTACAACAATTTGTCAAAGAGGACCCCACTATCCATCATAATCTTCTTGTTGTTATCATCACCATCCATTTTCTATTCTTCTTTTTCTTCCACGGAGACTCCTCAGAAAGAATACACAGAAGATTTGAAGACAGTGAGAAGAATAATACACGCAATACTCATCAAATATGAACAACTCACATAAGAATACTCTCTGTTTTTGGTTCGTTTTTTTTATATGTTCGACATATTTACCTCTAGAAAATCGAATGAAGTAGATATAGAGCAAAGGAAGAAGAAGAAGAATGTGGGACACCTTCCTCTTCTTCCTTTGCTCATCCTTCCTTTTTCTTCTTCCCATGTTACTCGTTAATTCACTAATGTGACATTTCACGGCACCTCTTCTATTTTCTAATGTAAATTAGGGAAGGTGCGGACGCCGAAGCGCTATACTGATTTAGTGCTCTGAACAAGAAAATAAAGGAAGAAAAGAAAGACGTATATTCCAATCTTCTCGTTCGCTTTTTACTATTATTCGGCACGCGATTTTGTAGAAGATGATGTCGTGATTCTAGATTCCATCGGATTCCTCATTCATTCTTCTGTCGGGGTGAAAGGTAGTGTTTTATTACCACGAGAATCTCGGCATTCTGGAATGAGCTTTCTATTCATGTCATATTCTACACACCTTGCTTGATAACGTAAAACGGTGTTTACCGTTCTTGAAAATATTTTTAGAATCTTGTAATTTACATGCATTTTAAAAATATAAATTTATTAATGAAATTTGATCCATAAGAAAAACAAATTCTAAAATCTAGCATATCTCAAAATTATAAAAACATCTGAAATTTCTATTCTTGAAATCTGATCTTGAGTTTTCGAAACATTTCTGTCTATACAAAGTAATTGGTTTCGATTATTTATCTCGAACTAAAAATTTTCTTTGGTTTAAAGAATTACCAAATGTTGAAGAAACGATTTTTCCGGTTCTGTGCTTTAACTTACCGTAAAACCTGTAATAATAGGGCCCTCAAATCGTCATGTTTGAGCTCAATTATCTCGATTACTATGCAAGATATCAAAAATGCGTCAACCGACAAAACCCTTCCGATATTATGAAAAACAATGTATCAGTTGACAACTTTTTTATATCTTTGAAAGAAATCGAGATAAATTGTCTTGAAGTTGAAGGTTAGGGGCACTTCTATTACAGGTTTTATGGTATGTAGGTTGGTCAATGTTCATAGCAAAAAGTGGTCCGTTCTTCGTTTCTAGCCTTCCCTCACAAAACGAAAAGTGTTATGAAAAGTTTCGAATTTCAGAGAATCGCATTTCAGAATTATATCAAAACATACAACTTCTCTCATTATCTATTCCTCCAATTGCAAAACCGATACCCGCTTTTCTTGGTAATCTATTTTTATCATTATTGATTCATAACTAAAAAACGTCTATTTTCCATCTCCACCCTCTTCTAGCTTAATCCTATGAGTTAGTTCCATCCTTATCCATCTTCTTCTTCAATTTTTCAACTCAACCGGATTCCATAAATAACACCATGACTCCTAGAACTTTCTCTTTCTCCGCTCTCTATTTCTAAACTTGTTTTCTAATTTCCGTTCCGATTCGATTGGTGACAATTGGTTTACCACCATGTTCTGCCATCAGAGCCTTTTGCTGCTGCCACCTTCCACTTCTCTACTCTCTTTGTATTAAATGGCCTTTACCTCTCCTTGCTTTTTCTTTTATTTGTCTGCTTCTTCTTTTATTCGAGGTCATGCCCATTTCTGTGCTCCAATTTTTGCCTTCTTCTTCTTCTTTTTCTTTTGTGTTGCTTCAACAATTATTGGAACTTGAAGGTGAATTGGTCCGGGTAAAACGAAAAAAGTTATTTCGAAGTCAACTTCTGAATCCGTCTCCTTCTTCATATTACTTTTTCTCCTACTGTTCCCTTTTCCGTTTTCTCCTCATTTTTCACTTACAATCAGAGCAGTGAGATTTAATTAAATGATCTAAAAACGAAGATAAGGTTCTATTGGAGCCCCTTCTTTTGTTTACACCCTTTTTACTCACTTCTATTGTTTCCAACCAGTTGCTATTTACAGCTCCAAAGAAGCCTGGAGCTTTTTGTTTTTAACCTTTGTCGCCTTTTTTGCTAAGAAATCGTTTTTCAAGATTGTTTTGAGGATAAGGCTTGCCTGTGAGTGTTTGATAGCATTTTTATAGATCATGGCTACCCCTGACATGTGTGGTTTTTATGTGAAAGCCAAAAACTGTCACGAAAACTTGAAATTTGACTCTATAAAACTTTTATAACTTTTATTGTGTAACTTGGATGTGCAAACATGAGTTCATTAAAAAAATTATATACAGCACCGATAATAAGATATACCAAAACGTATTTTTCAGTTGATTTTCGGTCATTTTGACCATTTTCAGGAGTCTGGAACTCGGCTGTCAAGTCTCCGAACACTTTGAAAATTTTGGACGTTTTGAAACATACCTAGATTGAAAACTTTGCTTTCATAGAATTTTTCCGAAATTTCTATCTTTTCAGCTATTTGCGGATTTCTGAAAGACTCATGTTGTTTCACGTCTTCAGTACAGAAACGGGCCAGAAAAGGGGCCTTTCAGAAATCGGCAAATATTTGAAAAACTAGAAAATTTCGAAAAATTCTGTGAATGCAAAGTTCTCGATCTAGGTTTATCTCACACCCTTCAAAGTTTTTAAAGTCATCGGAACTGGACAGCCGAGCTTTAGATTCCTGAAAGTGGTCAAAATGACCGAAAATCAACTGAAAATATGTTTTCGAATACCTTTTGACCGATATTGTAATTTTTTACAAAAATACTATCGCCAAGTTAATATGTTCTAGATTAGGTCATGTTATTCTATCCTTTTCTACATCCGAGTTCAAATAACTTTTAGGATTCACATTTTTTTTTCATTTTCTAAAAATAACACCAAATTTCCCCTAGACTCTTTTCCAAATGATTTGAATCTCAAATGTTGCGTTTTATCCCCAAAAATATATCACAAATCCACCGGATCCAGTCTCACCTTGTACTCTTCCTATAACAATTCGGAAATTGGTTTTTAGTTAGTTTCTCTCTTTTTCTTTCCCTCGTCACGAGATAATAACTAACCATTTCCTGTCACCTCGAAAATCTCTCAAACCCGAAAAGACCTTATTCTTCAACTTTTTCTGTCCTAATAGGCACCTTATTTCGTACTGTTGGTCCAATTATACGTTTACTCAAGAACACAAACAAAAAGAAAAGATTCTCAATTTCTTCTTCTCAGTCATCGTGTGATTCCTTCGTTTTCCGACGCCTCCCGCAATTACTATCACATATTCTATCCAGAGAAGACGATGTCCCTAATCGTGTTACTTACACACTCTTTCACGCCTTCCATTTGTCTTTTCTCCTGACTTTAGATTTTTACAGATCTTTTCTTTTTTACTCTGTAGTTTTCTTATTGTCAATGCGTTTTTAGAAGCTTTTTCATTGTTTTAAATTAATAAGCACTGTCTGGAACTTATAATCCTCTTGAACAACACAATCCCGAAAAAATTGAATGTTAAAAACACGTTTTCCAGGTTTATCGTCTAACTTCCAAACTGAATCTATCCCAAGTTACTGCCATCAATTTTCACAGAAGTACAGTTTCCAGATTCCAGAACTTTTCCGAATCTTTATTTCGTTATAGGTCATCATAATGCGTTTGATACATTTAAGTGAAACTTCAATTAGACTCCTTTTTCGACTTTTGCTCTTCTGGAATACTGTGGGATGGGCTGCACGTGAAAGGTCGAATACAGAGTACTGGAAGGACCAACATCCACAGCAGAGATGGAGAATTTATTGTAAGTCGATGTAAAGTTGTTGGGAAGCAATTATAAAGGAAATAGGAAATCACATGAAAAATTTATGAACGCCTGGGGTTGTAGCGAGGGAATGGAGAGAAAACGAGAGAATAGTTGACAGTTTCCGGTAGAGTATATTGAATCAGAAGCCGATTCGGAAGTTGCCAGGAATATTAGGCCGGATTCAAAAACCGGATTTGTTGAAAAATGAATCGATGAGAATAATGCCTAAAAACGTAGAAATTTATCGATGATACTTCTTTGAATAATCAGAAAATTAAACAATTGCGCCAAAAAGGGCACATGTAGCCACTGGGATGTCGGTTTTTAAGTTCTGGTCAGAAGTTGAGTTGAGGGGTGGGTCAGACTTTTGAACCGATATTGGCCAGGTTACAGTCGGCTGTAGCCATGGTCAGATTTTGGCCGGAAGTTGAAAGCGGTCTCATTCGGAATCTGATCAATCTCGGAACAGAAGCTGCCGGCGACGCCCGAGTAGAGATCACTGAATAATTTAGCTCAAACTTAATAGTGTGGGGCCACGAAATCTATTTCAGTTTTAATGATATGCAAAAATATGACCTTATTGTTAGTGTTATTAAAACTAGATTGGTCTAAATATTTTGCTGATTGACAAATTCAGTAACTCATTTTTTAAATTCATGTTTCAGCATTCCCAATTTTCTTTTTTTTTTCAAATATCACTTTGACAGTTGGGAACAAATAAAACACAAAAATTGTAACATGATGTTGTCATCTTCAAATCTCCGCCCACAATTCTGAAACTTGAAAAACCTTAACTCGATTCCAAAACTTCTCAAGTACTTTTCCTTTCAATTCCCCTTTTTTCTCCCTGCTTTCCGATCCGAACTTGTTCGTTCAGTCGTCAAAACTTTTCATTTTCACCTTTTCGAGCTCCAGACATAAATCTTCTTCTCTTTTTCCGTAGCTCTTTGTTTCCGTTATTTTTCCCCCATCCCCTTACCCAAACAACTCACTCATGTTTCCGATTTCATGAATTTCCGATTGCCGCGGTCTGGGTAAAAAAAGGAGATGGAGACGTAAATTCTTGTTGAAAGCCGTTTTTCACTTCTTGAAATTGCTCCCCGAGGCCAAATTTATTAGCGTATCGTCGTCGTCGAAAACCCGAATCGCGGGGGCACCATTCGAATGTTTTTCTTGAAAGGTCCACTCAACTAGAGAGAACCTTTTTCAATGTTTTATTTATCACCTGAAGTTACATGTTTAACACCCTTGAAAGTAATATGACCACTTTTTTGAGGTCATCGTCAACGAATTGAAAAATAACAAAACAAGACTTAAACAACGTTTCAGAGTAAGGAAGAAAAAAGCTAATTTAAGTCGTGACGACGACAACAAGACGGGAGTGGTAAAGGTGATTAGCTTCATCGAAGTGTGAAACAAAACATTGGAGTTAAATTAGACCGCAATTCCTGCCTCCTCGAGAATGGTGGGTGGGAAAGGGATCATTTGATTATTCCGGTGTATGGCTTGACGTGCTTGTGACTTTTAGTAGTAGTCGAGAAGTTGGGTTTTATATATACGATGATATGAGTCATTGGGAGAATTGAAGGAAACAAATGAACATATCACAAAGATGGAGTTCGTGGACTGTAAGGGAATTTTGACCAAAATGAAACGTCGGAAACTCCGAAATAGCCACCGGATTCCATCCGAAGCTGCACACAAGGATATATACATCTTTCAAAATTATACCAAACTGAAGAGTCGTGAAAATAATTTTAAATTTTAATTATAAAATAGCAATACCGTATTTCCTATTAAAAAAACCAAACCGTCAACTTCGAGCTCGATTATCTCGATTTTTGAGAACTGTATCAAAATTGGGTCAATTGATAAAACATTGGTGATATTATGATGAATAATTTATCAATTGACACATTTTTGATATCTCTAACAGTAACCTAGATAAATCAGGTCAAAGGTGGCAATTTGGGGGGGGGGGGCTCTTCTATTACATTTTTTACGGTAACCATCCTTTTGGAGCTACACACAAGCCTAAAATAAAGATGTTACCAAATTCGGGGCTTGTGAAAAATAACTTCAAATTTCAATGATAATTTAGCAATAAGGGAATGAACCAGGATGAAATTTTTGAAAGAACTTTTTGGGGATTACACCCACAAGAACTAGGTATTCCCAGTTTCTGATCGACATAATTGAGTTTATAGAAAGCTGATGACTAGGTTCCTAGTCATGATCTTTTCTTCAAACTCCCTCAGAAGCATCAAGACAAGGTACAATACCATAGCGACGATCGGTGGACATGAGATTTTCGAGTAGCACAGAGAAACTGATAGCCTAGATTTAAGACAGATACATTTTGGAACTGCTACTACGCATTCCGAATCTTTGGCGATTTTCCCATCGTAGCCAGCCCGACAGGATGATCCAGATGATGGGGTAAATCTGTTTTAAATGAATCATTCGCTTTCTCGTTGAGTCCACTTCACGACGCTTCTCCTAAGTTTTTCACTCTCGGCCATGAAAAGACGAAAAGTAGTTGGGAAAAAGGGGAAAAGATCTTCAAGAATTGGATTCAAGTATCGTCACACAAAAACATAGAGCCAAGACAAGAAGAAGAAAAGAAAGGAGTGGCCTCTTGTGTTTCTTCAAGCCCAAATATTTGTGGGACCCCGTGAGAGCACAGAAGGCGCTGGCGCTTACTGCATATACGGACGGCCCCATCATTTTGTCTTTCTTGTGTGTATGTGTCTCCTTCTAAACATGTACGGAGCAGAGCATCCCCCGGGCAGCTCCGTCCTCTTCGTTTTCTCGCCTCGTCTACCTCAAAATTGGCATTGCGCAAAGCGCGTTAGACCCCGCCTTGTCGACGGGAAAAGAAGAAGTCTCCGCCCACAATTTTCACGTCCTCCACGTCGACCGAAGCAGCACCGGCTCAACCCAAAACAGGCAATACTTGCTCTCTGAAGCTGTTGTGTTGTCTCTGGTCTCTCACGATTCGGTGGATAGGGAGGTGTGACGAACAGTCTGTGTCACCGATTGTCGGGATGCCCGATGACCTCCCAGTTCACCAAACTCTTCTCCTTTATTCTGGCCAATGTTCATGATCCGGCGGCTCCCGATGATGCAGGTGAGGTTTTTGTTCATTTCAGAACTCATGGGTTACGGTAGATACCATATGATAAGATCGGGAATACCAGATTGATACTGCCCGGAGAAATTTCTTCAGAGGACTATGGAGAATCTTCTCGAAACTCTTCTGAAAGAAATTGGTCTAATCACACTTTTAAAGTTCAAACTTTTTGCACTCGAGCTGACAATCATCATCTTATATGCTATAGGAATCAGAAGACACCAGAATAACTAAGAAGTTTCTTGAACACACACTTCCATTCCTTCCTCATATTACGAATCCAAATTATTCCACCTTCTCCTCTTCCCTATTGAAAAATCTAATTATAAGGCGGCGGTAAGTAAATAAACAAGACTGGAAAAACTAAAACAAACCATTCGCTGCTCCTCCATCTCGCTGGCATATCTTCTTCGCGTGTCATCTGTTTATAAATCTGCTAATCTTCTCATCGTTCGGCCCTTATTTTTCCCCTCCCATATCAAGAAATGCCTCCCAGCAGCATCACTTTGGCTAACTTCATAATCGTAGGCTCTTACGGAAAGTATCGCTCCCCTATATTTCCTTATATTTCCCCTTTATTTTCAATTCGTTTTCAATCCGATAAACGCTTTTACGAAAATGGTGATGATGATGACGAGGCGTCATGAAGAGCATCAATCTCAAAATTGTGACAAGTGTCCAAGCGTTCCTCCATCTCTCTCCCAGCTTATTCAACAACACTTTTTCTAGTTTTACACCAGTTTTACTTTTTCCACTTTTCCGATTTATTGTCTTCAGATCAGAGAAACCACAATTTTTTGCAAACAAAAACTTGACCCTTCTACAAAAAGAAACTTTTTGCTACTCTCGTTTTGTTTCTTTATGCTAACAAGTCTAATCAAGATCATAGCTAATTTGGCTACGCGGGGGCTAAGCAAAAAAAGACAAAAACATTTTCGAGCCAATTTCCTGTTTTAGAAAAAACATAAAATGCTAATTGCAACTCGAAGTTTTTACTTTTCTAGCTAAAAACCTGTAATATAAGGGTCCCAAGTTTGAGCTAATATTTTTCTTGGCTCTTATGCAAGATATCAAAAATATGTCAACTGATAAAATGTTTGGGATAATATGATCAACAATTTATCAGTTTACAAATTCTTCACATTTTTGACAGGAACCAATAAATTGGCTCAAAGTTGAGAGCTAGGGAGCCCTTTTATTACTGGTTTTACGGTAAGCAGCAATTGACTTTAGTGGTGCCATCGCAACGCTTTTTTCCAAAATAATTCCTCAAACAGAGATATTTTGATTTTCTCACAAACACAAAGTATTCAAACTTGGCTCTGTGATCCCAGCAGAGCAAGTTTGCAACAGACATAGATTCCACAATGCACTTTGTCCCCGTTCGCCTATCTCTTCTTCTTGTCGTCCCCTATTCCTCCCACCCACATCAAAGATGAATTACTGATACACTGCTTTTGAGTTGTGCAGAGCAACCGGAACTTTCAGCGGAACTCGTCCAACAATAGGCATCCCTTCCCAACACCAGACTTCGTCTCCTTCGAAAGGCTTCTTCGAAAACTCTAATTCTTTTCCATATCTTATCTAGTACCCCCTTTATACGAAGACTCGCCCCGTTTTGTGAAAAAAGAAAACCCGTTTGAGGAGTCCAGATTGTCTTGTTTCTGTGTATTGGCTCTCAGTGCAGAAGTGAACAAAAAAGACACGCAAAGATGCTTTCAAGACTTGTCACTCATCCATAGGAGACCGGACCAGAGCCCTTATATATCTTTTGGACCACTTCTTGGCCATTCGTCTCGGAAATATTTTCCTCGACATTTACTCACTTTTTTCATTCTTCTCTCCTTCTTCTTATTTCTTTTCCCATTTTTTGTTGCATTCCAATACTGCCACCAGCCTCGGACAAATCCAGAGTATCTCTGTTTGGCGTCTTCAACAATCAAGTTATTCCCGTCTTTTGGCTGGACGTCCTTCGTGTGTCCGCATTTTGCTCTTTTCCAAAAGTGGAATCGAGTCGGACTGTGTCTGATGGATGGCGGCCGATGTTTTGCAAATTGTCTCTTATCTCCTTGCTAATGTATCGGATTTCAATTCGGGTAAGACTTTGTTCCCTTTTTTTCATGTGGTTAGTGACTCTTGGGAACTATCCATCTTCGTTAAGGAAAGAAGAAGTGTTTGATTTCCGGAATTTTCCTCACTGTAGTTGGGACGTTTGCCTATAGTCAAGAAATCGGAGATATATAGGCTACCAGTGATTGCGTGCCAGAAAAAAAAATTGTTTGATACAAGTATGCAGCTAGCCAAAAATTTCTCTTTTCTGAAAACACATAGAAACCAATGTAACCAAGGTAATTCTAAAATCTCTATGTTGACACAAACGTCTCACTAGCTGAAAAATGTTTATTCATACTTCAAAAATCAGGGCCCGGCCCGTCGGCCTACCCGGACCTTGAAAATTTTAAAATAAGCAAGCCCGGCCCGTTGCAAAGGTGTTTTTTATCTGAAGCTCGGGATACTATGTCCAAATTTTCTAAACTTCGAAGTATTCAATCTCTTTGATTCCAATAAATTCGGAATCGTACTGAGAACCCCAGCTCTCCCAACATATTTTTATGTATTCTTGTTCTTATGTTCATCTTCCTCATCATCTTTTTCATCCTCTTTATTTGTCTTTAATTAGATTAGGTCACCAGTATAACCCGTCAGCTTTTCACAAAAAGAAAAACGGATTTCATGGCCCAAATGGCAAATTTGTCTCATTATAACTGGAAGCCCAAAATAGGTTGGAAAGGGGACCCAGTGAAGCAAAAAAAGTTAATGAGAGACCCTGAAACTCATTTTGGATTGAAATTCAAATTCGGTCGCTTCTCTGCAAAAACATTTTCGTTTCAGAGAGAGGTGGCGTGTGATCTCTCTCTCTCTCTCTCTCGGAGAAACGTCTCCAAAAACAAGTTTATCTGGGCATCTCTCTTTCTCCTCAATATTAGTTTTAGCGCCCGTTTAAAACTCTCTCTGCACCAAGTGAATTCCCTTGAGGATCTCTCACACGGACACAGGAAACTTATTCCGAAAAAAGGAATGGAAGGGTGTTTTGGGTTGAAGGAATAAGAGGAAATACGAATGATGAATTTGTACCGGATGCTTACTAAAATTATGGCGTTATGGCGGCACTAACCGAACAGCAGCTTTTTGGCGCCCCTTGCTTCATGTAATTTCCTGGCTCATTCATCATGGAGAACGCCAAGATCAATTTCCACGCCAGAAAAATTTTCTCAGAGATCGTTTTAGACCTAATTTAAAAGATAAATGGATAATATTGAGATACCGTAAAGCCTGGAATAGAATCGACCCAAAATTTCAACGTTGAGACTATTTATCTCGGTTCCTGTGAAAGATATGAAAAAGTTATCAACTGATAAATTGTTCATCATATTATCAGAAGTGTTTCGTCAGTTAACACATTTCTGATGTCTTCCATAGGAATTGACTTAATTGAGCTGAAACTTGACACTGGAGGGCCTTTCTATTGTAGGTTTTACGGTATGGTCTTCTGTAAATGAAAAAAAAATAGTTTATTTTGAAGTGTTTCAGATTTTTTAGCTTTCGATGATACCCTCTAAAACTTTTTACTCTAAAAATTTCGTCCCTTTCAGAAATTCTACACTTTGGAAGCCTACATTTTTATATGATGTACTCAAAAAACACTTCTCGTCCAAAATTAAAACATTTCTTTTCTCTTTAAAAAGGTCATAGATTTTTTCCCTCAAAAACTCCACTTCCTGTCGTCTATAGTAACTTTCTTAAAAACACTTCCGGTCCGTTTTTTCTTTATTTTTCTGCAAAAAGTCAAGTATCCATGTAATCATTTCCAACAAAAGAGTTTTCTGCACGTCTTCTGGAAATATATTGAATAAGTTTTCTTCTTCTCTTTCTCTTTTTTTTCGTGATTCTCTTCTCTCTCCTGACAAGAGCCACCCCGTCAGAGTAACTCGTTTTGCTATCGAAGGTACACGTTGTGTCTGACATCTCTTTTAGTTCATTCACTGTCTTCATGTAAAAATTCAGACCCAACGGTTATTAGATTTGATTGTTGTATGTGAGAAGAAAAAAAAAGAAAGAGAGAAGAGAGAGGGTTACAAGAGAAGAAAAGGAATTGAAAAAGAAATAAGAGCACCGAGAGATATAGTTGAAAAAAATGGAAAGATTAAAAGAATAAGGGTTTCTAGAGATTTCGAATAAATCTAGGTGGAGGTTTTTCCTCCGATGGCACCCTGCTATTTGCCCATCTGTCAATCAAAAACTAAGTATGCAAAAACTACAACGTCACTAGTTTCTTTAGTGTGTTTCTTTTTTTTTTTGGAAACTTGAGAAGAAAAAAATGAGCGTTTTCGATAAAATGAGCACTTTCGAAAAAAAAAGTTCTCCAAAGATGAACGGTGTAATGTTTCTTCCTTTGTGATTTTCATGAGACGAAGCAACTTTGACAAGCGATAACTCAACTCAAAGTTGATCTCAAAGTTGATCATTACAACGCTCCACTCAAATTTTAGGCTAGTACAAACTATGCACCACTTTAATTTTTTTCTCAAAAAAGTTATGTTTCAATAAAGTTTCAGAAATCCAACTTTCTAAAAAATAGGTGATCAGGCTGAATGAGTTGAACCACCCAATCAACGTCGTCTAGAGCTGATCACCTAGAGGGAGTTCTTTTGAACTTTTTCCCCCCCATAATACTTTTATTACGATGACTTTTCACGTCACCTTTTCACGTCACCTATCCATCGATCCGGATGATCCTCGCTTCCCAGTTAGAGCCAGTTTCACTATGTCGTAAAAAGCTCGATATCCGTTTTCAACGAGTTTGCACTCTCGTTTCCAAAAGCGTTAAAAAAAGCAATTGGCGAGTGAAAAGCGAGCTATAAAGATTGAAGTTTTCGGGCTTTTCTCTCCCGTCTTCTGATCCGCTTTTCATTCTCATTTTCTAAATTAAAAGCCACACACAATTCGTCGCTGCTCGTTTTTCCTTCTGTCTCTCTCTCTCATGGGGTTTTTCGGTGCCTGTTTTGGTCATAAATCTCGTGGCTCACGCACACTTAAAGTGATGTATGAATGGGGACTTCTTCCAAAAAAAAAGAAATGGGGAGAATCATTTGAATAAGGGGAGAAAATGGGAATAAGCTAATGTTGAAAAGTGTGAGGATGTGTAGGGAAGTGCGAAGTGGGTACTCTCTTGAAGATTCTGGAGAGACCACTTCAAAAAATGAGGGAACAATGGGTCAAAGATTAAAAATATGTACAACCGGAGTAATTTTCAGCGCTACGTCTACCATGTTACTCATGTATGAGCCCATATCTAGAGGACCACTATCCATACATATCACATCTTTACCGGAAACCCCTTGCTTTCGATGTTCATTGCGATAAACATAGGTATGAACCCCAATCCTATTGAACTAATGTTCTAAAAATCCCGCATTTTCAGCTTAGACACCAGTTATCTCTATTCCAAGAATTGTTCCGACATGTGTGTTACTCTTCGAATCAATGATGTTGTAGGGGGTAATTCTAGATTTTGAAGGCGATGTTTAAAAGTTTGAACTTTTTTAGGTAGGCGGCGACACGGATATATGCGGGGTTGTCTATCGGATTTGCACGGATACAATCATTCGCTGATTAGAACTCTTGCTGAAAGACAAGGATGTTTGGGTGGGTTTTTTTAGTTCAAAAAGAAGAAAACATTATTGATACAGGTCCGGTTAATAATATTTACCCCACCGTATTTTTCAGTCGATTTTCGGCCATATTAATTATTTTTAGGAGTGTGGAACTTGGCTGTAAAGTTTCCGATCACTTTGAAAACTTTGGAAAGTGGAAAAGAGACCTAGATTCAAAGCTTTGCATTCACAAAATTTTCGAAAAATCGTGTTTTTTCAGTTATTCGTCGATTTCTGAAAGACACCTGTTCTTGTGACGTATTCAGTACAAAAACGGGCCAAAAGGGATGTCTTTTAAAGATCGGCAAATAGCTGAAAATTATAATTTTTCAAGATATTCTGTGACTGAAATTTTTTCAATCTAGGTCTGTTATACACCCTCCCAATGATCACAGTCATCGGAAACTTGACAGCCGAGCTTGAAAATGAATCCAGACTTGAAAATGAAAAAAAAATTGCCGATAACTAAATAATACGTTTTTGTATGTTTTATTGACCGGTACTGTATATGGTAGGTTTCAAAAGATTTGTTTAAAATAATATCTACCCAATTGTAAGAGTATAATATTGATCTCATCGCTTATAACCATATTCAAAATAATCTTGAGCCAAAAGTAATTTCTTTGTCAAAAAACCATTACCTAGTCTTCTCAAGAATATAGTTGTCTGAGACAACAGCAATTTGAAATATACACCTCTAACAGTTTATAACTTGAAAACAACATTTATGCGAACAATTTTCTTTAATAAAAGTAAATCTGTAACAACAAAAATATTTCCAGTCATTAATTTAAAACTTTTCAGAGACAACAGCTCGCGAACTGTTTCTCCCAACAGCCCAACGTCAAGAACTGGAGCCATCGCGTCTTTCACTGTGTGCATGCCATAATAATCTCTGTAATTTTTCCGTGTCGCCGCCTTGTCTTTTCATTTTCCTCTTTGTCATTCTTGTCATTTTCCTAATGCGCTGAGTTTCGCAATCATCTTCACCAACCGTTTCTTTCACTTTGAAAGTTCAATCAAGAAGACTTTCTTACTTTATTTGGAATATATCTATGTTTGAGTCAAACCGATCCACTTTTCATTTCTACGGGTTCTCTCACCACGTTTTGCCTCTATTGAAGTGTTTTTTCAAATTGTGTTTCGTCATGAATAAATTTTAGACTGATTTTTTAAAAAATTCAAAAGTCGTCGTATGTCTAAAGATGAGTAATGGTCGAATGACTCTCATGCGTGAAAAAAATCATACATATTATCTCGAGGTTTTAGGTTGGCGGTTCAATAATCACACGCAACACCGAAGAAAAATGTTTCAAAATGAACAAAAAAGAGCAATAAATCTGTTCAGGGGTCATAGACATAGACTTTATAAACTTCTTTCATCTGCCTCTCACTCCATCTACCATTTGGTCTCGCTTGCGTATTCCAAAGATACTCTGAAGTCGGACGATCTTCATACCACAACTTTCCATATTCAGCCTGAAAAAAATCGGAAAATCAAAAGAATTATCAACTATTTTTCTAACTTCAACCATTTTTGCGGGAGTACACGCGACCCAGAATAGGTGTCCGTGTAGGTCAGCAGAACACCAAGGATCGTATGGAAGGTACGGAAACTTGAACTTTTCACCACTGTCACCCATCCCTCCGACCCATCGCTTTTCACTGTCTTTTTCTTTATAAAACGAATATAGGTCAATGTAAATAGATGTGTTGGATTTGGGAACTACTGTCAGTTCAAATGAGTCGTTAATCTGAAAATTGTCATTATAATGTAAAAACGAGAAAAATATATTACCATTCCCAGTTGCCTGCTCAGAACAAAATCAGAATGATTCTTTTTGAGTTTTTCTAAAAATTCAGGTCTATAATCTTCTGCAAAAATTCCATGTCGTGTGTATGTGGAATTATAGAGCATTCTCGATACCATCCAAGAAAAGTTCCACCATTCAGAAACGGATACATTCCACTTTCCACGAGGTCATCTCGCAATCGAGCCAACGCCAATGTGGATGGACCAGGCTCCAATCGAACCTAAATTAAAAACACCATGTTATAAATTAACCAAGAAAACATACTTCTGTCAGGTTCCTCGAAATGTTCAGCCTTGCACATTCCCGAAACGTCGATCTTTTCAAAAACTCTAGGAATATAGGAATGTTCAGAGGAATTGAGAGATTTCCGATTCGTCGAACCAAAAAGTTCTGGAATATCGAAATATCATAAAATTATTTTTATTGACTTTAAGACTCACTTCGGTATAATTCTCTTTGGTTCTGTTTGAAATTCCAAGTAGTCTTTTTCATTTTTGTTTGAAAAGTATTCTAGTTGAAATTGAATCGGGAGATTTGTTTCGTTTGACTCAACTGATTTATTTTTATAGCTAAAATCGGTAGCGATCTGTAAGAAAAATCAATTTATCTCCAAACTCTTTTTGACCTACTGAAATCGCACTCCCAGGATTTACGAAACATTCGTTCGAACTATTCAACTTTCTTAGCAAATTTGAATCAATCAACAGTATTGGAACATTTGATATGGATTGCAGAATTTCGAGGACTGATTCGCAAAGAATCTGAAAAATCTGCTGCATTGAATTTTCTCCAAGAGATCTCACCAGTTCGATTCTAGTTTTACCTGCTTTAAAAATAGGTGAGGTCCAGTAAAAACTAATGGAAATGATAAAAGAACCAATGAAAAAGAAAATTATAGATAGAAAATGAGAAAAGTTTTGAATACATTTCATGGAATATCCCAGACAACCTGAATCCTTTAGAAAGAATGTTCAAAAAATGTAGGCTTTTCTATGGAAACATCCCCATATAAATTATTCATTTGCCTTCGTTGAACTTTTGACATGTAGAAGACTACAAACACTGTGAAAAGAATGAAGAATGCCATTGGCTTCTTGGTCTTTTTCTGGGAACTGTTTGCAACAAAACGAGAGAAACATTTTTATTCATTAAAATAGAAACATTAATTATTTACAGAAACAACTGTAGACCCTGCTGCAGTTGTAACGCTTGACTTGAAAATCCGATTCCGAATTTCGGCGTTATACACGATTGTGAACATTCCATCAATGGTTGCAATAAGATCCCAGCTGACCAATGACATGAAAAATGCCACGTATTTGTTGGAATTCATTTCCGGAACCATCAGATAAGATGCGTAACCCATAAGGTAGCAGATTCCCTGACCGAATGTCTGAAAAACTAGTTTCATGTGGAATCGATTTTTATTTTAAAATATACTTGTTTCAAAAAGTCTGCCTCCTTCTTCGTGTAATTTTCTGATCTTTTTCCCTCTCGAAACTTTTTTCTCATCTTCTGAACTTTCAATATGGTGACAACATCGATAATAAAATCAGCGGAAACCACTATCATGTTTTTCATAAAATCCAAGTAAATAGCATAAAAACCACACACAGGGATAGTGGTATCATAAAAAGATACCCATGTGACAGGATTGTACTCTAGTTCACATCCAACTGAAGTGATAGGCTTGGTTTTTTATGTAAATTTACTAATTGTCTTACGCCCATAGATTACTACAGTCATCATTGTAAAAGATAACACTGAAATGACAATCAAGTAAAGTGAAGTGGAACGTATGCTGTAATATTTTCAAATTATTGAAAAGTACAAAAGTTTCTAAAAACCTGAACATATTTTTGTAGGAAAATGGGACGAAAACAGCTATGAATCGATTGAACGATGTCAGAAAATGAATATGAATTGAGATTTCGTAGAAGACTATAAGAGCGTATCCAGCATGATTCGAATGATGAATCAGAAACTTGTTGGCTCTAAAAATCATAATTTTTATGATAAATAAATGAAGTTTCGTCTCTCTGTCTGTCCGCACAATTTTTTAAAGCTCGAAAATCAAATTTTAGACATTGAGAAAGATAAATCAAAAACTGAAGAACTGAGCTACAACGCGCCGTCAGTCAGGCTAGTATACTGTAAATCCTGTATTAGAAGGGCCACCGAACTCTTAACCGTTTTTTCTTGGTTCCTGTCAAAGATATAAGAAAGTTGTCAACTGATAAACGAACATTTTGTCAGTTAACACATTTTTGATATCTCTCATAGAAGTCGAGTTAATTGAGCCCAAACTTGACATTGTGGGGCCCTTCTATTACAGGTTTTACGGTAATTATAAAGAATTCGATAATGGGTAGACTTACAGTACTATCATCGGAGTGATATAGAAAAAATATATGGTAACATAGCAAGCGTCACAAAATGACTTCACCAGGGTCAATAACATAAAAGGACTGAAAATGGTCTTCTCCTTGATAATAATGATAGTTACTAACCAATTAAAAACCATCCCAAACAATGAAATTGGAAAAAGTGAGAGTCCAACGAATTGTGGATCCTGCATGTTTCTTTTGTCTGTTTTTACTTTTTTTAAAACTGAATTTCTCTGAAATTTTTCTTTGTTATGGACGCTTTTGTGATGGATTACGAACGCAAATTTATTATCACACGGAACTGATTAGGGTTTGATTAAAAACAGACGAAAGAGATCAGACTAATTCAACCTTGACCGCTGAGATTCGGTAGCTAATCTTCCGTTTTCGAAATTTTCTGCGAATTTCAGAATTGTAAATAAGAGTGATTACTCCTTCGGCAGCATGGATTGTGCACCAGAGAAACGAGGAACACAGGAATGCGATGTAATCTTTTTGCATTTTTTCAGCCGGAAATATGTAGGCAACAATCTCAATTGACATAAAGACAGTCTGACCGAACGTCTGGAAGATAATTGTTAGTATGAAAAATGGTTTAATTAAAATACTTGTTTCAAAAAATAAGTTTCCTGCAGACTATAAGATCTGGAATTTCGACTGGGGTTTTTCTGAAAATAATAGCTTCTATGATAGTCAGCTCACTGAAACTAGCAATAGCTTACACTACGTTTCATCCAGAATATTCGAATAAACGTAACAATGTGAAGGATAACATCAATCACTGACAATGTCAAACCCTTTCCCCATAGCATTGCCCATCCCAGAATATCACACTTTTCTGATTCAGTTATCAAGAAAGCCCAGCGGTCATCATTAAATGAAAATGAGCATTCAGCTCCAAATATGTACACACCTACTAAAGTTGCGGAGAGAGCGAAAAGAAATGCTATGGAAATTTTAGTGGTCCGTGGATTGAAATATGTGCTATAAGATAGTGGAGCGAACACTGCTATGAATCGGTTTATGGAAACAACCAAGTGGAATTGGGATGTAGCATCATATGCCAGGACCCAATAGGATCCACAGATAGCTGAGTATTCTTTTAAAAATTGTAGATTTCTAAAATCTGTTAGTTTAATGGAGAATAATTCGTTCTTATTTCCTACAAAATTATCATTGGGCTGACGAAAAACAAATCAAATGTTGAGCAGATTGCATATAAAAATGCAAGTGTGGCTGTCAGAATTGCAAATGATCGATGGAGATTACGGTAGCGAATAACAATGATGACGATTGTCCAATTAGAAACGAATCCAAAGATCGAAGGCTGAATTTAATTTCAAGGTATGCATCGAAAATCGATCAGTTGAACTTTTCCAACTTACCGGAATTAAGGAAAGACCAATGAGCTGCTGCCGTATCATTCTTGGAAATGATTCAGGAATAGGATAAGTAAAAAACCGGAAGACAAAAAATCTGATTAATCAGACTTTCCCCAATACAAAATAAAAACAAGAATGGAAAAACACAGAACAGAAGAAAAATTCTGCTTGGGATTTGAATTTCGTATGAGTAACATTCGGAAAATTATGAGAGTCTTTGTGGGAAAATGAGTTATCAGTCAGGGGCTTTCAGTTTCAACCCTCATTCAAAACATGGGTTTCGTTTTTCTGAAATGTAGTGGTTCCTTTTTTTAAGTGATTTAAACGATTTGGGAGATCCGGCTATCAGTTAAAGTATGTAATTGTTGATTTTTCAAATATATTCATGGTGCTGCAAGCCGATAAGGTTAAGATGGCAAATAATTCGGAGGGTACAATAATTCAGGGGTACGAGGGGGTACAACGCGATTTAGGGGTACAAAACCAACAATTCGGGGGTACAAACTAAGCCTTTTTCCAGGTATTTTGTACCCCCGAATTGAAGATTTTGTACCCCTAAATTGCTTTGTACCCCTTCGTACCCCCGGATTATTGTACCCTCCGAATTATATGCCGGTTAAGATTATCAGGAAATTATTAAAATATGAAACATACAAATTCAGGAAAAACAAGAGTTAAGTTAATGAAATTGAAAACGATGGCAACAAAATTCTTCCTGTCCATCTTCAGCATAAATTTTTGATTACGTTTTTCTTGAACACATTTTGACCTGGCTGAAAACTTTTCTGTAGATCATTAGTCAAACTCATCAATTCAGCCGATTTCGTACTTGAAACATTAAAAAAAATTACTTTATTCCCAATTTCTTTATCTGGAAACTGGAACCAAAAATTCGAAAAGAAAAATAGCTCTGAAATCGAAGGACAAGTAAGTTAAGAGCTTTTCTAGTGAAAATGTGGTTATAGAAACTTTCAAAATAGCATAACTTTTCCCCAGACCTGGAATAACTGATCATTTTTCTGGATTAAACTAATATTTTCTAAAATTTTGAAGCTCAGAATCATTTTACTTTTTGCCGAAGATTTTAGAGCTTTATTATTTTTTGAACTTAATAAATGAGAATTGGCCGAAATAAATAACTGCAAAAATCTGAACTATTTCTATGAGTTCTAGGCGTGATCGCAGGTTCCAGCCCAAAAATGTGCAACCTGCATAATTTTATGGACCATGTTCGTTAAAATTCTAGGGGATAGCTCTTGTAGGAACCGATGTAATTGTGCTCAATGTGCTTCAGGATTGCTCCTGTCCGTTTTTTTTCTTTGCCTTATTTTAGACAGGATGTGAGTTTCCCACGATTTTAACATTTTTAACAGAGGAAAGCAAGTTTTCCTTTAAAAGAGTGTATCTTTATACGAAATATAAATTTCTCATTGTTTATTTTCAAAAAAAAAATTAATAATTATACACAAAAAATCAGAAAACGTATTCTCTAACATCAGAAAATATGAAAAGATAACTAAAAAGAGATGAGTATTCACTGTATTCGTGTGCTTGACTTTCCACCAACCATAAAAACTGACGAATTTACATTCGAGCTTTGAGTTATATATTGGTTCGATAGACATTTTCGAATTTCTATATTGAAATACAGAGCCAACACGCCATCAATAAATTGAGTATTCGACCAGGCGAGCGTTCCCAGGATGAAAAGAATTGCTTTACTGGAAACGAAAAATGGAGCGATCATGAAGACAGGAATGAATGTGAATAGATACATTGCTTGACCAAAAGACTGGAAAAACAGAATGTTAGAGGTTTGAAAAACTATCAAGGTCTCACCTGTTTCAAAAAGTCGATTTCTTTTTTCTGAAATTTAGAACTTCCCTGCGCACTTCTGATTTTTCGAACTTTCCAAATGGTGATACAGTCAACAACAACATTGAATGTGCATAGTGTCATAATTTTCCCCAAATCGAAAATATAAAAGTAATCTGTACAGATTTGGAGATCCGAATAAAGAAAACTTATTTTTGTGTCATTATAAACAAATTTGCACCCTACTGGAAATAGCGAATTTTACTAATTTCAATAGAAAGAAATACTTACAAAATTGAAAGAAAATTGATACTTGAACCAGTGAAATGGAAAATGATAGCATCATTACCACCTTTGTCAATTTGCAACTAAAAGCATCTATGATCGAAAATTTCAGAATTTGAAATTCACCTGAATATGTTTTTGTAGGTCATCGGAAAGAAAACCGCGCAGAATCGATTGATCGTAATTAATGCATGGGTTTGAATAGAGACATCATAAGCGAGTAAAAGGAAAAATCCGGCATGTTGTGAATTGGACTTTAGGAATTCAGAGTCTCTGTAAATCAGCATTGATTTTCATAGGTTTTTTTATTTAAATAAAGCTAACAAAATCAACATGGGGGCCATATATAGTAGAAAAGTTAACGAGCAAAAGGAATTGAATAAAGCTTGATTCCCAGTGAGCATTGAAAAGGAATGATTAAGGGATTTATTGGTTGATACTGCTATCACAATCAAACCATTGCAAATTGCCCCTGCAAGTGCTACCTAAAATTTTATCTTTGTTTTGTTTCACCTATGATGACTTACAGGAATTAATGTCATGCCCATCCACTGTCCCAATATCATACCGGAAGTCAGAAAATAAAACAATTTTCCCAACACAAATGGTGACTAGTGAAATGAGAACGTTGGAATTAGAAAAGAAAACAATCCCAGAAATCAGAAGAGGAGTGGGACGCTGATTTTTGAATTACCAGATGTTTGGTGCTGGTTTCTTTTGAAACAAACAATCGACAATGTACATTTGTAGCTTTTAAAAATTCATTTATTGGGTTCAACGCATTTTTAATTTAGGAATTCAGTTTACTCGAGTACTGGATTTTCCTCCAACCAAAACAGAGTTATGGGCGGAATTCGTTTGACGCTTGAATTTTCGAGCCAAAGATTTTCTGATGTCTACATTGCAATATAAAGTTAGAACACCATCAAACGAGTGAATGATTGGTCGAAATAGTAATCCCAAAAGAAATTGGGTTAGAACACTGTTACTGTACATGGGCAATATAAACCATAATGGTATAGCGATCATTAAATAGATTGCTTGACTGAACGACTGAAATGCGAAATTTTAAAAATTCTGTTCCAAGTGCAATCTTAAAGATGTACCTGCTTCAAAAAATCGATTTCCTTTTTCTGGAATTTAGTGTTTCCCTGCGCACTTCGGACTTTGCACACTTTCCAAATTGTGAAAGTGTCTACTACTACATTGAATACACACACCAAATTCAGTTTACCAAGATCTCCATAGCAAGAGTAACTCAAACAAATCGGTGCATCAGTATACGTGAAGCCTAGAACTTCTTCGACGTACGTTGGTCGGCAAGGTACTGGAATGTGCCAAGGTATATGCATCATGACAGAATTTTGAGAAAAGTAATCGTTACTGTAACGGAACACATAATCGAAGCAGTAACTATCACGTTCGTCCATTTCATACTGTAAGAATTCGTACGTTTGATATACCGTGAAACCTGTATTAGAAGGGCCCCTCTGATACAGGTTTTGCGGTAATGGAAAAAAAACATACTTAAACACATTCTTGTAAGCTATTGGTAGAAACACGGAACATAATCGGTTGACAGTTACCAATCCGGAGTCTGTATTTATCTATGTATTTCATTCAATGATCATCTATTGAGAGGTAATGTGTAGACCGGCATTGTGTTTTGAAGTTTGTATTTTTTAAGGAACCAAAACACTCGAGATAGATTTCCAAGAATTTGTTTCACTATTTCAGATAGATGAGACGAAATTGTTTTATGAATCATCACTTTCTAATGAAAACACCATAAGAAGTAGAGAAAGTAATTCAGAAAAGCCAAAAGTTCTGATTAACACAAACAACTCCGAAGGATTCCCATTTTCACTTCTGACATTCTGTTTGACAAGGTTTTCTAAATTCCACCTCCGAAGAAAAATAGGATGACACAAAACTAATCATCTTGGTTGCTCATTCAGTTTTTCAGGAACACCGTCTATAGCCTCTATTGTTATTCATGTCTTTCAGTCTTTTTTAGCCTCACTCAGTAGCTCTATTAAAAAGTCAGGACATTATCTCTGAATCTGTGAGCTGTATGATTCAATTTGACAACTTCTCTCTTCTAGATCTTCTTCTGGCCAACGTCATAATTGTTTTCCAACCCATCTACTCCAATTCCCTCATCTATGAGCACATTCCAATTATCTTTTGCCGGAACATCACTCTGATTGTTTTTGTGCTGGCCCTGAGTTTCTGACTATCATTATCTGAATAATATTATTCTTATCAGAATAGTCACACAAGTTGTTCCTTTTACAGATCTGCTTCTTCTTTAGAAATGCTATTCATACACTATGTCAACCTAACACATTTTCAAAGAAGCACGGATTCTTTTGCTGTGGATGTCAAAGTTTTTATGAGCATAGAATTAGTATTATACTTTGTTGAGTGAGTTTAAATACTTTTAAATTTTTCAAAAATTCAAAAAAATTCCATTTTTTAGTCTATTCAATATGATCTTTAACTTTGCCATTCTCATTCGTGCTCATCAATTTCATTTCAATTTTTGCTGCATTCAAGGGTTTCTTTTTGTGATTCATTTTACCGATAATATCTCAATTATCATTTTAAGAGTCATGATGGTTTTTGAAGTTATAGATAGTAGGCTCGGCTTGCTGTATTTCCTAATGTACTCAATAGTTTTTTCAGATTCCAATCCAACGTCATCATTTATTTTCTGGATTGCAATGAACGTCACGATCGGTTGCACATTCGCAGGTTCGGTAGCTAATCGATCAAGAAAAAATGATTCAAAAACAAATCAATTTTCAGCCATGTGTACATTGTTTTTCTTAGCCGTCGAACGATGTTGTGCTACATTGTTCATTGCTGATTACGAAATTCGCCTCAGAAAATCAATTTCCGTTTTTCTTAATTTGTTTCTGACGGTTTTTGGATTGGGAGCATGTTTTGTAATAGTCAATAAGAATAATACAATTTATTTGATTAGTATACTCTTGGTGATAAATGGGTTTGCACTTTTGGTGAGTGGGGGTATTCCTGAAGTAGATAGGTCTCCACACCGCCAAGCTTAAGCTAGTTTTTTTTTCTTGGCTTCTTTGCAAGATATCGAAAATGTGTCAACTAATAAAATGATTGTGATAATATGATGAACAATTTATCGGTTGACAACTTTTCTATATCTTTGACAGGGACTGAGAAAATTTGACTCAAAGTTAAAAGTTAGGGGATTATTCTATTACAGGTTTTACGGTATTATTTCTTAAAAACAAAATTCCAGCTACATTATTGTCTCATTTGGTGGAACAGAAAGATTTATGGAGGTCTTCATGACAGCGTTGATATCACATCCTACTCACTAACGGAGAGATTCCAAGTCGCTGAGAATATCAAGTCTTTACAAGTAAGCTCAGATGTTTTTCCTGTTTTTTTAATTCAAAATTTAAGATGATGAACAACATAATCTACTACATGGGATTCATGAATGGAATCGTTGTGTTCAGTGTGCTCGTTTCCAGCTTCAATCTCACTCCAGAACAGGAACTATTCACCACATTCTGTCTGGACACAGCTATTTTCTTCTACAGCTTTTGTTATCCAATTATTATGTACAAGTCCTGTGATCGATGGAAATCTGAAATCGATTCTTATTTTGAGTTCATAGGTCTTATTAAACCTTCAAACACATCGAAAGTTTACCCAATTCTAAACTCCTTCGGGAAATCATTGGAACAAGCCAACACGATGAGCAATCATTTCGATCATCTTCGTGTTTCTTGGGAAGCCGTCCCGAGGAAAAGTATAATTTCTCTAAACTCTCATTAAATCCAACACTATTTTTCTTTCAAAATTAAAAATGTATTTGAAATCAGAATGAAGAATTATGTGAAAAAGGGTGAATTGTATCAGGTGCATATGAATACAATTTTAAACGCCGCCCCTTCTCTTCTGCGATTGCTTTCCTCCTACAGAATTCACTTCATTCGTATCTTCGAGTCTCTCCAAATCAATGAGAGCTGGGATTCTCTTTCTTCTTTTTTCTTACTCTGTTGGATTCGATGTTGGCCTAATCAGCCGGTACGTCCCAACTTCATTCATCGAAACCGAACCGTGAGTTCCTAGGTTAGGTACAATGTATAACTGAACAGTTAGTTTAGTTTCCTGCCGGAAGTCACGGATGGAGCTCAAGCATACGAAAGTGCTCACATATTTCTTAATGAACTTGTTGCCAATGGTTTGTACCCCTTCTCTCTACTATCTCAATCTTTCTAAATAGGAACATACACCACTGGAGAAGATGGACTTTTCGTTGTGGTAAATCATACAGTTTCTTTGATTATCAATGATTGGGAGTACTTCTGGAGTGCCATGTTCCATCCGCCATTGAGAAATGGGTCATTTGGCTGTAAAATTCCAATGAAATGGCTGATTGAAGTTTCTCGGGATATGGTAAATAGGTAGTTATGCGTGCCTTCAAATTATTTCTTTATAGGACGACTTCAAATATCGAACCAAACTCTCTAAGAATCAAATTGAAGTTTCTATGGAGAAGTTCTTAAAAAAGGTAGTAAGAGTAATCGGTCTCGTTCATTAAAATAGTTATTCAGGTTCGCTTCGACGACCACACTGTCCCATCTGAAATCGCCTGGTCATGTATTCATCCAGTCTCTCGTTGTTGTGGAATTGGATGTTGCTCCAAAGAGTCACGAGTGAAAACGGAGAGCATTTTCCATAGTGTGTTTGGGTACATGTCAGTCATTTTGATGTCTGAGCTTTCTCTTATCTACAATTTCAGGTGTGGGGGATTCATGATCATGTGTTGTTTCATTCTTCTGCTCACAATCATCATGTTCCTCTGCAACGACGTCTGGCACCGCTACATTCCATGGTTCCCGACGTCGCCAAGACCTCCAGCAACCCCACGTGGCGAGGCTCACGAGATGCAAGAGCTCAACCCAGCTAACCACAGATCTCCATCCAGACAGCACTTGTCTGCTTAATTTCGAGAACTTCTTTATTAGACTTGATGTTTTTATGATACAACTGTGAAATTGGGAGAAGAGAGAATAAATTATTCATGTTAATTGGCTGTTTTATCCAGAAAGATTAATGACAGGAACCGATGAAACCTTTCCTCTCGAGTTTGTGTGCACATCCATGACCGCATTGTTTCCAGGTTTCCCTTTTATGATACCTGACAAAATGTACATTTATATTCTGCTTACAAAACAACACAAACCAAAGATTGTCAGACGGAACTCTCGGATGATCAGTATCAAGATGAGAGGGTCCAGTCCTGGATAGAGGAATGAGCAAAAAACAATGAAATTCGCGTTCGCATTCAAGTTGACGTCGAAGAACGGAGCGATGAACATGACGCCAGTTGGAATGTACATGAAGATTGAAGGGATGAGTGTCTGAAATACAATATGTGAATACCTCACATCATCTTATAAACCTGTAGGACGAGAGCATTGAACAATTGATTTTGAAGCTGACGCGTGCGATCAGAAGCACCACGATGCTCTCTGATAGTCCACCAGGTTGAGAAGCCGCAGTAGAAAACAACGACAAACGTCATTGACTGAAAATATCATGTTATCACAATGCCTCAACGCGTAATCAGGATACCATAACGAAGTAATGCACGAAGCACCCTAACAAGTTTTTGATGTACACATGTCGCACTCCATCTTCGTATTGATACTGGAAAAGACTCTAGTTAGCTTCAATATCTTCTATTTAGTTAACCTACATAAACGTAAGCTATATAAGAAACATTTTCTTTTTTGATTCCATCGTAATGCGTTTGAAGTACTTTTCTGAAAACGTGATTTCGGTTAGCTTGGATGTTTTCTTCATACGTGACTGCTGCTTCTGTGTATTCAGTGTCCGGATACAAAAAGTAAGAGACACCTGCCCACGCGGTCACAGGAATACTACATCCTAATGGCCAGAGCAAGAGAAGAGGAAGATTGAAATAACGAAGAAGATGGGGTCTGGGATTGATTTTATGTTAGATGTCACGAGAAATTCTCAGACGAGTTGAAAACTCCCGCCGGCGAGAACAACCCAAAAAAGTCCTGCCGGCGAGAAAAAATCAGTTGACGAAAATCAGAAAATCTCCTGCCGCGTGTACGCCGCAGGACTTTTTTGGGTTTTCCTCGCCGGCAGGAGTTCTCATCTCGTCTGAGTTATACTTACTTGCACGCGGCAAAATAGCGGTACACGAAATGAACTGCGGAAAGAACAAAGCTGGTGGCAAAACAGGCGCAGTAGAATGCAGAATTGATCTTTCCGAGGCGAGTGGAATAGTCGAATCGTTTACGAGAGATGAGGAAGAAAGTGGCGTTCTCGATGTGCATTATCTTGAAACAAAACGTTGTGTGCAGTAGAAGCAAGGCTGTCCGATGTAGGCCGCGACTTTTTGGTTAGGCTGTATCTGGCATAGGTAAGATTCGGCGACCTAGCGGTAACTGGCTGAGCTCATTTCCGAAAAAAAAACGAACTCTACCCGCTCCTGATAATCCCTCTATCCCAGTGTTTTATAGTTTAACTTTTTCTTATGTTTTGCCCTATTTTAAATAACCCAGTGTGTATATTTTCTGGATGGGAAGAATTTCAGTAGTGATAAGACAACCGAGAATTAAAAAAACTTAAAAAATTTTAAAAAAAAACCTCTCCCATGTTATTCCCTCATTCGTCATGAAAACTCACTGGCCCCAATATCGACTCCACGATAGCGTAGAACATTGAGAAGAAGGAAAAGAAGCTCATCAGATACTTATAAGTCCCCAGGTGCTTTCCACGAGTTCTTATCAATCCGAGAAGAATGATGTTCACAGAAAACGTAAGAGTGAAACCGACCATATCGGCGGTGTCCACAAGAGCAAGCCAAAATTGTCCATTCATAGTTACCCTGAAACTATGGAAATTCAATAAAGGAAATCTTTAATTTTGAAATTCAAAAAACCACCAGATGTGTGGAGACTATCCTAACGGAGAAACAAGTCAAGAGGAATGAATAAGGCAAGGAATAGGCAAGGAGAGTAGAGAACGTTTGGTTTGGCAAATGAAGGAAATAGTGTCATGGTTATGAACTTTTTCTAAAAACCAAAGATCTGAAATTGAGGAACAAAATCGCTTGTGATGCTCGAGTACCAGAAGAACTTAAAAATAGGCGTTCCTGTATAACCATAATTAGCGCTTGGTCAAAGAGGCGGGTACGGTGGTGATTCAACAACTCATGATAACTTAAGGGTAACACAGAATACATCTAGGAGATTTCAGACAGTTTTAATTAAGTGAATGTTTTTCATAACACGGAAATGTTTGTCTTGTGATTGACTGCATTATAGATTTTCTAATTTCCTAAGCACATATTCGGGTTTTTAGAGTGAGCAAAAAAGAAGAAAAAAGTTGTTTATGCGTTTCCTTTCACAGCCACAAACTTGTATTATGTGGAAAAATGGGTTTTGAATTATAGAAAAAAAGATTTTTGACAAAAAACGTTTTGATCTAGGTAATCCGGGAAGCATATTTTCAGACATCGACGATTATATACTTCCTTCAGAAACAAAGAAAATTTCGAAAATCACGTTTCAACCAGATGATGTACTACATTCAAAATTTCTTTTGTAGTTTCTCGAAGAATTTATTCTGTTTTTGGCTTTGATCGGAAAAATCTCAACGCGACTTTAGCTAAAAAATACAATGACAGACATAGCAGAAAAATGAGACAAATAGAAATAAATAAAAGATCAAGAAGAAAATATTCCGAAAAGCCCATTTGTCTGGAGTATGGATCCAAGGAAGGCAGCTTTCCAAACCTGAAATTAGTAGGAACTGGCTTTCTACTTATTTAACATTTTTCGAGTCTTACCTAGCAGCGAATTCTGCATGTTTTAAAAATGAGTATTTTGGTTTGACGGGTTGATTCTGCAAATGTTCTGCTAGACGCTTAGCAGCGATCGTATAACTGAAATTTAGAAATTCGTGAAATTAAAACTATATGTCAACCTCTGGTCATAAATAACTTTTCGAAAGGCTTCCTCGACAATTTTGGAATTTCCCAGAGAATGTTTCGAAATCTCCACAGATCCATTATGTCTTGCTAGCATTTTTGCATTCCTCATTTGGTCTCCCATAATTGGACACTAAAAATTTGGATTTCGTTTCGGAAAATCTCAGTTATTTACCATAACATTTGGTTTTCCAAGATAGCTAACTTCATTTACACTTCCTAAACCACCATGAGTCATGAATGCTGAAAGTCGTGGATCCGCTGAAAATTTTCTTTCATCTGTAGAAAAAGATTTTAATTCTCGGTTTTTTAATCCCAAATTTTTTGCTCAAAAGTCAAAATTTTTCAATTTAGGATTAATGTGTTTTTTTTTGGAAAACATCCTCTTCAGTAATTTTAAAATTGGAGCGGATGTTTTTTATTGAAAAAATAAAAATAAAATAAAAACATCCTGTCCTACTGATAAGAGGTAAGTATAAAAATGAGCATTTGAAAATTGAAAAGTAATTGAAAATGCTTGGGCTTCTAGATTTTAAGACAGAAACAAATTTTAGAAAAAATGTTTCTTCTCGAGTTTTTCAAAACTTTCAAAAATTTCAGAAAGCCATGAAATTGCTCATTTTTTGTGCTCTTTTCGCTCTTTTCACATTTTCCGTCTTTTCCGCTCCAGTTGCCACTTCTCAACCTATCGTTGAGGTAAGTTTGATTTTTTGAGCGGAGCCTATTTTTTCGTTTCAGACTTCGAAATCTGCGGAACCATTGAAATTGGTCTTGCCACCAACGTGTCATGCGTGTTGCAGAAAAGTTGGGGTAAGTTAAAATTTTAAATATATTTTTTTTCAAATTTTCAGAACCTCATGGACTGTGGTCAAGTTTGCTGTTAAGCTATATCAATTTTTATTCTAAAGTTTCTAAATTTTTTATTTTCGATTTCCAACAATTTTTTAAAATTCGCCCACCCAGAAGTTCCCGTTGAGGTATCCATTTGGAGAAATGAATATTCTTGATTCCTTTCGCAAAACTATCCGTATCATTATCTTCATATTTCCAAATGAAAGTGACATCAGAAAATTGTTTCATTGCTCTTGCCAACGAGACCCTAAAAGAAGGATAACTTCTAAAAGTTCAAAAACCTGAAAATCAACAAACTTGTACTCAAAAGACATGTCCTTTGATAAAATCACTGATCCGAATGCAATGAGAAAGGATTTTGGTCGAAGGTTCAAAACTTGATCCCATTCTCCTGATATCTTTCCTATTTTCAAGTTTTCCGTGTCTACAGAGATTCCTCCAATTTGCACGTTTTTAGAAACAATGGCTCTAGGAAAGTCTAAATATGGATTGGAGTTTGTGAAAACAAATGAGGCATCAGATAATCTTTCCTGGAACAATGTATATTACAAATAATAGAAATTAGAAACATTGCATACCATCGAATGTATTCGTTTGTTAGGATTATCGTAGGAAAGATAATATTCAGGAGAATAGTTAAAATAATGTTGCAATACTTGAATCGCCGTATTCAGAAATTTCTCATATAGCGTCATTCTATCAGAAGACTGAGTTATCAAATCTGTAAACTAATAAAATCATAGGAATTTGTATTCTGTTACAACCTGGAATATAACTAGGCATAACTGGTTCTCCCATTGCTCGCATCGATGATGACTCAAAAGTAATCGATTGTGCCACAGTGAATGCGGGAATCTCCAAGTAGTCAATCAAAGCTGAAGTTTTCAGAATTATGAAAAAGTTTAGTGCTGTCAAGAAGCTTACGTAGAGCGCAAGTGAAGATTGATTCGAAAATGAATAAATCAAATTTCTTCTTTTTGAGTTTATCAAGAAGAGGAAGATTACTGGATAATACATTATGTAGTTCTCCAGTCACCGACTGAAAGAATCTAGCAGATTGTGGGATCTCAAGGATCGAGAATTCTTGCTTCCAGTATCGGCCATTTCCCGCTATCAAATCTCCAATTGATTTGAGTTTCGGGCTCGGCTGAAATCAATTATTATTTTTGAGTTACATCTTCTAATTTCTCACATCTAAATGAATAACATCTTTTGTCAATTTAGTATAACTGTGATTCCTAAACTCATCAATAATAGCTGGAGTGAACAGAGTAACGCTATGCCCAGCTTCTGTAAGAATATCAGCCAACTTTCCAAAATATGTGGAATGGCTGTGACCGAAAAGTGGACAAAAGACTAGAATGTTGTAAGAATTGATATCAGTTATCAAGATGAGAAGTACAAGATAAGGGAGAATCAAGTTCATTGCAAAATAATGAAGACAGAGTAAGCAGGAGATGCCTTAAAAACAGAACCGTAACGAAGAGGAGGGACCCAATTTGTCACAAAATACAAAAAAATTGTGTCTGTGTCTGACATCAGACAGACTGTAGCCTATCAGACACCAATTTAATTATTTTTCTGTTTGACTGAAGATAACGTGAACGGGAGACAGTTGATCAGTAGTTTTGTGATTCGGAACGTGATGAAGGTTATCAACAGAACTATAAACAACACAGTAGCTGCAACATCAAGAAGGAAGTATGAAGCGAAAGACATCTGGCGCAAGTGAGGATCCAACGATGGAAGACGTCCGAATCTGGAAAATATGATTTCAAATAAGCCTATCGTTTCGTGTTTTCAGAACGCCTCCTGGAGGCGTTCAAAAATTGCGTATGCCACCCATGTTTCAGGGGGCATCGCGGGCAATTGCGCGGGAGGTCATGCAGCGTGTCGCTATGCTTTGCATATGGAAAGGATCCGCCCATTTTTAAGGGAGAAGAGCATTGTGAGTGTTGAGTCCTTAAGATCCGGCATTCTGGCCGGTTCAAGGAACACGAATAGTAGTTAAGGAATATAGATTTATTCAGGTACTTTAAGGTACAGGACTAGAGGGGCTAAATAGAGAAGGCTGGGAAGAGACTAGAACAGACTGAGAATGGTTGTCAGCCCCAAAGAATGAGGGGTTCTGAACAATGAAACAACTAAGAAGAAGAGTGCCAGAGAAGGGCGCTCTTCTTAGGTGGGTGGATCACAAATAATTTGATAGATCAAATATAAAACTAATGAAAGTATGCATAGAATGCAACAGTGAGGTTTCGAAAGTCTTTAACTTTCGAAACTTTCGAAAGATAAATATCGAAAGATTTCGGAAAATTTCCGAAAGAATCGTTTGAAGCAATTTTTTGAAAACTTTCCCAACATAAACTTTCTAGGCCACCATAGTTTTTGACATAAATGTAGACTAACATTCTTATGGCAAATAATTCGGAGGGTACAAGGGGGTACAACGTGATTTAGGGGTACAAAACCAACAATTCGGGGGGTACAAACTAAGCCTTTTTCCCGGTATTTTGTACCCCCGAATTGAAGATTTTGTACCCCTAAATTGCTTTGTACCCCTTTGTACCCCCGAATTGTTGTACCCTCCGAATTATATGCCCATTCTCATGGACTAGACGATTTTTCCATGGTGGACCAGAAAACTCCAATAAAGAGAGTTAGGCTAAGGTGGTAAAGTGGCCTAGAAAACACATCGGATGAATATTAGGTGATACCGTAAAACCTGTATTAGAAGGGCCGGTCTTTCTATTTTTCGTGGGGTCTCTAGGGGGCACTTCAATTAGAGGGGCCCTTCAATTAGAGGGGGCACTTGTATTTTTCGTGGGTCCTCTGAAAACGGATCTTCTATTGGAGGGGCATCATTTTTCAGTGAAAATTTCGTTTTTCTACTAAAAATCCATCACAATTTCTACAGTAAAAAAGCAAAACCACCACTATTGCTAAATTTTTAAAAACTGGCACCTGAAAATTTCGCGGGCGCCGTTCGTGAAGCCTCGTCCTTGAATCCGCCATTATATCAAACGAAATTAACTTCTTTGAATTTAGTTGGATTTTCTGATTAAAATTCAGATTTCTTGGTATCATTTTGATTGCTAGAATTTCTAGAATTTTCTAAATCTAAAACTCTGAGCTTGATTGCGAAAATTGCTCGAACGAGAAAAACATCTGTATTAGCATTCAAATTTTCAGTTGCCAGTATTTTTTAAAATCAGACAATAATTCAATCAAAACAATAGAAAAAACGGCTGAAAATCAAAGGAAGTAGTAGTCAAAGGGGCACTTTAATTAGAGGGGGTACTTCAAATAGAGGGGCCCTTCAAATAGAGGGGGCACTTCTATTTTTCGTGAGGTCTCTAGGGGGGCACTTCAATTAGAGGGGCCCTTCAATTTCAGGGGCTCTTCTAATACAGGTTTTACGGTATCTAGTCTAAGAAAGTTGATGGCCTAAAAAAGTCAAATTAAGAAAGTTAGGCCAAATATTGTAAAAAATCAATACTTCAAACTGGAGGAGAGTCATACACTTTTTCAAAACTCACTGCGCTGCAAATTCCGCATGTCTTAACAACAATTCCTTTGGTTTAACATTCCATTGGTTGGTTTGCCAATTGACGTGCCAGATTTTCTGATGCAACGCGGTATCTGGAAGAACAAAAAAGTTTTCTGAATAATTCGTTTTGTGGAGACTCACGAATCATCAAATAAAATTTTTCGCAGAACTTCTCCGATCTTCTTTGCATCGTGTAATTCATATTTAGAAACTTCAATGGAGCCATTAATTAATAATTTTCTAACCAACATTTTTGCATTTCTCATCTGGTCAGCAAATAAGGGGCACTGGAAATTTAAATTTAGGAAATTAGTTTTGAAAAAGAAAAGTCTAATCACTAGCACCGGTTTTCCCAAGTAGCTGACTTCATTGATACTTCCTAATCCGGCATGGGTAAAGAATGCAGAGAGACGTGAATCAGCTGAAATTAGATAGAGTTTAAGATGAAAGGTCTGGAAATCATTCACCTAGAAGTGCAGTTTGTGGAACCCAACTGGAAAAATGAATATTATTTATTCCTTTTGCAAAATTGTCAGTGTCATTTGACTCGTATTTCCAAATGAATGTGACTTCAGGGAATTTTTTCATAACTTTTGCCAACGCAATCTTGTTCTCCATAGGCATGTCCTTTGAAAACATAACTGATCCAAATGAAACTAAAACTGTTTTAGGCCTCAAGTTTAGAATCTCATCCCATTCCTCATTCTTTTTGACTCTTCATCTTCTCAAAATCCACTGAAATCCCTCCGATTTAAACATTCTTCTCAATTGTTGGACGTGGATAATCGAGGTATGGGTTCGAATTCGTGAAAATGAATGAGCTCAATGATTCCTGAGACGGAATATCTATTTTAGAGTAGGGACGACGAAATGATTTGAATTCTGGTTTGGATAGGAAAAAGTTGAAAATCGGTGGTGCGATTGCATTTAATGTTCTTTCAATCAGTGTCATCTTGTCAGTGAAATTGGACATCGGAAATGTAAAAATAATTTGAAACTGAATAACAAAAATATTTTGATAAAACATACGAGGCACTGCACTAGGCATTCTTGGTTCACCGATAGATTCCAAAAGATTTGGGTCGTATGCAATGGATGTTGAAGGGATAAAAGTCTTAATTTCCAAGTAATCCAGAAGAGCTAAAACATAAAAAACTTCAGGAAATTCTTACAATTTGCAACTCACGATAAGCACACTCTACAAAACTTTCATAGATCATCACATCAAATTTTGAAGCGTTGAGCTCATCTAAAAATTCCAGATTATGTCCTAAAACCATTGCTTGCTCCAGAAACATTGAATTGAAAAGTTCCAGCATCGGAAACATTTCAGACATCGAAGCGTCATCAGTCCAGAATCTCACAATATCGTTATTCTCCAAAAAGTTTCCATATTGTTCCAGTTTCTCACTTGGCTCCAGATGAACCACATGTTTTGTTGATTTCACATAATTAATTTTTGCAAACTTTCTAATAATCGTAGGAGTGAAAAAAGTCTGAAACTTTTTGGAAATCAATTATTGATGCGAAAAAAGTAGTGTGACTATGACCAAATAAAGGGCAGAATACCAAATAGTTATAGGAAAATGATAGCTGGAAAATTGTAAAAAGTAAAAAGAGCAGTTTCATTTTTGAATGATTAATGTCCGTCTATTGTTGATAGTCTGCTTATATAACGGACTCTGTTTTAACAGCGAATGACACAAAATGATCACAAATTGGTCACAATGAAAGGTAGAAAAGTCTAGGCTACACTATGCTATTTTACCTTGTTTTCAGCCAGATTTTTGTAATTTTGTTTTGACTCTTATTCTGTCGTTTTTTGATCCGTTTTGAATTAGTTCCAAGTTCGATTCTAACAGTGAACAGTGAAGAAATGTTTTTTAAAAAAATGTATTTGGAAACTTGACCACAATGGCTAGAGTTTAGGTAGACTGATCGGTGCTAATCAGTTTATTTGACAATTCACTCAATCTTTCTTTTCTGTTTCACTATCACAAAACTAAAAATCACACAGAATAGTTTTCTCAAAAGAAGAATCACAGAGATCAAAATAACAAAACAAATAACGGCGACGTCAATTAAAAAGTACTCTATAAATGACATTTTTCTGGAGTATGGATCCAATCCGGGAAGACGTCCAAATCTGAAATTTTGGTTGTTTTTTCAGCGATTCTATTTTTTCATACCTAGCGGCAAATTCCGCATGTTTTACCAATAAATCTTTGGGTTTTATTGGTTGACTCTCCAACTGTCGCGCTAGTTTTTCGGCGCTTTCTGCATAGGATTCATCGAATAGAATCTTCTGGAAAGCCTCGGAAATCTTCTTTGTATCTGCCAGTTCGTATTTCGTCAGCTCCATTGAACCATTATGCCTTGCGAGCATTTTCGCATTTCTCATTTGGTCAGCAAACAGAGGACACTGAAAAATGAAATAACATCGAAAGATTAATTGATTTTTGAGACATACCAGAATTGCCGGCTTTCCCAGATAACTAACTTCATTGATACTTCCTAAACCTGCGTGGGTAAAGAATGCAGATAGACGTGAATCGGCTAAAAGTGTCAATGAAATTAGATTATTGTTGTTTTAGAATGCTTACCTAGAAGTGCAGTCTGTGGAACCCAACTGGAGAAATGAATATTCTCGATTCCTTTTGCAAAACTGTCAGTGTCATTTGACTCGTATTTCCAGATGAATGTAACTTCTAGGAATTTTTTCATAACTTTTGCTAACGCAATTTTGTTCTCCATAGGCATGTCCTTTGAGAACATAACCGATCCAAATGAGACCAATATTGTTTTCTTTCGTTGATTCAAAATATTCGACCACTTGCCATCCAATTTCTCGCTTCTCAACCTGTTCAAATCCACAGAAATCCCTCCGATTTCAACGGTTTTTGTGAGGGTTGGTCTGGGAAAATCCACAAACGGGTTGGAGTTCAGAAAAACAAAAGATGCTTCTGGCTCGAAATTTCTGATATCAATCACATTATATGGGGGTTTGAAAGATTGATGAACTGGATAACCAAGGACAAAATCAATGTACGGAGCAGCGAATGCATTGAATGCACGTTCGAAAATGTTCAATTTCTCCCCAAATGGTGAACAAACGTCCGATACAACACTAGGCATCGCAGGTTCTTCGATTGATTGAGCCAATGCAACGTCATGAGTGAGAGATAACGATGGAATAAATGATTTGATGTCTAGATAATCCATTAGAGCTGAAAATTAGATAATAGAGAAACAATTTCGTATTCAACTTACGGTAGGCAGAGAACACATACGATTCAAAGATTATAACATCGAAATTTCGCCGCTTCAAATCATCCAAAAAACCCAAATTATCCCTCATCACTTCTGCTTGCTCATTGTACATATTTTGGAATAGTTCAATTACCGGAATGATTTCAGTAGCTGAAGAATCCTCTGTCCAGAATCTAACAAATTCTCCCGACTCCATTTGTTCTCCATAAGCTCTCAATTTTTCGGATGGCTCCATGTGAACCACATCTTTGGTTGATTTAGTATAATTCACATCTCGATACTTTTCCACAATTGTTGGTGTGAAAAATGTCTGGAAACAGAAAAAATGTACTGATTACCTGAGATAAAAAGTATTTTACCACATTATGTCCAGCATCTGTCAAAGAATCAGCAATCGTAGCAAAGAATTTGGTATGGCTATGACCAAATAACGGACAATAAACTAGAAAATTGTATTCAAAAGTGGCACAAAATAAAGGGAATAACAGAAATAACAAACGCATTTGTGAGACAAAAAAAACGTTTTTGGTATAGACAAATGCAGTTTTTTATTGATAAGATTGACTACAACTGTACGGTTTTTGAAGTAGATAAAGATACGTTTTTATGTGGGAAATAGGTCATTTCGAGTAGTACTTTGTAGTCAGTCTTATTCGGAGAAAGAGAACTAAGGGAATTCGATTAGTTCAAGAAAT